AAGTGAACATAAATACTAAAGCAGTTTTGATATTTGTGGACGCGGAGAAAGCTTTTGACAATATCTCTTGGAGTTTTATGAAGAAGAACTTACAGGGGATGGGGGTAGGCCAAGGTTTTGAAAACGGTATAAGTGCAATTTATTCAGAACAAAAGGCTAAACTAATTGTAAATAATGTGGTGACGGAAGAATTTAAGATAGAAAAAGGGACACGACAAGGTTGCCCAATTTCCCCATTGCTTTTTATATCGGTCCTGGAGGTCCTGCTGAATATGATTAGAAGGGACCAGTTGGTTAAAGGTATACAAGTCGGAGCCAAACAGTACAAATTGAGAGCATTTGCAGATGACTTAGTATTGACGTTACAGGAGCCAGAATCTAGTACTAAAAGGGTTTTAGAACTGATTCAAGAATTTGGTCAGGTTGCAGGATTTAAACTGAATAAGTTAAAAACCAAGGTTTTAGAGAAAAACTTAACACCGATTGAGAGAGAGAGGTTTCAGAATGAAACAGGTTTAACAGTGGTTAAAAAAGTGAAATACCTGGGGATTAATATGACAGCAAAAAATGGGAATCTATTTAAAGATAACTATGAAAAATGCTGGGCTGAAGTGAAAAAAGATTTAGAAATTTGGTCAAATTTGAAGCTTTCACTGCTGGGTCATATTGCTGCGATAAAAATGAATGTATTGCCTAGAATGTTGTTTTTGTTTCAAACATTGCAAATTGTGGACAAAATGGATTGCTTCAAGAAGTGGCAGAGAGACATTTCTAGATTTGTCTGGCAGGGCAAGAAGCCCAGAATAAAATTTAAGATATTAACTGATGCAAAGGAAAGGGGTGGATTTGCCCTGCCAGACTTCAAACTTTACTATGAATCAGCAGCTTTTTGCTGGTTGAAAGAATGGCTGCTTCTTGAAAACACTGACATTTTGGACCTAGAAGGTTTTAACAATGTATTTGGATGGCATGCATATCTGTGGTATGATAAGGTCAAAGCACATAAAGCATTTAAAAACCATATTGTCAGGAAAGCATTGTTTAATGTTTGGATAAGATATAAGGATTTATTGGAAAATAAAACCCCAAGGTGGCTGTCACCGATGGAAGCGAAAGCTCTGAAAAAGCTCAATATGGAGGCCAAATGGCCGAAATATTGGGAAATTTTGGAACAAGATGGAGATAGACTGAAATTGCAGAGTTTTGAGAAATTAAAAACAAAGTGCGAGACTGGCTTCATTATTATCAGATAATGGAGGCATATAATTTGGACAAGAAAATTGGTTTCCAGGTGGAAAAATCAAAATTAGAAACAGAACTGTTAGAACCCAAAACTAAGATTTTGTCAAAGATGTATAATTTGCTGTTGAAATGGAATACTCAAGATGAAACGGTGAAATCTGCTATGATCAAATGGGCACAGGATGTGGGACATAATATAATGATGGCTGACTGGGAACAGTTATGGACCACAGGTATGAAGTTTACGGCATGTAATGCCTTAAGAGAGAATATTATGAAAATGATATACAGGTGGTACATGACCCCAGTCAAGCTTGCAAAAATCTATCATTTGCCCGATAACAAATGTTGGAAATGTAAAGAAACTGAAGGTACATTCTTTCACTTTTGGTGGACGTGCCCAAGGATTAAGGCTTTCTGGGAAATTATATATAATGAACTGAAAAAGGTATTTAAATATACCTTTCTGAAGAAACCAGAGGCCTTTCTCCTGGGCATGGTTGGCCAATTGGTTCCAAAGAAGGATAGAACTTTCTTTATGTATGCTACAACAGCAGCAAGAATACTTATTGCAAAGTATTGGAAGACACAAGATCTACCCACCCTAGAAGAATGGCAGATGAAGGTGATGGACTACATGGAATTGGCGGAAATGACTGGCAGAATCCGAGACCAGGGAGAAGAGTCGGTGGAAGAAGATTGGAAGAAATTTAAAGACTATTTACAGAAATACTGCAAAATTAATGAATGTTAGAATGATGTTGGACAGAAATTAAGTGGTTTTCAGCTGTAATACTACAAGGGAATATGAAAAATGGGTTATTAATAGGTAAAAATTTAACGTTACAATACTTTAAGATTAAAGATCAAGATAAATAAAGAGGGTATGGATTTGCTGAACCAACAATTCGAACTGGAATACAAAAAAGGGAGGCGTGAGGAGGTCCGGGAAACAAGCTAATGAAAAATATGCAATGGAAAGATTGAGTTGTTTTTAACCATTTTTATTTTTTGTATTTTCTTCTTTTTTATTTTTATTTTGTAACATTTTGAAAATTTCAATAAATATCTTATATATAAAAAAAATATTTAGCAATGTATGGCAACGTCCAATAGGTGGCTGCCGAAAACACAAACGTGTTTTATTTATTTAAAACATTTATACCCTGCTTCTCTGCCCCCTTGAGGAAGTTAACAATCTGACATGCCTTTCTGATAAAATTAATAGACCATAAAGAACACTCACACTGTAGAAATGGATTAGTAGCTGCATTAAGGCAGCACTTGCCAGAAGCATGAGGAAATGAACTAGTTCTGACATGGCACTTAAAAGGTACGATAAGAGTTCATGGATATTTTCTGGCTGGTTTTAGCAGACTTTAAAAAAATAAAAAAATAAAATGGGTGCCGTAAATCCTCAATAGGTGCCTGGCTATTTGTTCCAAAGTGACTTCTTTCAAAATAAATAGGCTATTGTAAACGACGCTTACTCAAAAGTCAATGCCACTATGCTTAGAACTGCAGCCTCCGAGTGATTAATATATGAACAATTATGGCAGGGACAAGGGAACCCGTAACCCCCCAGATCCCATAAATCTCAGCCAACAGGGCCAGCCCAAGACATTTTGGTACCTGAGGAGAACCACAAAATGGCACCCCTTCCCCACCAGCGAAGAGTGAACAAAGGGAGAAATAGTGATCTACATTGGGATCTGCTGTCCCTGTGGATCCTGATGCCTGAGGCAGTTATCTCACCTTGCCTAATGGGTGGGCCAGCGCTGTCAGCCAGAATGGCTCAACAACATCTGGAAGGCCAGGGGTTCATAATCTGTGCCTCAAATTGTAAGGTTTAAAGAGACAGAAGCTCTTTTGGCATGGCAACTCTATTATCAGTCCAGCTTCTCCTCCTCCTAACTTTTGGCTCCTAACCTTGCTATTTTTCTGGGGGAATGGACTCTTTTCATGACATAAGAAACGGTCTGCTGGATCAGGCCAAAGGCTTACCTCATCTAGCATTGTGTTCTCACAGTAATCAAACAGATGCCTAAAGGAAGACTGCAAGCAGGAACCAGAAAACAATGGATAACCAGCCTCATACAGCCAACAACGCTTACGTCTAATTAATGCATGAAGGGGTTAAGACCATAGAGTAAACTGTCCTGCCAGGCTTAGCTAGGTCACTCCCACTTGCCTTGGGAGGAAGGTAATCAAGACTATTGTTCACCTTCAATCTGCCAGGGAAGCTCAAAAGGTGAGCATGTCTTAGCTGGTTGCTGCGGCTCAGACCGCATGGCTCTTACAAGCCACTCTTTGAGTTCCTGTACCTCTAATATTGGTGCTGGAGGAGACTCCTGAAAGTCCCATGGACTGCAAGAAGATCAAACCTCTCCATTCTGAAGGAAATCAGCCCTGAGTGCTCACTGGAAGGACAGATCGTGAAGCTGAGGCTCCAATACTTCGGCCAACTCATGAGAAGAGAAGACTCCCTGGAAAAGACCCTGATGTTGGGAAAGATGGAGGGCACAAGGAGAAGGGGACGACATGGTTGGACAGTGTTCTTGAAGCTACCAGCATGAGTTTGACCAAACTGCAGGAGGCAGTGGAAGACAGGAGTGCCTGGTGTGCTCTGGTCCATGGGGTCACGAAGAGTCGGACACGACTAAACGACTAAACAACAACACCACCTCTAATTTAGGAACTTTCACCACTGTCACTAATCCAAGCTTTACTTGGGTGGGGGGGTGGGGATTATTGTTTTGTTTATTGTATTTTTAATTTTGTATCTGAACTGTCCTGACGTCTACAGATAAAGGGTGGTATACCAATTTAAGAAATAATAAAGGCTTCTACTGCCATGGTCCTAGCTCTTTCTTAGGAGAACCCTGGCTCCCACCCAGCCCTTTTTTAGGAGAACCCAGGAGTCCTGGCTCCCACCGGCCCCTTCCAAAAACTTACGCGCCTTCAGCTCTTGCTCCCCTCTCCCTCAACCCAACCGCATTACTACTACTACTACAGCCTAATCCTGTGGTTCCACAACATGGAGCACATGCCCCATGGCCTTTTAGGCTTCCTCCACGTGAACAGGATCTTATTTTTGAATAATAATATGTCAAACGGGGTAGGGGTGGGATCAGAATTTTAGAGATGCTTAGGTGGGGCATGGCTAAAAAAAAGGTTGGGAACCACAGGCCTAATCCTTTTGAAACCTGAAACTTGTTTTTTTGTAGGATTCCTCCTATACCTGACCATGGGTAGGCAAACTAAGGCCCGGGGGCCGGATCCGGCCCAATCGCCTTCTAAATCCTTCCTGCGGATGGTCCAGGAATCAGTGTGTTTTTACATGAGTAGAAGGTGTGCTTTGATTTAAAATGCATCTCCGGGTTATTTGTGGGGCATTGGAATTCGTTCATTATTTTTTTCCCTTTTCAAAATATAGTCCGCCCCCCACCACAAGGTCTGAGGGACAGTGGACGGGCCCCCTGCAGAAAAAGTTTGCTGACCCCTGCCTGAGACTGTAATTTCAACACCCCACTTCACACTGCCTCTGATACTGTTGCATTGACTAACAGCAACCATAATGATCCTCGCGCCCTCGCAGGGAACCCAGGAGTCCGGGATGCGCCAGCTCCCAGCCCCTCCCGCTCCCTCCGACACCCAGTCCGCCCTTCCAGTTCTCCCACTTCCTCCACCCCCCAGGTAGCCCCTCCTTCCCAGTTGACCCCTCCCTAGAGGCCCCTCCCGCCTTCGGGGTGGCGCTTCTCCTAATCCAGTCCTACCAGAAAATCCCAAGGAAGAGACTTCTTTCTTTCTCCCCCCCACCCGTCTCCTTCCCCCTCCTTCTCCATCTAGGGCTGGGCTAGTCTCTCCCCTTCCTTCTCTCCCTTTGCTCGGCGGGGTCAAAGATCCTCCGGAAAGTCCCTCTTTTGCTGGAGTTTGGACACACACATATATTTATATATTAAAAAAACAAGGTAGGGGACATTAAAAAGAAGAGCATTGCTACCTTCCAGGGGAGGCGGAGGAAAGGAATGAAATCAAACCGCCCTACTCTGCAAGATAAAAAGCTGAAATCGGAAGGGAAGGAGAAAGAAATCCGTAGGGAGGGGAAGGGGGAAAAGTTGCTCCGGAGGAATCGCTTCTCTGGATCTCACCCGGTACGTGCTAAACGCGTGTGTGTGTGGAAGGGGGGGCGCGTGTTGCAGCGCTGCGGTCTCTCCGGCAAGCGGGTGGTGGATATTCCTGGAGGGGTTTATTTTGGGGGGTGGGGGTGACCTGGAGATCGGCCCTAATTAGGATCGTTGGGTGCAGTCGCTTAGGGAGGGGGTGTACAAATTCTCGGGGGAGGGAGGAATCTTTGAGCTAAGGGAGCAGCTCTGGGGGGGGGGATTTGCTTTTTTTTTGCTGTGTGTGGCTGCATCGATTAGGATTCAGGTGAGGGTTTGCAAGGATTCTTTAATTTAGAAGGGAGGGGGGAGTATTATTATTTTTTGCAATAAAGGCCTAAGAAGGCAGTTCCCTCCGCCGGGAATCTCATGAAGCCTATAAATAGACCAGACGTTGGTTGACAACCCCCATACACACGCCCCCCCCCCACACGATTTGAAACATTGCAGAGTTAAATGTGTTGTGAGAGATATCTTGAAATGCCTTATATAAAATCCCAAGTATCCTTATTGCACAGCACTGCAGAGGATAGCCCTACACACACAAACACACACACACACACATTGATTGTTTTAAGAACTTAAAATCAGTCGATTCAGGATGCTTCTATAAAGGGACTATTATGCTATAAATGTACACATGTTGAGGCACCTTTTTCCGGTTGAGGCACCTTTTCCGATTAGTCTCGCAAAAGTCATGCTTGCCGCACACTCCAGAGCTGCAGAGAGCAAATGACATATAACGCCAGAAATCTTCCCCGCCATGAGGCTCCCACTCTTAATAACCGACAGCTCCTCAGGCACAATCCCCTCTAAGCGGAATAATACCACACTGGTGGGAATGGGATCCCCCAACCAGAGCATATGGCGCCATAATTACACCTAGACCAGACTCCCAGACCAATCTGAAAGTGGCTCACGAGGAATCCCAAGCGCATCCTCGCTTCCTGTCTCACACAAATATCACCACAGCAGAAAGTGCAGCCTCGCCGTTTCATTAACACACAGAGACGCATGTTTTGAGGTAGGCTGTTTCTGCATATTCATGCAAAAGGTTTGTCAAGCTGCGGCTTTTCCCGGTGCCTGAAGTATTTTGTGCTTGTGGGTTTTATGATTGTTTCATTCATTCTCATTTTCTGCAAACGGTTGTTGTGTCCCTTGCTAGCCCTATCCGGAGCAGGTCCATCGAAACCGTTGGCCCTAAGTTTAGCCACGATCGTTCATTTCAGTACAGTGGTACCTTGGGTTACAGACGCTTCAGGTTACATACGCTTCAGGTTACAGACTCCGCTAACCCAGAAATAGTACCTCGGGTTAAGAACTTTGCTTCTGGATGAGAACAGAAATCGTGCTCCGGCAGCAGCAGGAGGCCCCATTAACTAAAGTGGTACCTCAGGTTAAGAACAGTTTCAGGTTAAGAACGGACCTCCGGAACGAATTAAGTACTTAACCTGAGGTACCACTGTAGTTAGGGACGCGGGTGGCGCTGTGGGTTAAACCACAGAGCCTAGGACTTGCCAATCAGAAGGTTGGCGGTTCGAATCCCCGCAATGGGGTGAGCTCCTGTTGCTCGGTCCCTGCTCCTGCCAACCTAGCAGTTTGAAAGCACGTCAAAGTGCAAGTAGATAAATAGGTACTGCTCTGGCGGGAAGGTAAACGGCATTTCCATGTGCTGCTCTGGTTCGCCAGAAGTGGCTTAGTCATGCTGGCCACATGACCCGGAAGCTGTACGCCGGCTCCCTCGGCCAATAAAGCGAGATGAGCGCCGCAACCCCAGAGTTGGCCATGACTGGACCTAATGGCCAGGGGTCTCTTTACCTTTACCACTGTAGTTCCAACTCTTGACTTGGGCTGGAGGGGCCACAACCCCGTTAACATATGTAAAATCAGTGTACGTAAGAGACAGCTGAGATAAAAGATGAACGAGCAGAGCCAACAGCCATTATAATAAGCAGAATACGAGAGAAAATCAAGGCTTTCAAAAGTCATTTTTTAAAGCAAGCAAGCTGCTGCATATCTGACATGGATTGGCTATAAAATCTGGCAGTGTGTGAAAGTCATGCCCTTTACCTCAACCTCAAGCACGAGTTGTGGTTATTCAGTGGTGAGCAGAAAAGCACTCTGAACATGTTCAGAGGCATTCTCTTTCATTGGTAGCTCTTCTGAGGTGCTCTGGGACACTTCGTGAACCCCTAGCAGTGGCGAACTTTGGGCTTTAACATTTCCGTGGCACCCTGTATGACACCCAAATCCCCGCTCCCAATCTCTTTTGTCATTGTTGCGGTGCCCTCTCGGATCAGTGCCCAGTGTGGGTGAACCAGTCAGGCTCCCCTAAATTCACCTCCGACCCCTAGTTTCATACAAGCTGTTGGATAATGGGAAACTTAGAGTGGTATATATGTTCTCTCCTGCCCCCCTCCAACAGGTAATTCGGGGTAGCTGATGTATTTAACCCTTGATGCCATTGAACTCCAGCTCCCATCATCCCTTTCTGTGGGCCACACTGCCTGGGGCTGATGGGAGTTGTGGTCCAACTATACCTATCTGGAGGGCCGCCATGTTTGTTTATGCACTAAGGGGGAGCCTTCCCCAGACTGGTTCCTTCCAGGTGTTTTGGACTACAATTCCCATCAGCCTCAGCCAGCACCAGGTTGGGGAAGTCACTTTTCTGAGAGTTTAAATGAGGTTTTTGTTCGTCTTGAGGGCTCCTTGTTGGCATATTTCCCCCTACAGCAGCAGAAATGCATAGACGATTATAGAAACAGGTTTCGGCTTGGTGTTGCAAAATATCTATTACGCCATGCAGATCTTGTTTTGTGGCTACAGATGGTGGATATCCATCTGCTTATTTTCAACTAATTGCACATTTTGGGTTCATGCCATCCAAAAGAGATTATTGGGGGGGGGGGGAGAGCAGAGAGAAACTAAGATAGGTCAACCTAAGATAGGGGAAATCAAAATTCTGGAGGTACAAAACCCTTTTTCGGAGTTTTGCAATTAAATTCCAAAGCAATCAAGGGATTGGGAGTGGCTGATAGAATGCATTTGTATTCTGAGACAGAGATTAGGGTCAGTGTATACAAGCAACAGATTCAAGTGATGTAAAGGGATTTTCGTTTTTTTTGGAGCGTACCACTGCAGGAAATTAGGTCTGAGTGCTTCCCCACCAGAAAATCCTCCTGTTAGATGGACAAATACAGAGAAGGCAAGCCTGAACTGTTTCCCAACATGCTGCTTTTTTACATGTAGGAACACGCACGCACTGCATTCAGAATCGTCCCCCCTACCTGCAGTCTGAAGTAGTCGACTCCAGGATAATAATTTGATTTTAAACTGGCCCTTAATCACTGCTTTGCCTGCAAAAGCTCACTTGGGCAAAGGGCTGCATTTTGGCCTTGCTTTGCCACAGTTACCCATGCTCTGGTTACACCTCCAGGTTGGATTATTGCAGTGTGCTGCCCCTGAAGACAGTTTGGAAGCTGCAACTGATATGTCCAGTTGTATAATGAAGGCGCCAGGCGAGCCTCCCTGGGGAGAGCATCACACAAACGGGGAGCCGCTGCAGAAAAGACCCCGTTCTTGTTTTTGCCACCCTCCGGACCTCTCACAGAGGAGGCCCATGAAGAAGGGCCTCAGATGATGAACGAGGAGAGTCTGGATTGTTTCATATGGAGAGAGGCAGTCCTTGAGGCATTGTGGTTCTGTTTTAAGGTTTTATAGGTCCAAACCAGCACTTGGAATGGGGTCTGTGGAAATCCCTAAACGATGTGGGGCCCAAATATCTGAAGGAACGCCTCTCTCTATAATGGAACCTGCCTGTGTGTTATGGTCAACAGGAGAGGTCCTTCTCAAGAGTTCCATCACCAAGTACAGTGGTACCTCAGGTTAAGTACTTAATTCGTTCCGGAGGTCCGTTCTTAACCTGAAACTGTTCTTCACCTGAAGCACCACTTTAGCTAATGGGGCCTCCTGCTGCTGCCACGTCGCCAGAGCACAATTTCTGTTCTCATCCTGAAGCAAAGTTCTTAATCTGAAGCACTATTTCTGGATTAGTGGAGTCTGTAACCTGAAGCGTATGAATCCAGAGGTACCACTGTAAAGAATCATAGAATCATAGAGTTGAAAGAGACCACAAGGGCCATTGAGTCCAACCCCCTGCTTAGAAGTAGAAGAAGAAGTAGCCTTCTTAGAAGTAGAAGCCCATCTTCAGAATTACCTCCTCTCTAAAGTATGTCTGGTTCTGGTACTGCTTGAAGATACACTTCTCTCTTGAGGCCTTTGGGAGGTCTTGAGCATTGTGCTGGTCATGCTGTTGCTGTTTTTCACTGCTTGCTGTTCAATTGCATTCTTTTAAAGTTTTAGCTGCTATTTTATTATTTGTATTCAACGCTTTTTTGTGATTTGTGTAGCCTGCCCTGGGAGCCTGTGGTGAAGGGTGAGGATACAAACATGATCAATGAAACAATAATTTTATTATTGGATAAAATCAGTATTGAGAATTGGTGAGAATCAGTGTTTTGGAAACTGATCATGTGATCAGTTTTTTTAAAAAAATGATAATCTCTCTGGAGAAACTACCAGGCAACATAGTGTGGTATTCAGTTACGTTTCACTTAGTTTTACTCATTGTAGGCCTATTGAAGTGAATGGCTCTAAGTTACTCATGTTATTTTCAGTGTCTCTACACTGAGTAAAACTTAGTTGACAATAACCCACAGCTAATATCAGGGCCTTGTCAGTATTTGGGGGTCCGTAACATTTCCTGCTAGCTAGACGGAAAATCTTCATGAAGGATGAGAATTAAAGTTTATTCGCCTTTTAGTCTTCCGTTTTCAGCATTTAAAACCATGTTCACCCTTGCAGCAAGCCCATGGGTCACTATTACCACCATTTTTCAAGATAAGAAGTAGGTTAAATCAGAAATCTCCCCTTAATTGCCATTCTGTCCCACCTGCGGTCAGTTCGCTGACTGAAAATTTCTTTCTTTCTTTCATAGGGGAGGCTGTTCTGGAGCGAAAGATCCCGTCTTTTATTTGAGGCAGCATGATGCGAGACTTTGGAGCCCCTGAACTAATAAGAAGCTGAGATTTTTTTTATTTTGGGAGACACAAATACACCCTTTTGGAAACAGGGAACCGAACCCACCATGGCCGTTTGGGGTAATGGAGCTGCATGCCCTAAGATGGCTGGTTTGCCAGGAGTGTTGAAAAAATCAGTGTGATGTGGCAGGAAGCTCAACTTCCCTCTGTGTGAGCAAACCGTTCTCCAACATATGTATTTCCTTGGACACAGGAGATTCATGTTCTGGGCAGCCAGCATCTAGAACAGCTCCAAGCCCGGAAGAGCCAAGATTTATGGATAACCCACAATTGTGGTTTCCTTGAAGACTGAGCCACCAGCCTTGGCATCTGAAGCAGCAGATGTGAGCAGGAGGAGCGGAAAATGCCATGCTAGGCCGCATTCTTCGTGGCAGGGAGCTGATCTTTGAGAGGCTCAGGTCCCAAGAAAACTTTGGTTGCTCTGGGTGTATAGCTCCCACACCTGCTCTTTAGTTTGTTTACCTATATTTATCTATATTATAATAATATATCTATATTATCGCACATCCTCTCCCTGCACCATGTTCCTCAGCAGAGCCAAGTCATGGCTCCCTGGCCTGCCTTGGCGACGAGGAAAGGCGAAGGACGTGAAAAAGGAAGGGGAGGAATTGCAGGGGGAGCCAGAGGAAAACACGGCGCCCCCGAAACCGAGATGGTGGAGCGGCCGACGCCTCTTGGGCGCTATTGGCTGGGCCCAAAGTTCCGCTGCTGGAGAGAGCTCCCTATTGGCCGGGATACCTCAGCACCTCTCGCCGCCGAAAGCATCTGTGGAATCTCCAGAGCACTTGCAGATCTGCTTCAACTTCACCCGCCACCTCTTTGACCTGTGCGTGGTGACTTTGCTCTGTGCCTCGTCCCCGGCCTTCCGGCTGGTTTTGGATATCCTGGGGTTCGGGGGCCCTCTTAAGGTCTGGCTCCACGGCTTTGCCTGCTTCTTAGTCACCGCTTACGGGATGTACTTGGCTCTGTGGCTGGTGCAGGAGTACCTGGTGCAATTTGCCTGCCTCTACGGCTTCCTGCAGACCCTGGTCTTGTGCGTCAGTATCCAGGCCGGTGGGTCTGAGCCCCCAGAGGAGAAAGAGCCCATCGACTCCGACCCAGCCAAGGAAGAGGAACTGTCGGCAGCTGGCCCAGGCAAGCAGTCGCCGCCGCTATAAGGAGGAAGACTGTGTTGGCCCGCCTCCTGCAGCTGTTCGGGGTAGAATTGGGGGACGAAGCCAAAGAGCGCAGCTGATGTGGTCCCCATTTAGGATGGCTGGACAGACACGCACAAAAGAGGAGGGAATAGAGAGTGTTGTGCAGCGGGTGTATGTTTGCAAAAACATATGTATGTGTGTATGTCCCGTCCCCCGTGCAGGTGGTTCCAATGCCCATTTGTGAATGGCTTTTTGGGGAGCAAAGGGAGGGGAAGTCCATCACAACTATGACCACCTAGAGGGGGCTTGGAGAAATCCTGGGGCACAAGGGTGGGGAGAGTTGGGTGCACTCCACATCCAAACCAGTCTGAACCTGGTTTTCCTGTCTTGCCTGCCCCCAGTGGGTCTTGGGAACTAGATTTGGCGGGAAGGTGAGGGGACTCGAGGGTTCATTGACAGAGAACTGTTTGACCACAGAAGCAGGGCCATGCCTCTGTAGAGCATGTTAGGCTGGCAGTTTTGAAGAAGCGTTGATGGGGTGGTCCGCACATACCCAGTTCCTATAATCTGCAAAGACTGGTGATTTCATCCGTCAGTGGGGTCCTCGTTTTAGCAGAGGCGTCCCTAGACCCAGTGCGAGTCGTCTAGAATGGACACTGGGAGCTGTGCTTTGATCTTGAACAGCAAGCAAGTGCAGCTTTCTGCTCTGGTGGCCCAGCAGGTGAGGGCAAGAGGCTTTGGACAATCACTTTGGAGGGTGGAAGGGAGAGGGCAAGGGAAATGATCTGGGAAGGGCCAGTAGATGCCACACTGCATCTTCTTGCCCCCGTCTCAGGCTGGGGCGAGTGGGTACAAGGGATGAATCCAGTGGGATGGCGAACATCCTATCTTAACTGGGACCAGAGAGTGGATTTATCTGAGGCTAGGGAGGGGTGGATTTGAGAACTAAGGATCAGATCCTATGAGAGTGACCTATTGTACCTGCACAAGAGGATTCAAAGGAGCCAATGGGAGGACTGGGGTTTGGCAGGAAGTGTTCTAATTGTATGACATCTAATCTAGGGGAGGAAGATTCCAGGAAGTCATGAAAGCCTCCCACAACGTAGAGCAGGGCTACCCATCATGGCACCTTCCAGAGATGGTTGGACTACAGTTCCCATCATCCCTGGTTATTGGCTGGGCTTGCTGGGGCTGATGGGAGTTGGAGTTAAGGAACTTCTGGAGGGCAGTATCAGGAAATATGTAAAACTACTGAGGAGGAATCTGGATGGGGTGGACTACTGAGGACTCCCTGTTAGAAATGGACTGCCTCTCCCTAGCTTATTCTGAAGGGGCAAGGTGGGCTGTTTAGAAAGTTGATCTTCCCCTCCATCCCAAACCTCAGGGATAAGCAGTTCTGAGCCTGGAATTTCAGCTAGATTCCACCTGCTCCTCACCAGCATCTAGAACTTTTTCCAGCAGGAGAGTCTAGTTCTTTGCCCTGTTTTACTGATACCCACCCCAAGCAACTTCAGCAATATTGAGATTTTATGCTACCAGATCAGCTTGCACTGTGGGCTGTGTGTTGCCCAAAGGATCTGTGTATGTGATTGAGAGAGGATCTCAGCACGCCTCTCAGCGGCCCAGGTGTGCTTGAGCCACACAGGGATACAAATGTCTACCTTTACCACACACCTGCACCTGAGGTGTGCCCTATTGCCTCGCAAGAGGGTGACCCAAGTTTCCCAGAATATTAATGTTCACCTGCGGGTAGCTTGGTTACCTGTACAGACTTGCAATTGGGGCTGCCAGCCATAGGCCCAATCAGCCTCTCTTCCAAGGTCCTGTTTGTGTTTTTCTTGCCAGGGGATGGGAAGTTTATATTGCGCCATGCTTGCCGTTGGAACTAGGGACCACCGGAGTGGATGTGGCAGTTGTGTTCGTAGGAACATTATTCCTTTCCTCATTTCTGGCAAGGCCTCCACATTCCTAGGTCAGCACATCTTTCCAGATCAGCTCCACACTCTTCATTCTTCAGTTCTGTTGTGATCATGTATGTCTGTTGTGATCTCCTAAAACAAACACCACCTTCTTGTGTGGAATCCATCCTATGTTGTAGCTACGTGAGGTCCACAGTCAGGTCCTTTCCAAGTTATATACCTTACATTTCTATCTCCCCGCCCCCTTCTTCCCTTCAAGATCCACGGTCTCTGATGCATGCCCAAAATGCCCCCACAACAGATGTTCTCACTGGGTTATCCCCACTCCTTCCACAAACACAAATAAAGTTTAACCTCTCCCCTGAACACTCCTCTGTTAGCCGCAAGCAGTGATGTATAAAACATGCTTTGATTTTGAGTCTCTGGAACCTAGAACATATCCACTCTTTCTCTGTAATCCCTTTTGTGATGTCCCCTCTCCCTGCTAGATCATCCCTCTCCCTCTAGCTCCTTGAGATCCACTTGATCTCCATGTTGTGATAGACAAGAAAGTGGCAAATCAGATCATTCATTTTTAAAAAAATGGTTGCAGGAAATAATTCTACATTGCAACCACATTCAGAGCAAGCTGCAATCTCATTTTCAGCAGAAACACTCCCATTTCATCTAGGAAACGTCCTCTGGATTCAAGGCCTTTTCCAAAAATGCACAACCCTTTCTGCAAAAGCTTTCTCAGATTCATTTCCTTCTCTGAATATTGTCTAATACCCATGTGATATCTTTCAAGTGAATCCCCTCTCTTGTCCGGATAGAGCCAGAACGTCCCATGCCATCTGCCTCGAGCGAGAATAAAAATCTTAAGCGTTCCGGTTCTGAGGCAGAATGAATGCCTTCTCTATCCTTTCAAACTTCTGGCCTGCCACTGCGGGTGCCGGCAAACACTGCTTTTGTGGTGTGCATTCCTGTTCCAGGAAGAAGAGGAGGGCTTTGGCCTCCCAAATGCTGTCGGAATCCCAACTCCCATCAGCCCTAGTTGGAACGGTCAGTAATTAGGAATGATAGGAGTTGTAGTCTGGAGGGCCACAGGCCCCCCACCCCTGAATCAGAGATAGGAACTCGAGAGGAAACAGTTCCCTTGGCCCAGGGTCATGTGCTAGATCTTTGTCTCTCTGTGTGCCAGATCTGAAGTGGACACCCTTTTAATTTCTCCCTCACATACACCTACGAACATCTTCCCCTTTTGCTGAGGGATGAGTAGAAGGCCATCGCAATGGCCATCGCTCTTTGTCGCTCCCTAATGCTGAGGAAAGCGATCCAGAGGGGAGGCCCTCTGAGGCAAACAGCAGCAAGCCCCTTCCACAGTTAGAACACATCACATTTGTCTCCTATCCAGGTACAGTTTTTCACCTGGCATTCCAGAGAGCAGTGAGAGGGGAGGGTGTTTTGGACAATGTCCCCACCTTAATCTCAGGGCCCTTGTAGCTGACTAACTAGGCTGACCACTAGCAGCAGTCGTGGATGTGACACTTCTGTGATACTATGGCCTCGAGGGACTCCTAAAAATCCCATCTTGTGATGTAAAACTGTGGTACTGAAAGGTCTACTTTTGTCCTTCGGCCCATTACTCCAAGACCTTTACTTGAAGCTGTAGAGCCACCAGCGCAGTTGTGTCCTAGCAGCGGAATTAGCTGTTTCCTCAAATTGATTTTGACTACAGCCCATTGGGGTAGGTCTATATTGTTGTGGTTTTTTAAATTCAGTCCAGAGCGGCGCAAGTCAGTCTAAAACAAAACCCACCAGCATAAACATCCTTCCTTAGCACAAAGTCTTATGGAATTCTTCCCCTTGTGCTGTTTGGTTGTTGTTAATACTACAACTCCCATCGTCCCTGACTATGTGACCTGGGAATGATGGGAACTGTAGTCCAACAACATCTGGAGGGCCACAGGTTCCCCATCCTTGTGGGCCAAAGCCATCGTTCCACCCACTGAAATGTCACTGTTATTCCTGGAAGAGGGGCTAATCTAGACAACGGACTATTGGGGGGGCTGGATCTAGAGAGCTCTCCACACCTCGGAAGCAGGCAGAACAGGATTTCTGACACTCGAACAAATGATTAGGAACCCACTTTGTTTTTGAAAGGCAAGGGGAGAGGGGAGTCAAGAAAATATTTTGAAACGACTGAGTCTTATAATGGGTAAGTCCCTAAAACATTTGAAGGCAGAACTTCCTTGGCAAACCTATCTTTGAATGTGAATTTGTGGCAACTTTCTTGGGGAAAGGCAGGTAGTATTCTGGTATCTGTTGATTTCCCACGACAACTGCACCCCCCACAAAAAAAAACCTCATTCTTTCCTCAACCAAACTGAGCCGGAGTTGGGGGTGACTAGGATTCCGTGAGGCCATTTTTGAGAACGACCAACTCGAGGAAGGGTTAAAGCCTTCCACCTGCCTCCCCTGGAAGTGTCCTGTCTGCACACGTGCCAAAAGGAACAGACGAAGCTGGAAATCCTGTGTTTTTTCCACATAATGTGACGTTCCACCCTCTTAGTGGTGACTGACTTCTTATGTTGGTTTCAATGCAACGCAGTGCTCTTAAAAAACAAAAAAAAACCTCGCCGCCTCGTTTACTGGGATTACCAGAGTGCTTATTTGGGAAACCTAGTAATTCCTCAGCAAATTTATATTGCGCATCTCAAAATGGCAGGTACTGAAGGGTGTGAGTGGCGTCACACATACTAGCCAGTAGCCGCCTGCGATGTTCCTGCTGAAACATAATGCACCTGTATCATCGCACTGCTGGCTGTGCTATTCTGCGTAGGAGGGAGGGAGAGCTAGAATTTTAATAGGCTCCATCCTGAGGCACCATTGTTATGAAAACTGTGAGGAGTTTGCCAGTGAAGGGAAGATCAAGAGAAAATAATAATAATTGTGTGTGCTTCATGAACAGCAGGAGGAGGCTGGGTGCCTCTGTGTCTCCACAAAACGGTACATCTCTGCAACCCCTTGAGAGCCAAAATATACCTCTTCCCTGTCCTGTTTGGTCATCCACCACTCTAGATGTTCCCCGGTGCCTGAGAAAGTGTGTTGCCGTTTGTGATTTTGGAAGCATAGTGGTTATTTTCTTCATTGGGTGGGGTGGGGTGGGGACCAAATGACCCTGTTTTACTTGGGAACGCATTGGTTGTGTATAGGGGGCGGCTGCAGGCGGGAGAACTGCATAAACTAACCTGTGTATCTATATCCTGACTGCTGTTTTAACCGTTTAAAACACTGTTGATTTGGATTCGTTTATTTTTCCAACCTGTGTTAATATATCTATATATCTATATATTTAAATAAAAGGGAAACTTCAAAGAACAATGCGAGGCTCTGCAATTATCAGTTGCAACCGGAGCAACCTACAGTTGTGCATGGTGCTAGTTCTCATGGCAACTGGATAAAGCCTGGACAGCAATCAGGCAGTTTTTACTGGAGGAGAGGGAAGAAAGGGGTTCATCATTCCTCTGGAGTCTGTGCTGTGGGTCCCTGCCTCCCCCCACCTCCTGCTTTCAGGTGGGCTTGCTTTCACTTTTCACAGCTCAGCTGGGAGGCAAAATGATTTACAGCAGGGCCCACAAACTTCATTCATTAACACTGTCTGTGTATGTGTGGTGGAACATGGGAGGCAGCTCATACATCATGTGAAATATTCATATCGATTTTTAATTGCATTTTTATTGCTTTTTCATTTTATTTTCTTGTTTTGTATTTTCTTGTATTGTATGTATGCAATAAAATACTATAGCAGGGTGGTGGGGTGAATATAAAAAGGTAAAGGGACCCCTGACCGTTAGGTCCAGTCGTGGCCGACTCTGGGGTTGCGGTGCTCATCTCACTTTATTGGCCGAGGGAGCCGGCGTACAGCTTCCGGGTCATGGGGCCAGCATGACTAAGCTGCTTCTGGCGAACCAGAGCAGTGCACAGAAAAGCCGTTTACCTTCCCACTGGAGCGGTACCTATTTATCTACTTGCACTTTGACGTGCTTTCAAACTGCTAGGTTGGCAGGAGCAGGGACCAAGCAACGGGAGCTCACCATTTTGCGGGGATTCGAACCGCCGACCTTCTGATCAGCAAGTCCTAGGCTCTGTAGTTTAACCCACAGCGCCACCCGCGTCCCTTAGGGTGAACATACTTTTGGCCAAATTCCTTTGTGGGGAAACTTCCAGGGAGCATGCTGGTAATGGGTGGGACCAGAGACAAAAAATGGGAGGAGCAACTGATGTGACCAATCACAGAATCACAGAGCTGGAAGGAACCACAAGGATCATCTAGTCCAACCTCCTGCAATGCAGGAATATTTTTGCCCAACACGGGGGCTCGAATCTTGGAAGGACGCCGAGTTTCCTGATTTACAGCTGAAAATAGTAGCGGCTGCATCTCCGTGAAAATGTCTAAGAAAAAGAAGTGATCTGCTTCATCTCCACAAGTGAGCCCACAGCAGAAGTGCAAGCAGAGTAAATCGGATGATTTCATAAGAGCCCAGAATCCAGAACCTACCAGATCAAACAGTGTTCATTCCAAGGTAGGTGGGGACGCTTTAATGGGTGGAGACCACCCAGGGGAGAACGCTGAGATGAGTGCCCATGAACCATTTCATGAACTACTACCCAAGAGGGCACCATTCTATGCGGAAATACTCGCAGACCTCTGACTGCAAGAACAGTGGAGGAAATTAACACCAAACTAGAAAAGGTAATGTCACTCTTGGCTGAGGGTTTCTATCCATATATACCTGAAGGAGCGTCTCCACCCCCATCATTCTGCCCGTACGCTGAGGTCCAGCGCTGAGGGCCTTCTGGTGGTTCCCTCATGGCGAGAAGCAAAGCTACAGGGAACCAGGCAGAGGGCCTTCTCGACAGTGGCGCCCACCCTGTGGAATGCCCTCCCATCAGATGTCAAAGAGATACCGTATTTTTCGCCCTATAGGACGCACTTTTTCCCCTCCAAAAATTAAGGGGAAATGTGTGTACGTCCTATGGGGCGAATGCAGGCTTTCGCTGAAGCCTGGATAGCGAGAGGAGTCGGTGCGCACCGACACCTCTCGCTCTCCAGGCTCCAGGAAGCTATCTGCAAGCCTTGCGCACCCGGGGGGGAGTTCCCCCGGGCACGCAAGGCTTGCGGGCGGCAGCCTGCAGCGCAGAGCACGGGGCGCCCTCCGGAGGACTTGAGGAAGTGTGTGGTCTGAGGAGAATCCCAGAGGCTGGACACAGAGACCTGGAAGTCCATTTTTGGCTCAAAGGAATTTTATTCAACACCACAGGACGTGTAAAACCACCCGTTCCCCCGGTGGGTGAGGCAAACGAGCTTCTGTGTACGGTTAAGTCCTGCCGCAGCGGGTCCAAAGCTGAGGTGAAAACAAGAAAGGAAGGAATGAGGAGGGTTGGTACTGAAAGAATCTGAGGTTGCGTATTTCATTGGTTTCGTGAGCAACTGGGGAACTGGATCTGGTAAGTAGATACCAAAAAGCAAAATTGCCTGTCGGTGACTCCCGGCGTCTGTTACGAGATCAGGAGTGCCCTGGAGGCTTGTTGTACAATCCTTTTTCTGCTGGGCATTGTATGCAAATCTCCCCTCCTCTGCCTTTTCCAACCTAACCATGGTGCAGCGTTAAACGTGTACTGACACAAATGTTTTGAGCCTCATCTAGTAGCCATTGATTACTTCATCATGAATTCGTCTAATCCTCTTTCACAACCACCCTGAGTCACTGCCCATCATCACTACTTCCTGTGGGAGCGGAACGCCCTTTCTTTTGCCTGAAGCTTGCGAGATTCAGCTTCAGGTTGATGAGCCCGGGTTCCGGCAGTATTGAGAGATGGAGAAAAACCGTTCTGCCCCCATGCTCTTCATAACTTCGAACACTTCTACCGACTGAGCTCTGGCCCTTTTGCTAAGGCCCTCCTGGTTTCCCCTGCGTGAACTTGAGGCTGTGACCCAGAGAACAACACACCCTGGAGAAGAATTCACAAAGCAACCCTGCATTCCAGGGGCAGGCTGATATTGCTGAGCCACAGACGTTTGCCTGCAAGTTGGGGAAGGGCTGTAGCTCAGTGATAGCACAGCTGCCCTGCATGCAGAAGGTCCCAGGTTCAGACCCCAGCTTCTCCAGGCCAGGGCTACGATTGTCTCCTGCCTGAAACCCTGGAAAGCCACAGCCAGCCAGTGAGCTAGCTTGGCCGGTTGTCTGACTCTGAATGAGGCATCTTCCTTTGGGTGGCACTGAACTAAGTTCCACTCAAGAGTAGCGCCATTAAAATTCATGAACGTGAGCAAATTGGGTCTACTAATTCCCATTCTAGACAGCATCTTAAAAAGCAGAGACATCACCTTGCCAACAAAGGTCCGTATAGTTAAAGCTATGGTTTTCCCAATAGTGATGTATGGAAGTGAGAGCTGGACCATAAAGAAGGCTGATCGCCGAAGAATTGATGCTTTTGAATTCTGGTGCTGGAGAACACTCTTGAGAGTCCCATGGACTGCAAGAAGATCAAACCTATCCGTTCTGAAGGAAATCAGCCCTGAGTGCTTTTGGTGTGAAAAAGAAATACAGTTGTATCTTGGATGTCGAAAGGACTCCATTCCGGAAGTCCGTTCAACTTCCAAAACGTTCGAGTTGCAAGGCGTTCAGCTTCCAAGGCATGACTGTAATGGCATTTGGGTTTGAAGGCTGAAGAGAATGTTTACTTATAAAAAGTAGTTGTGCTGAGTGTTATATTGGAGCAGATGAGTTGAATATTGTTTATATATAGCTGACAGATGAAGAACCAGAAGTGCTTTAGTATCTTAACCTTATTTATTTATTTTCTCTCTATTTTAATCCTTCTCTCTCTCTCTCTCTCTCTCTCTCTCTCTCTCTTTTCTTTTCCCCTTCTTTTCCTCTGGATCTATATTTTAATTTTACCTAGATCAACGTATTTGTTTAGCCAAAAAACATGTTTGATCATCAGCTTTGTATCTCTCTTTATAAAATCTAATAAAAAAAGAAAAAAAAAAGTGAGCTAGAAGCCAACCCTGATCTATAGGATCAGGGACATTTCTTTACTATTAGGCACCCTAAGGTTTGACTCATACCACAGGGAGATGGTGATTTTAGGATGGTAGGGAAGTTAAATATGTATTTGGGTTGGGGACAGGATGGCTTATCTTACCCAAGGAGTTTGAGGTCAAAATGCTTGGAATTCACAGGCACCTGAAAGAGAGAAAGAGAGAAGGCCAATGAGGATTAGTACACAAACGTTTGCAAAGTTAGTTGTGACTCTGGTCTTTGGAATCCAGAAGTGAATTTTGAGTCTGCAGGGCAGAGCGAGGGATGGGAATGTGAAGTTGTTTTCATAGCCGGGTGTGTCATGGGCAAGAAATCTTGCTCTCCTCTAACTCTGGGATGTTGTAGCTGAGCTATAATGACAAGATATCGCTTTGCTTAGGGCAAGTGTGGGGTACACAATCTTGATTTTGGGGTGATTCGGAAACAGCCTCTGTAGAAAGGAGCAGTCACATCTGACTAAGGTTGACTAGGTGCCCTACATTGCAAAGGACTGTCCGCTGTTTGAAACAGTCCTCCATCGGAAGAGCTCTCCAGTCCAAATCCAGTTTGGAGGTGCAAAAGAAAGAAGCATGGGGAGGGGGCTTGGAAGTTGCCCATCGGCTGTTACCACCTGGGCAACAGACTGAGTGGTCTTCCCCACCGTGGCGAGAGACATGTTGTATAGTACTGCTATCTAAATCCTAATAATTATTTCCAAGTTTGCATCAATCCATATTCAGTGGTACCTTGGTTCTCAAATGCCTTGGTATTCAAACACCTTGGTTCTCAAACGCCGAAAACCCGGAAGTAAGTGTTCCGGTTTCCGAACATTTTTCAGAAGCCGAACGTCCGATGTGGCTGTTGGCTATTGTTTGCAGGGCGCCTGCACCAATCAGAAGCTGCGCCTTGGTTTTCGAACATTTCAGAAGTCAAACGGACTTCCAGAACGGATTAAGTTAGGCGCTTTTTTTTTTTAACTATTTATTTTGCGTTTTTGTTTTTGATTCTTTTTCGTTTAATTTGTTTTTGCCACTGTGTGGAGCCCAGTTCAGCTACTTATTGATTGCGTGACTGCAGAAATGGATTAAAAAAAAACCCGCCCAAACAATGACTATCGTTTAATTTTAATTTTTATCATCTACAATACTGTCTTATTTATTTTGTAGTACAGTACGTTGATTATTGCTTTCATTTTATGGATCAACGGTCTCGTTAGATAGTAAAATAGTTAAATTGTTGTTTTTGGGAGGCTATTTTTAAAAGCCCAGAACGGTTTAATCAGTTTTGCATTGCTTTCTATGGGAAAGCGCGCCTTGGTTTAGGAACACTTTGGTTTTGGAACGGACTTCCGGAACGGATTAAGTTTGAGAACCAAGGTGTATAAGTACCACTGTATAAGTGAACCTATCTGTGTTTTCTTTTGTCCTCTCTTTGGGGTGATGCATTTGTGGCCACCCTACATCTGAGAGATGCTAAAAGCGGAAAAGTTGCAACAACAGGTAAACCACCACCCAGTTCACTAGTAATACCTACCTTGGGTCCTGGGTATAAGCAGGAATTCGTTCATGTCAAGGCAGGAAGCTTTGCCTTTGAAATCAGAAATACAGCCCTCAGCAGGGTGGAGGACTCGGGCTGGGGAGAAAGGACGAGAGCAGCTCAGATGCAAGGACATTTCAATTCCAAGATTCGTTACCCTAACCCATGGGTAGGCAAACTAAGGCCCGGGGGCCAGATTTGGCCCAATCGCCTTCTAAATCCGGCCCGCGGACAGTCCAGGAATCAGCGTGTTTTTACATGAGTGGAATGTGTGCTTTTATTTAAAATGCATCTCTGGGTTAGACTTGTCTGAAAGATCAGCGAGCCTCTTCAGCAAAGGATCAACGGTGTCTCTACAAATGTCAGCATAAAAAGGACATCTAAAAAATACCGTATTTTTCGCTCCATAAGACACCCTTTTTTCCTCCTAAAAAGTAAGGTGAAATGTGTGTGCGTCTTATGGAGCGAATGCAGGCGGGAGGCTCTTGCTGGAGCCGTGCTCTCTTTAAAGAGAGCTTGTGTGCGGCACTTGCGGGATTTTCCGCAAGGTGGGAGAAGGGACTGACGGGCTGCCCTCTGTCCTTTCCCCCACCTCCCGGAAAAGCCAGCAAGAGCCGCTGCCAGGCTCTGCTCAGCAATCCCTTGTAAGGGCTCCCTTTCGTCCCTCATCCCGCTTTGCTGGGAAGTCAGCAGAAGAGGCGCTGTGCAGCTATCGCTCTTGCTCTGCTGGCTTCAGCGAGAGCTGCACAGCTTGCTCTGCTGGCTTTTCGGCGAAGTGGGAGGGGGGACGGAAGGGTTTAAAGCAAGAAAGGCAAGAGCCGCTTATATGCTCTGCGCAGAATTTCCCCCCCTTGCTTTCCCCCTCTAAAAACTAGGTGCATCTTATGGTCAGGTGCGTCTTATGGAGCGAAAAATACGGGGTGTGTTTGGGGCTTCCTATTTCCCCTAATGGGCAGGCGCAAAGTCTCTGTGCGTACAGGACTCTTCTATAGGAGACTTCCAGAACCGGTGAGAGCAAGGCTGAACTTCTAGCAAGAGTAAAAGCCCTTCTTGCGTTTCTGGATGCGAGGATATAGAGATATGTTGCTGGAGTGGCTATGTATCTCCCATTTTCTATGTTTTTATAATCGGGGACTCTCATCTCTGGGTTATTTGTAGGGCATAGGAATTTGTTCATTTCTCCCCCCCCAAAAAAATATAGTCCAGCCCCCCACAAGGTCTGAGGGACAGTGGACCGGCCCCCTGCTGAAAAAGTTTGCTGACCCCAGCTCTAACCCAATTAAGCTCCCCAGTTCAGACATCTGTGGATGAGGGACTCACAGTACAGAAGGATCCTCTGGTAGTCTCGGTCTGTTTCCTGGACAATGATGGAGTCGGGGCACTTGCCAGAGAACAGCTCTGTCTTCATGTGAGGGCGGCCTGGAGTGGGGAAGTCGGAGAGAAAGAAACATGTTCATAGGTCAAGAGAGATGGGAGCTGCAGGCTGATGCACAGATTTCCATGGTGCAGCCTTCCCAGGACTATACCACTTCAGAACGCAGGTGAGACAAATAACCCATTTACTCAAGTCGAGGTACATACCAAACAAATTCAAGCAACTGAATGTAGAGGTAAATTGAGGGTGGCGCTGTGGGTTCAACCACAGAGCCTAGGACTTGCTGATCAGAAGGTTGGCGGTTCGAATCCTCGCGACAGGGTGAGCGCCCATTGCTCGGTCCCTGCTCCTGCCAACCTAGCAGTTCGAAAGCACATCAAAGTGCAAGCAGATAAATAGGTACCGCTCTGGCGGGAAGGTAAACGGCATTTCCGTGCGATGCTCTGGTTAGCCAGAAGCGGCTTAGTCATGCTGGCCACATGACCCGGAAGCTGTACGCTGGCTCCCTCGGCCAATAAAGCGAGATGAGCACCGCAACCCCAGAGTCGGCCACGACTGCACCTAATGGTCAGGGGTCCCTTTACCTTTATCAATATCCTGGAAGCCCAACTCACGTTAAGATAGTTCACTTTGCAGGGAGGCAGAGGACGTAGACAGTGAAGCAGGACTGCTCAGTATGGCTACGCACCCTAGTTCCCTGTGGGTAACTGGGGCACGCAGCCAAATGCAGCAGGATTTAATGCCACCCCAGGCCTAGTAAAGGTAAAGGGTTTAACCCACAGTGCCACCCAAATGTAGCAGGATTTAATGCCACCTCAGTCCCAGTAGGGCTATACAAAAACAGAAAACCTCGGGCACAGGGTTCAAACATATTGGGATATACCCAACGTTCAAAACTCCCATTGTTCTAGGTGCATTTTGGATGGAGAATTTCATTAGTGCAAGCAGTTTCTGAGCTCTGGGTGTGGTACTGTGCCTATTAAAACTGCAGAGTGGAAGGAAAGGAGGACCTTTTCCGGCCTCCCCACGTCCAGCTACTCTCTGCAGATTGGAGAAGAGACCCTCTTAAGAATATTAGGGGGATGGGCAGGGGAAGGACTAGACCATGTGAAAATGAATAGAATATTTTAGCGCAGTCCACTCATTTTCAGCTTTGTATTCTTGTTATAAAAAAAGTATGCCTAGACAGTCCGTTGCTGCGCCCATTACCTAGGTTTAAGGTGCCGTTTAGCTCCTAGCTTTCATATCTCATTTGCTAACACTGGCTATACCATGCTATTTTTCTGAACTGGGGCTGGCCCGAGACATTTTGCTGCAGGAAGAGAAGGACAAGATGACACTCTCCTCCCATTACCACACAGAGAAGCTGGCTGGACTTGCAGATTAATCTTAGGTCAACACAGGCAGTGTCTAAACAAAGTTTACCAAACAAACAACTAGTTTTGTTGAGATTGTTGCTACCAAAAACACTTTGTAGGCAGGAGCAACTTTTCCCCCTAAAACATGGGAGGTTGGGGAGCAGCATCTATCAGTTCGTTTAAACTACATTTGATATTTGTCTGGCAGTGCAGTATATCTACACAAAAAATGCACCTATGCTGGATGCATTCTAACACTTCCATTAGATGCAACCCTGGGCTCAAAGAAGAAACCAAAGGGCACTGTGTGCTACTTGGGAGGAGGGTTACTTGACTTGTGCAAGTTGGAGAACAAAGAGCATCAAAGTGGGGCTGCTGTGGTCTCCGTGGGACAGAAACCAAAACCTCTCCACCTAATTGAAATGTGGATTTTTGCTCTTACTGCTTCAGCTCCTGGTCTCTGCTAGGTGACAAATGAATGCTTTATTTTCAGAGGGCGATTGTAAGAAGTTCTCCTTCCACTGTAGAATTTTCTTAAGAGTTTAACTTAATCCCCGTGAACAGGAACGTTACCACTTTCAAAACACAAAAGGACTTGAACAGCAAATAACAAAAAGGACTACTTCGGAAAAACAACAACACGGGCAGTGTCTTCAGCTGCTCCTGAGGTATGCAGTCGGCAGGCCACATGACACACGCAGTCCTGCCCCCTAAACACCTTGCTGCTGCTTCTCCCTACCTGCAACGCTCCTCCCTCTGCCTGCTGAGAGGGCCAGTCCTGTTCTGAGCTCAGCTTTGAGAGTGGGCTTATCAAAGGAGCCATTAGAAAAGGAAGTTCTGCCTTACCTTCTGTAGCCAGATCAGCACTCTGCTCCTTAAGTAAGTAAATCCATGATCTGGGAACACATTGGCCTGTCTTCCTGAGAGAGAGAGAGAGAGAGAGAGAGAGAGAGAGAGAGAGATTGATAGATGGCTAAACAGCCAAATGTAATGGATTCTTTGAGGTAGGTTTGGTAAGGCAGGGCGTCAGAGACAACTGAGAGGCCTTGGGGGGGCCTCTTAACATGTTACCTCTTAATTTATTTTTAAATCCTGCATATTTTGCAATATCACTCCAGCTGACGTAACAATACACTCAATTAAATACCAGGATTTCTCATAGCTACAACATGCATCTTTGGCAAAGTACCCATCTAGATTTTTCCTTGAAAAAAAGTGATTTGGACAGATGGAAGAAAAGGGCTATGGAAGGACAGTGATACGGCTCCCCACCCCCACCCCCACCCCTCACAGAGAAGAAGAAGAAGAAGAAGAAGAAGAAGAAGAAGAAGAAGAAGAAGAAGAAGAATTTATACCCTGCCCATCTGGCTGGGTTTCCCCAGCCACTCTGGGCAGCTTCCAACAAAATATTAAAATACAGTAGTCCATCAAACATTAAAACCTTCCCTAAACAGAGCTGCTTTCAGATGCCTTCTAAAAGTCTGGTAGTTGTTGTTCTCTTTGACATCTGGTGGGAGGGCGTTCGCCACTACCGAGAAGGCCCTCTGCCTGGTTCCCTGTAACTTGGCTTCTCGCGGTGAGGGAATCACCAGAAGGCCCTCGGTACTGGACCTCAGTGTCCAGGCAGAATGATGGGGGTGGAGACGCTCCTTCAGGTATACTGGGCTGAGGCCGTTTAGGGCTTTAAAGGTCAGCACCAACACTTTGAATTGTGCTTGGAAACGTACTGGGAGCCAATGTAGGTCTTTCAAGACCGGTGTTATGTGGCCTCGGCGGCCGCTCCCAATCACCAGTCTAGCTGCTGCTTTCTGGATTAGTTGTAGTTTCCGGGTCACCTTCAAAGGTAGCCCCACATAGAGTGCATTGCAGTAGTCCAAGCGAGAGATAACCAGAGCATGCACCACTCTGGCGAGACAGTCTATGGGCAGGTAGGGTCTCAGCCTGCGTACCAGATGGAGCTGGTAAACAACTGCCCTGGACACAGAATTGACCTGCGCCTCCATGGACAGCTGCGAGTACAGAATGACTCCCAGACTGCGCACCTTCAGGGGCACAGCAGAAGGCATGTGGGCGATGCATGTCCAGAAAACATAGGCGATTAGCCAACAACAGCAAAGCCAGGCATCTCCAGAGTGGCAGTGGGGCCTTGGCAAATGCCCAATGATGCCAACTCCTGGTGTTGGTTCTTCCATTGTAAGCACCAGTGCATGGACCTGGCCTTTTTTGGTGTGACCTCCTCCCAGTATTCTTCTGCAAGGACTGGGGGTGTCTACTGTTATTTTAAAACTTAGGGTGCACACACATTGGGGAAACACACTCCACAGAAAACCAATCTGTCGCCTTTCAAAATTTAGGAAATATTCCCTGAGAAAATTACGCTTCATTTGAGTTCATTTGAGCAATCCCGAAGCCATTTCCTCTCATCTTGGGAAACCTTTTCCAATATTTTCTTTCACTTGCAGACCCTGCAAATCGGTCTGGCAAGTATTTGTTAAAGGCAAAGCAGACCTGTCAAAAGAGAATCTACTGTGTATCAGTAGGTATTTACCATTTGGGAGGAATAGCCCTGACTAGCCAGGAAACAATAGCCAGCAAACATTCTCAGGTACCTTGACAGACAGGAGATGAGTTACACACGCAAATTTCTGTTGTAGACCCACCTCCTTCTGTGATGCTTGTGTGATGCTTTTGGCTGGTTTTTGGCTAAGAGATTGGGCAATTTCTAAAGCCTTTAAAAGTTCTTGTACATCTTGTTCTGGGTCCTTGCCTCCTTGCAAAGCAGGGCGGAGGCACTGTTGCAGCAGAAAAATAAATATCTTCCTTGCTCAGACTGGTTCCTGCTTCCATCCATTTCTCTCTGACTGATAACGCACTTAGGTAAAGGTAAAGGGACCCCTGAACATTAGGTCCAGTCGTGGCCGACTCTGGGGTTGCAGCGCTCATCTCGCTTTATTGGCCGAGGGAGCCGGTGTACAGCTTCCGGGTCATGTGGCCAGCATGACTAAGCCGTTTCTGGCGAACCAGAGCAGCGCACGGAAATGCTGTTTAGCTTCCCGCCGGAGTGGTACCTATTTATCTACTTGCACTTTGATGTGCTTTCGAACTGCTAGGTTGGCATGAGCAGGGACCGAGCAACGGGATTCCATTCTCTGACCGATAACGAACTTAGGGGACACTGAATCCTTTGAGGGGAGTTGGAGTGTAAAAGCCAACTCCAATTTTTTCTACAACACTACCAACTTGGGGGATCCTCTCCTACAAAATCTCTGAACTCCCCCTCCCCTCAAGGTATCCACAGAGCAGGTGGGGAGTCCTACGTAGAGAGTCCCATTTGGATCTTTTGCCTTGTCGAAACATCTCGAGTCCTGTGCTCTGCACATGCTCGAGAAACAGTCTTCTTTGTTATTTCCCTACACCGGCCCTGGAGAGCCTTTGCTCAGCCTGGGTTCCCTGGGAAAGTAGTGTGTTTTGCGGGGAAAGGGTCAAAGGGGAAAAGGAACTCACAGTCGGATGGCAGCTTCCAGTTGCAACCGCTCTGGGCTGCTGGTTTGTGTCATGCTGAAGATGCTGCTGTCAGTGCTGGCGAACGTCTCCAGTGAGGAAGGTGATGCCGCGGCTGCTGCAGTGAAGAACCACCTGCCGATATACTGCAAAGGGGAGAATTGAGTCACACCTGGGGACAAAGCAGGGCCAGCACACCCATGAGGCAAGGTGAGGCAGCTGCCTCAGGTAGCAGGATCCACAGGAGCAGCAGATTCAGCCTCAAAGAAATGAGTCACCTGCTTCTTCTGCAGTGACATGACCTTTAATTCTCACTTCAACCATTGGATAAGGTTGGTTTGATTCCCACACCTTGTTTTCAGTACAGTGGTACCTCGGGTTACAGGCGCTATAGGTTACAGACGCTTCAGGTTACAGACGCCGCTAACCCAAAAACTTGGCTTCAGGATGAGAATAGAAATCATGCGATGGTGGCAGCGGGAGGCCCCATTAGCTAAAGTGGTACCTCAGGTTAAGAACAGTTTCAGGTTAAGAACAGACCTCCAGAACGAATTAAGTTCTTAAATAATAATAATAATAATAATAATTTATTATTTATACCCCACCCATCTGGTTGGGCTTCCCCAGCCACTCTGGGCAGCTTCCAAAAAAATATTAAAATACTGTAATATATCAAACATTAAAAGCTTCCCTAAACAGGGCTGCCTTCAGATGTTCTTAACCCGAGGTACCACTGTATAGATCTTTACTTTTCCCTTGTTCCCAAAGTAGAAATTAATTTCTCCCTTTTTCCTGGTGTAGACCTTCACTCATCCCTTCTTCCCTGGCTGCAGGTGGGGCCACATTTTGTGGTTCGCCTCAGATGTCTTGGCCTTAGGCCAAACTACATGTTACATGCAAAAACTGAGTCTTTTAACTTGGATGGCTCTTTCCCAAGGTATTCCCAACCTTCTTTGGCCCAGGGCACATTTCAAAACCTGATAATGTATAACGAGCACCACAAAATACCCATTTCACAGAAGAAGAAAATGGTGATGCTAAGAACCCCCACCTACATGGCCATGGCCACTGTTAGTCCTACTCAGAGGAGAGCCATTAAAATAGGGTTGCCATATTTCAAAAAGTGAAAATCTGGATACAAAAGTTGTTGAGCTCCCCACCCCCCCAATGACGTTTTTTAGCTATTTTTTAAAAAGGAAATTTGGCAAAAAATCAACACTTCCGAGATGGGTTGCCATACGCCTGGTTCTTCCCGAACATTTTACTGATTTTCAGAAATTCCGTCTGGACAAATCTCAGATATGTCCGGGAAATTCTGGACATATGACAGCCTTACATTAAAATTAATGGCTATGCCTAACTTAGGCACATTAATTTCAATGGGTCTACTCTGAGTAAAAGTTAGTCCAGATCATAAATGCAGGAAACAGCCACTTCGCAAACAAAGCCCCAAAGGCTCCCTTCCAAAAAACCTGATTAAAATAATTAAAAAGCAGAAGGACAGGGGGTAGAATTAAGCATGACACTCATTGATGTATGTGTGTACAGAATGAGGTCTGCTTGCACAATGAGACTTTCTCCCCCTTTCCACCTCCTGCGAGACCCCTGAAACCAGTGGAAGTCTCAACTTTCAGCAGCAATGCCTAAATTCGCCACCCCCACCTCTTGCCTTCCATCCTACACAATAGTTGCAGTGCCCGAGGCTCCGCACCAGCACAACCAAAGCTGATGCACTCCCTTAAATCCGCCTCTGATAAACCTCCTCTGGGTCTCCCCCAGGGGCAGGAGTTGTGCCCTGCTTGCGTGCTTTCCAGGTGGCACCAATGAGAAACAAGAAGGCACAGACTAGATCAGGGAACGGGATCCTGCGTGGCTCTCCAGATGTAGCTGGACTACAGCTCCCATCATCCCTCACCATTGGCCTTGCTGGCTGGGGCTGATGGGAGTTGGGAGTCGGAACAGCAGGGCCACAGTTTCCCCATCCCTTCACTAGATGGATCTTTTATCCGTTCCAGCATGCTTTTCCTCAGGTTCTTAATTTTCATTTGGATACTTTGCTTTCATTGTTCAAAAAAAAATGCACCTGCTACTAGGGGGGCAATAAAAAAATACAGTGGTACCTTGGTTCTCGAACATAATCCGTTCCGGAAGTCCATTCAACTCCCGAAACGTTCGAAAAGCAAAGCGCGGCTTCCGATTGGCATAAGAGCCCCAGAAACAATAGCTGATAGCCGCATCAGACCTTTGGGTTCTGAAAAATGTTTGAAAACTGGAACACTTACTTCCAGGTTTTCGGCATTCGGGAGCCGAAATGTTTGAGTACCAAGGCATTCGAGAACCAAGATTCCACTGTGATGGAAAAATAATAGTAGGATCAATAGTGATAATAATAATGTGCATTTCGCTCCCCACCCCCCAAATGCTGGATGAAGGTCTCTTCGTTCTTCAAGGGTTCTACCTGCTTGAACACAGAAGCATTTTAATAATAATAATAATAATAATAATTTATTATTTATACCCCACCCATCTGGCTGAGTTTCCCCAGCCACTCTGAGCGGCTCCCAATTGAGTGTTAAAAACAATATAGCATTAAATATTAAAAACTTCCCTAAACTGGGCTGCCTTCAGATGTCTTTTAAAGATAGGATAGCTGCTTATTTCCTTCACATCTGAAGGGAGGGCGTTCCACAGGGCGGGCGCCACCACTGAGAAGGCCCTCTGTCTGGTTCCCTGTAACCTTACTTCTCGCAATGAGGGAACCACCAGAAGGCCCTCAGGGCTGGATCTCAGTGTCCGGGCTGAACGATGGGGGTGGAGACGCTCCTTCAGGACATTTAAGAGGCTTCCACCTGCCGTCAACCCCAGCTGCCCTCCATCGGCTTCAACTACCTGATCTCGGTTCAGCTCGCTGGCATGCAGCTTCGTGGGACCCTCACACAAGGAGAGAGCGTCCACAAGGACCCCGTAGAAGTAGAAGAGATAGCACCACAGACCCTCCATTGCAGGAATGGCAGGCAACTCACTTGGAGAATCCACCTCTGCAGGGAACATCCTGCAAGGCTCACCTTTGCCCCCTGCCTGTTAAATGTTTAGCTCTCTGGGGTCTAGAGTCCAGCCTGGGCTGCCCTGTGCCTCACAGCAGAGGCAGAGATTGAAATCCAGAAAGACCCTACCAAGCATAACCGGGGGCCCTGAGAGCAAACAAAGGAAGCAGTGTTTCTGATGATGGGGATGTTATTGCGGGAAAACAGAGATAATCATTACCCGATGGAATGCCTCTTCCCATATCTCCCTTTGTGTGGTCCCAACAGCAGGGGTGGCCTGTTACAGGGTGAAGCAGGAGAAGGTCTTCTCTGTGGTAGCCCCCCATTTGTGGAACTCCCTCTTTCCCTGACTTTTTTTTTAGATGGCAGTTTAAACACATATTTTCACATAGCAGTTTGGGAATAGGTCTGTAAGTGGGCAGAGGAATTCAAATGCTCGCTGCTGATTTCTTGTCTTGGTCCGATGAGGATTAATTAATTGTTTCATTTTTTTATACTGTGTTTACTACTCTGAAGAGTAGTCTATAATTATAGCCAAGTAAGCACATATTTGATATCAAATAGGGATTTTCTCTAGATTAATTTGGCCACTCCAGTGACCCTGTTAAATTTCACTGATTTGAAAGGGAGGTTGGTTTTCTCCTGCTGTGTGCAGTTCGATCCACAAATATAGCTAGCCAGTTAATATCAGGTGCATTTTAGCTTGTCTTCCCCTAACTGCCTGTGGGACACGGGTGGCGCTGTGGGTTAAACCACAGAGCCTAGGACTTGCAGATCAGAAGGTCAGCGGTTCAAATCCCCGTGACGGGGTGAGCTCCCGTTGCTCGGTCCCTGCTCCTGCCAACCTAGTGGTTCGAAAGCACGTCAAAGTGCAAGTAGATAAATAGGTACAGCTCCGGAGGGAAGGCAAACGGCGTTTCCGTGTGCTGCTCTGGTTCGCCAGAAGCGGCTTAGTCATGCTGGCCACATGACCTGGAAGCTGTACGCCAGCTCCCTTGGCCAGTAAAGCGAGATGAGCGCCGCAACCCCAGAGTCGGCCACGACTGGATCTAATGGTCAGGGATCCCTTTACCTTTACCTTTTACCCCTGCCTGCCTGCTCAGTTTCTGAGCTCATGAATCCTCTGCCTCCCAAGCACCCTTGTCCTTCTGCTCTTTTTTTTGCCAACCGTACAGTATAATTAATATGCCCCGAGGGTTCCTATGCATTAAGCACAATAAGCGATGAGACCAACAAATGTGAATAACGTAATGGACTCCAAAGAACAAACATGTAAAAAAAATGACTGAATAGTAACACTGCAGAACAACCAGCTATAGATCCTTTTCGACCTTCCATCTTTTTCAAATATGTCCTAGTCAGTCCTAAGTTCCCGAGAAATGTTTTCCAAACAGTCTCCTTTGGGGAATGTGTCCATATAATTCCTCTTGTGCATCGGTGGCTGATAAGAATTCTGTTAGCTAAGCTATTTTCTCTCTGGAAAGTTTTAAAACTCCTCCTGAATGTTAATAATGGGGCAGCCAGATACATTTCATCAGAAAGGGTATTCCACAAATAGGGAAAGGTCACCATCAACCGGGAATATATATGGTCCTATTCAGAGATACAGTGGTACCTCGGGTTACATACGCTTCAGGTTACAGACTCCGCTAACCCAGAAATAGTGCTTCAGGTTAAGAACTTTGCTTCAGGATGAGCAGAAATCGTGCTCCGGCGGCGCGGCAGCAGCAGGAGGCCCCATTAGCTAAAGTGGTGCTTCAGGTTAAGAACAGTTTCAGGTTAAGTACGGACCTCCGGAACGAATCAAGTACTTAACACGAGGTACTACTGTACAGTCATACCTCGGGTTAAATATGGTTCAGGTTGAGCGTTTTCAGGTTACGCTCTGCGGCAACCCGGGAGTAATGGAGTGCGATACTTCCAGGTTTCGCCGCTCGTGCATGCACAGATGCTCAAAATGACGTCATGCACATGCGTGGAAGCGGCAAAACGTGACCCACGCACGCGTAGACGCGCCGTCGCGTCTTACGTTCTATTCAGGATGCGAACGGGGTTAAAGGACCGATCCCGTTTGCATCCTGAGGTACCACTGTATATTGTTCTGCAATACAAAGATGGCTCAATATATTATGCTGCCTGAGGCAAAGGACAAGACGATGCCTGTCCCTTCATGTACAAAGTTAGAAACACGGCAACATCCTCCACAGCACTTGAGGGTAGCAGACAAGCTTAGTGCAGGCTACATTACACATACAGTGGTACCTTGGGTTACATACGATTCAGGTTACAGACTCCACTAACCCAGAAATAGTGCTTCAGGTTAAGAACTTTGCTTCAGGATGAGAACAGAAATTGTGCTCCGGCGGTATGGCGGCAGCGGGAGGCCCCATTAGCTAAAGTGGTGCTTCAGGTTAAGAACAGTTTCAGGTTAAGAACGGACCTCCGGAACGAATTAAGTACTTAACCCGAGGTACCACTGTACAGATGTATTACAACATGTAGCTGCTTCCTGCATCTGCCACCTCAGGGCCTAATGAGTTTCAGGCTGTAAACTGAGGGTACATATTGACTCAGTGTATCATGACATGAGAACAGCTCAGCCAATAGCAAGGGTGGGTGGATTTAAAATGTGATTGACAGGCAGCACCCAGGCCTTGCTGTGGGAAACAGTGTAGACCAGATTGCACTGGCAAAAACTGGCAGTGATTTGGAGAGAATATGGGCTGTGCCTCATAAGTTATTACTTGTTATTCAAATTTATTTATTTGGGTTTCATCCCATGTACATTTCAAATCTGAGTACAGCAAGTGTTGAGGTCAAGCCTTATTAATACACACACACACACACACACACACACACAGAAACCATGTTTACAGCTGCAAACTTTGCTCCATTCTTCAGTGATTGAGAGCAGAAAGTGGCTAAGGGCTGCCTAATAATAATATTTAATAATTATTCTTGTATTAGTTGTCCAAGGCAGGTAAGTTTCTAGGCGACTTAGGAAGTTTATGCAAAACTTTTTTTAGCCTTCAGTATGTTTCACGTACATTATATTGTAATTCTTACCACAACCCTGTAAGGTAGATCATTTTTGTCTCTATATTGCAAATGGGGTGCTGAGAGAATAGATGTCTGTCTTAGCGCCCCCCGCCTTGAGTTGGTGGCTGATGGGAACTGAGGGATTGCTCATTTGTAGACCAGATCCCGTCATTACATGCATACATACAGACATCCTAATCTTACACGACTGGGAGAAATACCGGTGTAACTTTTCATAGCATACAAATGCGGAGAACCTCATTTGTTGAAAACAGCTGTTGAAGCCTGCATGGGGGAAGGAAGAGAGAGGTGTTTTTGCAATATTATATATATATATATATATATATATATAAGTAGATTTTCTTTTTAACCAAAAGTCCTGTTTAGGGGACACTGCCTCAGGCTGGGTGGGGATCCCTATACTTTTTTTTTAAAAAAATATTTATTTATTTATTTAATTAAAACAGTTTTAGTGACGGTGACAACTAAATCAGTTTCAAATTTGCAATACGACTATTAAAAACAAGGTAGGCATGCCACAACTAGCCAACTGAAGGCATGGATGCTGTCAGAAGATTTCCTCAAATGCCTGGGCACATAACCAGGTCTTCAGGAAACTGTATCCTAGAGGGGAGTTCCAAAACTGGGGCACCACCACCGAGAAGCCCCCCCCCCCCAAATTGCCTCAGCTAAAGATGATGCCTCCAAGAGAGCCTCCCCTAAAGACATTCATCTTATCCCAATGACAAAGGATATTGGTGCTTTCCATTGGTTATTATGGGATAATATGCAAGGACTGCCTGTGTGCGCGCCCCATATTTTGGACTTCCTACATTCACACACAGGAGAATTCCAATCATATCTAGGCAGAAGTAATTCCCAAGTGAATTTAACGAGGCTTGCTCCTGGGTAAATGGGATTTTGTTCAGGTCGGATACTGTTGCTAGGAAACAAGGTAAACAAAAATGGCGGCGACAGGATTGGTTTTCGGGTTACAAGGGGAGCATGCCCTAAACAAACATGGCGGACAACGCAGCTTTCCCGTGCCTGTAACCAACATGGCGGGCAAACTGGCTTCACCAAAGGGTGTTTGTCGTGCGCCAACATCAAACTCCGCAGCGCGCTTCACTTCCTTTTGAGTTACCTTTCACGGCCGGGCGCTTGATGAGGCGGAAGTTGCGTCATAAGGGTAACGTAATGACGTCAGGAGAGCAGGGCGCAGGTGTGAGTTTATTAAGCTCCTCCCACTTCGCTCTTTTAAGCATTTATTTGGGAGCAATAAAGCCTCCGTTCGGATACGGGGAATTGTTTTAAAGCACATCCCGACCCAAATTATGGAATGAGGGAACCAGACCCGTGAAGGCGGTCATGGAGTCCGCTTGCAAGTAAAGCGAAGCAGGCACTCTTGATAGCCAGCTATACGCCGGGAACGGAAGAGCGAGACGTAAATAGTCCTGTTGGGCCGCTCGCGCATGCGTTGTAGCGAGTAGCCGGGGAACGCGACGGCGCAGGAGGAAGGAGACGCTCCAGGCGCGAGGCCGGCGGCGGTTTCGTCACCAACGGCCGCTTCAGAGCTTTGTAGAGCCGGAGGGGTGCGGGGGAGGCAGAAAGGAATTTCGTGAGAAGGGACAAGAAGCGGGAAGATTCCGGTAATCCCGTAGACCGCCCCCCTCCGTTCCCTCTGGTCGCCGAGGGAAGCGGAAGTGCCGCCATCTTGGGAGAGAGGCAAGTGAGTTGCGTAGAGCTAGAAAGGGTAGAGCTATATAGAAGCTGCGGCAAAAAGCCTTCGCGTAATGGCGTTGCTTAGCCACTCGGCATCTCTGTTCTGACGGCGCCTGTATCATTACTATTATTTGCGTAAGAGTGAAAAGCCGGGTCATTAATTTAGAGACGATCGTGGCGGGGGGCGGGGCTCGTTTTCATTCCTTCCGCCATTCCTATCTCTATGGTGCGTCAGTGGCTCGACTTCTGGACGGTCGTTTGTTTGACCGGAAGTGTCCTTGCATTTGAGCGGAAGTAGGATTTTTGTGCTGGAATTGGCTCCCTCTCGGACGTGAAGCGGAAAGGACGGAGGGCAGGTTTGAAAAATAAATCTGTGGTTCAGCGTGTGTGTGTGTGTGTGTATCTATATATATATAGAGAGAGAGAGAGGGGGGGCGATGAGGAGGAAAAAGAAGAAGGGAGGATGTTTCTGCTTCCTATGGCTGGCAAGCTCTGGGTGGTGGCACGAGGATACATAGTTGCCAGGTCTCCTGAGGACCAGATCCTGCGACCTGCATGTGTTTGGATCCTTGGGGCTGTGAGGTGAAGCAAGGGATAGTTCTGTGAGGATAGACTCCGTTGATGTAGGTTCCGTCGCAAGCTAATGGAGAAAAGGCACTCAAGCCAGGTAGAAATCAGCCTGGTTTCTTGAACCAGGCTCCTTTCTCTGCGACGTCACACAGTCCTCTGAGAAAGGTGACCAAGAAACTTCAGGTCAAGCCCTGAGATCTGACATCTCTTTCAGCTTATTGTGCTGGTGTATGTAACCAAGGGATGGTGGGGAGAGGTTTTGCTGCAGCGAGGCTTTCCCTGTAAGTGGCTGGATCACATGCTCTGCTCTTGCTTTCCTTTGCTAACTGTGGTATCAGCTGGTGGCGTTCCAGGTTCCCTTTGTAAATTGCCTTGTACATGCCACAGCCCAGCACCTTTTGAAAGAAGGTGACTGGTTTGGGTTTGGCTCCCCAGCTAGTAGTTACAAGAACTTTGTAACTTTTAGGAGCAAAGACTGCCAGGTTTCATGAGCCTGAAAGTGAATAAAAGTTGAAGGTAGGCATATTGGGGTGAGCAAGTAACCAATGCTTTGTAAGCTTCTTTGGGAGATGGATGAAAATGCTTAAATAAATAAAATAGCGGCTACTCGTGTTCAAGTTGTAGGAGAGACTTGCCAATTTCTGTTTTGTACCCTGGAGGGCAGTTAGCAGTTTTGTTATCCATCTTTGGTTGGGGGCGATGGATAAAATTAAGTTCCTAAATTAAACTTCTGCTTGTTTAGAAAATGCTGTTTTTAATGCATGTTACTTATCTTTAACCCTAATTACTTTGTGAGCCTATTGACAACAAAACATCTCTCTTGGAAAGCTTGCTGTAACATGCTCTGAGTCCACATGATAGAATATGCATAAGTCTGATAAATAAAACAGCTCAGGGAGGTAGAGATGATGTGAGGAAAGGTCATAGTTCTTTTTCCAGGCTCTCAGGATAAGTTAAGAGACTGTGACTTGCACTATTGTTATTATTTGATTTTTTACCTTTACCATGAGGTCCCAATTTAAAAATACATTAAAATAGTTAATACAGATTACAATCATGAGAATAGGGTTGGTCCTAAAATATTTATCTTAGGTGCACATAAGGCTATGCACATAATACTGTGCAATGATCTTCATGGCTGAGCAGGGATTTGAATCTAATCCTTCCTGGAAGAGGGATTGTTGCTTGTGAGATGCTTTGTAAATGGTACAGAAAGGAAAGCGAAATGCTAAAGGAGCCTGAGTGGGAAACATTATCAGTCTTTGGAAACCCAAAGTTAGCACCATGTTAGGCAGAACCAAGGTTGAACACCCCCAATCCTAGTCATGTTTATACAGCAGCAAGGCCATTGATTTCAATGTACTTCCAAATGGATGTGCTTAGTTGCAGTCTGCATTTGCTGTTTTTTTTAATATTGTGGTCAATGGGTTTCTTACGCTTCCTCATAGGAATTCATAACATTTCTTGTTTCTTTGGATGAAGGACGGTATGGAAATTTTATAAACACGTAAAAAGTTAGAATTTCTTCCAGACAAGGAACCAAATTGATGTGTTCTTTCTTTTAGGTCACAAATGTCAAACATACCCATATGTAGACTGGTGGGTTGGTAGCATTGTGGACTCCTGTAAAGCTTGTACAGGTGTTAGTTGTACCCCCTGCCTCCTAAAGAAGAGAGATGTACTTTCTGCACAGTCTTGTACATGTTAACACAGTGGAACCTAGCGCAGGAGGGCTAGAAACACACTGCAACTTTTGAGGGACATTTCTTCCTTTTCAGTCCCAAGGCATGCAATAAAACAGGCTTCTTCAACCTCAGCCCCTCCAGATGTTTTGAGACTACAATTCCCATCATCCCTGACCACTGGTCCTGCTAGCTGGGGATCATGGGAGTTGTAGGCCGAGGTTGAGGAAGCCTGCAATAAAACCTGAGAGTGGTTAATGCTTGTCCAGCTTGGAATTTTGCACTTTATACTTTATATGTCGTTCCACGTGCTATTGTTGCAGAGAATGCAAGTGATGATAATGTTTTGGTAGACATGGAAACAAAATACTTAGAACGCAGAGTGCACATACCTTTTGTTTTAAGCCAGTCAAGACATATGTATCAGTAATAAGTAAACCAGTAGGGGTGAGCGGTGTCACAAAAGGAAGGGGAAAGGCAACAGAACATACAGATTCCTTGTGGTATAAACATTTGCAGACTAGAGCCCAGCTAATCAGAGCCATGAAGGGTTATCCTTGGAAAGGGAGATATGCATACGTGGGTGTACAGGCAAAAGTATTTGGTCTGACATTTTGTATGTGTGTGCAAAGTTCAAATGTAGCACAAAGAAGAGCAAGCAGAGCTTTGCTTAGAAATGCTAGAGGCTCTACTTCTTGCTGTCTGCCAGTTAAGGGTATGCTATACAGTGGTACCTTGGGTTACATATGGTACTGGTTACCGACTCCACTAACCCAGAAATATTACCTCGGGGCAGCAGGAGGCCCCATTAGCTAAAGTGGTGCTTCAGGTTAAGAACAGTTTCAGGTTAAGAATGGACCTCAGGAACGAATTAAGTACTTAACCAGAGGTACCACTGTATATGTGACAAAATGACATTTGTCCCTTGGTTCTCAAACTCCCTACCCCATGGACCACTTGAAAATTGCTGAGGGTCTTGATGGACCACTTAATGGTTGTAGCAGTTGTAATACACTGCTAGATGCTGAGAGATTTTTAATCGTATTTTTATTGCTTCTTTTATTTCCATTGTCTTTGAAATCACTTTATGTTCTTTTCTTTACATATAAACTGTACTATTGCGCATACAGTGGTGCCCCGCAAGACGAATGCCTCGCAAGACGGAAAAACCGCTAGACGAAAGGGTTTTCCGTTTTGAAGTTGCTTCGCAGGACGAATTCCCCTATGGGCTTGCTTCGCAAGACGAAAATACCTTGCGAGTCTAGAGATTTTTTTTCCGCTTTCCCCCCCCCTTTATCTAATCTGCTAAGCCTTTAATAGCCTTTAATAGCCTTTTAGCAGCTAATCCCCTAAGCCTTTAAGCCTTTAATAGCCGCTAAACAGCTGATAGCGCTAATAGCGCTAATCCGTCAATGGGCTTGCTTCGCAAGACGAAAAAACCGCTAGACGAAGACTCTTGCGGAACGGATTAATTTCGTCTTGCGAGGCACCACTGTACTTAAAGCTGTACTCTTTAATGTTATATAGCCAGCATTGTTCTTTGTGAATATTTTTGTATATTACCTTTTTTTAAAAAAAAACACCCAACAGCTGAAGATCTATTCGGGAAAGCCACCCCTTCCTAAGTCTATTTTGTTTCTGATGCCTTCACAATTGTACTTCTTTGGTTACAGTGGCCAAGAATCAGATTGCTATGTTTCCCCTTCTTGCAGGAGTAGCTAAGGAAGAATTTGAGGCGGCGTCATGGCGGAACCAGAGAACCTTGAGGTGATGGTTAAAACCTTGGACTCTCAGACAAGGACTTTCACAGTGGAAGAAGAGGTGAGAAGGCCTTAGCCGGGGTTGCAGCCAGAAGGTGGGAGGGTAGTGAGGGGTAACTACAGTGGTACCTCTTGTTACAGACGCTTCAGGTTACAGACTCCACTAACCCAGAAATAGTGCTTCAGATTAAGAACTTTGCTTCAGGATGAGAACAGAAATCGCGCGGTGGCAGCAGGAGGCCCCATTAGCTAAAGTGGTACCTCAGGTTAAGAACAGTTTAGGTTAAGAACGGACCTCCAGAATGAATTAAGTTCTTAACCTGAGGTACCACAGTACTAGGTTTTGGGTTCTGTCTGTTGAATCCATATATCGCTCGCTCCCTGCTAGAAAAAGCCTTGAAGCGATTCGCAATCACAATAAAAGCGCGTGGCATTTTGAAACAGAGGCAAACTCAGTCCTTCTGCACGAAAATCTGCTCGAAGTTACCTCCGACGCCCATTTAAGTTGTGTCATTTAGGGGAGCAAAGTCATAGAATTGGAATCAGGTGGAGAACGGACCTCCAGAATGAATTAAGTTCTTAACCTGAGGTACCACTGTATTAAGGTGCTCTGGTGTAACTGTGGCAGGACATTTGTATCTACTGGGTGGTGGGGTCAGGAGGGCTCATGCCTTGGAGGAACAACTAAGGATCCCTAGGCCCAGTTGCTGACCCAGATGGCAGGGGCTGGTAGGTGGGAAAACACTAGCCAGGAGGCCTCTGGAAAATTAAAAAGAGGGGTGTAGATAGTCTGGCATTGTCCAGCTGTTGTCACACATGCAGTGTGGCGAAAAATCCTGTCTCGTTCAACCCACAAGCGATGGCATCAAACTTTTTGATTAATTTTTAGCGACCCATTTCACATTGCATTCTTCCTTTCCAAAATGGCCATCTCAAGCTCAGTTCCAGTAGTTTTTATCCTGTGACCGGGCCATATCCAATGCCACAGCACTGCTGGTGCAACTGGTTTCCATGAGCACAGCAGAAGTTCTTCTGCTGTCTCCTCCAGCCCCTTGCACATCTTCATAATCAGCTGTGGGGGACCGGGGTATCCTCTGCAGCTGATTTTGGGGGGGGGTGCATATAGGGGAGAACGAGCACAAGTCCTGTTGCTCCTGTGGAACTCTGCTGGTATAGCGTTGAATCATTTAGGGGTTTTTTTGGCCACTGTCACTCATGTAGTAACACTGTGTTAGTACAGTGGTACCTCGGGTTTCATACGCTTCAGGTTACAGACTCCGCTAACGTAGAAATAGTACCTCAGGTTAAGAACTTTGCTTCAGGATGAGAACAGAAATCGTGCTCCAGTGGCAGCGGGAGGCCCCATTAGCTAAAGTGGTACCTCAGGTTAAGAACAGTTTCAGGTTAAGAACGGACCTCTGGAATGAATTAAGTACATAACCAGAGGTACCACTGTACTGTACAGAAGTTGTACACTCTCTGGAGGGTTTGTTATTTATTTGACTAATACTGACATGGAGCAGAGGCCTAGGACTGATGAGCAGTGGGGGGTGGAGGGTTGCCCTGCTACGTCTTCTCAGTGCAATTGTTTCTGCTTTGTAGATCACAGTGAAGGAGTTTAAGGAGCACATTGCAGGTTCAGTCAGCATCCCCTCGGAAAAGCAGCGCCTCATCTATCAAGGGAGAGTCCTTCAGGATGACAAGAAGTTGAAAGAATACAGTGAGTGGGGGTTTGAGGAGGGTGGGCCTGAGGAGTTCTTGCCTGGGGCGGGGAGGGGGGCATGGATAAAATGTTAAGTTGTGAGGGACGCTGAAAAGTGCTGGTTCCTGCCGTCCTTACTCAGAAAAGGCCCTTGAGCAAGCTCAGCATTGAATAGGAACGTTGTATAATTTCCTTGTTTCATAATTACTTCTGAGGGCTCTCATAATTGCTGGCTGATCTAGTGTGTGCTGCTGTTAGTCACACTGTGAGCATTGAGCCCCAAAATTTAAAAAGAAACACATGTAAAACTGCCTGAGGAGGCTGCAATTTTTAAACAGCGAAGGAGGTGCTTAGCTGTTTTCCCTCTCAATACCTGCTCCCGTGCTTTGTTATTGCTGTTGTTTTGCCTAGCAGGTTTCCATGCATGTTTTTGTCTTCGTAAACACGCATCTGAAATGTGGGCCTGGATGAGGGCAGAACAGTCTGAGAGATAATGACAAGCAGAAAACGACTGGCAGAAGAGAGGGTTAGGCACCCTCGCTGCCACTTCTCTGCTTAAAATACATCCAGTGAAAGTTCATTTTAAAAAGGGAACTGTCTGGGCTTTTCCTATGTACATTTCCCCATAATGTGCGTCTTTACCCCTAAAGAGAGCTGCTTCTCAAAGAGCGTATGCCAGCCGAAGGCCCATTCTGATATTCCTTTTTGAAACCCAAGACCCGCTCTTTGACTCCTCAGCTTTGGAGGTTTGCCGGGAGGATAAAAGGCGGTTGTCCTTTTGACCAAAACCTTCACGCTTGTCCCCTCTTCCCTGCCAGATGTCGGGGGCAAAGTCATCCACCTGGTGGAGCGTGCGCCTCCTCAGACACAGTCGCCCTCCTTGGGGGGCCCTTCCGGAGCCGGCTCGTCCTCCGTCCCTCACAACGGAGCAGGCCCCCGGGTGACGGGCCCAACTGTGCACGACCGCAATGCCAACAGCTACGTCATGGTGGGAACCTTCAACTTACCAGTAAGCATTATGGACCCGCAGCCACCCACGCAAGTGAGTTTTAGCCAGAGGGTGCTGCACTGCAGGGGAAGGGGGAGTGTTGTGCCTCCCCGTAATGCTTTTAGTGCTTCTCTCCCCCCCCCCCACAATAAAAAGGGGAGGAATTTGCTGGTGTTAACGCTACGTGGAGAGGGGGGCAAACACGGTGGTGGGGGCTTAGTAGCTGGGTGCTCTTGCATGCAGTCAGTGGCAGAGGGCGCTGAGCTGTCCTTCTTAACCCCAGACACTTTGTGATGCAGCAGGAGGGAATGAATGCATCCTTCTGCCTGGTCCTCTTGCCCTTTTGCAAGCAGCTGATGAGGGAGGGGGCAAGGGACAGGATCAGCAAGGGAACCGCTTAGAGTAGCCATGGCAACATTTTCTCCTGCTGCTTGGGAGAGACCTCTAAAGGTCTGGTATTCGGAATGAGAAGCGGCGACCTTACCTATACGTCTCTACAGGGTCTCATCGGGGGCAAATACCTATCTGGCTTTGCACCTTTCATTGTATTCCCACAGCAGCTGACTTGTTGGCTTTTGTGGGCAGCATGCATGACCTTAGTTGGACTTGCAGGGGACGTAGGGAGGGTGGTGGTTTTGGCCAGTGGTGGCAGGATAGTGGCCACCCATGAAGCAAGGCAAGGGCCACTTCTGAAATTACGCGTGCTTGTTAGTGCACTTCAAACGGTGGTGTGCTGGCCGGCTGGCGAATGAGGTCTTTCAAAATGATTTATAACTTGGATTGGTGCCTCACAGCATGGTCCTAAGCTTCAGAAGCACTCCCTTTTGAGGCTTACTTCCAGGTAAGTGTGCACTGGATTGCAGCCCAAGTACATGCCTGCCTGCCTTTCAGAACATGCACACAAACACACGTATAGGGATGAACCAGTTTTGGTCAGGCTTGCATCTGCTTCCCTCTGACCGTCTTTGTGCAGCTTGGGATAACGCTGCAGCTTGCAGAACTCAAGAACCCAGAGAATGCCGACCATGCGCTTTTGCCCCCAGGTTCAGCTCCCTGAGAATCCCAGTTTCCTTCTTAACAAAACACACATTTCTAGCACTTAGGGCTGTGACAGTTAAGCTTAAAAGCGCCTGGTGAACTCTGAGAAGCCAAGGGGCAGCGGAATCAGATGGTCAGTTTGCAGGCAGGGTTTGGTTGGTGTTCTCCAGACCTCGGTGCTGGTTCCTGTGCCTAGCAAAGAAAGTCACGATTTCCAGTGCCTGCTTTCTGTGGTGCAGAATCTGGATTGCCGGGGCAGAGCACTAATTTTAGCACATGGAGGCTTGGAAGTAATGTTTGAATATGGTTTAGCAGTGTGTCTTGACCAAGTTTGTCTCGTGAAAAATCAGACTCCAGTCTCGGTGCAGCCAGCACTATGGGGCAGTATCTTTCAAGTGCTGTGTAATGTCAGAAGAGACCCTGAGGGCTGGGGGGGGAAGCCGTGGTTTGATGGTGGTATTGTTTTCTCCTGGATTTCCTTGCCTTTCTTTCTGCTCCATTTTGTTATTTCTCTCTTCTCTTCCATCCTCTTCCCCCCCTCCCGCTCCTATATTTTTTGTTTCTTTCTTTAATTTCCTCCCCCTCTGTCTCTTCCTTTTCTCTCCCCCCAACCCCGCTTCCCAAAGAGCGATGGATCGTCTGTGGATGTTCATATAAATATGGACCAGGCTCCCATACAGGTACAAGTGGGGTGGGAAGACGGGGACTTACTGACTTAAGGTTGTACATATTCTGTCGGGGGTGTGTGTGTGTGCAAGTGTGTGTTTGCGTAACAACAATGATTTATTTCAGTAGCATCTTGGTGATGTTTGATTTTTGGGGGGGGGGTTTAATTTTCCATGAAGAGAACTGCTGGTGATGTAAATTGATTTGTCCATTTTTATAACTAATTTTGGTTCCTTCCCAAAATTTTTGGGAGTCCTAAATTGTTGTTTGGGTTCACGCTTTGACGGTTGGTGCGATGCAGCTGTGACCTGGTCAGTTGACAGCCGGCCTCTTATTTCACCGTAGCCAAATATTATGATTTCAAGACTGCCCTTGTGTAAGTGGCAAGCTACCTATAGATCTAGACATTGCTGCCCTAGGTGGCTAGGCTGAGGGCAAAGGTGCCAGGAAGCAGTCCAGGCTTTGAACAAGGATAGGATCCTTAATAAAGGATAGGCTTTGCTGGGGGCACTTTGTTCTAAACTTTTTTTTTTTTTTTGGAAGACTTCTTCCCCATTGAAACATTGGAACTCTGGTCTGGGGCTAATCCTTAGATGCCAGAATTTTTATGAACAGAGGATGTCACCTCTGCTCAGCATCTCACAAGAGCCCAGCAGGACTTCAGAGCATGACTCTTGCTAAATTCATGTTTGAAATCTGTGGTTCTTACTTCACTAGTCATGAGACAGTCTGGGGCTTCCTCTATCAGGGATATTTTCCTGTGTGAAGGCCATTCAGCTGCCTGGCTCCCACCATCTGTTTTCGCTAGACGCTTCCACTGGCAGCACATCCAAAGGGTGGTGTCCTAAATCTGTGGGTTCAGTGTTCTTGGCAGCCCGTTTGTGGTGACTCCCAGGAGAATCCCAAAATGAACTTCCGAGGGCATTCTAAGTCTTTAAATATTGCTGTTACCAAAACAACAACAACAACCCGTGCCTAAAATCTGCATAATGCTACTGAAACTACTGGGTGCCTGTCGCTGTCGTTCGGACCATGAAGTTAAAACTCCAACAAAAAGAAGTAAAGCATGAACGGTCATGAATTGCTTCCGTGTTGAAGAAATCACATTTCAGGCGCCTATTGCAAGAAAAGAAGATAAAGCTCATTCATGTGCTTCCTAAAGGCTTATCAGAAGGAGGAGCCGGGTAGATGTCTCTAGGGGAAGGATTTCAAAGGGTCAGCATCACAACTGAGAAATCGCTGGCCCTCCCACTTCCCACGACATTGCTAGCAGCGTTGCCTATCCCTGAAGTTAGACTTGGCAGTTGCTGGCACGGGAATGGGCTGCAGCTGACTGGTAGAGCATCTCCTTGGCACGCAGAACTTTCCAGTTTCATGGCATCACGTGTTAGAACAGAGCTGGGAAGCTGGTGGCCTTCCAGGTGTTGTTGAACCCCAGTTCTGTTAGCCCCAACCAGCCTGCCCAATGGTCAGGGGTGAGAGGAGTTGTGGTCCAGTAACACTGGAGGGCCAGAAGTTCCCCATCCCTGAGTTACAAGGCCCAGGAAGCAGATAATGTGCAAGACCTTCTTGCTGTGACACCAAGGAGATTTACTTCTGGGCAGGCTAGGCAATATTGGGCTTGGTTGGGGCCTGTCATAAGACGCCTCTCTCTCTGGTCTATGAAGGGGATCTCTGAGGTTCAGGAGGGTGGCAGTTTGGGGAAAACAGGGCGTAGGTTGGGTGAATCCAATCTGACTACTGGTGGTGGACTACACACATTCTGCCTCTTGAACCCTGTTTTGGTCTGGCCCTCTGAGTTCACCCCCCCTTTTTTTTATTTTGCTTTGAGCAGAAGATGGAATAGGAGGGGCATGGCATTTGGTCTTAAATGAGCCCATTTTCCTTTATGGCATGAGCTCTGTAAGGGGGCTGGAGGGGGATTATGGTTCTGATTCAGAGAAGTGGGGAAAAGGGACTCTGGCAAGGTGAGCCCCTTGGTTTGAGTGGGGTCCCTCTCCTCTCCTCTCGTTCCAGAGCGAGCCTCGAGTCCGCCTTGTTATGGCCCAGCATATGCTTCGGGACGTCCGGGGCATTCTGAACCGACTAGAGGTGAGCCGGCCTTTGAAACTTTTTTGGGGGGGGGAGGGGCTGTATGCAGACAGGAATATATCAATGGCCTGTTAAAGCTTGAGGGAGAGGCAGTTGTTAAGATAATAATAATAAAATAAGTAGATTATCTGTTATGTTTTTATTGTTGTGCTCTGTAATGTGTTTTTAATGTACACCTCCCTGGGATCTTTTGACAAAGGGCGGTATATAAATTGAATTAGTAATAATAATAGCAACAACTTAGAAGTGGGGCTTGGACACCTCCTTCTGGGCATCAGCCGCCACGTGCTCCTCCTTTTCTTTTTTTTAACCTTATTCCAAAACCAAAAAAGAATTACAAACATCAAATTCAAAATCCATATTTGTTTTGTAACATAAGCCTATTACATAGTTGACTAGATCAAAATATACCTAATTGCTATAGACTTCCCTTTGCAACGTAAATTAGAAATGCAACGTAATTAGAAATATTATATTAGAAATGTTTATAAATTCCCCTATACCCCCCACTCCCCTTCACCCATGCGTGATCTCAGTATTTCTTTTCATTTCTTCCATCTTGTTGTGCTGTTGTAGTTTAATAATTATTCAGTTGATTCTTATATTATTTCCTTGCTTACCCCTGCACGTTTTACACATTATCTATTAACATTCCAGTTCCGGAACCATATTTTTTCATGTATTCCTTCACTCCATCCCACTCTTTAATTATTCTCTGATTTGAATGGCCTCTAACGATTGCCGTCAATTTTGCCATTTCCACAAACTCACAGAGCTTGCTTTGCCATTCTAATAATGATAGTATTTTCTCCCCCTTCCAATTCTTTGCGATCAATATTCTGGCCGCTGCTGTTGCGTAAAGGAATACATTTTCCTCACGTGCTCCTCCTTTTCTTAGGGCCGCACCAATGGCCAAGTTGCATCGGGACCCGAGGAGACGGCATCTGCCAGCCCCACCGAACGGGAGCCCATGGAGGGAGCTGAGTCTGAGCCTCCCAGTGAGCCCACACCAGCTGAGGAGACGCCCCCATCGGGGGCCGAGCCGCCCCCTACCGCTGAGGCTGCTGCGCCCAAGTGAGCAGCTGGCATACAGGGCAGGGAGGGCGAATGGGGTCCCGGCTGGCTTCTGTGGCCTGGCATTCAAAGAGGGGAGCTGCTGCTGCGTGGTGGAGGGGTCGCCGAAACAAGAGGGGGGCTGGTGCAAAAGGGTCACAAAAGCGGAGGGTGGAGTGGAGTAGATGGGTGAGCTCAGAAGGGAGGCCTTGTTGCTTCTGCCAGATGATCACCATCGAGGAGGCCTGAGCATCATCTGAGCACCTTTTCTCTCTTCCCCACAGCCACCCGTCCCCAGGCGAGTACGTGGAGGTCTTAGGGGAGCTCCGCGGGGTGGAGAGCAGGCTCCAGCCCTTCCTCCAGAGATACGAGGAGATCCTTGGAACGGCCAGCACTGCAGACTACAACAATAACGTAAGGGCAAACTTGGAGGTGTGCGTCGTGGCATCCCAGACCAGGGAGCAGTGATTGAAGTCTTGTTCTTTTTTGACGTGGGGGGTTGGGTATGTCCCCCACACCCAACGCTTTCTTTTCTATGCAGTGTGTTACTCATACGACAAATGCTGGGACTCAAATCTGTGTTTGGGAGCTGCTTGTCTTCCAAATCCTGACCGGTGGAGGCTTGTTGAGAAATGTTAGGGCGTTTTGTATGTTTCTGGGCTGGACCCGCAGGAAGTTCTGGGGCTGAATTTTGGCGAGTGTTGGGTCTGCTCGTCTCCTATCCCGGTGGTTGAGACAATGGACGATTATCTTTCATATGTTTCTGGGACAGTCTTGTTTGTTGGGAAGGGAAGCAAGTAGTGGGGGACGCGGCTAGCTTGGCGTGCTGCGCTGTGCCTTGCTGTGTAGATATCAGAAGCGAAGAATACAGCAAGCCGGCTTCACTCCATCAGAGTGCCTGGGGCTTTCCGCCACTGTTCCAAGAAGGGGGCCACCCAGCCCCGCTGGTGACCGTTCTTGCATGGGGTTTCCAATTAGAGAACCCCCCAGTTCCGCACCCGGTTTGCTTCAGCAGCGCTGCAGAGTTAGGTCCTTGCACCCCATTCGCCAGGCCACCGTCCTGGTCGTTTTTAAGGTGCCCTTCTCGAAAGCTGAGCTCTGTTCCTTGTGATCCTCTACCTGCCCCACTTCCAGTTTTCCTTCTAGCCTATTATATTACAAGGGTTTCCTGTCCTGCCCTTTGTAGGTTTCAGCTGGGAGGTGGGATTTGGCCTGGGTTTGGCAGAGACTCCTGCTGGAATCCGAAGCCTGTGGCCACTCACTGTCTTTCTCCTTCCTTTTGCGTTTGGCAGACGGAGGGCCGCGAAGAGGACCAGCGCATCATCAACCTGGTGGGGGAGTCTCTGCGCCTCCTGGGGAACACCTTTGTGGCGCTCTCCGACCTGCGCTGCAACCTCTCCTGCAGCGCCCCCCGCCACCTCCACGTGGTGCGGCCCATGTCCCACTACACAGCCCCCATGGTGCTGCAGCAGGCTGCCATTCCCATCCAGGTGAGTGCCTTCTCTGCTTGCGGACGGGCGGTTGGTGGCGGCACTTTTGCCTTCCCTGGCGGAGGCGTCGCCGGCAGGCTGGCTGGCCGGCTCAGCGAGGGAGAGCGGAAAGGAGCAGCGGCGCCTGCAGCCTGCTCTCTCCCTCTCTCTTCCAGATCAACGTCGGAACCACAGTCACCATGACAGGCAACGGCGCTCGTGGGGCCCCGGCCGGCTCAGAAGGCTCCACTGCTTCCCCGGCTGCCCCTGCCGCCCAGCCCCGCACTTCCAGCCCCGTCGAGGCCGGGCAGCCGTCCGAAGGGCCGCCCCCTTCGTCTTCCCCGGTGGTCACCCCGACTCAGACTCAGGCCTCCCAGACAGGCCACCCCCGCGTGATCCGCATCTCTCACCAGACGGTCGAGCCGGTGGTCATGATGCACATGAACATACAGGGTAAGGGATGGCCAGGTTCCTTCTTGGGGAGAGATGGATTGTGGGGCCCTGGAGAAGGGGGGGAGGGCACAGAGCCGTTTTTCTGGGGTATGCTGGCTCCTTTCTGGCATTGGCTTATCAGGTCATTTGTAATAATAACAATAACAACAACAACAACAATTTACTATTTATAACCTAACAACAACAACAACTTACTATTTATAACCCAACAACAACAACAATTTATTATTTATACCCTGCCCATCTGGCTGGGTTTCCCCAGCCACTCTGGGCGGCTTCCAACAGAATATTAAAATACACTAACCTATTAAACATTAAAAGCACATAAAAATGTGCCCAGGTGTAGAAGGGTGCCAGGGCTTTGCAGTGTACTGGTCTGGCCTGGGGGTGGGGGTAGGGTTAGGCCCAGAGGTCTCTGATTGGCTGAGTTCTGTGTAGGTAGCAAGGAGGGAAAGAACCCAGGAGAAAAGGGGGAGCAGAAGAAGAGAGAAAGTGGGGACTCGAGGGGGAGCGATGCCGCAGATCTCTCCTAACAAAGCCCACACACACACACACACACACACACACATAGAATAGGTTCGCATGTGGGATCCTGCGCCGTTCAGTTTCTCTGGGAGGAGGCGGGGGAGTCTGTGACACTTGTTGTCGTTTTAAGTTCTGCTTGCCTCTCTCATCCTTCAAGACTCAGGTTCCCCGATGGGTGGGAGTGGCTCAGCCGGAGTGCCACCCACAGGACCCGCCGGACCCCCTGGGCACCCCCAAGGAATGGGTAAGGAGGGAGAACGGAGGCTGGGGTGGGGGGAGAGAGAGGGGTTTGTAGGAGATTGCACATCGTGACTGTGGGCTGTTGGTTGAGCCTGCCCTTTTTTTTTGTGTTCTCTCCTGCCCCAAGGTGGCACTGCTCACATGCCGCTACCCAGCCTCCCGCCAGAGTTTATGCAGGCTGTCGCCCATCAGATCACCCAGCAGGCCATGGCAGCGGCCGCATCAGCGGCGACAGGTAATGGCACAGGAGGGTGCTGAAACACAGCAGAGGATCCTGTCTTGGGGGTGGGAACGGTTGATTCTTTCCCTCCCCTTCCGTGTTGTTGTCAGTACGCAGGAAGCTGCCTTAGGCTGAACCAGATTGCTGGCCCATCGAAGCCCTTGTTGCCTACACTTGACTCTCATCGAAAATTTACATGTCACTGCCATAGCATACCGTATTTTTCGCTCTATAAGACGCACCAGACCACAAGACGCACCTAGTTTTTGGAGGAGGAAAACAAGAAAAAAAATAATCTGAATCTCAGAAGCCAGAACAGCAAGAGGGTTCGCTGTGCAGTGAAAGCAGCAATCCCTCTTGCTGTTCTGGCATCTGGGATAGCTGCGCAGCCTGCATTTGCTCCATAAGACGCACACACATTTCCCCTTACTCTTTAGGAGGGAAAAAGTGAGTCTTATAGAGCAAAAAATACGGTAATTGCTACATGGGATGTGTCGTCTTTATACAATAATGTACCTTTGGACACACTAAAATCTCTAATCCAAGAATTGCTAGTTGATCATAATCAGTCTTCTCCACCAGTGCATTTTTTTTATCCCCCCCCCCCAATTTTTTATTCATTTTATAACACAAATAAAGAACAGAAACAGAAAATAAACAATACAAATTCTTGTCATAGCCTTATTTTCCTAAACATTGTTAAGTGGGCTTCCCCAAGTCCCACCTATCTGATTTTCATTTTACTACCAGTGCATTTTTTAATGGAGATTCTAGATTTAGTTCTATTGAATAATTTCTTTAGGTTTGGTTCAAAGTACTTGATCCAAAAACAAGGTGTAGCTATGGGCTCGAAATGTGCTCCCAAGTGTGGCTAATATCTTTATGTGGAACTGTAACAACCCTTTATGTGGATTATTGGACTCTATGAACAGACAGGTGGAATAGATACTTATACATGTACGGATCTTATGCATGAACTGATCCACTGGGTCTTCTGCTTTTTTCGTTGAACCTTGTGAGACTTCCATTGAATTCTACAATTTGGTACAGTGAATATTATACCTTATTTATTCAAAAGTACACCTGGTTACGTCTTGTGTGTTTATTGAGTACACTTGAGTGGCAGCGGCTCTAGGGCCCGGATTTTGAACGGGGCGGACTTCTACCTGCCTTTTCCTGTTCCCTAGGCCAGCAGGTCCCCAGTTTCCAGTCGGCTCCGACACGTGTCGTGATCGCCAGGCCCTCTGCTCCGTCTGTGCGGCCCACACACCCTGGGTCACCCCAGGCACCGGGACAAGGGGTGAGGACTAGGGCGGAGGGGAGCATCTTTTCCGAGAGGGGATCGCTGTTCCCCGCCGGCCATCTTCTACCGAATCTCTTTCTCTCTTGCAGGGCCCTGGCCTCGGGGGAAATGCTTCCTTGGCCCAGATGATCAGCGGGCTGGTGGGGCAGCTCCTCATGCAGCCGGTGATAGTTGGTAGGTGGCAAGAGGCAGAGGGAAGGAGGGGTGATGTTTTTGTAGTGTTTGGAATGGAAACGTGGGTGGGTCGTCTTGCAGTGCTCACTTAATGGGAGTTGGACCTCATCAGTACATAACTCTTCTTCTGGAATGGTTAAAGGCGTAGGGGATTGTGTGTGACACAGAGAGAATGAGAGAGAGAGGGCAGGGTGCTGACTTTGTCCAATGAAGGTTTGCATGCAAACAGCGCTATTTTGTTATTTTCATTGTGCAATCCTATATTAGGATTTCAAACTCTTTCAGGCTGTTTGGTGGTGGCAACAATAAATACATCTATTCATTAAAAAAAATACATGCGAACAGTGATTTCAAGATGTGCTGGTAATTGCAAATATCAGACCCAAGAGTGATAGCCAAGGACCATGTGTTCTTCAGGCTGTGAAAATTTAAATTCCAAAACAAAAAAAGCTGAATTCTGCAACCTGTATAAATTCTGCAATTCAGACACTTCCATAATTCTGTTTTTGCTGGTAATTGGGAGGAGAGCAAAAAAGAGAACTGTATCTCAAAGGTGTTGGAAAGGATGAGTGTTTTGCTATTTAATTTTCCCCACAGGCTTCTGCCCAAGTGCCTTTTCCAAAGCTTCACTTGTTTTTTGTTTTTTTACAAACTGATTAAAAAACAGTGTCTGTAGGAGAAAAATCTGATGGGGAGAGCCCCACCTCCAGTTCCTGTAAGCCCTATTCAGCTCCTCTGGTTTCCATGATTAGGCAAGGTTTCCTACGCGCTTCCAAGCATAGCTTTGCATTCTTTCTTTTTAAGAAAAGGAAACGGGGATTCTCCAGAGGAGTAGACATTCCCTACTTGTTCTCTCTTCCTGAAAGCCCTAAGTAGCATAAGAGCAGCCTTGGCACTTGTGAATCCTGGCTGTTTCTGCAGCGAGATGGTGTGGTCTCTGTAGGCGTACCCACATGGGTTTGGCTTCTCTCTACCCTGTTTTGGAAAACAGATAGCGAACTCCAGCTGTGGTTGGTGTGTGGTCCAGGCAGGCTAGCTGGAAGAAAACCTTTAAAATCAGGAGTCTGTGATGGATCTGTCTTCCTCTTTCTCAAATGCTCCCATGCCCTTGCCTGGTCACTGACGTAGCAGACCTCTTCGTTTTTCCTTCCTAGCTCAGGGCAGCGGGACTTCACCTTCTTCTTCGTCCTCCTCCTCCTCCTCCTCCTCCTCCACCTCTTCCTCTGTCAGCGCCCAAGCCGCCTTCAGCACCAGCAATTCTGCCTCCCCTCCCACAGCCTCGGCCAGCGCTGGCACCACCAACACCGCCACCACCGCTGCAGGGGGCAGCTCGGCCGGTGCCCCGGGAGGGCCCATCCCCTCCGGCCAACCCCCCACGGCGGCCGCCGCGGAGCTCCAGTTCTCTCAGCTGCTGGGGAACATCCTGGGGGCGGCGGGCTCCAGCATGGCCGGTGTGGCTGGCCTGGGTTCCCCCACCATCACCGTGGCAATGCCTGGCGTCCCGGCTTTCCTGCAAGGCATGACAGACTTCCTCCAGGTAAGCTTGGTTCCAGCCTCGCTTCATTCCCCGGAGTGGCGGTTTCAGCAGGGGGCGGGGGGCGGTGGCAGCAGATCAGCCCCTCTTCCATCCTTCCTCTCAGGGGAGGAAGGGTCTGCCGGCATCCTTTCAGGAGATACAGTGCTACCTCGGGTTACAGACGCTTCAGGTTACAGACTCCACTAACCCAGAAATAATACCTCGGGTTAAGAACTTTACCTCAGGATGAGAACAGAAATCGCGCGGCGGCAGCGGGAGGCCCCATTAGCTAAAGTGGTGCTTCAGGTTAAGAACAGTTTCAGGTTAAGAACGGACCTCCGGAACGAATTACGTTTTTAACCCCAGGTACCACTGTACTGTGTTTTGGGTTCTATCTGTTGAATCCATATATCGCTCCCCGCTAGAAAAAGCCTTGAAGCGATTCGCAACCATAATAAAAGTGTGTGGCATTTTTAAACGGAGCTGAACTCAGTCGTTCTGCACGAAAATCTGCTCCAAGTTACCCCCGGCGCCCATTTAAGCTGTGTAATTTAGGGGAGCAAAGTCATAGAATTGGAAGGAACCCCAGCGTTCATCAAGTCCAATCCATTGCAGTGCAAGAATCTCAGCTAAAGCATCCAGGACAGATGGCCATTCAACCTCTGCTTGAAAACCTCCAAGGAAGGAGAGCCCACAACCTCCTGAGGGAAACTGCTCCAGTGTCGAACAGCTCTTGCTGTCAGAAATTTTCTCCTGATGTTTAGGAGTCTCCTTCCTTGTAACTTGAAGCCCTTGGTTCGAGTCCTACCCTCCAGAGCAGGAGAAAACTAAGCTTGCTCCCTCTTCCATGTGACAGCCCTTGAGATACTTGAAGATGGCTATTGTATCTCCTTTAAAGGCTGGCGGGTGGCGCTGTGGGTTAAACCACAGAGCCTAGGACTTGCCGATCAGAAGGTCGGCGGTTTGAATCCCCGTGATGGGGTGAGCTCCCGTTGCTCGGTCCCTGCTCATGCCAACCTAGCAGTTTGAAAGCAGGTCAAAGTGCAAGTAGATAAATAGGTACTGCTCTGGCGGGAAGGTAAAAGGCGTTTCCGTGCGCTGCTCTGGTTCGCCAGAAGCGGCTTAGTCATGCTGGCCACATGACTCGGAAGCTGTACGCCGGCTCCCTCGGCCAATAAAGTGAGATGAGCGCCGCAACCCCAGAGTCGGTTACGACTGGACCTAATGATCAGGGGTCCCTTTACCTTCACCTTTATCCAAAGCCCTTGCTTGATGTGCTTCGGGTCACCCAGAGACCTGCCATCTTTCGGCCTCAGCCCTGCCTTCACTTTAACGTGCATCTGTGGGCCTGGAAGCCTTTGCATGCCTTTCCCCAGCACCCTTCCGGCCTCACTCCCCCTCCCTTCTCTCCGCAGGCGACGCAGATGGGGGCGGCTCCTCCCCACCCTCCGGAGCAGGCCCCGCCTCCCCCACAGCCAGCGGCCTCCCCGCCACCGCCTCCTCCCCCGCCCTCGGCTCCCCAGAGCGGCATGGAGCCGCCTTTGGGGGGCGGGAGCAGCAACGTCCGTGGCGGCGCCTCGGCAGACGCCCTGCCGCCCGAATTCTTCACCAGCGTGGTGCAAGGGGTGCTGTCGTCCATGATGGGGTCGCTCAGCGCCCAGCAGGGCAGCACCGAGAGCATCGCGGACTTCATCCAGCGCCTGAGCGGCACCAGCAACATCTTTGAGCCAGGCACAGAAGGGGCCCTGGGTAAGGAAGGTCTTGGATGTGCCCCCCTTGCACTGGGGGGGGGGGGCTGCTGGTTAATAACAACAACAACAATCGGTTTGAAGTCCATATTGTGCTATTGGCTTCCTAATTTTGGACCTGGCAATATATTGTGTGCAAAAATCACGAAGCAGGGAAAACCATGAAGCCAGCCAGTGCCTCTACATAGCTCCATCCTTATTACAAACATCGTGATATATTTCTCAGTGTTTAGCTGGTGATATATCGTGATGTTGAAAACCAGATAATAATTTATTATTTATACCCCACGCATCTGGCTGGGTTTCCCCAGTCACTCTGGGTGGCTCCCAACAAAATATTAAAAACAGGATAAAACATCAAACTTTAAAAACTTCCCCAAACAGGGCTGCCTTCAGATGTCTTCTAAAAGTCAGATAGTTGCCTGTTTCCTTGATGGGAGGGCGTTCCACAGGGCGGGCACCACTACCGAGAAGGCCCTATACCTGGTTCCCTGTAACCTCACTTCTTGCAGTGAGGGAAGCGCCAGAAGGCCCTCGGAGCTGGACCTCAGTGTCCAGGCTGAACGATGGGGGTGGAGATGCTCCTTCAGGGTGCTGAGAGTTGCTAGGTGCCCCCTATTCTCCACTTCACATAGCTACAGAATGGTTTGACAACCAATGCTTCCACCCTGGCTGAACGATGGGAGTGGAGATGCTCCTTCAGGTATACTGGACCGAGGCCGTTTCGGGCTTTAAAGGTCAGCACCAACACTTTGAATTGTGCTTGGAAACCTACTGGTTTGGAGAAGGCTGCCTTCTGCTCCCTGACTAATTCAAAGACTCCTGTTTTCTGGGGTCCTAGTTGCCCCAGTTGGGAGAGGCAGGCTGACCCTTTTGATCTCTCTGGTCACTACCCTCTCTAGAACCCCTTGCAAACCTGTTGGGATACTGCCAGGGAGATAAAGTCCATCATGGCCCCCAAGCTGGCTGCCGGACGATCCATCGACCTCCCGTAGACACGCAGTATCAGCAATTAGCGACATGAGCTCCGGAACATTCTAGAGCCGATGCACACTCTCTATCAGCAGATAATACACAGCAGAAGTTGCACTCAGGAGAGCATTATTTACAAGTTTATTCAGCGTTGATCAGAACACAGAAAAACATGACTGCCTGCTTTAGTGTCTACGACACAGAGAGAGAAAACGAAAGCAACAGAAAACATAAACATCCTGTGAACAGGAAATACGCAGACTCTGTGACTCACAGCCTGCTCCCTTTTAAGGTGGAACGGAAATATCCTAACACATTGTGCTTGGAAACCTACTGGTTTGGAGAAGGCTGCCTTCTGCTCCCTGACTAATTCAAAGACTCCTGTTTTCTGGGGTCCTAGTTGCCCCATTTGGGAGAGGCAGGCTGACCCTTTTGATCTCTCTGGTCACTACCCTCTCTAGAACCCCTTGCAAACCTTGCTCCTCCTTTTTCTTGGGTGTCTGTTGCCCACAACTTCCCACAGTCTGGACCAGCGTTTCCCAAACTTGGTTCTCCAACTGTTTTTGGACTACAATTCACATCATCCCCGATCACTGGTCTTGCTCGCACGGGATGATGGGAAACACTGGTCTGGACTTTTGGGCCCTGGCTCTGCCACCGTTGCCCAAGGGTGGGTGGGGGGATTCCTTTTTGAGTTCCACTTCCTCTCTCTTTTTTGCTCTGCTTCATCCTGAGGCAAAGGGATAATTTCTTGCCTTAGGCCTTGGGGTAGGCAAACTAAGGCCTGGGGGCCAGATCTGGCCCAATCGCCTTCTCAGTCCGGCCCACGGACGGTCCAGGAATCAGTGTGTTTTTACATGAGTAGAGTGTATCCTTTTATTTAAAATGCCTCTCTGGGTTATTTGTGGGGCCTGCCTGGTGTTTTTACACGAGTAGAAGGTGTGCTCTTATTTAAAATGCGTCTCTGGGTCATTTGTGGGGCATAGGAATGCGTTCTTTCTGTTTTCAAAATATAGTCCGGCCCCCCACAAGGTCTGAGGGACAGTGAGATGGCCCCCTGCTGAAAAGGTTTGCTGACCCCTGCCTTAGGCTGACTGAGAACAAGCTCATGGCTGAAATGGGACAAGCTGGGTTGCAAGCTCTGCCTCTTGGCCACTCTCCTGCCTGAGCTCCTTGCCAGCAATAGCCCATAGAAGTGTCTTTTGCTAGAGGGACAGCCTCTCCCAGCTGACATTGCTCCTTTCCCTCCAGCCGTGAGGCTCTTTCTCCCTGGGGAAATCCCAAGGAAGTAGTCGATATCTCCTTCTGTTCTCTCTCTCTCCCGGGGTTTCCAGCCACTGCTGCTTCCTTCCGTCCCATTTGGGTTAAGCAGAAGGTCAGCTTGCAAGGTTTGTGTCCCTTCTAGGCTTCTTTGGAGACCTGCTCTCCCTCATCTGCCAGAACTTCTCCATGGTCGACATGGTGATGCTTCTGCACGGGCAGTTCCAGCCCCTCCAGCGGATCCAGCCCCAGCTCAGCCGCTTCTTCCGGGAGGAGTACCTGCATGGCCAGGAGCCCACGGAGCGCAACGTTCGGGTGAGTGGACCTGCCCCTAGTTCCAAGTGCAACCTCCCCTCCTTCCCCACCTTGAGTTCCCTCTGCTAACAGTTCCCTCTCTCTTCCGGCTTCTCCAGATGGCCACGTACAATTTGATCAACGGCTTGGAGGAGTACATTCGCGAGAGTTTTGTAAGTTCCACTCCCTCCTGCTGAAAAAGTTTGCTGACCCCTGGTCTAGCCTCCACAACGGTAGGCAGCCAATATGTGACAAGAGCAGATGCAGGCGGAAACGCTCTTTGAGCTGGCTTTCCCCTCATCTCTGATGCCTCCCATTTCCCCCCCCAGGCCTCCGTCCAAGTTCAAGATGGCGTTGACATCACCCGCACCAACCTGGAGTTCCTGCAGGAACAGTTCAACCGCATTGCAATGCACATCCTCCACTGCGCTGGTAAGGGAATGGGCTGAGTTCTGGGAGCTTTCTGCAGGGGGCTGCTTCTCCTCCTGGTCCTTCCCCACCCCCTCCAGCATCCGTCTCCTCTCTCCTTCCAGATAATACTTTTGGGTATCGGCTGCTGGAGTTGTGCAACCAGGGCCTGTTCGAGTGCCTGGCGCTGAACCTCTACTGCTTGCGCGGGGAGCAGGGAGCCCTGACTGCTGTCATCAACGACCGCATTGTGAGTGATGAGTTGTGCTCCGCTGACGTTCCCCATCTTCAGGGGATGCAGGGCTGATGCAGGGCAGTTTTGGGGAGGTACTAGAGCCAACGGAAGAGTTGTGAGAAAAGGAAGCCCGCAAGTTGCGGCGTCCCCCGATGATAGCGTCAGAATCCCATGGGCAGAGCTGCGTGCTGGAAGTCCCGTTTGGAATTCTGCAAGCATAAGTTACCGTATTTTTCGCCCTATAGGACGCACTTTTTCCCTTCCAAAAATGAAGGGGAAATCTGTGTGCGTCCTATGGGGCGAATACAGGCTTTCGCTGAAGCTTGGAGAGCGAGAGGGGTCGGTGCGCAGATATCCGCAGCCTGGGGAGCCCTGCAGGAGTTTCCGCAGGGCTCCCTAGGCTGCGGATAGCAGCCTGCTGCACGGAGCGCGGGGCGCACTGAAGCAGAGCGCCCCGCGCTTTGGGCAGACATCGGCCAGCCCCACAAGCTCGGGGGACAGCGGGGAGGCGCAGCGCCGCCATACCGCTGTTCCCCGACCTGGTTTGGTTTCCCTGACCTGGTTTTGGGGGGAAATAAAGGAAATTTTTTTCCCCTTTATTTCCCCCCCAAAAAACTAGGTGCGTCCTATGGGACGGAGCGTCCTATGGGACGAAAAAGATGGTAATATGGATGTGCCCAGGGGTGAGACTGTTGAAATAGGGCGTGGGAAACATGGTCAAGCAACTAGCTTCCACACTGTGCTCCTGGCGAATGGAAGGCCCTATAAAGCCCTTCACTGTTCAAAGTGTGTCTGTTTCACCTTTCCTGACCTCATTAAAAATGGTGCAGAAAAATTGGAGAATGAAACCGATTGAATGAAGTATGGAAGTCAACCATCCCAATTTACCTCGTAAGGTAGGCTGACCTGGCAGGGAGCAGCTGAACCAGAGTCCCACTGGTGTGCTTTGTAGCTGAGTGGGGATTATAGGTAACACTCCCAGTCTCCCCAGTCAGAGTCCAGCATACTTTGTTCTGTACAATGGTAACTCGGGTTACAGACGCTTCAGGTTACAAATTCTGCTAACCCAGAAATAGTACCTTGGGTTAAGAACTTTGCTTCAGGATGAGAACAGAAATCGCACAGCGGCAGTGGGAGTCCCCATTAGCTAAAGTGGTACCTCAGGTTAAGAACAGTTTCAGGTTAAGAATGGACCTCCAGAACGAATTAAGTTCTTAACCCGAGGTACCACTGTATTGCACGGGGCCTCAGCTAATGCAGTACAGTGGTACCTCGGGTAACAAACACTTCGGGTTACAAACTCCGCTAACCCAGAAATATTACCTTGGGTTAAGAACTTTGCCCCAGGATGAGAACAGAAATTGCGCGGCGTCAGCGGGAAGCCCCATTAGCGAAAGCACACCTCAGGTTAAGAACAGACCTCTGGAACGAATTAAGTTCATAATCCGAGGTATGACTGTATCGGAGTTGTGTTGGTCATGAAGTACCTTAGGAAAAAAAATGGAAGATCTCAGCTGGTCTCCCACTTTCTTCAGCCCTAAGGACTCTTTTCATTGAAACAGTTAAATTTGTGAGTTGTCTATTGCCAACTCACTTTACTTGTCCCAAAGGACTTGTTGCCCTGGCTAATTTCGAGGTTGCGTCAATGAATCGGAAGGATGCCGTCTCGTTCACTGAGGGCTGCTGGCTTGGAAGGGGAGTTTGCGGTCCTGACAGCCTTGTCTCTCTCTCTCTCTTCCTTGGCCCGCCTGGGCGGCAGAGGCGGATGTCGGCAGACATGAACCCCTCCTTGGTGAGCTGGCTCACCACCATGATGAGTATGCGGCTGCAGGTCATCCTGGAGCACATGCCCGTCACAGAGGATCAAATACTACAGTATGTCCGCAGGATGGGCGACCCCCCACAGGTAAGACTCCTGAAATTGGGTAGAGAAGCGCGAGTGGAATCGGGCACTAAACCCTAGTTTCCTGTACCTTTTGGGAGGCTCCTCTGTTGTTGAGGAGACGCCGGACCAGGTCTCGTGAGTGTTGAGCATTTTGGCCCATAACCCCATTACTGTCCCACAATCCACCATTTCAGTTGCAGTGAGGACATTGCAGTTACGGGGCATAATTATTAATAATATTAATATTTTCTTTATACCCCGCCCTCCCCAGCCAGAGCCAGGCTCAGGGTGGCTAACACCAATAAAATTACAATAAAACATAATAGGGGGGAAACAAAAAAACCCCAGTTTATTAAAATACGGCTTAAAATACAATTTAAAATGCAGCCTCATTTTAATACTAGCCCATAAATCAAAACCATAAGGGGAGGGAAACATAAGGGTCAGACTGAGTCCAAACCGAAGGCCAGGCGGAACAGCTCTGTCTTGCAGGCCCTGTGGAAAGATGTCAAGTCCCGCAGGGCCTTAGTCTCTTGTGACAGAGCGTTCCACCAAGTCGGGGCCAGTACTGAAAAGGCCCTGGCCCTAGTTGAGACCAATCTAACCACCTTGCGACTTGGGACCTCCAAAGTGTTGCTATTTGTGGACCTTAAGGTCCTCCGTGGGGCATACCAGGAAAGGCGCTTCTGTAGGTACGAGGGTCCTAGGCCGTATAGGGCTTTAAAGGTCAAAACCAGCACCTTAAACCTGACCCTGTACTCCACCGGGGGCCAGTGCACAGCCAAGACATTCCATGCAAAACCCAAGGAGAGAGCAGTTGCGGGGTGCTGTTTGCAGTCTCTCTCGCCTTCTTCATTTTTCATTTGGCTAAGATTTGGTAGGGCCTCCAGGAGCCAGATCAGATTGTTTTGTGGACCACATCCCAGTGGAACTTGTTTGTTGGGAGATCAGAGGGGAGGCGTGTGGGGAGACCGTGACTCTATTGTGGGTGCTGGGTATCACCTCCAAGGCCTCTGAATGCACTCTCTCTCTTCTCTCATCCTCTCAGCCTGTACCAGAAGAGCCGATGGAGCTTCAGGCTGCAGAGCAGCCTTCCGAAACCCTGCAGGTATGGAGTGGGAGCCAGGGTCAGGGTGCTGTGGAGCTGGGAGAGGGTATGGTTCCCAGGGTCTTCTGGCGGTTCCCTCACTGCGAGAAGTGAGGTTGCAGGCAGCCAGGCAGAGGGCCTTCTCGGTGGTGGCACCCGCCCTGTGGAACGCCCTCCAGGAGACTTTTAGAAGACATCTGAAGGCAGTCCTGTTACAGGGAAGTTCTTAATAGTTGGTGTTTTATTGTGCCTTTACTTTTTGCTGCTGTCTAGAGTGGCTGGCGAAAACCAGTTGGATGGGCGGCATATAAATAAAATAATATACAAAGCCCTTAGCATGAGCTACTGCCAGTGATCCTTGTAAGAACCTTGAGAGGTGGATGAGGAGTGTTCCCATATAGCAAATGGAAGGACAGAGGCTGCCTCCCTCCCCCAACCTTCTAGGCTTAGTGTGTGTGTCTGAAGCCCTTCGAAACTTGCTGGTATATGGGGAAAAACTTAATGATTGATTCTGAAGCTGCCCCCACCCAGTGCTGCCCACTGGGCCAAGCCCCTTTTCTGCCTGGAACACCGGGGATATGTTCCTGGCAGACGCACCTTGCTTGGGCCCTGCTCCCATTCTCTCCTCCCTTTCCTCGCAGCGAGACAGCGCCGCATCCCCGGCCCCGGCCACAACGGCCGAGGAGGCCATGCCCCAGCAGCACGGGGAGCCGGAGCACGAGGAGCCGCAGCAAGGGGAGCCACCCGCCCCCGACGCAGAGCCCTGGGCAGCTGCCGTGCCCCCTGTGAGTGGTCTGGGGCGGAAGCGGGCGGCGAGCGGGGGGAGGGCGGGGAGAAGGAACTCTCTGGAGTCGCTAACGGGTCCCCCAATGCTTTCCTCTTCCCTCCTCCTCGTCCGCAAGGAGTGGGTGCCCATCATCCGGGAGGACATCCAGAGCCAGCGCAAGCTGAAGCAGCAGCCCCCTCTCAGCGACGCCTACCTGAGCGGCATGCCGGCCAAGCGGCGCAAGGTGAGAAGGCCCTTCTGCCCTAGGCAGGATTCACTTCGCTCGGGTTGCTCCACGGAAACGACAAAGGCAGCCCAGCCTCTCTTAAACAGCGGGTTCTCCTTGCGTGGCCAACCCCAGGGGCTTAAAGCAGCACTTCCTGCAGGGAGAGGGCTGAACTGAATGGTCCTCAGGGTCCCTTCCAACTCTGCAAGTCCAAGTTCCATTTCCCTTGATGGGATCTTCTTCTTCTTCTTTGGCAATCACTCGTAGCAGCGTATGATTGTCTTCTTCACGCGAGTAGGACCCTGGCAGAGACACATGCCCGACTGGCATGTTCTCTCCCTCCTGGTCTTTCGTTCGGGAGCTTCAAAAGCTTCAGCCCGAACATCACAGCGACCGATGCCAACCGACACCGGCACACTTAGGGATCCACAGAGTTTGTGCAGCTTGTGTAACAGATCTCAGCATTTTGGCTAATCTACTTTATTTACATATAAACACACTTGGAGCACTGCAACATGGCTCCCTCTCTCTCTAGCATCAGACAGCAAAGAGAAAGAACAAAGGACAATAGTCCCACTTCACGGAACACAGTAACACAAACATCCTGTCTCCGTCACTTCCCACCTTGTGGAGTAAAAACATACACCGTCATGTGAAAGACAACAATCCCATGACTGCAATCACGGAGCAGGAATTCTAACATGTCTTCCACTAACGAGTCTTAACAGTGAGTCTGTAAGTGACTGTGGAGGCCAATTCTGGATCCACGCATCCTTCCACAGTGGGGACATAGGTTTCCGGGCGGGAGTTGATCACAGTGAGGGTTTGCCAGACATGCCTTCCTCTTAGTGCGTTTCTTGTCCTGAGTTTGAGTGTCTTCAAAGCCCATGACGCCTTTGGTAAAGGCTGTTCTCCAATTGGAGCGCTCGCAGGCAAGTGTTTCCCAGTTGTCGGTGTTTATACTACATTTTTTTAGGTTTACCTTGAGTGTCTTTAAACCTCTTTTGTTTTGATGCGATACGGAGGCGCCTTGCTTGTGGGTGGTGAATTTTCTGGGGGGAAACGAATATTTATTTTTCACTCCGACTCTGGTGGGCAATCTTCACCAATGGGAAGTGTAGAGTGGAGGCAGATTTAAATCAGACGTGAGCTCCTTCTGGTTTGGGAGACATGACATGTCCCCAGTACATTGCGGATGTTCTGGATTTTTGTTCTGAGAAGCTCCTCACTTCTTTCCCCCTTCTGTTTCCTTTTAGTCCTCTCCCCTTTGTGATGCCCACCCAACACCCCTTCCCTTGGAAATTCTAACGTTTTATTTCATGATGTTACTGTGTTACGTATTTTTCTGTGGTTTTCCTAAGCTGTCCTGTGATCCTCTGAGGAAGGGCAGTAAAGTAATTCAAGAAGTAAATAAATGATGGAAAGGAAATGGTATCTCTAATAAGGATTCAAAATCCTCCCTTCCTCTACTAGTAGACATGACAAATGAAAGCAAGCAAAAGTTTTGGAAGTCAGCTTTCTCAAACCCCAGCTTTGAGCAAGGGCTAACGCTTGCTTCCATAATTTCAGCACATCCCAGACCTAGATGTTTACAACTAGACTCACAATAGTGAGGCAGGGCTCTTATTGGCTCTGGCCTCTAGTCATGTGAGCTTTCATTCATCCTTGCTTCAGAGCTGGGGAGGGTTGCCTTGTGGGAAATTCCCCTAATGCTTTGGGTGTGTGTAGCAGGGTTGATCCACTGCTGAAGGAAGTCTCTCTGTGAATCTCTGCTGTGCTTTTTGGCCGATTGCATAACGCAGACAGGTTCCGCTCCGGCTTACCTGCTGCTCCAGCACCTTATCGCAAGCGCAGAACCCTAAACTTGTCTCTTCCCTCTCTTGGAAGACTATGCAGGGTGATGGTCCCCAGCTCCTCCTGTCCGAGGCAGTCAACAAAGCGGCCAAAGTAGCAGGCGTGAAACCTCTGACGAGCGCCGAGAGCCTGAGCAGAGACCTGGCAGAGCCAGCGCTGCAGGAGGGCTACCGACAGCAGGTGAGGACAGGGGTCTGTTGGTGGGGCCTTAGTTTTTGCTTTTATACCCCAATGGGGGCTGTATGGCACCTGTCTGTCCAGGTGATTTGGGGTAGCCGGACTCCTGCCCCTCACTCTCCTTTTTCTTCTTTCAGCTGAAATCTGATCTGCAGAAGCGGCTGCAAGCTGATCCCAGCTTCACCCCGCAGAGGTTCCCCAACGCCCAGCAAGCCTTTGTGGCCGAGGACTTGTAACGGTCACTGCCCCCAAACCCTCCTAGATAGGGAGGCCCTCTCTCTGGGGCTCACCTCTTTGTCCTTTTTTGTGCACGATGCAGACAGCCACTCCCTTCTCAGGCCAAATATTTAAGTTCCTTCCCAACTTACGTCCCCCCTTCCCAACCCCGTCTTCTGGTTGCTGTGACCTTTCTCCCCCAGCGGAGTGCTCGAAGTTGCTGCTGAATCAGTAAATAAAGCCACTTGTCCAGGGACCGGTGGTGCTTGTGTGTTTTCAAAATGCTCTTATGGCTGGTGGGATATTGAGTTGCTTCGTGGCCCGGCGACTGCAGCCAAGTGCATCAATCTCGCATTAAAGGATGAATTGATCAAAACCGGCAATTTAAGTTGCCAAGGAAGAGGCCGATTTAAATCTTTACCATTGATATCGCTTCAACAGCAGTGTTAATAATATACAAGTAAAATTAACTAAAGAGGTTTTTTTAAAAAGCACTATTTTGTTCTTAACAACCAAACCTTACATCTCATATGTATATTGTGTGTATATATATATTTACATGCTTTCTTTAAAAAAAAACCTAGAAAGGGAATCGCTTTACACTATTCCCAAATAGACGCTTCCTTGTAACTATCACCTATGGCAGTTTGCAAGGTTCACAAATTGATAAGACTTTTATGCGAGTCCCTTTGCATTCTCCCATGTAGGAGACGATACAATTGTCCTTTCTTCTTTCTGTGCCGCTTGGCCCAGTGCTACCCTCCCTCAGTAAAGCATCAAATAAAAACGAAGTTCTTTTTAGGTGGAATATAAACATTCCTGAGTGAAGTTGTCAGATTGGTTATGATACGGCTTTTACACCTTAACACTGATTCAGGTGAAAGATAAAAACTTGTAGGGCTAACAAGAGTGTGGTTTGAACACTTTATGACTAAGGCAGCGGGGTATAGCGGTTAATGTGTGGGACTGCGGTAGGAAAGATCAGGGTTCGCATCCCTACTGAGCCACCATGCGGCCTGTTACCGTCTCACATACCCTGTCTCAGGGTGAGGAGAGAGCCATGTATGTCACCCTCAGCTCCTTGGGGGAAAAGGTGGGATATAAATAAGTAAAATTAGTAAGCTTTGGCATGCTGGGTGCTGCCAGAGGATGAGTGTTGGATTTCTACGCTGGGGGTGGACAGGCACCTCTTCCCTTTGCACCTCACTTGTGCCAAACTTCTGGCAATACTGGGGTACCAGGTTACTTCTCAAACACCTATTGTTTTAAGATAGCCTTTTTTTCAAAAAAAGTAAACCTCATTTCCATTTAAATCAGATTTTTAAAAACCTTTCCTTTTAAAACTCACAGCAAAGTAGTATGTTGAACTTGTTTTTGTGCCTCAGTCTTGTGCGTGGTCTAAACGTGGCAATGAGGAACCGAAGAGAACTTGTAAGAACTTACGAAGAGCCTGCTGGAATAGGCCCATCTGGTTCAGTTAGAGGTTTTTAAAGAAAAGCTGCCTCCAAGCAGATATGAATGTGTATGAGGGGAAAGTATGGATAAAAGCGGTATATGTGACAAATAGCACAGAAAAAGGGAAACGTACTTAACACACGTTTTTGTATTGGGGAAATGCATACAAGAACATGTGTATTAGGGAATAATCTGCCCAAGAATGCTGCCAATTTTTTTTTATAAAGACCTCTTTTTTAAAAAGCAAGCAGCAAACTGATGCCGCAACGTCAAAAACGAGCTATAAGACTGGATTTTCTTCTTCAACCAACATCCCAGCAGTTTCCTTCTCTTCGGGAATAGATTAAATGCTTAAGTGCCAAATGTTGTTGCCCAGCACAGCTGATTCCGCCAACCAATGTAGGCCATCTGTCAACCAGTCACTTATTGCCCGTGAACCAATGGAACTGTCTTCCTTTTGTAGGCGTGGCTGGAGAATGTGCCTGCAACAGATCCTTTGACATTCAGTCCAGCTGCTCCTGTTCTTCCCTCGCTCTGTTGTAGAGGCATGCTCATTGCCTGGAGGTTCTTATAGGAGCCTCTGAAGAGCCCAGGTGTGCTGCTCTTCGCTAGTGGCTGGTAATGAGGCATTTGGTTGTCTTAGCAGAGGGGCACTTTAGCCACCCGGACTGGTACCCACTGACAGCCTTAATACTTTAGAGCAGGCATAGGCAAACTCGACTCTCCAGATGTTTTGGGACTACAACTCCCATCATCCCTGACCACTGGTCCTGTTAGTTAGGGATCATGGGAGTTGGGGTCCCAAAAACATCTGGAGGGCCGAGTTTGCCTATGCCTGCTTTAGAGCCACCATCCACATTGCAGCAAGAATAGCTGCTGCACAACTGATTTAATCCAGGGTATAAGAATCACTGCAAAGCATGTGTTTATCAGGAAGGTACACAACACAATGCTTTTTTTTTTTTAAAGGCTAGGTGTGTGGGTGATGGGAAATAACCGTCCTTGGAAGTTACCTTTTTCTAGCAGCACAACTAAGTAGACCTTTATTTTAAGCACTACAGAAATGGAGGCAGGCCAGCCTAATGTGCAAACTTTCTAGAGAATGGTTTTGAAGGCTTGTGTGTTGCAATTTCGATTTCCCCCCCGCCACCAGTAGGGATTGGGAGAATGGAAGCGCTCAAGAAGCAGAGCTGCCTACAAGGGGTGGTAAGCAGTTTCTATATAACCTTTCGTGCCTCTGATAATATGGAAGCAGTAACTACCAGCGCTTTGCCAAGACAATATTTTTCACAAAGCACCATCCCGGGCACCTGTAATTTCTAAAATCCCCATGATACAGAGAACTAATTCTTTCCCCTGACCAGGCTTCATTTTCCATGGAGTGAAAAGTTTTCGCACGCTGAGGAAGTCGGCAGGTAAGATGACAATCCAAAAAACCCACAGTCTGACTTTTTATTTTATTGGTTTTTTTAAACAACTTTTTTGGTTTTATTTATTAAACAAACCAGCTCGACCACCTTTTTAAAAACTCAATGCTTCCTATTTCAAACTCGGGGGAGCAAATAGGAGAGGAGACAGGCTCCCAGTCTCACCTCCCCCCGCCCCCATAAATAGAAGAGGGAAGAGGAGAGACCCCCCCGACACGTTCATATTTATATATATTTACACTCCAAACCTCAGAGCTGCTCCCCCCTCAGATCAAAGGGCAACAGAGCCCCCTACCAGAAAAATAAACTCAGGTGAAACCAAAGGAAATAAGCAAAAATACATTCAGCAGGGAGCCTCCCAAAATCCTGATCCTTGCCCCCCTCCCAACTTACACTCTGAGCACCCACTAAGTGTCTAACACCCCTACTCCAAGGGGCAAATTCCAGTGTCACCCCCCCCCATACAAACAGAAAAGGAGTTTAAGGAGACACCCCGTATTCAGGATACACCAAAGGGGGGGGGGGAGAGGAACAAACCCCTGCAAACAGCCCTCCCGCGATCTTGGGGAGGAGAGGGGGGAGGAAGTTAACAGAATCAAAAAGGGGAAGGTTCAGCATCCTGGGCTAGTGGTGGCCGGAGAGACTGGGGTCTTGCTTGTCAGTGTGGGAGCGCACGTCTGGCTCAAGGCGGCGTGCTGGCGTGCCGTCACGCGGTGGAGCGGCTCGCTCCCAAGAGCGGGGATTCCAGCGCAGGACGTCCGACTGGGGAGCAGAACACACACAGCCGATGAGAGGAGGAAGGTCGCTGCGTTCCTGAAACCCCCGCCCAAATAATTGCCTTAAAAAGCGGGCTCCGGTTCTCAATCCCGATCCCACCCAGTCCTGTAAGGCGGCCTCACCTGCTGGTAGACCTCAAAGCGCTGGGCACGGAAGATACCACCGTAGGCAGAACCAGGGGACTTCAGCCTGGCACCAAAGCCTCCAGAGAAAGGCCTGAGGGGAGAGAAAAAGTCTCCGTGACGAGGCAGCCAAAGGGCCATTTCACTTCTCTCTCGCTGCTCAGGAACCATCTTCCGACACTTGCTACTTTTAACGGGAATGATACTTCTGAGAACTTGCAAAGAGAAGGCACCAGCAACAGGAAGATGCTTTAGGGAAAGGCCTTTCTATGCTTCCTGGCTGACTCAAGGCAATGTGGGTCTGCTCCACAAAATGTGAGATGGGTCCAGTCATCGTCCTTTTATGAGTCTGCTACATATTAACTGGGCGCCAGCACCCCCAGGCAGCATTGGGGGGGGGGCAGTCTTGATAACTGGAGACCTTACAGCATGGGTAGGCCAACAAAGGCCCGGGGGCCAGATCCGGCCCAATCGCCTTCTCAATCTGGCCTGTGGACGGTCCGAGAATCAGCGTGTTTTTACATGAGTAGGATGTGTCCTTTTATTTAAAATGCATCTCTGGTTTATTTGTGGGGCATAGGAATTTGTTCATTTTTTCTTCAAAATATAGTCCGGCCCCCCACAAGGTCTGAGGGACAGTGGACCGGCCCCCTGCTGAAAAAGTTTGCTGAACCCTGCCTTAGTCTGTTTCCAGGACATTTCCTCTGTCTCCAAAGCTCTGCCCCACACAGAACACTCACCTGCCCCCAGAGGGGGGCCGGGCCCCTGGAGACCCCAGGCCATTGAGTTTCCTGTAATCTTGTAGCGGCTTCATTTCCAGAGCGTGGAGCTGGCGGGGGGGAAAAAAACCCTACATCAGAACCAGCGGGTGGGGAGGCCTTTCCCATGGAGCAGAGTCCAACCCACCAGCCCTTTTCCTTACCTCGCTACGGCCCACTCCGCCGTGAGGAAAGGCTCGCACGGCTGGAGAGACGAGGCGCCCGGCTAGCTGCCCGGGCGCCCGCAGAGCCTGTGTGGCCACGGACACTAGGGGCATGGGGGGAGGCGGCGGCTGCGGAGGGGCAGGGGCAGAAGGTGGCGCTTGCTGCAAGGAGCCAAAGTTCACCACGGGGGGCAGCTGGGGCGGCTCCACCACGGGCAACAGGACCTGGGGCAGGACAGAGGAGAGGGGGAAGAGAGAGAGAGAAAGACAGGGGCTGCATTACAATCCTGGACAGTTTTGGTCCAGGAGCTGGGCTGAAAGAGATGGCGCTTCGCTCACCTGCTGGCCAGGGCCTGGGGCAGTCAGGAAGTTGCTCTGGCTGCCTTGCCCCAGGGCGGCTGGGTAGAACTCGGAGGGGGATGCAAGTTCTTGGCGCACCTGCAAGGGAGAAGGGACACGATGATGGCAACTCCCAACACAGGACCAGAGGAGGAGGCCCACTTTGATTGCATCAAAGGTTTCTGAATGCAAGCTCGACATCGGAGCCTTCCTGGATCAGTTCCAAGGTCCACCATAAAGCCAATGGCTCTAGAAAACCGACAAGCAGGGTGTCAGAGGCTAGCTGGCAGCAAATCACACAAGAGTGATTTTTATCAGAAGAACAGGATCTGCTGAGGAGTGCCAGGCCCGCGAGCACAGCAACTCTCTTCAATAAGTCTTGCTCCTAGGAGGCAGTTATGGAGACTACAGGTCCTTGCCTTCCCACAGCTCCCTAAGTGTCCCCTTTCCCTGGGTCCTTCCCAAGCAATCTGAGACTACGTCGACACATCTGCCTCTGCTCCTCTCTCTTCATACCCCTTCTTATTCTGGGAGACCAACAGGTCTGTTGTAGCAGGAGGGGAAGATCCCCCTGGCTTCACCAATCTGACACCTCTCTGCCTCTCCTGCTTTGGGTTCTGGACCTCTCTGCGCCAACAATTCTCTCTGCTCCCTGTTACCTCTTCAATACCTCCTCTTCCCAGTCTTCTCCCTCCGACCACTCATTGTTGTCCCACCACTACTCCCCGAGCTCTGAGCCTTCTTCCTTTGGGGGCCCCCCAGCTGGTGCCTCCCACCAATCCTCTGCGTCCAACCAATCCGTGACACAGGACCTAAGGGCAGGAACGTTCTCCTGTTCGTGATCCGCAGCCACCGGTATTCAGAAGCGTGCGGTCCACGATCCTCAGTAACTGGCAACACTCCTCACATCTGTGGCTCTGGAGCTGCAGAGCGAGCCAACTGAAAAGAAAGCTTGGCTCCTAGGCACAAAGCTACTTGCCTATGAAGAGTAAGGTAAAGGGACCCCTGACCATTAGGTCCAGTCGCAGACGACTCTGGGGTTGCGGCGCTCATCTCGCTTTATTGGCCGAGGGAGCCGGCGTACAGATTCCGAGTCATGTGGCCAGCATGACTAAGCCGCTTCTGGCGAACCAGAGCGGTGCACGGAAGCGCCATTTACATTCCCGCCGGAGCGGTACCTATTTATCTACTTGCACTTTGACGTGTTTTCAAACTGCTAGGTTGGCAGGAGCAGGGACCAAGCAACGGGAGGTCACCCCGACGCGGGGATTCGAACCGCCGACCTTCCGATCGGCAAGCCCTAGGCTCTGTGGTTTAACCCACAGCACCACCCGCGTCCCAAGCTGCCCACTATTATAGACACAGCATGAGGGGAGAGCTCCTGGCTTCCTAAAATGTGACCGCCCCTCCCTGAATTCCCCATTGCCCTGCTCTCTCTCCCAGCTCCCACCCATTTGTGCCACATCATAAACTCTTCCTCTCCAACCTGCCTCCAGAAATCCGGGTTTCCTCTGCACCCCCAATTCCCAGAAGGCCTGCCCTTCAGTTAATTCGCCCACCACAACGCCTAGTACCTGAAGCAGGGCTTGCTCTGGAGCCAGCTGGCTGCTGCAGAAGGCTGAGCTGTAGATGAAGGAAGGAGGGGGAGCCTGGTACAGCAGGCCTGTGGCTGGCAGCTTGGGAAGCTCCGCCGCCTGCAGGGCCGATATCTCCACGTACTGCCCCTTGAGGGCCACCCCCGAAAGCAAGGCGGAGCTGGGCAAGACAGCGCCCCCGGCCGTCTGAGCAGGAGAAGTGGGGGCTGGGCTGGGCTGGAGGTACAGGTGCTGGGACCTAGTGAAGGAAGAAAGCCACAGGTCAGAATCAGAGATGGAAGTCCAGCCCCTGCAATGCAGGGATTCGCTGCTGAAGAATCCTTGACAGGTGGCTGCCCAATCTCTGCTTAAAAACCTCCAACGAAGGAAGAAGAGGAGGAGGAGGAGTTTGGATTTGATATCCCGCTTTATCACTACCTGAAGGAGTCTCAAAGTGGCTCACATTCTCCTTTCCCTTCCTCCCCAACAAACACTCTGTGAGGTGAGGCTGAGAGACTTCAGGGAAGTGTGACTAGCCCAAGGTCACCCAGCAGCTGCATGTGGAGGAGCGGGGAAGCGAACCCGGTTCACCAGATTACAACTCTTAACCACTACACCACACTAGCTCCTAAGTCCACCACCTTCCCAAGGAGGAAGAAGTTGGGCTGATGAACCTCTGAACCCGGCCGATTTGGTGTCACCTAGCTGACCTAGTGCACATACTGTGACCTGCAACGACCTTTCCGGCCTCCTACCTGAGCTGCCTTCAGTCAGAATTGTAGAGTTGGAAGAGACTCCAGCTGCAATGTAGGAATCTAAACTAGTTTATACATGACTAAAGAATCCCTGCAGACGGCCATCCAACCTCTGCTTAAAAACCTCCAAGGAAGGAGGGTCCACCTCTTGTGGCAGTCTGTTCCACTGTTAAACAGCTCCTACTGCCAAAAAGTTCTTCCTGATGTTTAGTCAGAATCTCCCTTTCCTGTAACCTGAATCCACTGGTTTGGGTCCCACCCCCTGGAGCAGCAGACAACAAGCTTGCTCCATGACGCGGTGGCCTGCATGAAGCTAGGTATAGTCTCACCTTTGTGGACCAGACCCAAAGTGCTTCTCACAAAAGACAGGGTGGGAATGCATGCCCTGCTGCAGAGGCTCTGAGGTGTCTCCCTGCCCGCGGACTGTCTCGCCAGAGTGGTGCATGCTCTAGTTATCTCCTGCTTGGACTACTGCAACGTGCTCTATGTGGGGCTACCTTTGAAGGTGACCTGGAAACTGCAATTAATCCAGAATGCGGCAGTTAGACTGGTGACTGGGAGCGGCCACCAAGACCACATAACACCGGTCCTGAAAGACCCACATTGGCTCCCAGTATGTTTCCAAGCACAATTCAAAGTGTTGGTGCTGACCTTTAAAGCCCTAAACGGCCTCGGTCCAGTATACCTGAAGAAGCGTCTCCACCCCCATCGTTCAGCCTGGACACTGAGGTCCAGCTCCGAGGGCCTTCTGGCGGTTCCCTCATTGCGAGAAGTGAGGTTACAGGGAACCAGACAGATGGCCTTCTCGGTAGTGGCGCCCGCCCTGTGGAACGTCCTCCCTTCAGATGTGAAGGAAATAAGCAGCTATCTTATCTTTAAAAGGCAGCCGTGTTTAGGGAAGTTTTTAATATTTAATGCTGTATTGTTTTTAACACTCGAATGGGAGCCACCCAGAGTGGCTGGGGAAACGCAGCCAGATGGACGAGAAAATAAGATAAGATAAGATAATCTATTTATCTTCTATCTATCATCCCTGCCACAAGGGGAGCTCAGAGCCCCATATGCCCCCTTACCTGTAGGTGTGCAGAGAAGGGGTGCTCGGTCGGTAGTTGCTGCCCCCACTCGCGCCGTGAAGCTGGGACTCCAGCTGGGCAGTTTGTACCTGAAGAAAGAGGATGCAAGGAACCTTTCAGAGGAGGTGGGAGAGCTAAAACCATTCCCCCTGAGCTGTGCCAGAGGCCCCACAGCAACACACGAGGCGCCCCCCTCTGCCCTATCTGCCAAGGTAGGTACCTGGTTCCCATAAAACAGCTCCGGGTACAGCCGCTGACCCTGGCCCCTCTCACCTGTTGGGAGGAAGAAGCACAGTCAACCACTGCTCTGGCTGGGAGCCGCATAACGTGAGCAATCGCCCCTTTCCGTTCCAAATGCCCCTCCATACCTGAGAACACGGAAGTGTCTGCTGGGAGGCTGTGCAGGCAAGATGCTGGGGCTACGGGGAACGGCCGGGCCTCGCAGCCGCGACCAGGAGGCGCCTCGGGGGAAGCTCGGTGGCTGGGAGGTGCTGGCGGAAGCAGCTCCCACTCCCTGGGGGCCGAGGTCAGCTGCAGAGAGAGAGGAGGCAGGGGAGTCAGTGGAGGCAACCAAGCTCTAGGCTTCCTTTCTAAACGGACCAAATGTTTATTCCCTCGTACAGATTTAAACTCTACCTTGCCACGTGCAGACATATACTAATAGAGAAATCATATTAACAGTTTAACCCCCTGCACCGCAATGACAGTAAATCCGGCAAAATATATTCCGTACCACCCAGGTCTAACAGCTACATTTTCAGCCTGCAGAGGTTTTGGGGAAAACTGCCAAGGGCAATCCCACGCACAACAGGTTGCAGAAATCAAGCCCCAATATCGCTTGTACATCAGTATCTTTTCTGATTTTATCTTCCGTGGAATACGTGGTTTAAAAGGGTGCATGTTGTAACCCGCCCCGACACCTTAGGGTGAGGGGATAATAGATAGATAAACTTTATTCGCATTAGCCGACGGCCACAGCAACATAAAACAAGCAATATATACAATTAAAAAGACAACAATGGGTTGAAAGGGCAATCAAATGACCAAGATTATCGTTCAGATAGTGGCCCTTAATCTCACTGCACCCTCGATAAACCTAGCAACCTTTGCTGTTGTCTTGATCATTTTGATCTGATAAAAGAAAGAACAATGTGGCCGCAGATGGGTGGCCTGGGAAGGTAAGTAAGGGTGGGGTAATGATCTCATTCCTCAGATCTTTATAAAGGTTAGGGGGAGGGGAGGGAAATATTAGTAATATGCAGCGGACTGATGGGCAGCAACAGCGAGGGGGGAGAGAGATGTCCCTGCTCCCATCCAGGAATCTGGCCAAGACTGGCCTTTCAAAAGAGAATCCAGTTTAATCCTGGAATGCAAGGTCACCCACTGCCCAGCTAGCAAAGCCAAGCTCTTTTGCAGCCCTCCAAGCTGAACTCAAGGGGGGTGGGGTGGGAAGAGAAGAGGGAGCCCCAAATCAGTGCTGGCACGGCTTCCCTACTTACCCCCTCGGCAAGTCCCTGGTGCAGCTCTTCTTTGTCTGGCTTCGGCCCTTCGTTCACCATGAAGCGAAGGTCAGCATCCTGAAGGGGGCGAAAACCAAGGGGAGGGGGTTGGAATCTGAGTCTGGCACTCGGACGAGAAGGGATGGCAAGGCACATGCGTCTTGGCACTTACCTTATCGCTAGCGCCAAACTGGATGGGGGGGCAGGCCCCGGGGGACTCGAGCTGGGGGTTTGGCTCGGACGTCATCGCACCCAGAGCCTCTGCGCTGTTGTCTTTTGCTTTCTCCACTCGCTGGGAACGCTCTGTGCCAATAGCACCAGGGGGAGGGTGGTCCCGGGGCAGCGGCTCAGGGGAGTTGCTCACCTGTTGCAGGAGGAGGAGGAGGAGGAGGGGTGGTGAAACTCATGGGCCCTTTGAGACCATGGGGGTGGCAAGCAGTTTAGCCGGAGGGCAGTATCCAGGCTCACTTTCCAGAGGTGTTTTTTTTGGGGGGGAAGGGGGTTGAGCGGAACTGCTGCGGCTGTTACTTCACATTTATTTAGCACCAACTGATGCTTGCAGCTGAAGTGAAAGCACTTAAAAAACAACAACACATATTTATGAGTGCAAAGACAGGCATGAAGGTATGTAAGGGGGAGAATTATGCCTGGTAAGGTAAAGGGGACCCCTGACCATTAGGTCCAGTCATGACCGACTCTGGGGTTGCGGCGCTCATCTCGCTTTATTGGCCGAGGGAGCCGGCGTACAGCTTCCGGGTCATGTGGCCAGCATGACTAAGCCGCTTCTGGCGAACCAGAGCAGCGCACGGAAACGCCGTTTACCTTCCCGCCGGAGCGGTACCTATTTATCTACTTGCACTTTGACGTGCTTTCGAACTGCTAGGTTGGCAGGAGCAGGGACCGAGCAACGGGAGCTCAGCCCGTCGCGGGGATTCGAACCGCTGACCTTCTGATCGGTAAGTCCTAGGCTCTGTGGTTTAACCCACAGCGCCACCCGCATCCCTATTATGCCTGGTACTATTTTCAAAATCAGTGCAGGATTTCAGGGGGTGGAAGTGTACATTCCCTGCCTGGATTGTTGCCAGTTCCCCAAGATTAGGAGAAAATGTGAAAATGATTTATGTATATAATGGAATTCAATCTGGTGAAGAGCCTGGGGTAGTTTTGCTTGGATAAAAATTTAACCGCAGAGACCTGCATGTTCTTCAATCCTGCTACCCCTCCTGAATATACTTTCAGAAAGAGAAAGAGAAGTTGCCTGAAAGAATCCCAAGAAGAACTTGGGGTGCACGGTCCGTGTTGGATACCAATGCACCCCACACCAAGATTCCTTGAAACCACCAACATGTGGACTCCTTTCTAGCAAGAAGAGGGCAGGGGAAGCTGTTGTGGGAAAGTGGAGCAGGATGCAGCTGTTGTGGCTGTAAAGGGGCGATGCTTTCTTTGCTGCTAAAAGGATCTTTGGAAGGTGGGAATCCTCCTAGCAGCCTTGCATTTCTCACAGATCCCCATTTGTAATGCCGAACCGAGGCCGAGGACCAAGTCCTAACTGGAGCAAAAATGACTAGAAGAGCTCAAGAGAGAAATGAGGTGGCTGACTCAGGAGAAGAGGCGATTTCAGAAGCCAAATCAGGATGGGAGAATTAACTGTGTCAAGAGGTGGCAATCACGGGAAGGGCAGTGGAAGAGCCAAAAGAGGACACGTCAGTCAGCACAAAACACACACACACACACACACACACACCAGAAGCCTTTGGGAGAGCTGTTTCAGTAAAACAAGGTGGGGTGGAACCAATCCAGTAAAGGAAACCATTAAGGCAGTGGTGGCCAAACTCAGCCCTCCAGATGTTTTGGGACTACAATTCCCATCATCCCTGACCACTGATCCTGTTAGCTAGGGATGATGGGAGTCGTAGTCCCAAAACAGCTGGAGGGCCGAGTTTGGCTACCGCTGCATTAAGGAAACCAATGCAGCTGCATGCTTTATATCAGTGCTGACTGAAGATGTGGCGACACACCAGAGCTACTTGTGTACCTTCTTGTCCTTCAGCAGACTGGAGTCTCTGGATGGCGGGGGCCGCCTCCTCTGCTCTTTTGGCTCTGCTCCTTCCGGTCCGGCTGCAGCAGCGGCAGCGGCTGCATCCTCGGTGCTTTTGCCGATGGCTCCGCTGCGCTTGGCCCCAGCATCTGGTGTGGCCTTCAGACCCCCGTCGGGAGAGCTGCGCTGGCTGCAGGTGGCCGAGGAGACCTGTGAGTCGCTGCTGAGGTCCACCCCGCTGTCAGACAGGCTCATCTGGGCAAGGGGCAAAGCAGAGTCAGCAAACAGGGTTAGGGGACAGAAAATAATAATAACAATTTATTATTTATACCCCGCCCATCTGGCTGAGTTTCCCCAGCCACTGGGCAGCTCCCAATCAAGTGTTAATAAATATTAAAAGCTTCCCTAAACAGGGCTGCCTTCAGATGTCTTCTAAAAGTCTGGTAGCTGTTTTTCTCTTTGACATCTGGTGGGAGGGTGTTCCACAGGGCGGGTGCCACTACCGAGAAGGCCCTCTGCCTGGTTCCCTGTAACTTGGCTTCTCGCAGCGAGGGAACCGCCAGAAGGCCCTCAGTGTCTGGGCAGAACGATGGGGGTGGAGACGCTCCTTCAGGTATACAGGACCGAGGCCATTTAGGGCTTTGAAGGTCAGCACCAACACTTTGAATTGTGCTCGGAAAGCTCCCTCATTGGCAAATCCCAGCTCTGCCCTGGAAAGGAAGCCTCTGCAGAGCATGCGCCTGATCCATCCCATCTCAACGGACCTCACCTCTGTACTAGCAACCTCTTCAAAGGCGTTCAGAGGGTCGATCCAGGGCTCCACAGAGGCAGGGCGGTAGCTCTTTCGGGAGGAGTCTGATGAAACAAAACACAGGGGCACCTCTGAGCCAGGAATGTTTGCTCTCTCTCCCCTGATCCCAAGAGCTGCTCCCTCTCGCTGCCAGTTCTGATTTCCCAGCCTGCCTCAGGAGCAGGGCCCTTCCTTCTTCTCCACATGCTTGCAATCACTCACTGGAATTCAGCTGGTTCCAGATCTGTGGGGCGAGCCCCTCGGACACTGGAACGCTCCTGCTGCGAGGTTCACCGGGGGTCTCCTCTTTGGGGGCCGAGAAGCCAGGGCCGCTGGGGAAGGGAATGGGTTCCTGAGAGAGACAGGGGACAGACACGTACGTGAGACCTTGAGAAGCTGGGCAGCCATCCTTTTTTTAAAAAAAAATATTATTGAATGATTTTATGTTACAAAAACATTACAACCATACTACCACAAAATATAATTGAGAAATAAAAATTACATACCTCAATATTTTGTTATTTGTTATTTACCCTCTTATTTCCTCCCAAACATTCCATACAAAACACACACCCGCACGAACACAGAAAAAAAGAAAAGAAAATAATGCTAATGATAATAATGAAAATAAATATTTTGACTTCCCGTCAAGTCCCTTTGCATATGTTTTATCTTACAATTGAATGTACACAAAACAATAAACCTTTCTATATAAATTTTCCAATCCACCTCCTTTTACTTCGTCACTCGAATGCTAGCACGGAGTCAAAATTATTATTGTATTTTTGAACATATCTTCTATAACCATCCAATTTTTCTGCAAATTTTTGCTTTGAGTTTCCTCTGAGTTTGCTAGTCAATTGAGCCATCTCCACAAATTCCAGTAATTTAATTTGCCAATCTGTTATTTTTGTAGCCTCCTGATCTTTCCATCCCTTGGCCACGAGTATTTGAGCTGCTGCAGTTGCAACCTTCCTTCTGCTTCATGCCACGCGATTACATAAAAAGAGAAAATCGCTTACCTGCTGGAGTAGGTCTTGCTTCCGGGGCCTTTCCCGGCGCTTTGCAGAAAAGCCACCCAATGCACTGGACTCCTTCACTGGGGCACTGCTGGAGAGAAGCAGCTGGTTCTTGTCCAGGAAGCAAGAGTCTGAATTGGGGGGGATGGAAACAAACAGCAAAATGGGATTGCAGTGGGGAAGGAGCAGGCATCTGGTCCCTGCCGAGACCAGAAGCACTTGGAAATACACTTCAACAAGACCTGCCAAAGCCCATTAGCAGCCGATCTTAGAATCAGAGTTGGAAGGGACCCTAACCCGCTGCAATGCAAGAATTTCAACATGCAGCCCCCCATCCAATCTGAAACCATACCGGGCCCTGCTTAGCTTTGGAAATGTAAGACCGTATTGTGCATTGGGAGAGCCGCTGCAGAACTTGTTAGCTCCTAGAAAGTCCCTTGTGGGGGAGTGGGGAGAGGGACGGGCATCCTGAAATAACTGCAGCCCCCTGGAGCAATGGAAGAGCTGATTAAGGCACTCAGCACAGATACTGGTCATGTGTCCCATCACACTCGTCAACTGAGCCAAGTAAGATAATGACCAATGGCAAATTACCGTATTCTTCTGTGTACAGTGGTACCTCAGGTTAAGAACTTAATTCGTTGTGGAGGTCCATTCTTAACCTGAGGTGCCACTTTAGCTAATGGGGCCTCCCGCTGGCGCCCTGCGATTTCTGTTCTCATCCTGAAGCAAAGTTCTTAACCCGAGGTACTATTTCTGGGTTAGCCGAGTCTGCAACCTGAAGCGTCTGTAACCCAAGGTACTACTAGGTTCCCCCCCCTTAAAAATAATGTCAAAAATTTGGGAGCGTCTTATACATGGATACATCTCCTCCCATTTTCTTAATCAGAGCCCCCCAAAATAGGGGGCGTCTAATAGACGGAAAGATGAATGAATTTAATCTCTTCCAAGACAAAGAAATCCGGATCCCCTGGTTACGAAGCACAGACTCTGCCCATTACCTGCGCTGCCACTGTTCCTACTCTCGAAGCGTCGCAGTGGGAGGGCAGAGGAGTTGCTGCCCCCAGGCCCCAGGAAGGGAGGCTGGGCAGGGCCAGGGGAGGCTGGCTTTGTGTGGCGGCTGCCCAGTTCAGCCAGAGCCTGCTGGATGCCAGCTGGGTCGCTGTGGATGACGCGGTCCAAACGATACACTGTGCTGGTGGTGGGTGCTGGGGGAAGGCTCAGGCCCGGAGAGTGGTCATCGGTGTTCCGGCTAGAGGAGGAGCAGGAAGCAGGAAACATTATGGCAGCGGACCGGGGATTTCCTTGGCTGGTTCTCCCTCCCTCTCCATCAACAAGTCATCTTCAAAATTCCCAGTTTTTGATGGTGACCATTTCACTTACGGAACTTATGTAGGACTGCCCTGTCTTCTGTCTGTTCCCAACTTCCCATGGTCAAACTAGATTCCTTCCTCTGTTTTTTACCACTAAGGGGCTGAAGATTCATTAACTTTTGTGGCCAAATGACAGTGGGGCATAACGTTCCACAAATATGCTTTAAAAGAATACTACCGGAAAAGGGAAACAAGGGACAGAATATACGGAAGTTTTTGCACGCATAGAACGAGGCCAACTCACTTGTCGTGACTCCCCAATCCCTATATCTACTCTGGAGGTTTGGAGGAACAGGAAAGTTAGGCGGAGGAAAGTCACATTGCAAAGGTGGACTTTGTTGGGTGAAATAATACTTCACATAGCACTCTATGTGGGGCTGCCCTTGAGACTGACCCAGAAACTCCAGCGGGTGCAGAATGCCGCGGCAAGGCTCCTTATGGGGTCCTCGCTGCGGGATCACATTCACCCGGTGCTATACCAGCTGCACTGGCTCCCGGTGGAGTAGAGGATCAGGTTTAAGGTGCTGGCTTTAACCTTTAAAGTCCTATACGGCCTAGGACCCTCGTACCTACAGGACCGCCTCTCCTGGTATGTCCCACGGAGGACCTTACGGTCTTCAAATAAAAACATCTTGGAGATCCCGGGCCACAGGGAGGTTAGGCTGGCCTCAACCAGAGCCAGGGCTTTTTCGGCCGTGGCCCCGATCTGGTGGAACACCCTGTCACAAGAAACTAGGGCCCTGCGGGACTTGACATCTTTCCTCAGAGCCTGCAAGACAGAGCTGAACCACCAGGACTTTTGCCAAGGCACAGCCTGACCCCCTCTTTTGGTAATTCTTCACAGAACTCTAGCCCAATGGTTGCAATTAATTTGATTATGAATTGATTTTAGAATGTATTTCAATTGACTGTGATTTTATGTAAACTGTGCTAGTCTTGCTGTTGTTAGCTGCTCTGAGCCTGGCTTTGGCTGGGGAGGGCGGGATATAAGTAAACTGTTATTATTATAAGCCAAATGCCACCTGTGTTTTCTTTTCCATCTTATTTCTCTCTAGCTCTCTGCCATTCCAGTTTTGTCTACCAACCCCCTGCCCCCCTCCATCTTTTGGGCTTTCTCCTCCGAGTACTTGCCTGCGATTCTTGGGAGAGGGCCAGCTCCTCTTGTCCCCTCCGCTGCGCCCACCACCACTCCCTCCGCGGCCAGCCTTGCCTCCTCCTCCTGGGCCAGGGTTGGAGCGTCGGTTCTGCCGGTCCATGCCAGGCCTCTGGCTGGAGAAGCTGCGTTTGGACATCTCCTTCCTCTGGGCTAAGCTGAGCTCGTTGTTGGAGGGCCGCCCGCCCACCGAAGGGGCCCCAGAGCAGCCACCTTTGAGGAAGGCGGTGGGGGGAGGCCCGCCAGGCGCCGGTTCCTTCTCCCCGCCGCCCCGGCGCTCTGTGAAGTCGCTGCTCTCCGAAGCCGTCTCCCACTCCTCATTCGCCTGGTCCGAGTTCTGGTTGGACAAGTCGGGAGATTTTGTGCCAGCCACGCGCCGGGCAGCCGATTCCTCGGGGAGTGGGGCGGCAGGCGCTGGGGAGAACGGTTGGCCGGCCCTCTGCTCGCCGTTGAGTCGGGCCGCGTTCTCGCGCTCCTGCTTCAGCCTCCGGAACCGGGGCGGCTTGTCCTGCTGCTGCGAACGCCCGTGGCGCCGGCGCCGGGGTGGCCGGTCAAAGCCACGGTCCGAGCCAGGGCCAAGAGGCGGCGGAGGTGGCTGCTGCTTTAAGGGGGCCTGGAAACCCCCGGATTCTTCAGGGGCCATCGCTGGAGGGCCTGATGGCGCCTTCTCTTTGCCCGACGGCTCCAGAACCGCCTCTTGCTGCTTATCGGGCTTCTTATTGGGCTGGGGCTTGGAAGGAGGGCTCCACCCCCCAGGGGGCGCACGGCCACCACCTCGGCCCCGGCGTGAGGGAACGCCGCGAGGGGTGAAGACACGCCCGCCACGGGTGCCAGGGTCTGAGAGGCGCGGAGGCAGCTTGTCGGCAAAGCGAGGCAAGCCAGGGTGCTGGGAGGAGGGGGCCATGGCAGAAGTCACAGGAGGGGCCCGGCTGCGATGGCTGGGGGCCGGCTCCTTGGTCACCTCCTTGTCCGAGTGGGCCACGTCGCTGGCGCTCTCGTGCGTCTCGCTGCCCGTCTCGGAGCCCCGCTGGCGCCGCCGCTTGGGTATCTCTTCGTACTCCGAGCCTTCGCTGCGTGTCTCGCTGGCGTTGCGCGGGCGGAAGGTGGAGCCTGGCCCGGCCGCTTTGCCCACGCCGTCATCCAGCCGGTAGAAGGGTTCGCGGTAGCTGCGGAACTCCCGGCTTCTCCCGCGCCCCCCTCTCCCGCGCCCGCTATAGGCACCCCGGAAACCTCGCCCTCGGGCAAAGTACTCTCCTCGGCCCCTGGCCCGCCCCCGGCCGGCGTAGCCGCCACGCTCGTAGGGGGGCTCCCGGCGCCGCCGGCTTGGCGACAGTGTGCCAGTGTGCTGCTGCTCTTTGGGTGGCATCACTGTTCCGCCGTTCACCACCGGCTTGGCCTTGTTCTCCTTGCCCGCTTTCGGAGGCTCTTTAGGGAGCTCGGGTTTGCTGCCCGCTGCCTCGGCCCCCTCTTTGGCCTTCCCAGCGGAGCGCATCTCCTCGCTTTCGTCTTTTGCCTCCTTAGGGGGAGGCGGCGGCTTCTTGATGGGCCCGGCTCGCCGTGGGGCCTTGTCCCCAGAAATCTCCTCAATCCTCCGGCTGCTGCCGGGACGGGGCCCCCAGCGCGTCTCCGTCTTGGACTCGCGCCGCGGCTGCTTGTGGAATTCATGCTGTTGCCGCGGGGGCTTCTCCATCCGCCGCAGGACCTCCTCTTTGACCAGAGGCTCCTCCTTCGGCTGCTCCGAGGGAGGCTTCTTAGCCACCACTGGCCGAATGATGGGAGGCTCAACAGTCTTGATCTCTTCTGGGGGGTCCCGGTGCAGCAGCTGGGGCTCCTCCTCGCTCTTGCGGGGCAGCTGGACCGGTGGCTCAGGGCGCCCGTTTCTGCTCACCTCTGTGGGTGCCGTCAGAGCCATGGTGGCCTGCCAAGGGGGACCCGCTCGCGGTGGCTCATCCACGGGGAAGCGGTGCATTGAGGCAGGGTTGCCGTTTTCAGAGAAACCCTGGTAGTTTCCCATGTAGGGCTGGGGAGTGATGGCCTCACGCAGGCGAACCGGAGGGGTCTCGCTCCTAAAGGAAGGAGAGCAAGGGTGATTGAAAGGTCCTCTATTCTGGGGCCACCCACTGACGACCCCAAGCAGTGTCAGCTGTCACTCCAAACTGCCACAAGTGGCAGGAGACCCTCAACCGCTAGGGATAGGACACAAGACAGTGAGCCCATCCCACTCTCATTACAGCAGTCAAGAAACTGTAAGGTCCTCAACTCCATGACTTGCTACGTGGTTCCAATAACAAAAGGACCTTTAAAACGAACATGGGACAACCTCAGCCTCCCCCCGCTGCAAGATCTTGCTCCCGGCCTACCCAACAGACGTTTGCTCACCGTAAGCCCTTCTCTTCCTCTTCCTGCTGCCGAAGGGATGCCGTTTGAGACCTCGAGTCTGCACCGGAAGGGGCATTGGTGAAGACATCTCCAGCCCAGGCCAGCTTGGGATCAACCGGCGGAGTGCCACGCTCTCGGAGGATCGAAGGATGGCGTTCAAACTGCTCTGAACTGGAGCCCCCGCTGTCTGATCGCTCACGGGGCAGGAGACCTAAGGGGTGAACAGAAGACACACCCGTTGCGAGTCAGGCCTACCGGCTCTGACAGTCTTCTAAAAGGCTGCCTGCTCAACTGCACTTGGGCGAGCCTGGACTTCCTTTTCTTCAGCTCTACTTACCGGAAGGATGGACCCCAGGGGGGTAGAAGTCTATGGGGGGCCGCCCTTGCATCACACGTGGGTCCATGTAAGGCGGAATCATCATCCACCGAGGATCAAAGTTCATCTGCGGCATGGGGGGCGGCCTTCCAATGGAGCCGGGGTACATGCCTTTGGGCGGGGCCTGCTGTGCTGGAGGCGGGGCTGGGGGTGGCTGCTGCCCTGCCGGCCCAGGCTGAGCATGGACACTGCCTGAGGGCCCCATGGCAGCCAGAGGAGCCCCTGTTGCCTGCTGCTGGGAAGGGGAAGCCATCGGGGACTGGACTTGGCTGTGTTGTTGCTGCTGCTGCTGCTGCCATTGCTGCTGCTGCTTCAGTAACTGCTCCTGAAAAGGGGGTTGGGGGCAAAGAGGAGAGTGACCTCAACAGCACACTAATGAGAGACCTCCACTTCCTGCGACGCGTGTGTCGCTAGATGGAGAAGTTGTGAGTTGCTCAGGTAGCTGCGAGGACATCAGGGGGTGTCAGAGACTCTAGTCTAAAGACTCATCACTGCAACGGAACCTCAGCCAAGTTGCTTCCTGATCTCGGGCCCCACCCCAACTGATCCTTCCCCTGTTAGGAGCAAGTGCCCAGCCCAAGCACCTGCCTCCACCCCCGTACCTGCTGCTGTCGCTGGAATCGTGGAGGCAATGACTTCTGGTACTTGGAATAGCTGAGGGTCTGAGCCGGAGGCGGCTGGCGGGCCTGAAGGACCGTCTCGGCTTTGGGCTCCACCTTGGCTGGGGCAGGAGCGGCCGGGAGAGCAGGACCAGGCAAGGTGGGTGGCTCTTCCCGCACTTCGGGGACTTCCTTGGGAGGCGGAGCCACAGCGGGCTCAGCTGTTGCAGACGTGCACAAGACACAAACAAAAGAAAGGCAAGCTTTGTGAGGCAGCAGGCGGACTCTGGGTTCAACCTTGCTGATCTCTGGAGCCCGGGGTGGGGAGCCTGCAGCCCTCCACAGGGAAACTGGGGCTCCCAATTTCTGGCCTGGCCTATGGTCAGGGATGATGGCAGCTCAGAGTCGAGCATCGCATGAGGGGGCCACAGATCCCAGCAAATCAGCAGGCAAGTCGGCATGCTGCATGAACCCTGTTACCAGGGACATGGGATGCTGCCTGACGCCAGGTCAGGCCTTTGGGCCACCTAGCTTATCCCAGACTCACTCCCAGCTGAAATCTTGGGAGAGCCGCTGCCAATACAGTACTGAACTAGGTGGACCCAATGGTAAGAACTCAGGAGGAAGACGACGCGACAGCTTCCTATGTCCCTATGACTCAAATGACAGCAACATCACCTGACAGCTTGCCATGTGTGTAATGGCCGCTGCAACACACAGCACTGGGCTCCTTTGGGGCGGGAGGGCAACGCAGCAATTCAATAAATAAAAAAAGTGGGAGATTTGTACCATCGGCCTAGAATCATTTGGCCATGAGAAACGCAATGTGGCATGTCAGCAGGCAGATCAGGCAAAGGTGCCTTCCTGTTTTCCTTTTATTGCATACTTTGGGCTTTCCCCCTCTCATTTCTTGCCGTTGTTTCATTGTACTTTTCAATCCGATGATTTTTCACTTTGGTTGCTAACTACCTTAGAATATATCTATATAAGAACACCAAAAATAAAAGCCAAGTTTACCAGCGCCGGAGGAGTCCAAGCTGCTCCTGCCGCTGCTGCTCGCCACAGCACTGTGAGGTTTGCTGGCCAGCACGGGCTCCTCTTTCTCCCTCTTCTCCTCAGGGGCGACTGGGGCAGCCGGCGGGTTGGGGGGCACAGGGGTGGGAGCTGGAGGGGGAGGGGGAGGAGGAGCAGCCACAATGACGGGAGGCGGCGGCTCCTTGGGAGGCTCGGGCTTCAAGCGCTTGTCGGGAGCTCCAAACTTCTCATCCAGGCGCTTGAGCTTCTCGGCGCAAGCCGCCCGCCGCTCCTCTTGCATGCGCCGCTCCTCCTCTTCCCGCCGGCGTCTGGCCCGCTCCACCGCGGCAGAGATCTCCGAGGAGGACTGCTTCCGCCGCTGGCGCCAAGCTTCGTCCTCGTCTTCTGGGGGGAGCGGCCGCAGTGAGCGGTCCTGGATGGCAAAGAGAGAGAATCCCTCGCTCAAAGCTGTTCTGCCGGAAGGAAACCTGAGCTGGAAGCTCAACTCCCAAAAACCCTCGAGGAGAGCAGAGTTTGTCCCTGCTCACACCCGTGTTCCCTCACTAAGAAGCCCAAAGGCCCAAATCCAAGTATCGAAACATCCGCATGGAAGCTGCTCTGTTCCTTCACGGCTTCATCCCTTCAATAACTCCAGCGTGGAAGTTCTAGTTAAAGCTGAGATAGAGTGGGCTAATGCCTAGTGCCACCCAAATGCCTATTTTATTTTAGCCGAAAAGCAGAGCATAAATCAAAATAACGATGTCAACGTGCGTTGTTCCGGCTAAGGAAGTCTTCTATTTTTACAAGAAGAAGAGAAGAGGAGTTTGGATTTGATATCCCGCTTTATCACTACCCGAAGGAGTCTCAAAGCGACTCCTTTCCCTTCTTCCCCCACAACAAACACTCTGTGAGGTGAGTGGGGCTGAGAGACTTCGGAGAAGTGTGACTGGCCCAAGGTCACCCAGCAGCTGCATGTGGAGGAGCGGAGACGCAAACCCGGTTCACCAGATTACGAGTCTACCGCTCTTAACCACTTCACCACACTGACATTCGTTTCACTGGTTTACCTGGAAACCCAATGCAATCTAATGTACGCCCCTTGAATGAGGAGACCTGGGTTCTCCACACTTTGGCCCGCCTGAATAGCAGCTGCCAACCGCAGGCGCTCTCAAGCAGGACTTGTAGCCTGCATATACTCACCGGGAAGTCATTGGGTTGCCCCCAGTTGCCCCGGTTGGGGGGTGGCGGCGGCGGAGGTGGCGGTGCCCGGACTGCAGCGGCAGGTGGTGGCGGTTCTTTGCCACCTTCTGGGGGACGTGCGTTTTCGGCCCAGGCTGCTTTGACGAGGGGTTGATCCTCTTTTGGAGTTCCAGCCTTCTTGGTGTCTGTGCCCGACGACTGGCTTTCTGGGCCGGAAGCCTCATCAATGCTTGGGGACAGAGGTGAAGAGAGAGGTGTCAAATGGGGCCACTTGGATCCTGCACCTTCTGCTCAGAGCTGGCGGGGGGCAGGGAGCGAGCAGGTATTTTTGTGATGTAGCTGCAGCCAGGCAAGAATGACTTTTCTGTAAGATGATCCCATGTGGCTCAGGGCTGCAGCTCAGAAGCAGGCACCTGGGGGGCGGGGGGGTCACCCGTCTCACAAAACCAACATGCTTTGTGACAGCTGCATGGAACAAACGCGGTTATTGGCCATACCACTGCCTAATCTTACCGGTTCTCAGTGGTTTCTTCATCAGACTCTTTCCCGTCCTCTTCATCGCTGAATTTCAGCTTCTCAGTGTAGTCCACTTCTTCGTGGGCTCCTGTGGGAGACAAATAGGATGTCTTTTGATTGACAGATCCAATAACAAGAAACTCTTCCAAGAGTCCCAGCTCCTGTGGGTAGCTCTGTGCATAGGCTCTTCCATTACCTGCCCAGCCTTCATCATTCTCCTGGTCCAGCTCATCAAATTCTTTCAGGTCATCCTGCTTGAGGACGGGGGGCCGGCTCACAGGCTCTGACACGCGCGCTGCAGGCTGCGAAGGGCGGGGTCCTGGAAGCCGCTGGAACCTGGAGATGATGGAGATCAACAGAAACGTCACACCTCTGACTTTCCTTGCTGCTGATCTAAATAATAACGTTGCTCTAACCCCAGCAGAGCAGTGCAGTGTAGCACTCCAGGCGCTGAAGGACCAAAACTCCCACCATTCCTCAACACCAGCCATGCCAGGAAATACTGGAGAGCTACAGATTCCCTGCCCCTGCACTAAGGGGACCAAAGGATCAAGTACTAGTACCTCGGGTTAAGTACTTAATTCATTCCGGAGGTCCGTTCTTAACCTAAAACTGTTCTTAACCTGAAGCACCACTTTAGCTAATGGGGCTTCCTGCTGCTGCCGCGCCGCCGGAGCACGATTTCTGTTCTCATCCTGAAGCCAAGTTCTTAACCCGAGGTACTATTTCTGGGTTAGCGAAGTCTGTAACCTGAAGCGTATGTAACCTGAGGTACCACTGTACTACGAAGTAGTATCTGCCTTCCCTTGTGTAACAGCCAGTCTTTTCCTACATGGAGTCAGAGAGAAGGCATGAAGATTAGGGTTTTGTGGTGCACCGGCCTCCAGGCCATATTTGTATCCCAGGCTGCAGAGAAATCAGGAGACAGTCTTGAATTCTACTGATTCAGTGTCAGCTTCTGATGGTGCAACAGGAAGTCTATACAGTGGTACCTTGGGTTACATACGCTTCAGGTTACAGACTCCGCTAACCCAGAAATAGTACCTCGGGTTAAGAACTTTGCTTCAGGATGAGAACAGAAATCGTACGGCGGCAGCGGGAGGCCCCATTAGCTAAAGTGGTACCTCAGGTTAAGAACAGTTTCAGGTTAAGAACGTACCTCCAAAATGAATTAAGTTCTTAACTTGAGGTACGACTATAGAGGAATTCTCTTCCATGTGTGAGCATGGTGGGAGCAGAGAAGGGAAAGTTGCCCCTCTATATCCTCCACTATTTCACAGATGCCACTTCCTGCTCCCTCCAGCTTCTGATTGATCCGATCGGCCCAAAGAGACTCCAACCACACACTTTCCCTTTGTTGTCCACCTGCTCAATTACAAGCTTAGTTCTCGAACATTTTGGCTCCTAAACGCTGCAAATCTGGAAGTGAGTGTTCTGGTCTGTGAACTATTTTTGGAAGCTGAACATCTGATGGGGCTTCAAAATGTTTCAGAAGTCGAACAGACTTCCAGAACGGATTCTGTTTGACTTCCCAGGTACGACTGTACAAGGAACCCAAAACATCTGGCTCCAGTTACGAAGAGCTGACTGCAATCTCCTGCAGTTCCCCTCACTTGCTCCTGTTCCTGGTCCTCTATATACTTTCCCCTTCTGCCACAAAGATCACTTGCCATTATCACATTATTATTTTTTAAATTCAAAAAACCCCTTACCTCTGCGCCTCTGGTGTGGGGTAGCGGTAAGGTCCCTGCGGCCCATATGGAGGTGGGAACGGGAGGTACGGGGGATACATCTGAGATGGGGTAGGGGAGAAATTGGTTACTGGAAAGTTTCCCCTCTCTCTTCCGTTTCCCCTGCCCTCAAACAAGGAAGCAGGTGGCCAAAGTAACTTGGCACCTCCTCTTCCGCAATATACTTACAAATGGCGGCATCATCCCCCGGTAGGGAGGGAACTGAGGCGGGATGTTGGGCTGCAGGCCAACCCCAGCCCGTCCGTCCTCGGGCACCAGCTCCCCGTCAGTGCCCCGCCCACCTCCATCCCGCCAACTGGTAGCGTCTGCAAGAGATTGGGCGGAAGAGAAGTTAAGAACGGAAGATGTGTCTGGCTGGATCAGGCCAGTGGCCAACATCCTGCTCTTACAGGGGCCAACCAGATAATATAAAGCCCATGGAAATCCTGAAAGCAGAACCTGGGTGCAATACCTCCCTCCACCCCAAAGCAACTGGCATTCAGAGACAGACTGCCTCCAACAGAGAAGCCTATCTCCATGTGGCCATAGTGGCTAGTAGCCTTGACCCCCACCCATTTTTAACTATGTGATATGTGAAGGGCTTTTTTTGTCTGTCTTCCCCCTTCCTCCCCACAGGACCGCCTCTCCTGGTATGCCCCGCAAAGGACCTTAAGGTCCACAAATGACAACATTTTGGAGGTCCCAGGTCGCAAGGTGGTTAGGTTGGTCTCAACTAGGGCCAGGGCCTTTGCAGTACTGGCCCCGACTTGGTGGAACGCTCTGTCACAAGAGACTAGGGCCCTGCGGGACTTGACATCTTTCCGCAGGGCCAGACAGAGCTGTTCCGCCTGGCCTTTGGTTTGGACTCAGTCTGACCCTTGTTTCCCTCCCCTTACGGTTTTGATGAGGCTGCATTTTAACCCGTATTTTAAATTGGTTTTTTCCCCCTATTACGTTTTTACTGTAATTTTACTGTCGTTAGCAGCCCTGAGCCCGGCTCTGGCTGGGGTAATAATAATAATAATAATAATAATAAGCTTCATTAGATGTCCCCAAGTGAAGGAGGAGAAAATCTTCTGGCAACGGTGGATAATGACAATGCCCCCCCCCACTCCCAGCTTGCTCTGGGGCCCAGAAGCAACAGACGCTTGAGAAAAACCACTCACTCTGGGGGCGGAGGTTTGGTCCGGGCCCATACGACGCATCGGTAGTGTCCTTTTCTTTGCCAGCTTTGTCCTGGTCGCCAGCCGCCTGCAGGGTCGGAAATTCCTCGCGAGAGAATCGCGACAGTAGGCTTGATCCCTTTCCACCTTGACATCAGAGAAAGAAAGCCCAGGTGGGTCCTTTACAAGGGCCTCTAACACATCTGGGGCGATGGCAGCACACCAGAGCGTTGAGCACCAGGAGTTGGGCCTTTTTGTTGGTGGCCCCATATCTCTGGAATACCCTTCTCCAGGGAAATACACGTGCAGCTTTCTCTGCTGGTCTTTCCAAGAAGTTTGATGTACAATGTTTTAGGAGTGGCAGCAAAAAATATATATGCTGTTATAAATTTTTTAATAATAAAATAAATGGTGGTGGGAGCAGAAACATACAGATTCTCATCTCTCCAAAAGTCTGAGGTCCTAGCTTCACACAAAATTAGTTGGAAGACAGCTTACCATCTCCTTGCGCTCCATGGGTAACGCTGGCCTGCGCCCAAGACTTTGCCCCGCTTGCTACTGTAGGGGGATTCTGAAACAAGAGGTGGGGTGGGAAGTCAAAACCGACTGACCTTTTTGCCAGCGTCCTTTTGTCAAGCGATCTCCAAAACTGACACAATCTAAAGGTTCACGTTGATTCATTAAGAAAAAACCCACAAATCTCACGGTTAAATCAACCTGGGTAAAGGTAAAGGTAAAGGTAGAGGGACCCCTGACCATTTAGGTCCAGTCATGGCCGACTCTGGGGTTGCGGCGCTCATTTCGTTTTATTGGCCAAGGGAGCAGGTGTACAGATTCCGGGTCATGTGGCCAGCATGACTACGCTGCTTCTGGTGAATCAGAGCAGTGCACGGAAACGCCATTTTCCTTCCCGCCGGAGTGGTTCCTATTTATCTACTTGCACTTAGACATGCTTTCGAACTGCTAGGTTGGCCGGAGCAGGGACCGAGCAACGGGAGCTCACCCCATCGTGGGGATTCGAACCGCCGACCTTCTGATCGGCAAGTCCTAGGCTCTGTGGTTTTAACCCACAGTGCCACCCGCGTCCCACAAAGCAACCCAAGCATGGCTCAAATGCCTTTAGAATAGGGGCAGCCAACACAGTGCCCTCCAGAATGTCTATCATCCTGAACTATTTACAGTGATGGTTAGGGCTGATGAGAGCTGGAGCTAAACAGCATCTGGGGGCACACTGACTTCTCCTGTTCTAGAAAGTAGCAAGGTTGGCTAGGGAGTTATAGGGCAGCCCTGCCCCTTGCTGTGCAGTTAACATGGGTTTTGTTTTGATATAGCACTAGACTATGGTTTAAAGCAGGGCTGGGGAGGCCTCTGGGCTGGTTCAGTCCTGTCTGCTCTGACTCAACTGAAGTCTGGTTTCATCTGGTCTGCAGTGATGCAGCCACACTAGAAGGAGAGAAGAGTCTGGCAGGCACGCTCAAGCCCCGAGGCCAAACCATGTCTCAGCTGCCACACTCAGCGGCTGGGCCTCTAAGCTGACTTGCAAATGTGCCTGGTCTCACTCTCCCCAAGAGAAAGGAGGACAAAGCAGACGGAAAGAAGCCGAGTTTCCCAACCCCTGGATTAATGAGCAGGCCTTGGACTCATGAGCAACCTTCTCCCTCTTCTATTGTGCCCACAACTGAGGCTAGAAGCTTTTGTTATACACAGTTACCCGCTATGCCCAAACCCAGACAAACGGTGATTAGTCTTAGCAATGTTTTAGGGAAACAAGGCAACTTCAAACAGTCTCATGATTCTAGCTTGTTTTCATAAGGCACGGGTAATGTTAGATCTGCACCCAAAACTGTGACTAACGCTTCGTCTCACTAAGCTTGAACACTCAACTGCAGGCTTCCAGAATCTCATGACAGCCGTGCTGGAGGAGGAGAAGGAAGCACGTGATCCAGAGGCTTGGGCATGTAATGCTAAGCCATAGTTTAACACAATGTCCCAAACAGTCACAGAGTGAGCGACAATAAAGCCCAACTTTCTGCAAAAGCTTTGATGCCAGGAAAAAAACCAAAAAAAAAAAAAAAAAAACCATGCAAAATCTGGACCATCAGTTAGGAACTATAGCACATCCATGCCAGAAACTGCAATCTGGAAGCAGGAGAAAGGCTGTTTCTAAGAGGAAAGATAGGAGGTGCTTCTTAGCCAGTCCTGAAAGAGTCCTTCTTCTGATAAGCTCCTGCCTCCTGGTAGGACTGCACCCATGCATGGACTGAATGGCGATTAAATAGGGAGAGAACTGGTGCTTTTGCTGGGGCCAAACAGAGGGGAGAAGGGACTGGAGCTAGGAAACCGTGGCTCTTTGCAGAAAAAGCGTTATGATCTGTTAGGCTGGAAGCTGATCCACACGACTGTCCAGAAGAGGAGAGCTTCTGATTGGGAGCCTGCCGCACCCCAGTTCTTGCCCTGGATTTACCTCGGGGGCTGTTGGGGGTCGTTTCGGTGGGTTTGAGGCAGACGTCTGTGAAGCCGGCGGCGACTGCGATTCCGGCGGCTGAGCTGTCGAGGCATCGGTACTGGAGACGGGAGGAATGAAGACGCCCGTTGAAGGAAAGGTTGGTGGTGAACGTGCCTTCCTCCTCCCCACCCCCCGGAAAAGCAGCGTCTGCGCCCCTCTGGCTCCCTCTTACCTCTTTGGGTCTGGCTGTTCCTGCTTGCTTGCCCATCCTGTCCCGTCTTTCGGCACTAGTGAGACGTTGGGGTCATTGCCTTTGTTCTCCGCTTTTAAGCTTGGCAGATTTGCAGGGGGTGGCATGCGCCGGGCAATGGCAACTTTACCGAGACTCTGCAAGCCATGGCGGGGAGTAACTGTAGGGGAAGGAGGAGGCGGGGTCAGGCACAGTCCTCGAAAGCTCCGCCCTCTCCCACCTCCCCCAGCAAAGCTTCCCTTACCGACCCCACCCCTCCCATGAACTGCTGCAACTACCAAGAGCTTTCTTGCCAAGTCCCAAATTGGTAGTTTCAGATGTACTCAAGGAGGGAGCAGCTGCTCAGGGCGCTGCGAGTGCCATCAAGGGGGCATCAGAGACTAAGCACATTCATCATGGCAACCGCCTCCTCCTTTGAGAATAGCACTCAGAAGAAAATACTTGCCCTCCCCCCCCCCCCAAACACAGAGGTCATTTTACCTGTGGGTTTCTGTGTTTCTAAGGATTTGCCCTTGTATGTATCAAACAAGTTGAGTGACGAATACTTTTTTCCATCCTTCCCCTTTGCTGTTTGCCCCAAACGATCTGACATTGCGCTGTAAGGTCATTGAGTACGATGGTTCCTCCTGGCTCCCTGCGAAACGTGCCACTGTTGGGAAGAGGTTTGGGGAGAGTAAGAGGACGAAAGCTCAATAGTCCCAACTCCATCCTTCCCCATCGATCGACAGCCACTTGACAACAAGCTCTTTCCTGTACAGACCCTACAAGCATGGGGAGAGGCACTTCTATTTCAGAGCAGCCCATTCAAGTGGAGTAGAGACATCTCCTATGGTCACAAAGAGGAGCACCCAGGCTGGACTGAGAAGTGAAACTGGGTGGGGTGACCACCCCATGAACGCCCCCCCCCGATCTCTTTTGCACTGTATCTTTTAGATTGCTAGCCTAAAGACACAGACAGATTTACTAGTGATCACTGTGAGCCACCTGGGAACCTTTTCCAGGTGAAAAGGAGAGTGGAAGTTTGACTTCCCTGGGTCAAACATGCCATGAAGCCAGGAATGCCTTCAAGCAGACAACGCCCCACACTTTCAACTGCAACACCTGGCAGCAAACACAGGATGGGGCTCCATGCTCCCCAGTTTTACAGGAGCTCAGGTAACCCCACCCCATTTACTTATTTTCAGATATTTCAAAACTGACTTTCAAGTCTAGTCTCCCAAAGACAACATGCAACAATATACTACCCCATTAAAAAGGGCTTTTTAAAAACCACAGCCCTGCCATCCACATAGCATGTTAAAACAACCAGTTCAAAATGCTCAGTTACAGAAAAATGTAATTTAAAATATAACTAAGCCCAGCAAACCTAAGAGAAGGACAATGAGAAACCACCAGCAGCATATACAATACCACCTTTGGGTTAAAAACCAGAGAAGAGATACATTTTCAGACGTCTGTCTCTTGGGAGGGAATTCTTACAAGGTAGGAGCCACCACTGATAAGGCCCTCCTCTCTCTAGCACCTGCTAGCCTAAGTCACCTGGGAGCTAGGCCAATGAGGAGAACCAAAGCTTATTGAAGAACAGCTTACTCCCTTCTCAAAATCACGATCACATTTACAAGCTAAAGGAACTGTTGCTATGGACTTTGTTTAAATTCACTGAGCTATCCCCTTGGGTTCCAATTAAAAAGCCAAGTACTATTCAACCACTTGAATACCGACGACACATATTTGCATAACATTGCTGGCGACAAACTAATCACAGTTGTTAAATCTATGTTTCATAACTGTTAACTAATTTCTAATTTTTTTTTTTGCAATTGACCTAAGTCTCTTTCCATCACAGTTCACCTGGACAAATATATCTGAACAGCCAACCCCCATCCATAAATAGGATTAGCAACATCTGTCAGGGATTGTTTAGGATTAAATGAGTCCCTTTCCACCCAACACATACACACCCATGATTATTTAACAGGACTCTCACTTTTCCCCTTGAAGCTCCTACACAGCTAAGCAGAGGAACTAGAGAGACAGAGCTGCATGTTACAGCGTTGTTAAGAGTGTCGCAAACCTTCCCAAAGGTTCAGCATCACAAGGCAGGTTCCAGGCATGGAATTTATGTAGCTTATCACTCTAAACAGGGGTCAGGAGAGAGAACAGTGATTTCATCCTATCACACCTTAACCTACATAGACTATTTGTAATGCTTGCCTCAGAAGTGAAATATTTCCCCTATGCTGTCTCACTGACCTTATGTTCAGCTTGTGGGATTCCTAAACACACCTGGTTGGTCACTGAGGCAAACAGGATGCTAGACTAGGGCTCTTCCTATGTTACTGAATAGAGAAACAGGCTTTGATTCACTGCTTTTGTTAAGAGGGCCATGTACTGAGTTTTAAAAAAACCCAAAAGCCTAAAATTTAACAAAATGCCATTTTCAGGGTTCTCCCCCCCCCAGCAGCAAACTTGAACCTTTTTAAAAATAATAATACACAGTGCTGTACTTTAAAAACTTATTTTCCCACATCCCCCAAATAGCAACAAATCATTTTAAGCAATACAACATCAGAACATGCCCTTAGTTTGCTCTTCGGAGTGAAGTTGAGAGGAACCGACAAATGAACTGATCTCAGTGACGGGCGCAAGGTTGGGGGCAAGCAAGGACAGGAGCTTGCCTGAGACAGTGAAAGGCTTCCACTTTCACCGGCAAGAAGGCAGCAATGAAACCAGTCCTACAACAACTCTGATGGTGGAACACACACTTTGCAAGGACAACGGAGAAAGGGCAAGGAAGAGGTTGGGAGTAATGAAGCTGCCTGATTTAGTGTCAAACTGTTAATCCAGATGGCCTAGTACACATACTGTGACCTGCAACAACCTTCCCAGCCTGCTACCTAAGCTGAATTCAGTCTTAACAAGGAATCACAGAATGGAGAGTTCGACCGACCTCCTGCAATGCAGGAATCTCAACTAGATTATACATGGCAGATCACAGCTAACGAATCCCTGACACTCAGCCATCCAACCTCTGATTAAAAACATCCATGGAAGGACAGTCTGCCACCTTCTGAGGGAGTCCGTTCCACTGACAAGCAGTTTTTACTGTCAGAAAGTTCTTTCTGATGTGTAGCTGGAAACTCCTTGAAGCCATTGTTGGGATCCTACCCTCCAGAGCAGAATAAAACAAGCCAGTACCATCCTCCATATGACAGCCCTTTAGATATTTGAAGATGGCTATCATTTCTCCTCTCAGTCTCCTCTCTTCCAGGCTAAACATACTCAACTCCCTCAATCGTTCCTCACAAGGCTCAGTTTCCAGACCCTTGATCATCTTGGTTGCCCTCCTCTGCACACGTTCCAGCTTGTCAACATCCTTCTTAAAGTATGGTACCCAGAACTGAACACAGTACTCCAGGTGTGGTCTGACTAAGGCAGAATAGAGCAGAAGCTGCCTTCTACAGTGGGCTTATCCACACTTACCTTTCCCCCCTGTTCTTTCCAGGCACAGGTCTGTGCTTAAAAATTCTGTGTCTGAGCGCTGGGAATTTTTTTTGGAGGGAGGGAGCATTCCACGCAAAAACCACTCTTTAGTGCTCAATCAGAGCAAACATCAATTTGGGTTTTCCACGGATTGCAGTTTGCTCCGATTGAGCTTTAAAGAGCAGGTTTTCGAGGGGGAAAGCTCTGGCAGCAAAGTGCTCAGACCTAGAGCTCTAAATGCAGACCGTACCTGAAATTTAAGTGTGGCTAAGCCCAGAGTCAAGCCATTATAGTTTCTCCAGCCCTTCATTGTCTACTCTGCCTAACAGCAGACAGGTCTATCACAGCCTGCTCCCTGAGATGATTTAACAGGAGATGCCAGGCCTGAGCAGGGGACCTTTGGCATGACAGGGAGGGCTGGGGAGACTGAGGGGAAGGAGAATTTGGGATGATACAGAAGCAAGGGCAAGTGGGAGAGGAAGCTGGTGCGAACACAGGGGTGGCAAGTTGTTCCATTAAGCTGCAGCTCCATCTCCTTTGAAGGGCATCTGAAACAAACCACAGGAAGCCATGTTCTTTCAGCCTCTAATTTTTAAATCAGATTTCATCGTTTGCAAGGCCAGAACGTCTACCCTGATAACAGAACAAATAGAGATGACCAAGCTCTTCAAGAAGTCCTTGATGGGAAAGATCCCCACATCCTTCATAAGCTGCACAATGACACCATTAGGAAACTATGTCTAAATTTAAATGATTGACTGTGGGGAGGGGGTAAGCAGCTTCTAACCCACAAAGCCATTATTCTTCAGTTACTGGAGCAAATCCTGCATTTACAACCGAGTGTGGTCTGGCAGCCTTTTGGAACTGCATGTATTTTTGGCCCACTGCCCTTCCTTTTGCATGACATGCCATCATATGAGCGATGTCGTAGTTGCACAAAGTGGGTGGGTAATATTCACGACAGATCTGTTCACCCTGAGCTGTTCGAACAAGTGGAAAGATTGTTGGCAACCATGTGGCACAATTTACTGTATTATGTATTGTTGCGTTTGTAGTTTTTATGCATGCGTTTTAGCCATAAGGCGCTGCCCTGATTTTGTGAAGAGAGGTGAGAGATAACTGGTCAGTGAGATTTTTACTGAATAGAGCAAAAGGCCATAACCGGTACTGTTTAGTCAAAATATTATAAAGACACCAAAGGGAGGTGCCCCCTTGACCCTGGCAGGTTTTGGTTCAGCTTACCTTAGGAACCTGTGGATTCCTGTTTCTCTCTGTGGGATCAGGTCACCATACAAGACTGCTCTGGAATCCTGGCCTTTGGTGGTAAGGGTCATTTTTTAGCACTCGCTCTATGGAACGTGGCCCCTAGGATGGCCATTCCAGACCCAATAAATTGTGGCTTTTAGAAAATAATTTGTGGCCACTAGACTTTGGATCACTGGTTGACTTCCTTGATTTTTAAAAATCTCTCTTCACTGGTTGATACTCCTGTGGCCTTTTAAAAAGCAACAACAGTGCTTTAAAACTGGAATGCTGTGCATTTCTAGATCTGTGCCACATGCATCTGCTATTAAATGCCTTGAGGACCACTTAAGGTCAGGATGGTGTGATTTTTTAAAATTTTATTTTTCCAATCAAATTGAAAATACGTAAAGCTAGCTGGCAACTACTGGCTGCTAGTTTGGGCTTTGCTTACCTTTGCTTTGCAACTGAACTGCCTGTTAAAGGGAGAACAAACAAAACCACTCCCAGAAGAAAAAGCATAATTAATCAACATGGAAGCAGCTGCAGTCAGTGGCTGTGAGTGTAAGGTAGTCTCTGCTTCGCTTTCTGCTAATCCCAAATTTGTGGAATCTTTTCTAGGGTGGCATAGGTAACAGGAATCCCATGAATGAACCCTAACCACCACAATGGCAGAAACACATTGAACAACATTTGCAGGGTCTGCAAGCAAGTGCCAAATGGGCTTCTGTACATGGGAGGTTCTTATTTCTCTTTCCTGATCTCTAGTTCCCAGCTGGATGAAACTTTGGGGGCCAGAACAATCAAACACCTCTCAACTTCTATATAAACACGTTATTGGATGGCTTGGCAGTTTGGAAGCATCCACTTGCCAGGGCTCTTTTGCCTCACACAACCCCTAGTCCTTTACTCCAAATTCCCCTACAACGTCTATACAGTGGTACCTCTGGGTGCAAACAGGATCCGTTCCGGAGCCCCGTTCGCATCCTGAAGCGAATGCAACCCGCGTCTGTGGGTGTCGCCGCTTCCGCGCATGCGCGTGACGTCATTTTGAGCGTCTGCGCAAGCGGCGAAACCTGGAAATAACGCGCTCTGTTACTTCTGGGCCATCACGGAGTATAACCTGAAAATGCTCAACCTGAAGCACATTTAACCTGAGGTATGACTGTACTAGGGACACGGGTGGCGCTGTGGGTTAAACCACAGAGCCTAGGACTTGCCGATCAGAAGGTCGGCGGTTTGAATCCCCGCAATGGGGTGAGCTCCCGTTGCTTGGTCCCTGCTCCTGCCAACCTAGCAGTTCAAAAGCACGTCAAAGTGCAAGTAGATAAATAGGTACCGCTCCAGCGGGAAGGTAAACGGTGTTTCCGTGCGCTGCTCTAGTTTGCCAGAAACGGCTTAGTCATGCTGGCCATATGACCCGGAAGCTGTACACTGGCTCCCTCAGCCAATAAAGCGAGATGAGCGCCGCAACCCCAGAATCGGTCACGACTGGACCTAATGGTCAGGGGTCCCTTTACCTTTACCTATGACTGTACTACTCGCCATATTGTGCCTGCTACTATTGTAGGAATAACTGCTTTTCACAAGAACGCAAACATCCCAGTAAGTAAACCATGCAAACGGAGCGGAAGTCACCAATTTAGAGAAAGAACGATGAACGATGGCTAATGTTCCACCCAGCTCTTACAACCCCATCCCACTGTAGTGTGACTGAGGAAGAGACTCTAAGGCAGTCAATGCAGATAGGAGCAGGCCAAATTCTCAGTGCCTCCCATCAAGTTCTATGTTGTTGTTTTTTAGGGGGAAGTATTTCATTGGCTGGGCCACAGAACTCTCCATCTCTCCCCTACAGCGTCAGAAACTAGCCAGGCGTGGGTCCAGCTGCGGCCAAGTGGAGATCTCTGGATGCCAGGTAGGCAACTGGGGAAAGCAAAATGTTGCTTAGAGAAGGATCTGAAATATTCTCCTCAAAGCTTGAATTTGTTTTATTCTGGATTGTTTTGTTTGATGTTGAATGTGTTATAAAACCACTTTGAGATTCTTTAAATATAAAGCGACATAGAAATGAAATTAATTAAAAAACCCCACACAAAAAGGGACTTAAGACATCCCACTGTGGTGCTGTAACCTAGATTTAAGGTGACATTTGGCAATTAGCTTATATACCTGACTTTCTGTTCCCCAACCTGCCAATCTTGGGTGATTTTATTTAGCTTATATCAAACACACAGAACTGCATGTTTTGAGTGTCAGGAGGTAGGCAGGAAAACAAATGCACCATTGCAAAGGTTGGCAAAATGTCGTAAGAGGAGCATTTGCATCTTGAAATGTGAAGTCATGCAAGCTATGGCTAACTCAAAATACAGTTTGTGTTGGGAATAAATTAACTTCTTTTTTTAACTCAGCATTTCAACACCACCCTTACCTTGGAATTTTGGTTTGGCTGAGGTTGAGACGGACTTGCCAGTGACTAGTTACATATTAGCAATCAAAATCGGGGCTCAATTCTGAAAAGTTACATTTGAAAAGATGCAAAATTGCAATTGTCACAGAGGAGAAAACACAGGTCCCTAATCAGAATACCACACTGCTGCCCATTTAACTCCTTAAAAACCTGGAGTCACGAAACATGCTTTACTGTATTAGAGATTTGCAAACTTCTAAACGCCCTCCCCCAAAACCAGCAAAAAAACACCCCATTTCCCCTCAAAAATTGGAAAATAAATTATTTGCTTTATGAATGATGAATTTTTCTTAAAGACTAGGTGCTTATATATTTAGGGCCCCCCCCCCCCCAAATTTCTAAAACTGTAACAGGAAGACTTTTATGCAAGCCCATGTACAGTATCAGATTAGTGCAATTGCTGTACACCGAGGACAAGCAAGTCCTGAGTTATACACTGAGATTACAACTCTCAAATGCAAGAGCAAGATGCAGTTCTGCTCCTGGAGGCCACACCCTTTGTCACAAGAAAAGGAAGGAGGATTCAATGCCCTCTCTGTCTGTGGCCTTCCTCTTGTTGGTGGATCTTCTTGACTAGGCTCCAAAGAACTAGGAATGGGAGGAAGTACAGGGAAATATAACTTTGCTGGCGTCCAATTCATGCTGCTGCACATCTGTTGGATCCATGTTAAGCGAGGAAAACATTGCTCCTGCACTTGCCTCGATTACAAAACAAGCAGCACACTTAGGACTCAGTGTTGGAAAGGTATTTTCAAACACTGCAGGTATTTGACCAAGGAATGCTGTCTGTGATTCCGCCAAGCGTACCTCTCCTGCAACATGGTGGCAAGGTTTGTACACAACCCAACTCCCTTGCTTCTTACCCACTTCAGATTCACCCAGCTTCTGCAGCATGTGAAAGAAACTGGTCTATTTTTGGAAGTACTCACACCAAATCAAGAAATAAACTGTGAAAGGGGAGAAGTTTGTTTCAAGCTGGGCAAACCTTCCCTTTCTAGAACTGCAAGAGAAATATGATGACAAATATGAAACAACAGAAACTGATAGAGCTAGCTTAGAAAAAGAGAATGATTAAATTTCATGTAGCGTTCATCTGAGTTTTGTTTCCCCTTCCTCCTTTTCTTAGCTACTATTATTTCTGCTTGACACTGTGGAAGACTGGAGAAGACATAATTTTCAGATTAATTATCTGTTTTACTGTAATGTTGGTTGCTTCGTGTGTGTGTGTGTGTGTGTGTGTGTTATGCCTTCTCCTCCAAAACTGGCAAAACCAAAGAGATGCTGGACTTCTTACTGAACTGCAGCTTACAGCTCCATTTATAACTAAAATTTAACATAAAAAGGAATTTGTAATTACAATGGTACCTTGGTTCTCGAATGGCTTGGCTCCTGAACAAATCAGCTTTTGAACGCTGCAAACCAGGAAGTAAGTGTTCCGGTTTATGAATGTTTTTTGGAAGCCGAACATCCGACCCAGCTTCCGATTTGAGCGCAGGAATCTCCTGCAGCCAATCAAAAGCTGTGCCTTGGTTTTCGAACGGTTCTGGGAGTTGAACAGACTCCCGGAACTGGTTAAGTTTGACAACCAGGGTACCCCTGTATTGTCAGAATGAACTACTTTTAGTATACCACACATGATGCCAAACCAGGTTTTACAAAATGCATTATGTCTTCCACACCCAGCTGGCTTACTGTGTGGTCTCATTCCTGGAGAAAGATGCGACTCTCACTGAGCATGTGAGTCAGGGTTTTGATGTGTAGGGTGCAGAGGAGAAAACCAAGCCCTATGAGGAATGGTTAAGGGAGCTGGGTATGTTTAGCTCAGAAGAAGACTGAGAGGTGATAGAAGAGGGTTGTCGCATGAGAGGATGGAGCAAACCTGTTTTCTGCCGCTCCAGAGGATCCAAACCAATGGATTCAAACTACAAGAAAGGAGATTCCAACTAAACATTAGGAAGAACCTTCTGGTGGTAAGAGCTGTTTGACAGTAGAACAGACTCCCACAGGTGGTGGTGGACTCTGCTTCGTTGGAGGTTTTTGAACATAGGTTGGGTGGCTTTTTCTCAGGGATTCTTTAGCTGCAATTCCTGCATTGTAGAGGGTTGGAGGAATGACCCTTAGGGTCCCTTCCAACTCCACAGTTCTATAATTCTATGTTCCTAAAGGAATAAAGTTCTTTCAATACGTATAGGGTACATAATAAAGAAGCGTTACACTTTTTCAATTTGTCCAAAAAATTCCCAGTCCCTTCACCCCAAAAATAGTTTCTACATGTACAAAAATTTTACAACTCTGAACACATCAGTGGCTATTTGCAACTAAGATCTGTCCCAATCTAGTAGTAGGCCCGAGACTAGAAATACTGAAGGAGTACAGTAGTACTTCTGGTTACAAACTTAATTCGTTCTGGAGGTCCGTTCTTAACCTGAAACTGTTCTTAACCTGAGGTACCCCTTTAGCTAATGGGGCCTCCAGTTGCCGCTGCGCCATTTCTGTTCTCATCCTGAAGTAAAGTTCTTAACCCAAGGTACTACTTCTGTAACCCGAAGTGTTTGTAACCTGAAGTACCACTGTAATCAGCTCTTTTGGTGAACCCCATTCATTTCCCTTGTTGATGAGAATGAGCTGAGTTGCGCACGTCCTCCTCCTATTACTGCACATGTGAGGGGAGAAGCTTCCAGGCCTGGTTGATGGCAAACCATTGCACATGCGAGCATGGCCAATCAAAGGCGCTTTCAGAGTAACCATCTGGGTCTAGCTAGCTTTTCCTTCATACTGCAAACAACAGGGTTTGGACCAATTCAGTGTATTACAGCTCAAGTAGACACATCGGCTGCTTTTACGGTATATTTGGTTTCAGAAATGGCATGTAGTCCATGAAGAACCAACTCAACCTCTTTATCATAGAACTTAGGGGACATATGATCATAGAATTGTGGAGTTGGAATGCACTGGTGCATTAACATATTAGCCACCTGCTCGATTAACAATAAGCCTTAATGCTGCTGGGTTTTAATTGTGTTTTTATCTTTTTGCCAACCACAGCAAGAAAAAGCTGATGGGCACATTACAGCATGAAAGCTCTAATAGCTTATTGAAACCACAAACTGAAGGAACTTCACAACCACGTTATGAGAGAAAGAGCTAGCTCCAATGAATTTATGGGAAAACTCATGAAGATGTATGGTAATGCTACTCAAACACACCACCCAAGTCATGTGGTATTACACTACACTTAAGCAGCTCCTACACCTACCCAATACAGCAGGGTGGAAGGGTGAGTGGGTCCAACACACACTCAACTTCCTGGCCACTAGATACCAAAATTACCATCAAAAAGTGAATTCTGCACCTAATGAAGACCAATGTTTTACCTACACACATCAAAACCACCACCCCACCCCAAATACAGTGGTGCCCCGCAAGACGAATGCCTCGCAAGACGAAAAACTCGCTAGACGAAAGGGTTTTGCGTTTTTTGAGTTGTTCCACAAGATGAATTTCCCTATGGGCTTGCTTCGCAAGACTAAACGTCTTGCGAGTTCTTGCGAGTTTGTTTCCTTTTTCTTAAAGCCGCTAATAGCCTAATAGCCGCACTTCGCAAGACGAAAAAGCCGCAAGACGAAGAGACTCGCGGAACGGATTAATTTCGTCTTGCGAGGCACCACTGTATAAGCTAAAAAATTACTTTGTAGGACAGCAAACATTATTAAGTAAGTTTGCAAATGAAAATTAACACCAAGACTACTGATGGATTATATCTTTTGACTCATCATTTTTACAGAATGAGTAATATTTGCTATGATGTACACCTCTTGCTTTTTATGTGTCAATCCTAAAAATGTAACTCAGCTACAGGAAAAGGGGAGGGGGAGTCTTTGACACATTGTGTTCATAGATATACTGAAGAATACATTTAAGATTCCAGTGGCGGTTAATCCATTACCAGGCACATGTCACAGTTAAGGCCTCCTAACATCTAAATCATAATTATACTTAATTACAAGCCCTATCTGTAAAGTGTCATCTTGAAAGAATAAAGGCTCAAAAGAGCACTGTACTATCATCAGACTACTGGGGGCACTATCAATAATGACTGCCACTCTATTGGTCACCTAGAATCATATTCATTTATAAACACTCCCGCAGAACTCACCGTACTGAGAAATCTTCCCTTCCACAATTTATTGTTTTATTTAAAGATGACAAAGTGAATCAAAGATGCTTCATAAAACAAAACAACACAATTTGGGTGTAAAAAAAAATTTGAAAATTTTAATCAAACATCATGCAATGTTTAAAGTCAATTTATGCCAGCCGATGCTGTAAAAAGATGTTCTGGCCATAATTCAATTATGTGTACACAGCCTGTCAGGCAATCAGCAATCACACTCCATCAAGTATTCAGGGAAGAGGGGGGCTCTAGAGGTAGGCCCCCCCCCCAAGCTTCTTCTGTCAAAACAGCTATTCAGCATTATTGTCTGATATCCAACCATAGTTGGATTAGGCCTGGGACCACTACACAGCACCCATATGACCATGCAGGGGCCCATTAGATGGACCAGGGCAATTGTGTTTGCAAATGACTTACATATATAAAAAACAAAATGTATGAATTTGTATGAGCACATTACCTTATAAAGTATCCAATACTGCACATCTATTAAGAACACTTGGACCACTTCACTTGCCTTATGCTAAAAAGCAGAGGATTCTGACCATAGATTACTACTGTTCTGTTATCAGAGTTAAGATAATCATGAATTGATGCTATTTTAGTGGGATTTTCTTTTAATAAACTGTTCTGCATTGCCTTTTGAAGAGACATTTAGTGTAATACCACCGCCCTCTTTGTACCTTCACTACATAATGCATAGCTAAGATGTCCAATTCCCTCAGCACTGCACAACCAGATATAATGGCACCTGAGCAAAAACAAGCCAATAGCAGTTTTAAAAATAGCACACCCTACTAGTTGCAGCTGATTTTTTTATTTAATTAATTTATACGGTCTTTCTGGAATCTACATTGACAACCCCATTCTGCTAGGATTGCATCCCATCCTTCTGAGCACTGGCTGTTCTTTTATTGTAAATCCACACGTTTAAAACGAGTTTATACATCCACATATTTAATAATTCTAGACATTAAAACCTCAATTTAAGGGTTTTTAAAACTTGGTGATGAGAGGAAAAAGGAAGAAACACCCTCCCCCCCCACACGCACCAAAACCCCCCCTCAAAGCCACCCAAAAACTGAATCAGCAACCATTAATTATTAATACAGTATATTCAATTTATCTGCAGAATCCCAAAGCTGCATTAGAGAGGAATAGCTTTCTAAAGTCAAAGAAGACACTCCTAGTTTGAAACCATGTTAACGAAGAAAAAACACTATGTGCTCAATTAGCAAACATAAATCTGAAATTAGGAGTAATTGCCATGGAAAAAAAACCAACCCCCCCTAAATTCCATCACCGGAACAGGGAAGCACCAGATGAGAGAGTCCTCCTCGAACAACCATTTTATAAAAAGGGTGGTTCTGAATCAAGCAGAGAAACAAATAGGCATCACTTCAGCATCCCCTCCCCCTTGCATTTAGCACCCCAAAATGAACATGGAAAAACTGGGATCTAAGCCTATAGGAGAACTGAAGGGGGGGAGGAGGCACTCTCACTCTTCCTCACAACCAGCACCAGCAACCCTGTAAATCTGCATGAAAGGGCTTAATATTTAGGGCAAATTTGCTTGTCTTGAAATGCGAAACCTGGCAATTAGATTTCATTTCTAACCCTTTCCTCAGAATCGCCATGCTCTCTTTTTTTGTGCACGGGTAAACCTGGCAAGGACCCAGTTAAGACACTCGTCAAAAAGCTGCCTTGGCTTTGGCTACCTAATTTTTTCCTGGGGTGTGTGTGTTGTGCCTTTTGGTGGGAGGGGGGGGGAAGAGGACCCCCTTCTTGCTGCATAAACACACCCATTATTTTTAAAACCACCCCATTTTGAGACTTGTGGTTCTGAAATGAAAGGGAGCCATATTAGCTCACTTTTTTTGTGTGTGTCACCATACACCCTTTGCAAATCACTATCACCCCACCCTCTTGCCACAATGCTGGGAAATTTGAACTCCACTTTTAAGCTAAATTAATTCCGGCTGTTCTGTTAAAAATACCAAAAAGGGATGGGGGGGTATACAACAAGAAGCCATTAATCTTTTCTAACCACACAAGTCATGAGGACGACTTTTCCTTCCAATCCACCGTGTTTGAGCGTGCTAGAAGAAACAAGGCTTTAGATTAAGAAGCCACTCTCCCTTTTCCCAAAGGCACACCCCTAGTCTCAATACTAGCTTCAAAGAGAGATATTCATCACCCCCAAACAGATAAGATTTTCTATTTAAATGACACCCAACTACTGATATTGCCACTGTAGTCCTACCATGTCTAGATTTTCAGCGATACCCCCAAACCATCATAAAAGCTGCCTGCTTAACAGGTTTTGCTTTCTTAAGTGCAGCTGCAATAAAACGGGTTTTTATAACTCAGCGGTTCATCTCGCAATTAACACGGCTGTAACTTCATGACTACCTCAATATCGCCCTTATTTAGGGTATCTTCTCAATTCCGCGGGGTACTAGCGTAGGCAATGAAGACGATGATTTAGCTGCCCTCTTCAAATAGTAGTGCCGCTGCCTTTAAACCATTCTCTCTTTTTTAAAAAAAGGCCACACCTCCTGTCCCCTACTCCACCCATCCCTTCCGACATTTGGATTTTTCCTGGGGAGAAAAATGTTTTAATACATTACAGCAAACCTGAAGGCAGAGGTTGACTTAAATTAATGATATAGCTTATATACAGCTGCAAACCTCAAGAGCCTTACAGTATCATGCTCTAAACACACACACACACACACACACACACACCAGTTTCTATCAAAACACATCTCCCCTTTCCCCCCCCCCCAAACATTTGGATGCTTCTAATACTTTCTTATTTTAAAGAAATTCCTTTACGTATAAAAAATTGGATTTCAATCAACTTCACCTCCTCATGCCAATAGTGCCACATATCTCAAATGTCGGTACTATACTGTAGGTATGCTGGGGTACAAAAGTGTACCCACCACCACCACCCTGTGGTATTTTAGACCACAAAAAAATCAAAATAGAAATTAATACAAAATACAGAGGGCGAAATGCAAAGGGATAAAGGAATGGCCGGATTCAGCCTCAAATTTCTGTGCTCTCTCTCTCATACACACACAAAAACCAGCCCTTTATCCCCTAAAATATCCATTTAGATTTCATCATAGGTTCTAAAGGGGAAATCTTTTAGAGGCACCAGATAAAATGTTGTGTGTGGTGTTGGGGAGGGAAAAAGGAAACCCCAGCACCCCCAAATACAGCCTCAATACTTCAGACCACCCTAGAGATGGATACTAGGCGATCAACTGGGCCTTATAATCCCCCCCACCCGCATTAAAAAAGCCCCACCTGCTCCAGAACCATCTTGGCCCTTTGTATTTCCACACCTCACTCACGGCCCTCTCCAAATTTAAGATAAATCGCACCCCCCCACCCCACAAAAAACACCAGGTGTGTCGGGTAATGGAGGGTGGGGGGGTCACAACTGAACTCCACCTGAAGCCTCAAACCCCCAAAGGCCTGTTAGCGCCCCCTCGACAATGGCACCCCCCCCCCAACCCGCAGGTTCCGCCGTCGTGTGAACAACCAAGCCCGTGTTGCGGGGGGGGGGTCCAAGGCGAGAGTCAGGAAGAGAGAGCACCCTCTTCACTCTCCCTTTGTAGGCGGCTCTACCCCGGGGGAGGGCAGCCATTGGGAGCCCGACTGCCCTCCAGTGGGGCAAATACCCGCCTGGAGCCACAAGGGCAGCGCTTTGGGAAGGGCACGGCTGGCCACGGGGAGCGGGGAGCGGGGCCTGAGGGGCGGATGGACGCGGATTCAGCTACGGGGAGAGCGGCCGAGGAGGATGAAGTAAGGGACAAGATGGCGGAGGCCTGAGCGCTCTACCGGCTCGAGCCGACCTATCCTCTTCCCTCGCACCAGCGCCGCCCTGCGAGCGCTCAAGCGGAGGGTTACCGGGGGCGAACCAGGCCGATACCCACCTCGTCTGATCGGGCTCGGTCCGCTCTATCCGGATACGAGCTTCCCGGGGGCGGAAGGGAAATCTAGGCGGAGGATGGAGGCGGATTACGCTGTCCCCCCCTCCCCCTTGCTTTGTAATTTGTCCAAGGCCCGATGCGGCAGCCTCGGCGTCTAAGCACCGACTAAACGGCCATCCGGGTCCCAGGCCCCGGCGGCGGCGGCGAAGCCACGCCCCCACACGCTGCACGGGAGGCGGGGCTAAGGGGGCAAAACCCCGAAGGAAGGGAGTTCGAAAACAGAGAAGCGGGCGGGCGGGGGTTCGAGGGAGTTCAACGGGCAGGTGTTGCAAAGGGAGTCTGGAAATTCGGCGTAATCCGTGCAATAGCGGGGCGGCTCCTGATCTTTCCTCTTTCCCTCACTCTTTGCAAAGCAGAAAGTGGTTGTATTTATTTAAATAGGGGCCACTGGAGGTTTGAATTCGAGCAACGCGTTGCAAAAGCAAACCGACCAGAGTGGCAGTGATCCTGGATGTAATCTTAAACGGTGCCTAGGAGCTGTTTGAATATATATGGGTGTGCAGTTTTAAGTACGCATAACATTTCTTTTTTTCACCAGGCCTTTGGTTCTTAATTATCTGTGGCCTCCTTGAGTGGGTGAGATGTTTTAATCCTGATTATTTTTTTTTAAGGCTATTTCATATTTCTCCTTACCACTTTGTTTTTTTTAATGCTATCTAGAATGTATGTGTGTGTGTTTATATTAAAATAATAATAATAATAATAATAATAATAATAATAATAATATATTATTTATACCTTCCCATCTGGCTGAGTCTCCCCAGCCACTCTGGGCGGCTCCCAATCAAGTGTTGAAAACAATACAGCATTAAATATTAAAAACTTCCCTAAACAGGGCTGCCTTCAGATGTCTTTTAAAGATAGGATAGCTGCTTATTTCCTTCACATCTGAAGGGAGGGTGTTCCACAGGGCGGGCGCCACTTCCGAGAAGGCACTCTGTCTGGTTCCCTGTAACCTCACTTCTCGCAGTGAGGGAACCGCCAGAAGGCCCTTGGCGCTGGACCTTAGTGTCCAGGCAGAATGTTGGTGGTGGAGACCCTCCTTCAGGTATTCTGAGTCGAGGCCGTTTAGGGCTTTAAAGGTCAGCACCAACACTTTGAATTGTGCTCGGAAATGTATATTGTATGTTGCTTTGAGATACCTTGGTTTTTTTTAAAAGAAAGTGACCAATCAGTTTAACAAAATACGTAAAAAGGCGAAAGATTTGCACGATCTGAGAAGCCAGGGCAAAAAATAAAATGCTCCAGGGTTTTCAAGAGCAGATTTGGGGATGGCACAGGGTGCACGGTGGGGTAGAAGAGGTGTGTGTGTGTGTTTAATCAAATTGTGCACTAGTCCCATTATTTATTAGAATCCTTCCAGAAATATGCCTGGGGCTGATGGGAGTTGGATATTTGGAGGGCACCCGGTTGGCAAAGGCGGGTGCACAGGATTGCAGTTTTCAGCCTAGGGCTATACCCAAGGGTGAGAAAGCTGTTGGCCTTCACAAAATCGCTGGATTGCAGTTCTTGGGGCTGATGGGAAATGAAGTCCAACAACACCCGGGAAAGTGGCACAGGAATCTCAATTGTGCTATGCCAAGCATAGGCAAACTCCAGCCCTCCAGATGTTTGGGACTACAATTCCCATCATCCCTGACCACTGGTCCTGTTAGCTAGAGATGATGGGAATTGTAGTCCCAAACATCTGGAGGGCCGGAGTTTGTCTATGCCTGTGCTATGCACACAGTGGGAATATGCTTACTTCTGAGTAGACATGAACAAGACTACATTGCAAACACCATTGTTATTGGCATTACGATCAGCAGTTGTAACAGGAATTTAGTATATATATATATATTTTAATGGAGCGAGTAAAAAGTAGAACAACAAATACGACCTTACAGGGAAAATACCTTCTCCCCCACCCCACCACACAATGAGGCAGAGTTCTGCCATAGGAGGACTCCAGAAAGACAGTTTCAAACGAACCCCTTATTCTAGGACATTTTCGAAAAGAAAGGCTCTCCTCTTTACGAAGAGCTCCAGGAACAGCTTGGAGGCTGGAGCCAACCATGTAGTTAGGGTTATTTTTTTAAGGAAGATCTGCAATAATTTTTTTGGGCGGGGGTCCGGCTGGCTTCTCATCCTTCTCTTTGGCTTTTTCTTCATACATCAGAATTCTGCAGAAATAAGAAGGAAATATGAATTCACAAGAGATGCCCCTTCTTAAATCAGACAGGTGGCCATTTAAGAAAATAAAACGAGCTCTGTTGGACCAGATAATTCCCCCCCAACCCACCAGGTATGTCGTGTAATGGAGGGGGGGGTCACAACTGAACTCCACCTGAGGATAACAAGAGTCTGAGGCCGGAAAATTGTTCTAGGATTGGGGGTTATTCTAGATTTCATCATTGGGGTCCACCCCTAGGCTGCTTTTCATATCTAATATGGGATTCTGCATATAAAAGGACTGCTAAAGTGGTCAGGCCGGGCCCTTTAAGTTAACGGCTCAAGCTCACTGTTAAATTTTGGCTTGATTATGTTAACTTTGGGCCAAAGGGGGGACCACAGAGAGACTCAACAGCTGGATTTTCCAGTGTGGCGAGCAAAAACAACTGTGACACCTTAAAAGACAAACCAAATTTATTATAACACAAGCTTTCAGGAACTTTGTCAGATGCACAAAGTTAAATCTTAGTTGACAGGTATTTAAAGGAGAACACTGGAAGGTGGAAGTTGAACCTTAACGAGATGCAAAAAAAATACAGTCAGCGATAATTAGAGCTTAAATGTATGTTGAAGAGACAGGCCTTTAAACCTTTTATAGCAGCAGATGGTTGTATTAAAATCGGTAGTGGGGCAGAGTCATCACTTGTAAGTTAAATTGAGAGAAAGGTGTTTTTTTTAGCATGTTGCATGTCTTAATTAGATTACCAATGCCAGGATACACTGTATTCTGCTCTGGTCAGACCTCACCTGGAGTACTGTGTCCAGTTCTGGGCACCACAGTTCAAGAAGGACACTGACAAACTGGAACGTGTCCAGAGGAGGGCAACCAAAATGGTCAAAGGCCTGGAAACGATGCCTTATGAGGAACGGCTAAGGGAGCTGGGCATGTTTAGCCTGGAGAAGAGGAGGTTAAGGGGTCATATGATAGCCATGTTCAAATATATAAAAGGATGTCACATAGAGGAGGGAGAAAGGTTGTTTTCTGCTGCTCCAGAGAAGCGGACACGGAGCAATGGATCCAAACTACAAGAAAGAAGATTCCACCTAAACATTAGGAAGAACTTCCTGACAGTAAGAGCTGTTTGACAGTGGAATTTGCTGCCAAGGAGTGTGGTGGAGTCTCCTTCTTTGGAGGTCTTTAAGCAGAGGTTTGACAACCATATGTCAGGAGTGCTCTGATGGTGTTTCCTGCTTGGCAGGGGGTTGGACTCGATGGCCCTTGTGGTCTCTTCCATCTCTATGATTCTATGATTCTATGATTCTATGATATCTGCCTGTTTCTTGCAAATGGTTCTACAGGTGCATCTGATGAAGGAGGCATGAGTCTATGAAAGCTTACACCAAGTTATTAAGGTACCACAAGACTTTTTGGTTGTTTGAATAGCTGAAGTCGAGTTCACCGGGGACCAGTGGCTGTGAAGGAGTTGGTAGTCTTGAACTAGGCTGGGGAGAGACACAGAGACTTGACTTGCTCTCTGTGCTGAATCCAAGGCTATACAGTGGTACCTCGGGTAAAGTACTTAATTCGTTCCGGAGGTCCGTTCTTAACCTGAAACTGTTCTTAACCTGAAGCACCACTTTAGCTAATGGGGCCTCCAGCTGCCGCCGCGCTGCCGGAGCACAATTTATGTTCTCATCCTGAAGCAAAGTTCTTAACCTGAAGCACTATTTCTGAGTTAGCAGAGTATGTAACCTGAAGCTTATGTAACCCGAGGTACCACTGTACAGCTCAGGGCCTCTCATAGAAACCTAATGGGGGCAGCAAGATCTATTGGATAGTTAACATTGTGAGCCCTTCCACTTTATGCTCAGTGTCCAGCAGTGAAAGTAGAACATAGTCGTCATGTTTATTACATGCCATAATAAAAGCCATATACAGTGGTACCTCGGGATGCGAACGGGATCTGTTCCGGAGCCCCGTTCGCATCCCGAACAGAACATAAGACGCGGCAGCGTGTCTGTGTGTGCGTGGGTCGTGTTTCGCTGCTTCTGCGCGTGCGCATGATGTCATTTTGACTGCACAAGCGGCGAAATCCGGAAGTAATGCACTCTGTTACTTCCGGGTCGCCGCAGAGTGCAACCCGAAAGCGCTCAACCTGAAGCGTATTTATCCCGAGGTATGACTGTATCGCTAAGACACCACAGCCTTCCATGTAATACCTTTAGGACCGCCTCTCTCCATATTAAACTTCCTGGACCCTGAGATCATCTTCTGAGGCCCTTCTTCGTGTGCCGCCTCCTCAAGAGGCCCGGAGGGTGGCAACACAAGAACGGGGCCTTCTCTGCAGTGGCTCCCCATCTGTGGAATGCTCTCCCCGGGGAGGTTCGTCGGCACCTTCATTATAAATCTTTAGGCACTAGGCAAAAACGTTCCCCTTCAACCTTTGGCTGACTGACATCCAGTGCCCTTTTGTGAAATGTGTTGGGCGATTCTTGGGTTGTTTTTGGTTTTGTTTTTATTATGTAGTTTGTGTTTTTATATTGTGATTTTTATGTGGCGAACTGCCCTGAGACCTCTAGGTATAGGACGGTATACAAATTTAATTTAATAATGATGATGATGATGGTGTAAGGAAATCAAACCCAAGTTTTGCGTGGGCAAAAATCTGATATATTTGAGACCGGACTGTGCGTTAATGGTACTTACATTTTAAGGATAGCTGATCGCTTGCCCAGCATCATACGGACAAAGTCCCGGTAGGAGATGGTTTCGCTCATACCTCCAGTCACCTCAGTGATCATCTTCTTTAGCTCCAGGTGGGTCTTGGCTGCGCCCAGTTTTTCTAGCATGCGCTTCAAGGCCATGATATCTTGGGGGAAGGGAGACAGCAAACCGGTATAACTAAAGTGGACTGCCATAGAGTGCGCTAAAATGATAATAATATAATAATTTATTATTTATACCCCGTCCGTCTGACTGGGTTTCCCTAGCCACTCTGGGTGGCTTCCAACAAAAGATTAAAAATACATTAAAACTGTTATGTACTGAGTTGAATAGGATCCAAAATGCAGCAGTCTGATTGGTCCTAGAACCATAGGATTCAGAATGCAGCAGCCTGATTGGTCCTAGAACAATAGGCTCCAGAATGCAGCAGTCTGATTGGTCCACAGGAGCCACCCAATCCAGCTCCAGATGGAAGTGAATCCGCAGCCTGATTGGCCTACAGGGGAATCCCGGAATTAGCCAATCACGTGGGGCCTATTGTGTAAGTAATGTAAATAAAGCAGACATTCTGGGGGAACTTCCATTCTTCCTCACCACGATGAGCTGAATAAAGAGCATGAAATCCACTCTCGACTCCGAGTATATTTCAAAAACATTAAAAATGCTGTAGACAAAGACAATTAACGAACTAGGGAGCAGGAATGTGTCTGGTGCGGAAATTTGTGCATACACAACTAGGAAGCCATGCTATGAACACAATTCACCCACCTATATCTCCTTGTGCATTGAGATCAAAGTCCATGTATTTCTCTGGGTGGGAGAAAGAAAAAAACAAAACAAACAGGTTAACGTAAGTGTGCAATAGCCGCCTTGCTAAATTGGACGCAAAGTCTGGCCACTCCGAAATACCTCTCTCCAACTATGGCCAGCTACGTACCCCTATGAAGGTCACAAACAAGGTGCAATGAAAGGACTCGGTCTTCATGTCCGGTTCCTAGCATCTAGTACTTGAAGGTATACTGTGACTAAATATGGAGGTTTTAGTCTTAGCTCTCCAAAAGCTGTTACTAGATATATGCTCAACGGGCGTGCCTCATTCTTTTCCTTCTCTTTAAACAGATAAATTTTATTTCATACAATTGATACACAATCTATGTATTAAAAATCTATTTAAAAAATCTATAAACAATTGATTTTACAACTTTTATAAAATTAAACCATTTTACTATTAGAGAACCAGAAAAAATATTAATAGTTATAAATGTAAGCAGGACTTAGTAAAGTTGCAAGTTGTTTTAAACTTGCTTTTCAATATTGTGTTTTAATGTTGGAAACTGCCCTCAGACCTTAGCGTGAAGGACAGGTAAAATAATAATAATAATTAATTAATAGCAATTAATGAAGGGTGCAGATACTTTGTCTAGTGTCAGACTTGTTCTTCCTTTTGTTTAAAGCTTTCTACTTTTCTTTAAGTGTGTTGATTTCATGTCTTCATAAATACATATAATTAATTACCTGCCCTGAAATTCCCAAAGCTTATAATATGCAGGAATGAATTACCAGCTTCCACTTCCCTAAGCCTCTCTCCTTCCTTGCATTGCTTCTACTTTAACAATGTTCAGCTGTTCCCTTACCTTCCTTATCACATCTATTAGGCTTCTGATCATAACCCCCACGCCCTTGTATAGTCATTGCTGGATGCTGTTGTTTATCAACTATATTGTGATGGTTTGCTTTAAATCTCTGATTATTCTGTTATATGTATATAGTCATACCTTGGGTTACAGCCGCTTCAGGTTGCGTTTTTTCGGGTTACGGACCCGCCGAAACCTGGAAGTACCAGAACGGGTTACTTCCAGGTTTCAGGGGTTACGCATGTGCAGAAGCCCTAAATGGATGGAATGGAACACAGTACTCTAGCCAGAACGGTCAGCTCTGAATTGGATCTGTTCAGTGATTTTGCTCAGTGTTTCATCTCAGTGATTCAGCTCAGCTCAGAGGGTGGCTGCATCTGGCTGTGCTCTGATGTCCATCAATCCCAACTTCGTCGCCAGTGTTAAGTTGTGGGTGAACATATCAGACGACACAGCGATTCTTCAAACAGCTCTTGTTTATTCACAGGCCAGAACACAACTGAGCTGAAGGGTTCAGTCAGCCTGCTTATATAGAGCTCCACTACAACGCAACAGTAACCATTTTCTGTAACTATACCATCACTGAACGGCACTTTCAATCTCTTATTTGCATATGTGGACCTGAGTGAAAACTATCTACAGTATCCCCCTGCTGGCCCAGGGTGAAAACTTCAGTACATAACACCAGGGAACTCTGGGAATTGTGTGTCTGTGTGGAATTGGGTGGTGGTGGTGGTTCCTAAACAACTCTCAGCACCTTTAGCAAACTACCATTCCCAGAGTTCTTTGGGGGAAGCCATGATGGTTTAAAGCGGCATGACATTGCTTTACACGTACGGTGCAGATAGAATCTGTTGTAAACAAAAATTGCCCTTTTCCCTTATGGGGTACCCAAGAGCCCATATAGAGTCCTTACATAGGTTCCCTATTGGTAGGAGAAGATAACAGAGGCCAACCAGAGAATATTGAGAAGCAAAGCAGCTAGTAAGCTTGATCTTTATTGATCTGTTGCAACAGGGTGCTCCCCTCACACACAGGAGAAGAGGAGGAAAATTCCTATCACAAAACCGCATACAGTGGAACCTCGGTTTTCGAACGTAATCTGTTCCAGAAGACCGTTTGACTTCCGAAATGTTCGAAAATCGAAGGGTTCTCGGCAATTTCAGTGGGGGGAAAAGAGGAACGCGCTTCGGAAGCCGTTCGAGTTCCGAAAAAGGTTAGAAAACCGGAACACTTACTTCCGGGTTTTCGGCATTTGGGAGCTGAAACGCTCAGCAATGGAGCCGTTCAAGAACCGAGGTTTGACTGAAATGGAAGAAGGAAATCTAAAATGGACCAGCTCCTGCTGCCTCCAGGGAAGGAAAGCTCAACACTGCCTTACAAGGCGCTGAACAGTTCATATGATTGAGACATTAATTTCTCCTCTGGCTACAGTGATTCAGCTCCTTGCCAAAGTTCAGCCCCCCTGCCCTGTCCAAAGCACCCCCAAATGACTCCTCTGAGAGTGCTAGGTGATGGGGCTTGGGCAGGGGTGGGCAAACTAAGGCCCGGGGGCCGGATCCGGCCCAATCGCCTTCTAAATCTGGCCCACGGACGGTCTGGGAATCAGCGTGTTTTTACATGAGTAGAATGTGTGCTTTTATTTAAAATTCATCTCTGGGTTATTTGTGGGGCATAGGAATTCGTTCATCCCCCCCCCCAATATAGTCTGGCCCCCCACAAGGTCTGAGGGACAGTGGACCGGCCCCCGCTGAAAAAGTTTGCTGGCCCCTGGGCTTGGGAATCAGCAAACAGGCCTGGGGTCTGCATTCTTTTTTATTTTCTTTTAAAATATATTTCTTAGTTTGGGCAGCTGGCAGCTGGCTGGTTACGAAACAAACAAGCAAAACCAGTTTGCCGCCCAGATTTCGCATCATTATTAAAGATTTTCTTTTGTTTACAGAAGTACGTGTGTCTTCTCTTCCTTCAGGTTGTGTTTTCTACAGATCAGTTACATTTGTTGTGAGAAGTTGGGTGTTATATGCGGGGGGGGGGGGAAGAATCCAAATGGGCATTGTGCAGTTTTGCATTTTGGAAAAAAAAAAGGGGGGGGACTCGCTTAAATGATTCTGCCACCATGACTAGATGACCCCAGAGTTAAATGGGAGTTCATTTATGTTGCCCCGATGCTGAATGTATTTACAGTAGTACCTTGGGTTAAGAACTTAATTCGTTCTGGAGGTCCGTTCCTAACCTGAAACTGTTTTTAACCTGATGTAACACTTTAGCTAATGGGGCCTCCCGCTGCCGCTGCGCCACCACCACATGATTTTTGTTCTCATCCTGAAGCAAAATTCTTAAACCGAGGTAGTATTTCTGGCTTAGCAGAGTCTGTCACCTGAAGCGTCTGTAACCCGATGTACCACTGTACTTCGGAATAAGCACCACGTTGTCATAGAAAGGAATATTGGTTGGGTATACCTTCAGAATAGGCCCATTAATAGTAACAGACCTAAATTAGGCACGTCTATTATCATAAAATTGTAGCGTTGCAGGGTACCCCGATGGTCATGTAGTCCAACCCCAGCCCATGCAGGGGGGTCTCCTCTGTGCAGGGCTAGAATTAGATGCAGCTGAAAAGTATTGTTTTGTTATCCATTTCTGCAACAACATGGGGCTTATTCCCCCCATCCCACACCCCCTCCCGCAACCTCAAGTCCTCCACGGATGGCACTCACTCTTAAATATTGCTAATTTGTCAGGTAGGTCTTCGTCAGTGCTGTATTTGGGGTCATCCATAAATTCCTGTAGAAAGGCAGGGGGGAAATATTGATTAGGGTAGGAACACATCCAGTAAGGTCCAGTAAAAAAGGTAAAAAAAAGGACGCCTGGATGGTAAAGTCCAGTCAAAGGCAACTATGGGGTTGCGGCGCTCATCTCGCTTTTCTGGCTGAGGGAGCTGGTGTTTGTCCACAGACAGTTTTCTGGGTCATGTGGCCACTTCTGGCACAATGGAACACTGACAGAAACCAGAAATGCCGTTTACCTTCCCGCCACAGTGGGACCTATTTATCTACTTGCACTGGTGTGCTTTCGAACTGCTAGGTTGGCAGGAGCTGGGACAGAGCAACTAGAGCTCACCCTGTCGCGGGGATTCGAACTGCCAACCTTCCGATCGACAAGCCCAAGAGGCCCAGTAGTTCAGACCACAGTGCCACCCGCTCCCAGTGCAGTCTAGTGACTGAAGTAGGTAATGTCATGATGCACAACAGCTGCCAGGGAAAACAGGAATCAACCCCTCAAGACAGCAGGAAACATCAAGCTAGCTGAAGGGTGGGGGATGAACCTTAGAGAGTCATTGCCAGTCAGTGCAGGCCACCCTCTGTCAACCTGGCGTCCCCAGATGTTGTTGCCAATGTTAGAAATTCCCCAGGCGTGTTTTTGCAACCGGCTCGGGTCCAGTTTGCGACCAGGCGAAAATTTCTGGATGCTAGGTTTGCAACGGATACCTCCACCTGGAAGACTGGCTTATTTACGACTTTACCGCAGTGTAAGAGCTCTGCTTCCTCCCGGATTTAGTTTTGCACACCAGGCATATATGCTGTGAAGCTAATCCTTCAGTCAGCCTCGCTCCTCCCCTTATGCTCCTCCCTGCTTATTTCAGATAATTTAACAGGAAACCTGCCTTCTGTCAAGTCAGAACGTTTGTCCACCTAGCTTAGCATTGCTTGCACTGACTGGCAGCAGCAGCTGTCTAGGGCATCAGATCTTTCTCAGTCCCACCTGATACGCCAGGGCTGGAACCACACACCTTTCCCATGCAAAGCGTGTATTCTGCCGCTCAACTGTGCCTTCCCCTCAACTTTAATGACCCCCCGTATGCCTTGCTTACTTGCTCAATTCATCCTTTTAACTTATTTGAGAGGATGGGGAAGCAAAAACCTTTTTTTAAAGCAGCTGTAAAACTGCTGTGGCAACTGGACTCTCTGCGGGTCCACGTGCAAATTACGGTGACGTCACATGTGCTAGCCAGTCAGTGCTATCCACAGTCGCCTTCTACAAAGCTGTGGAACTATTTGTCAAAAAGCTTGGCTCTGGGGTGGGGAATCTCAGGCCTGGACCCTGAATGCAACCTTCCAAGCCTCTTCATTTGGGCTCCAGGATTCTCCCCACACCACACCCCCTCTCCTAGTCCAAGCCCCTTTGCTGACTCTGCCTTGCACCCTCATTGCGGGGTTTTTGTGTGTGGTTTGGCTGGAATGCATCCTTGGACTCTGATAATGTCTTGTCTGTTTGCCTGGATGGGAGAAATTGTATATAGGTAACAATGACATTGGTTGCTCCACCCACCTTGGCCTCTGGCCCTACCCACCACTCACATCCGGCCCTGCAGAAGTTTGTTTAGAAGGGAATGTGGCCCCCTGGCCTTAAACACCCCCCACCCCTGGTGGAGAAGATAAGGTATGTGAAGGGCACCTTACCTTGTTGAGGGAGTCCAGGAATTCCTCCTGCTGGGCTTTTAACACTGCAAAAGCTTTTCCTCCTAGGAGTCGGAGAAGAGTTAATGGTTGTCATTAATGTCCTGGTTTTCAGGTGTAAAAATGGTGTGTGGGGTTTTTTTTGTCGAATCAGCAAAATGTCGGGGAAAACCCGGATGTATGGCAATGCGATGGAAAAAAAGCAGTGGAAACAGCTCCAAAAGCTTAAAATCAGTATTTTGGGGAGAGTCCCCCCCCAAAAAAACCTCAATAATTTTGGTGGTTTCCTTAAGAATGTTGGTGCTGACCTTTAAAGCCCTAAACGGCCTCGGTCCATTATACCTGAAGGAGCGTCTCCACCCCCATTGTTCTACCCGGACACTGAGGTCCAGTGCTGAGGGCCTTCTGGCGGTTCCCTCACTGCAAGAAGTGAGGTTGCAGGGAACCAGGAAGAGGGCCTTCTCGGTAGTGGCACCCGCCCTGTGGAACGCCTTCCCACCAGATGTCAAAGAGAAAAACAATTACCAGACTTTTACAAGACATCTGAAGGCAGCCCTGTTTAGGGAAGCTTTTAATGTTTAATAGTACTTTTGTTATGTACTGAGTTGAATAGGATCCAAACTGTAGCAGTCTGATTGGTCCTAGAACAATAGGATCCAAAAGGCAGCAGTCTGATTGGTCCTAGAACAATAGGATTCAGAATGCAGCAGTCTGATTGGTCCTAGAACAATGCAGCAGTATGATTGGTTGGCAGGAACCACCCAATCCTGCTCCAGATAGAAGTGAATCCACAACCTGATTGGCTTACAGTAGAATTCCAGAATTAGCCAATCATGTGCAGCCCATTGTGTAAATAATGTATATAAAGCAGATACTGTGAGGGGACATTCATTCATTCCTCCTCACCACTATGAGCTGAATAAAGAGCATGAAATCACTTTGCGACTTGGAGTATATTTCACTGGCGACGAGGATGGGATCCCGCTGAGCTGACTGCCACACACAGCACCGCAGCACCGCCAACTGCTGCGCCGCTGCCTCGCACCGTGTATCCAGGCTTCAGCTCCGGGACACAAGGAACTCAGAATGGCAGCCAACAGCAGCTTCTCGCCATTCAACCCAGCATCTGGAGACTGGGAAGCGTACGCCTCCCGTTTCACCTTCCTCCTAGAAGCCAAAGGGGTCACCGACGAAGAAGACGCCAAGAAGAGGGCGATATTCTTCAGCGTCTGCGGAGAGGAGACGTTTGAAATCGCCCGGGCTCTCCTTGCGCCTGAAGACGTCGCTACTGTTCCATACAAAACAACTTTAATATTCTGTTGGAAGCCGCCCAAAGTGGCTGAGGAAACCCAGCCAGATGGGTGGGGTATAAATAATAAATTATTATAATATTATTATTATTATTAAGAAAGCTCAAACCATTTTGGGGTCCTTCTAAAAAAACCTCAGCAATTCTGCCAGTGTCAGGGATTTTATTTTTTGAAATATGCCAACCCTAGGATGAGTGGAGTAAGAGTTGTTCGGCTGTGGAATAGACTCCCATGGGAGGTGGTGGACTCTCCTTCCTTGGAGGTATTTAAGCAGAGGTTGGAGGCCCATCTGTCATGGATGCTTTAGCTGAGATTCCTGCATCGTAGGGGGTTGGTCTAGATGACCCCTGGGTCCCTTCCAACTCTTAAGATTCTATGATCTCCCTGACTTTGCCCTAATATTTTTTTTTATCAAACGTCCATCCCACCCTTCCTCCCAAAGGGGTCCAGGGAGGCGAACAATTCTGTGGTAAGAAATAAAATATAATTAACTATACAAACATACAGTGGTACCTCAGGTTAAGTACTTACCGTATTGTTTGCTCTATAAGACTCACTTTTTCCCTCCTAAAAAGTAAAGGGAAATGTGTGTGCGTCTTATGGAGCGAATGCAAGCTGCACAGCTATCCCAGAAGCCAGAACAGCAAGAGGGATTGCTGCTTTCACTGCGCAGCGATCCCTCTTGCTGTTCTGGCTTCTGAGATTCAGAATATTTTTTTTTCTTGTTTTCCTCCTCCAAAAACTAGGTGCGTCTTGTGGTCTGGTGCATCTTATTGAGCGAAAAATACGGCAATTCATTCTGCAGGTCTGTTGTTAACCTGAAACTGTTCTTAACCTGAGGTACCACTTTAGCTAATGGGGCCTCCTGCTGCTGCCGCACTGCCGGAGCACAATTTCTGTTCTCATCCTGAAGCAAAGTTCTTAACCCGAGGTACTATTTCTGGGTTAGCGGAGTCTGTAACCTGAAGCGTATGTAACCTGAAGCGTATGTAACCCGAGGTACTACTGTATTGGGGTTGGTTGGGGGTGGCAGTGTGGAGCGTATCTGTGGGTCCCTTCCAGGCCTGTGATTCTGTATCTAGTGAGGTTTGGAATCATTATTATTATTACTATTATTATTACTACTACTTTTAGTATTTTTATTATTATTACTAGAAGAAGCTGCTGAACCAGTCTCTGTAAGACAATGGCCTCACTGCCATTTCCATGTCTAAAGATGATGCTCTGTTGCCATAGAGACAAATGTCTTTTCCTGTCTCCCCTTGACCGGATGCTACATTATCCTAGGATGGAGGACAATAGACTGGAAGAGACACTGTGTGTGTGACTATTGGCTGATGCTGGAAGCTGGAGACAGAGAAGCTTGTCTTGCTCTGTGCTGGACCCAAAGGCTTGGTGGTGGTGGGTCTCTCTGGGAACCTAATGGGGAAGCAGGAACTGTCTTGCCATGAGCCTTTCCATCCTATGCTGAGGTTGTAAATGAAACCATAAACCCAGAAGACACTGCGCTCTCCATTGACCTTCATTCCAAGGTAACTGAACACAGGGTAAGCTCAGCCACCCCTGGAGTCTCTCACGGCTTGGAGATTGGGGTGCATGCCCCAATATTTAAAACGTGTGAAAACTGTTAGGTAAAGGTAAAGGGACCCCTGACCATTAGGTCCAGTCGTGACCGACTCTGGGGTTGTGGCGCTCATCTCACGTTATTGGCCGAGGGAGCCGGCGTACAACTCCTCGCGAACCAGAGCAGTGCACGAAAACGCTGTTTGCCTTCCCACCGGAGCGGTACCTATTTATCTACTTGCACTGGCGTGCTTTCGAACTGCTAGGTTGGCAGGAGCAGGGACCGAGCAACGGGAGCTCACCCCGTCGCGGGGATTTGAACCGCCGACCTTCTGATCATCAAGCCCTGGGCTCCGTAGTTTAGCCCACAGCGCCACCCGCGTCCTGTGAAAACTGTTAAGTAGATCTAAAAGCAATAAAGCATCTGAAGCAAATTTAAGAGCAGATGCAACAAAATCAGGCATCTGGATAGATCCTCTGAAACAGAAAAGTTTCCAGTGGACATTTAGAAGAGAACATTGATGGCGCTGGCCTTATTTCGCTATGGCCGTTCAACGTCTCTGGAGTCTTCCAGTTTCTGCCATTTCCTCTTTCCGACACAATTTCCTGACTTGTATGTGTGCTGGCGGTTATGTGTTTCAATTTCTGTAGACTGCTTTGCTTTTGGTTCGCAGTGTCGTTTGGCTAACCAAAGAGGAACTTAGCCCAAATTTCCTGACTCGGTTTTTTTGTTCCCTGCCTTCCCCCAGTTGCAAAAGGGAAATGGGATAGGTGAACCGCAGCAGCTACCAAATTGAGGCATCACAACTGTGGTGGGGAAAGGGGGGGCATTTACAAAGTTGGGGGATGGGAGCACCGGTTTAGGGTACACTTTAAGGTAGGGGTAGCCCACGTGAGGACTCCAAATCCCGTCACCCCCAACCGTTGGCCATGCTGAAGAAAATGCTTCGGGATGGGAGAGAGAGAAAGGGGAGATTACACTAAATGTGTTATGTACTGAGTTGAATAGGATCCAAAATGCAGCAGTCTGATTGGTCCTAGAACAATTGGATCCAAAATGCAGCAGTCTGATTGGTCCCAGAACAATAGGATTCAGAATGCAGCAGTCTGATTGGTCCTAGAACAATGCAGCAGTATGATTGGTCTGCAGGAGCCACCCAATCCAGCTCCAGATGGAAGGGAATCCACAACTTGATTGGCCTACAGGAGAATTCTGGAATTAGCCAATCACGTGCGGCCCATTGTGTAAACAATGTATATAAAGCAGATACTTTGGGGAAACATTCATTCCTCCTCACCACTATGAGCTGAATAAAGAGCATGAAATCCACTCTCGACTCTGAGTATATTTCAAAATGGAACTTCCCTCCCACAGTTTTTTCTTTAGTCACACCTGCTACAGACATTTAAAGCATATTTTGATACTTCTTTAAGCAGTTATACCTCTCCCCACAAGGAATCCTGGGAATGATAGTTTAGCCCTCATGGAGCTACAGACTCCAGGACCCTTAATGAACTACAGCTCCCAGAATTCTTTGCGGGGAAGCCTTAGAAGTATGGCGTGAATGTGTTACGAGTTACAGTGAAGGGACAGGCCAGAATTCTGGGTTTCAGTAGGCAACAGGAAAACAGCTGCTGAGTTTGCTTCTTCTTCTAAAGCTTGGAAACTGGCCATTGCCCACTTCCTTACGCAGTGGGCATAAGGAAGTGGGCATATATGGATGTCATATATGGTACCTCGGGTTACAGACACTTCAGGTTACAGACGCTTCAGGTTACAGACTCCGCTAACCCAGAAATAGTACCTCGGGTTAAGAACTTTACCTCAGGATGAGAACAGAAATCGCATGGCGGCAGCGGGAGGCCCCATTAGCTAAAGTGGTGCTTCAGGTTGAGAACAGTTTCAGGTTAAGAACGGACCTCCGGAACGAATTAAGTTCTTAACCCGAGGTACCACTGTATATGAGCAAATGGAGATGCAGGACCCGCAATTCACATTGGAGTTGCAGTGCTGAGGAGGGGAGGTTTAATCCAGCCACACTTAAAAAAACCCCAAAACGGAATTGTTTGCATTGGCTGCTGTTTTCTCAGCAGAATAAGGTTGTGTGCACATAATGGTGGCACGGACTTCCTCGGGAAGTTGTGGGTGCTCCTTCCTTGTAGGTTTTTATGCAGAGGTTGTCATGGGTGATGCAGCAGAGATGAAGAAGAGTTTGGATTTGATACCCCGCTTTATCACTACCCGAAGGAGTCTCAAAGTGGCCAACATTCTCCTTTCCCTTCCTCCCCCACAACAAACACTCTGTGAGGTGAGTGGGGCTGAGAGACTTCAGAGAAGTGTGACTGGCCCAAGGTCACCCAGCAGCTGCATGTGGAGGAGCGGGGAAGCGAACCTGGTTCCCCAGATTACGAGTCCACCGCTCTTAACCACTACACCACACTGGCTCCCTCACAACCCGCTTCCTTCCGATTAGAAAACGGAAGCTGTGGATGAGCAGAGGTGTGCGCAGTTTGGGCAGCCCTTGCGCATGCACAGATGACAGCACATGCACAAGTGACAGCTTCAGTGCGCTGGAGTTCTGAGTAGGGAAACAAATGATGCAATGGGGACCGGGGGAAGACTTCCCCTCTGCACAGCAACCTAAGTATCCGACTTGGAACATAGTGGGGAGGGGGAGAATTCAGATCAGAAAAATGGCATGTTGGCAAGGTTTAAGCCAACCCCCACCCCCAGTTGCTAGGACCAGATTTAGGTTCCCACCTCAATTGCATTTGCTCTTGAAAAATTAAATACCAGAGATTTGATTGTGACCATCTTGTCTAGTGCCAAGGAAAAAGAAAGTGTGAACAACTGTTAAAAATACTCCTTGACTTCTTTGAGGGAGTGAATCCAGATTGAGATCGGTGGAAGATTTAAGGAGCCAATTCACGAACCTGTTACAGTATCATCAATTACATGATATGTTTAAACTAGATAAGAAAAATGGGTTTCTGGACCAAATCTGAAAGAGATTTATTACAGAATAAGGATAAACTATATTGTCTAAAATGTATAAATTGTAAACACAGGACGAGCTGGTAAAAGCTTCAATGATACACTGGGCAATGGACATAGGGCATAATATAGATCTAAACCTTTGGAAGAGTGATTTGAAATTTACTGCATGCTACACACTGGAAGAAAATTACATGAAAATGATTCATAGCTGGTATTTAACCCTGAGCAGACTGGCTAAGAAATATAAAATAGAATCGGATTTATGTTCGAAATGTAGGGGACTTTTTTTTCCCATATGTGGTGGGCGGGTAAAAAGGTTAAAGGAAATGATTTATAATGAGAAAAAAAATGTTTAAAACAACTTTTCCCAAAAGATCAGAGGCATTTTTGCTAGGAATCGTTCAGACAAAGGCTTCCAGGTCCCAGAAAAACCTATTTTTGTATGCAACAACGGCGGCCCAAGTTTTGTTAACCCAAAAGATATTTATATTCCTCCAAGGATGTACCCAGTTCTCTCTCACGTCTCCCAGTTTTATTTTCACCACAGCTCTGTGAGGACGCAGGTGGTGTTGGTCTGTCTCCCGTTGTTTCCCAGTGTGATAGGGTAGGCCGGACTTTGCCAACCTGGTGCCCTCATGACATTTTGGAATACAACTTGCCTCAGCCAGCTTAGCCAACGGTCAGGGGACGATAGGAGTCGTAGTACAAAGTCTGGAGGGCACCAGGTTGATGAAGGCTGTGTACACACCATGCGCCTAAAGCACATTCCCACCCCCCTCCAAAGGATCCTGGGAACCGTAGCTCCGTGAAGGGTCAACTATAGTTCCCAGGATTCTTTGGGAGGGGTGGGAAAGTGCTTTAAAGGTATGGTGCAGCTGAAGGTTTGGCAACCCAGCCACGATCTCCTTCGCAGGCTGCTGCCCCGCTCCTTCTCCCCAACGTATTGCCAGATTTCCTCTTGCCCTGCCTTGGTTGCCTCTGCTGGTTACATGCTCCTCTCTGCTTTATGGTCGCTAACATTTCCTGCATCCAAACCTCTCTTTTTCCATACTAGTGTTCACCTTTGGATACACCCATCTTCCTGCACTCTGGACAGTTACGATCTCTTTCCTGGACTAAGATGGTTTCCTCAGCAGCTGATACCTTGGGGGTCCATGGGTCTCCTCTTTGCCTTTTCCTCGGAGGGTTCCCCTCGACTTCTTCTCTGCTGAACTGATGTCTCGCCTCCTCAGCTGCTGCCTCCTGCTCTCTCTCTGTGTGCCTATAGATATTTCAGTCTATAATATATATGTGGAGGCAACTTCCTCTTTTGCTCTGAGAAACCACACAGCTCATTGACACTCGCACAGACCATGTGGAGAAGGAGAGAGGAAAGGTTTTCTGAGAGGGCTTGTGCGGCAAAGTGGGAGGCCTGAGAGAGAGAGAGGAAGTTGCAGGCTGCCCTTCAGCAAAAGGAAGTTGGGGGCTGAAACACAGTCCGGGCGGGGGTTGGTCCTCAGGCGCCGCGTTGTCGACCTTTGCTGCCGTAGGTCTTCGGCTGCTTGCCGTTTTGAGTTGCACGCCTGACAGTTCGCACCTTTTGTGTCGCACTGGTGCGGCTAGAGGTTGTCAGCGTGGTTCCCATGGGTGCAGTGGCACCCTCTGCCACCCCCATCCGCTTCCTTGGCCACAAAGCTGTGCCGCCTTTTCCTCCCTTGAAAAGGACACGCAGCTGGCAGATTAAGTTGGAAGAGCGATGTGCTTTCCCGTGCCTTCTTTCAGCTCTGTGTGCTTTTTTTGTGTGGCTAAGGTTAGTTCTACTGGGTGTTGTAAACAAAAATTGCCCTTTTCCCTTATGGTGTATCCAGGAGCCCATATAGAGTCCTTACGTAGGTTCCCTATTGGTAGGAGAAAATAACAGAGGCCAACCAGAGAATATTGAGAAGCAAAGCAGCTAGTAAGCCTGATCTTTATTGATCTGTTGCAACAGGGTCCTCAACTCACCACACGAAGGAGGGAGGAGGAACCCAGAACAATGGCGCGCAAGGCCTTATAAAGACTTTTGAAATTGCCATCCTGTAGATCAAGACCACCCCCAGAAACATCATACATACATCACAGAAGGGGTGTAACCTAAGACCACCCCCCAGATAGATCATACCTTCATCACAGAAAAGGCGGTCTAAAACAGAAATTTGAATGTTGTTTTCCTCCTGTCTGGTAGGTTACTTGATTGGATTGCCTGGGGAGCCTGGCCAGTCTTTTGTAATGATAAATACTTAGTTCCTGGGCCAGGTCACAGGCTCACACCCTATTCATATCTTAAATGTGCCCTTAAGACAGGATTTGTGAGGAAAGAGACAATGGGGAGGTTTCCCACTATGACCTTGCAGAGAAATCATTTGCTCAGTTTGGGAATCAAATGGTTCCAGGTCGGTTTTCCTGTGCTGATCTATGTACGTGCTTGGTTGGTACGCTTATGAACATTACCATATATCTAAGACCTCAAAATTCCTATCACACGGGCCTGACTTTCCCCCAGATCCCTCGGGGAAAGGCGAGGTGTGCACAGCGAATCTCTTCACTGTTCTGTCTCTTGGGAAGGGGGCTGATGTGTTGGACAGGGAGGGAAGCGGCCAGAGAGTGGTTAAAGCAGAGAGCCTAGGGCTTGCCGATCAGAAGGTCGGCGGTTCGAATCCCCGCGACGGGCTGAGCTCCCGTTGCTCGGTTCCAGCTCCTGCCAACCTAGCAGTTCGAAAGCACGTCAAAGTGCAAGTAGATAAAGAGGTACTGCTCCGGTGGGAAGGTAAACGACGTTTCTGTGCGCTGCTCTGGTTCGCCAGAAGTGGTTTAGTCATGCTGGCCGCATGACCTGGAAGCTCCCTCGGCCAGTAAAGTGAGATGAGCACCGCAACCCCAGAGTTGTCTGCGACTGGACCTAATGGTCCTTTCTAGTGAGGCATTATTGTGAAATGTTTTTAATTGTTTGATTTTACTTTGGTTGCAAATTGCACTGGCTCTCCCCCCTTTTAGTGGGAAGCAATATTTAAAATTTAATAAACGTAGTGTGGTCAACACCATCAACTCCAGTCAACATGAAAAGAAACTTAAAAAAAAGAAGAATATTATGAATCTTTGAGGCTGCAGTCACTGAACGGTTGAGAAGCACCAGTGTGTGCTGTTCACCAGACCTCTGCATCCTCTCAAGCGTAGCTCACCAGCCCTGTGTTTGGGGCCTACCAAGTGATTTGAAGAGAGGGGAAGAAACAGGGAGAAATTCAAATTACCGAAGCAACAGACAACTTAAATACACCTCTCTCTGAAGTTCACACTTCCCCAAATTTTGCAATGCAGTTCTCCTATCAAATAACATGCACAAAATTCCAAACTAGTTACAGGTAGGTAGCCGTGTTGGTCTGCCGTAGTCGAAACAAAATAAAAAAAATTCCTTCCAGTAGCACCTTAGAGACCAACTAAGTTAGTTAGCTCATACCAATAACTAACTTAGTTGGTCTCTAAGGTGCTACTGGAAAAAATTCCAAACATCAGGGTTCGGAAAGTGTGCATATATTTGTGGGGAAATACGTTCTATTAGGGACGACTAGCTTGAGCCATGGTTTTCCCATTAGTGATGTATGGAAGTGAGAGCTGGACCATAAAGAAGGCTGGTTGCCAAAGAATTGATGCTTTTGAATTATGGTGCTGGAGGAGACTCTTGAGAGTCTCATGGACTGCAAGAAGATCAAACCTATCCATTCTGAAGGAAATCAGCCCTGAGTGCTCACTGGAAGGACAGATCCTGAAGCTGAGGCTCCAATACTTTGGCCACCTCATGAGAAGAGAAGACTCCCTGGAAAAGACCCTGATGTTGGGAAAGATGGAGGGCACAAGGAGAAGAAGAAGACAGAGGACAAGATGGTTGGAGAGTTTTCTCGAAGCTACCAGCGTGAGTTTGACCAAACTGCGGGAGGCAGTGGAAGACAGGAGTGCCTGGCGTGTTCTGGTCCAGGGGGTCACGAAGAGTCAGACACGACTAAACGACTAAACAACAACAGCTTGAGGCAAAACTGCTTTCAAAAGACTGCTTATTAGGAGATGCGCAGATTAAAATGCTGACTTGCAGACTCATCAGGAAATGTGGAGAACTGAACTGAAAATGAGAAAGGAGAAGCATGAAAATGAGAAGCAAAATTTATGTTCCTGGGGTTGCGACCATGTTTGGCAGGTCATCTGCAGGACTTAATCTCCTTATGCAGGGCCTGTAAGACAGAGCTGTTCCGCCTGGCCTTCAGTTTGAGTTAGCCTGATCCTCTGTTCCCTTTTCCCTTTCCTCTTCTATGAAGAAACCCTTTCTGGGACCCCACATTTAAATTCTTCCCTGGTCTCCTTGCTGGCCCTAGTAGGACCAACTTGGCCAGTTAGCCCTGGTGATCATTCAGTGTCTACTGACTGGAGTTTAACCCCACCCAATGATCCCTGAATTTTAGAATTTTAATGATATTGATGCTGCATTTTATGTTGTATTCTATGCAGTTTTATGCTGTTTTTAAGTTGCATTTTAATCAATGTTTTATATTTGCTGTTAGTCACCCTGAGCTTGGTTTTTAAACCGGGAAGGGTGGGGTATAAATAATTTTTTTTTATTATTATCTGTGATTTTCAAAAAGTTGGTTGGTCTTCAATAAGAGCTGTATTTCCCAACATGGAGATGCGGTTCTGGGGAAACAACAACAAATCTACCTGCTAAACTGAAAGTAGCAGCCTTAGTAATAACCCTCACAGTCAGGAAAAGTGAATTTCATCCTATTTTAACTGCAGCTGCATCAGGTTCACTACTATTGAAATAAATAGACCTGTCTTAACCATGTTCATTATTTTTTGTGGGTCTTCTCTGAGTAAAACTTAGTTGAATACTACCCAATCTTTTCAGAATAACCCCCAAGCCTTGGGAGCGAAAACCAACCACATTAAATACGTGATAATTTTCTGCAATGGCACCCAAAAGCCTCCTCCTGCTTGACTGAGATTTCCCCAGTCTGCCAATTTCAAGGTGTGCTGTTGCTAACCTTAACAGTGCAGCTTCTTTATGTAAAGTATATTCTGGTGAATCATTAAACATGGAAAAGCACCGTAATGTTCGGTCTGGTTGAATTATGGGTTGTCTCATCACAATCCTGGTTTTGCATGAAGTCAAAGGAGAAGGGCTTATCCACACTTATTTCCTCTGCTCTTTCCAGGCATGCCCATGATTTAAAGCTCCATTTCCAAGGGCCTCTGTCTTTTCTCTGGCCCTTTCCTCACGGAAACCCGTTCTTTAAAACTCCTGAAAACCCGTTCCTTAAAGCTCAATTTGAGCAAACGTCAATCCCCGGAAAACCCGAACTGACATTTGCTCTGATTCAGCTTTAAAGAGCAGGTTTTTGTGGGGAAATATTGCCTGGAAAGAGTGGAGCGAAAGGTTAGGGTGGACAAGCCCCTAAAGTAAAGGCAGATTGTGGCCATGGGAGCAAAAAAGGTGAGACACTGAGAGGGGGAAAAATGGTGGTTTAAAACAATGGCAGAAGTTTGAATAAAGCAGTGATGGAGGAGAACTGAGAGGAAAAACCACGATTTTAAACAACAGAGATTTAAGAAAACTACTACAGTGGTACCTTGGGTTACATACGCTTCAGGTTACATACACTTCAGGTTACACACTCCGCTAACCCAGAAATAGTGCTTCAGGTTAAGAACTTTGCTTCAGGATGAGAACAGAAATTGTGCTCCGGCGGTGCGGCAGCAGCAGGAGGCCCCATTAGCTAAAGTGGTGCTTCAGGTTAAGAACAGTTTCAGGTTAGGAACGGACCTCCGGAATGAATTAAGTACTTAACCTGAGGTACCACTGTACAGTCAAACCTCGGATCCCAAACACCTCCATTTTGGAACGTTTCAGTTCCCAAATGCTGAAAACCTGAAAGTAAATGCTCTGGTTTTTGAACGCTTTTTGAAAGCTGAACATCCAGCGCTGCTTCTGCTTGAGTGCAGGAAGCTCCTGTGGCCAATTGGAAGCCACGTCTTGGTTTTCGAACATTTTGGAAGCTGAACGGATTACATTTGACAACCAAGGTTTGACTCTACTAACAGCCACTATCCTGCCCTTTCATTGTTCCTCCCTTCTTGCTATACTCAAACGTCTCTCTCTTCCTTTCCTTAGCTGCTTTGTGTGAGGGAGATGATGGCCGCAGAGCCCTTAAATACCCCACAGTCCCTCCATGCAATGCATTTTACTCCTGGCGCTATGTATTGCCTTCAACATGAAGTTCCAGATTCAATGTAGTCGTTTAGAATAGGTATTTTATTTGTTAAGTTGTGGGCGAACATATCAGACGACACAGATATTCTTCAAACAGCTCCAGTCTATTCAGAGGCCAGAACAGAACTGACTGAAGGGCTCAGTCAGCCTGCTTATATAGAGCTCCAGTACAACGTTACTGTAGCAACTTTCTAAAACTATCCAATCACTGAACGTCACTTTCGATCCTTCATTTGCATAACTATCTACTGTATCCCCCTGCTGGCCCAGGGTAAGAACTTCAGTACATAACATTATTAACAAGCAAACACCCGTTTATGTACAACACCCACCAGCCGAACTTAACCTTTTCTAAGCTGACCTGCTTGCTTGAGTCTGTTTGTCTCAAAGGCACAGTAGCGTTTATGATTGTGGTGCGTGTGTGTGTTGCAGAACGGGAGGGGGGTGAGGACGGAAACGGGGAATGTGAGTGCAAGGGAGAGTTGCAAAAAGCAGGGCAGAAAGGTGGGAGGGAGGAAAAAACGAGACGAAGGTGAAAATGAGGGTACAAAGGGGGTTGCAAAAAAGGGGGGAGTAGGGGGCCTGGGAGTGTTGTCCGTTTTTCTAGGCTGCTACAGGATGCGACTGTCTGCAGTCTACAGTTAAAGTATCTGTGTTTCCGTTTTCATCACTCATCAGAACCTCTGCATAAGGAGTACAGCAATCGGACCTAAAAAGGAGGACAAAGTTATAATTGTGTCAAGAACATATTACAGAATAAAACATTAGTTTGCAGCAGGGGCATCTGGTTACTTTTATGACGACTTCTTTTGTTTTATTTATTTTTTACTGAACACTTTGTTCTTTCACTGGATTTCCATGTGAACCAGTCTCAAGCTATTCTTACTCTTCTGCAGAACCCATTCGACACCCGTCCTTCTCTCCCTCCCCTCTCTCAAGTCTTGGGTGGGAGGGAGTGAATTGGGGGGGGGAGAGGGAGTTTGAGCCTCCATTCTGTCCTCTGCCGGGACATCTCCATTTTTTTGGGGGGGGTGTGTGTGTTGGACCCTTGCTTTTCAATCAACATCTGCATAGCTGCATTTAGCTTTGAAAGCAGCCCCTCCCCCCAAAGAAACTTCTTCAGTTTACTTGGGTTGGGAGTAAAATTTGTGATTGTGGGAGGAATGTGATAGCTGTATACACTCTGCAACTGTTTCTGGTGTGTGTGTATAGTCTCTTCTCCTGCATGGAAGTGAATTGATAGAAGAAGAGGAGTTTGGATTTGATATCCTGTTTTATCACTACCCGAAGGAGTCTCAAAGCGGCTCACATTCTCCTTTCCCTTCCTCCCCCACAACAAACACTCTGTGAGGTGAGTGGGGCTGAGAGACTTCAGAGAAGTGTGAGTGGCCCAAAGTCACCCAGCAGCTGCATGTGGAGGAGTGGGGAATCGAACCCGGTTCACCAGATTATGAGTCTACCACTCTTAACCACTACACCACACTGGCTCTCTCTCTGTTAACTAGCATGGGGGAAAATAAGAGGTTGGAGCCCTGGAAACAACTGGAGGAGGAAAATCTCACCCCTCTCCTAACGAACGAGCTTTGGGGATAATATGACAATTCTCAATACAGTGGTACCTCGAGTTACAAACACTTCGGGTTACAGACTCCGCTGACCCGGAAGCAGTACCTCGGGTTAAGAATTTTACCTCAAGATGAGAACAGAAATTGCGCGCTGGCGGTGCGGCGGCAGCAGGAGGCCCCATTAGCTAAAGTGGTACCTTAGGTTAAGAATGGTTTCAGGTTAAGAACGGACCTCCGGAAGGAATTAAGTTCGTAACCAGAGGTACCTCTGTAGGTATCATTGCTGTTCAGCTTTCCCAAATTAAGCTCAAGAGGGCGCTGTTGGACAGCTCTGTTGCACTTCCTTGACATCTGACAACCTAAGATAAAAACTGTATGTAGATTGTCTTCAGTGCGTATTTTGTTGTGTTCACATATGATGAGAATCATGGCCAGTAGTTGTTCTTGTCATGGGTTGAACCTCTTTTAGCTTCCCATGAGAACAAACTGAGGCCGCTGGTTTGTTGTTTGCACCCATCTGTCTTGGTAGACAACAGAAGAGTGTGTTTTCAGGGGTAAAGTCCATTATTATTATTATTATCCATTCATTGCTTTTTACAAAATATCCCAAAGCAAGTTAGAAAATGGTAAAATGCAGAACAAGTTCCCCAAATGCTTAAATTCCGCAACACAGAATAAACTCTAAGAATAATAAAAGTGAAAAAAGAATGAATGGAATGAAGGCTCATCCACTCTTCTGTTTCTCCGCAGAAAACCCGACTGACGTTTGTTCCGATTCAGCAGTAAACAGCAGGTTTTCCTGGGGGAAAGTGGGGGGACGAGAGAACAACCTCTCAGACTCATGCCTAGAAATCATGGGGCGAGCGTTAAGAGTGGGTGAGCCTTGAGTCTCTCTCCACTAAAAAGCAAACACCAACTGAGGCCAGTTTCAAACCACATCGTGCTTAAATTGAGATCCAAAAGCCTGTTTGTACCTGCAACCTAAAGGCTGGCACTGCTGGAGCCAGGTGACCTCTTCAGGGGAGGGCATTCCATTAGCAGGGAGTCAACACTTAAAAGGCCCTGTCTTTTAAGACACTGGTGCATAATTGGTTAAGGAGACCACCTGATTATGGTCTGGAATGCCGGGACCTCAAATCCAGTTGTCTTCTGTCCCTGTTCCTCACCATCAGCCCTGTTAGTAGGAGGACCAGAGAATCACTCCCTGGTCTCTAGGACCCTGCTTTAGGTGTGTGCTCTCTGACACTACATAAGCAGAAGAGATTTTTCACATAAAACATTCTGCAAGCGGCTTGTTTGGTCCCCCCTTCCCCTTCATTTGGGGGTTATCTGTGTAAGAAATAAACTGAAGGTATCGCTGTGGGTTAAACCACAGAGCCTAGGACTTGCTGATCAGAAGGTCAGCGGTTCGAATCCCCGTGAAGGGGTGAGCTCCCATTGCTCGGTCCCTGCTTCTGCCAACCTAGCAGTTCGAAAGCACGTCAAAGTGCAAGTAGATAAATAGGTACCGCTCCGGCGGGAAAGTAAACCACATTTCCGTGCACTGCTCTGGTTCGCCAGAAGCGGCTTAGTCATGCTGGCCACACGACCCGGAAGCTGTACGCTGGTTCCCTCGGCCAGTAAAGCGAGATGAGCGCCGCAACCCCAGAGTCGGTCACGACTGGACCTAATGGTCAGGGGTCCCTTTACCCTTTACCTTTATCCTCAGAGAACAGGAATGGGGCCTCCTCCTTCGATGCAAATATGTAAAGGCTCAATAAGCTAACATAAAAGTGAATCAGGACAAATGCTGCATTAACAGGTCATCAGGAGGAGGCCCGTGGACATACATACCGATAGTGACAAATGACCTCCTTGCTGCCACCAGCCCCCTGTGGGTTGCAAGATAGTTGAGATCCCTCTGGTGTGGCACGGACAGTGACAGCACTTTGAGCATCCTTAGCAGCAAAGCTCATGTACCAAAGGCGCTGAGAGCAGGTAGGTCTGTGCTGAATGCCGCCTGCACAAGGCATGTTAAAGTCTAGGAGGACGTGGGATGGTGAGATCTGGTCTGTTTCCTGTTTGGGTAGAGAACATGTTGGTTGGTAAATACCAAAGAGTATCCACCAGTAAGGGACGCGGGTGGCGCTGTTGGTTAAACCACAGAGCCTAGGGCTTGCCAATCAGAAGGTCAGCGGTTCGAATCCCCGCGACGGGGTGAGCTCCCGTTGCTCGGTCCCTGCTCCTGCCAACCTAGCAGTTGGAAAGCACGTCAAACTGCAAGTAGATAAATAGGTACCGCTCCGGCGGGAAGGTAAACGGCGTTTCTGTGCGCTGCTCTGGTTCGCCAGAAGTGGCTTAGTCATGCTGGCAACATGACCCGGAAGCTGTACGCCGGCTCCCTCGGCCAATAAAGCGAGATGAGTGCCACAACCCCAGAGTCGGTCACGACTGGACCTAATGGTCAGGGGTCCCTTTACCTTTACCTTTATCCACCAGTAAATGCCACCATCAACTAGGGCACATGCTTAATTTTATCCAGCATGGTACTCTCCAGATATTTTGGACTTCAGCTCCCATAACTCCTCACTATTGGCCATGCTGGCTGTGGGTGATGGGAATTGTAGCCCACAAAATCAGAAGGGCACTACGTTGGCAACCCTGAGCTAGAGACTCAGTCCGTTTTCGTCAGTTTCACATGCTGTTCATTCATCAATCTGCCAAGCCCAATTTCCACATGAAGGGTTTTCCAAACAACAATGGAAATTTGTCCTGAAATACATAGGTCTTCATCTATGTTTTATCTCAATGCATTCATTTCTAAACATACCTCATTGCCAAATATACATTAAATACTTTTCTGACCCAAGAATTGTGTGATAGAGTTCAGGGGCCTGGTAGAGAATGAACAGATAACGTTAAGAAGAGGAAGAGTTTGGATTTAATATCCCGTTTTATCACTACCCTAAGGAGTCTCAAAGCGGCTAACAATCTCCTCCCCCCCACCAACAAACACTCTGTGAGGTGAGTGACACTGAGAGACTTCAGAGAAGTGTGACTGGCCCAAGGTCACCCCACAGCTGCACGTGGAGAAGCGGGGACATGAACCCGGTTCACCAGATTACGAGTCTACCGCTTTTAACCACTACACCACACTGATGACACAGTGATTAATGGAGTGTTCCTTCAGTTGGCATTCGGTATATGGATATTAGCAGTGGCCATGAAAAATCAACGTGGAGTGAAAACTCACCAGGGCAGTTTCAGGAACGACCATGATGGGCAGTTTCAAGTAGTTTTGAGCTGCCGAGCTTTGAGCTGTGAACGTTGCAGTGCTGAAAGAACATCCAGTGATTATGAACTGTGTATATCCGGGGGGGGGGGGGGGCAGCGTTATAGATGAGAAGGGACAGTCTAGCATCTATACTTTGTTGCCCTCAGCAATCCAGCTTAGCTGTGCTGCATCATCGTATCCTACTAGTATGTCATCTGGATCCACCAGTTCCTAATTCTTCGCTCAGAAAACACTGGAGTCTTGGTACCATCTTCCTCTGCTCCCCCTTCTTAGGGCTGTGAATGTCCCCTGTCTGAAACCTTCAAGAGCTTTACTGTAGACTAGTGGCTCCCAGAACATTTCTGTACATTTACCGCTTTAAAATTGTGATGGTGTTGGTGGACTACTTAATGATTTTTCTGCCTCCTGTAGCAATTGAAATGGGATGTGCTTTTTCATTGTATCTCTATTGCTTCTTTTATTTTTTATATTGTAATACAATAAAATGCAATGTTAGAAGGAAAAGGAGCATTAAGAACACAATTAGAAATCAATATGTATATTTAATGTGGATGTTCCATGGAACAGCTGAATGAAGCCACTTGTGATCCACAGGCCAGTTTGGGAACCCCTGGTGTAGACAATATTCATCTAGATAAGGGTTGGCAAACCTTTTCTGGCGGGTGGGCCTTCTCTCCTTCTCTCCCCACCCTGGTGGGCCAAATTGGACAGGTGGGTGGGGTTGGGGTCTCCCACCTGTCACTTGATGTAATTGTGCTGTTCAGGTGATGCTGTGCTTTGAAGCACCGATTGTTGGGACTTCAAAGTGCAGTGCAGGGCTGTTTGAAAGCCCTTTTGCAAACAGCCCCATGCTGCTGGTTTTCAGAGGTTCAAAACGATGTGCAGCCCTGCACTGATCGTTGTACCTGTGGTTTTCAGAGGTTCAGAGAACAGCACTGGGACAGACTATCAATAAAAGGGGGGGGGGTCCACTGCAGCCACTGCTAAAATAGAGATTTCCCTCCTCCCTTTCAACAGCAGTAACCTCCTGGAGCAAGACATATTCATAAAAATGGCAACAACTTCCCCCTCAAAGCAAGCTCAACGACTTTTGTGTCCGGATTTTCACTTTGATAATATGGCAACCCTAGTACAGTGGTGCCTCGCAAGACGAAATTAATCCGTTCTGCAAGTCTCTTCGTCTTGCGGTTTTTTCGTCTTGCGAAGCACGGCTATTAGCGGCTTAGCGGCTATTAGCGGCTATTAACGGCTTAGCGGCTTAGCGGCTATTAATGGCTTAGCGGCTATTAACGGCTTAGCGGCTTTAAGAAAAAGGAAACAAACTCGCAAGACGTTTCATCTTGCGAAGCAAGCCCATAGGGAAATTCGTCTTGCGGAACGACTCAAAAAACGGAAAACTCTTTCGTCTAGTGAGTTTTTCGTCTTGCGAGGCATTCGTCTTGCGGGGCACCACTGTATAAGGCAGCTTATAATCGGTACCAAGTGCAGTAGCTCCAAGTCTTCCGTGGGCTACTACCTACCCAGAGAACCCTCAGAACCTGACACCTCCTCTCTCTCCTCACTCCAGACGTCCACTCCTATCATCTCTTTCATTCCTACCATTTGGGCAATGCCATCCTACCTGGAGGTAAAGCTGTCACTCCCTAAAGCTGCTGTGAAGGTTGCGTTGAGTAGGGTGCTCTCTCCTGGGTTTAGGAATTTTTTGGGTGGTGTAAAGCTGCTCAGGAGACCCTGGTCATCCCAGACTTCAAAAGAGAATGAAGCCGCTTGCCCACTGTTCACCACCATGACAGAGACCTCCAGGCTCTCACCAGGCAACATTGCATCTGGAGAAATAGGAAGACATGCTCGTAATTGTTAAGTATAGTGGTGTAATTGACATTGAAATGGAAAATGCCTGTATGTATATAGCTGAAGGTTTAACTGGAAAATTCCATTGGGCAATATTGAAGCTAAGAAGAGCTCTCTGAGAGCCTAGATGGGTTAATAATTAACTGTTGATGTTCCCTGTTAATTTTAGGTCATGTGAGAGAGGTATTCAGTTGCAAATCGCCACTTTGGGGAGTTGGCCATTGAGTTTTTCTCTGGAAGCCACAGAGAACAAAAGATGTGGTCTGCCGAAGAGAAAACAGCTCCAGGCTAATGGAGTCTGTGTGGTGAGAGACAGACTTCTGGTTTTAGGTCTGTTTGGAATTATTTCATTTTTTTAAGAAGGTGGAACCTATGCTGGACGTGCACGTGATATTATACAACTAATCTGAATGTATCGTTATTTGTTATTTTGTTTGTTTTGAAGCAAGTTCTGTCTATTAAAGCTTCTGAATCTTATTTATGGGCCTGGACCATTTTTATTCAAAGAGGAGTCAGTTTTTATGCCTCCTACTGCTTCAAAGCTGTGCAATATTAATACCTGCAATAGTAATGTAGACAGCTATCAGCATTTGGGTGTTGGTTGCGGCAAGGAAACACCACCACTGGTAGTAGCTGCTGCGAGGAAGCACCTGGGGTGTGTGCATGTTGCAGATTGCTTTGGATCTATTCTGCTTTATTATAGGTCCTGTGATGCTTCTCCAGCGTTACCACATTCTATCTGCTGCTGGCTTGTTCCATCGCAATGGGAAAGGGGGAGAGAACCACACTCACTCTCTTGGTTTGGCAGGGGCACAATCTGCACGGACTCTGTGCTGATGGGATAGCTGGTGACTCGTGAAAAGGGAAGGTTCCCTGGAGACAGGCCTTCCACAGTCAGCAGGGTAGTCTAAAAGATAATGGAGAAAGAACAATTGCTATTGATCTTTTACAGCACAGCTGTGGAATCTGTGGCCTTCCAGAAGTTCTTGGACTACATCTCGCCTCACCCTTGACTTTGGAGCCATGTTGGCTGGGGCTGATGGGAGTTGTAGTCCGGTAGCATCTGGAGGGTTCTCCCATTCCTGCTTTTCTCTGATGATGATGATGATGAATTCAATTTATATACTGCCCTTTATCAAAAGATCCCAGGGTGGTGGGCAACATTAGAGAACCCATTTTTATAGAACGGAAATGGTTTATTGAATATTTGCAAACAAATTGTAAACAGTTAAGAACATTGGCAAAATAATAACCTGTGGTTTTATAAGAGTATGCATTTTGAGGAGATGAATAAATGAACAAATTAAGTTGGATATACAGAAAATATTAAAAAATAAATTTAAGGAACCACAGAAAGAGGGGGAAGGAAGTCAAGTTCTGAAATGTTAAAATGGTTGTAAAATTAATGAAATGTATAAACCTGAAATTCATAAGCAAAATATTTTAAAAAGAACCCATTTTATGGAGCATCAATAATAAAACATAATAACAGACAGCATAATTATAAAATATTTATAATAACAACCACCCCCTCAGCTTTAACAAGCCATAGATTGTTTAATGGCTGAAGGCCTGGGTAAAGAGGAATGTTTTTGCCTGGTGCCTGAAGACAAGGAATGAAGGTGCCAGGCAAGGCTCTCTCGCGAGAGCATTCAACAGTCAGGGAGCCACCACAGAAAAGGCCTGTTGTCATGTTGCCATAGTCTGAACCTGCTGTGGCCTGGGAACATCTGAAGTGAGCAAGTGTCAGGAGCAAGGAGGAGGAGCAACTGCTTCTCCTTGGCCCCCACTCCCTCTCAGTAACGGAACGGATTGGGCTCCAGGAAGGGGTGGCCCAATACATTTTGCTTCTTGAGGCAAAGGGCAAAATGGTGACTCCCTCCATATAGAAAAGCCCAACAGATTGGCAGATAAGACTTACTTCAACACGCGCCACAGAACAGTGTCCTGCACTGCACCTGAGGGTAGCAGGCTAGTTCATGTATTTATCCGTCTCTTACATTTCTATCCTGCCCTTACTTCCAAAGAAGTCCAGAGCAGGAAATGACAGAAAATAAATAAGAAAAAGCAAATCAATCACCTATACTATTTTACCCTCAAAACAACCCTGTGAGGTCAATTAGGTTGAGAGAGAATGTTACAGGTCACCCCGTGAGTTTCACAGCTGAGCAGGGATCATGAACCCTAGTCTCCCAGGTCCTAGTCCAACGCTTTAACCACTACACCACCTTGTCTCAAAGACATCTAAAAACATCTCAAGACAGTCACATATCCTCACAGCGAATGATTTCAGGGTTGCCGAGAACTGAACCTTCCAACTGTCAAATTTCAGTGTCCGTAGGCGCCAGCTCTAGGGAGCCCTGGGTGCCAGGGGACCCACAACTTTTTTTGGGTGGGTGCCCACAATGCGGGACTCCAACACGACTTCTAGTTTCTACTGGAAGTTGCGTCAGACCCCAACACAACCTCCCAGACGATGTCTGAGGCCCTGCAGAGCCTCAGAACACAACTTCTGGTAGAAACCGGAAGTCAACGTTGGAGGTCTTGCAAGGCCTGGGACATGGCCTCCGAGACCTGGCAACGTCTCAGAAGCGACATCCAAGACCCTCCGAACGTGGTAGAAACTGGAAGTCGTGTGAGAGGTCTTGGAAATGAGGCCCTGGAAGCATCGCAACGCTGCCAACGTCATCAGGACATCATGATGTCACGTTACGTCATGGGCACCATTGGGCGCCCATAAGCTGGAGGCCAAGTCAGCGCTCCTGTCAGTGTCTGTAGCAGTGTTGCCTAGGCAAAGAACTTCAGGCCTGGAGGGCTGTGATCAGACCCTGGGCTGGAGATCCCTGCTTTAGCTAAAAACATGGGAGAGAGAACTTACTGGGTTATCTAAGGAAACGGGGGCAATCGCCCAGGGGCTTTCAAGGGCATCAAAGGCTTGTTTCAAAGAGATGGAATCCATGGGCTTCCCTGATCCAGAGATAGGGACCAGGCGCTGGATCCTAGCACCTTTAGTATCTTCCATCAGCCTCAGGGACACAGTGTAATTTGAGCCTGCAACAAAAATGCAGAAAGTCAGTTTAGTTTCACTGGAGATCCTCTGGTCTTTCTTCCTCCGCTATCAATGCAATGTCCCCACTGAGTTTGGATTTGATATCCCGCTTTATCACTACCCGAAGGAGTCTCAAAGCGGCTAACATTCTCCTTTCCCTTCCTCCCCCACAACAAACACTCTGTGAGGTGAGTGGGGCTGAGAGACTTCAGAGAAGTGTGACTGGCCCAAGGTCACCCAGCAGCTGCATGTGGAGGAGTGGAGACGCGAACCCGGTTCACCAGATTACAAGACTACCGCTCTTAACCACTACACCACACTGGCTGGGTTTCCCCTCTTGGGACTTATAGTTGCATCCTGAGCTAATTGGGGTACAGTGGTACCTCGGGTTAAGAATTTAATTCATTCTGGGGGTCTGTTCTTAACCTGAAACTGTTCTTAACCTGAGGTACCACTTTAGCTAATGGAGCCTCCTGCTGCCGCATCACGATTTCTGTTCTCATCCTGAAGCAAAGTTCTTAACCCGAGGTACTATTTCTGGGTTAGCAGAGTCTGTAACCTGGAGTGTCTGTAACCTGAGGTACCACTGTATTTTTCACAGTCTGGAAAGCAGAATTTTCTTTACTGGATATAATGTGTGGTTGGTTTGTACTTCATTTCTGTTGTAGTTTCATGTGCAACAACAGTGGAGATTTTAGACTACCCACTTGGCTGGTCACCTGTGGCGAGTAAGACCAAGATAGCAGGTGATCAGGCTCAGAAGCTTTTGTCAACTGAATGAGAGTAGAAAAGGCCACAGCTCAGTGGTAGATGTTCTGCCTCGAATACAGAAGGATTCATTCCTGGCATCATTGCTTTTCCAGCTACATTGGCTCCTGGTGGAGTACAGGGTCAGATTTAAGGTGCTGGTTTTGACCTTTAAAGCCCTTCACGGCCTAGGACCCTCGTACCTACGGGACCGCCTCTCCTGGTATGCCCCACGGAGGACCTTAAGGTCCATATATAGCAACACCCTAGAGGTCCCGGGCCCTAAGGAAGTTAGATTGACCTCAACCAGAGCCAGGGCCTTCTCAACACTGGCTCCGGCCTGGCGGAACACTCTGTCTCCTGAGACCAGGGCACTGCGGGATCTGATCTCTTTCCGCAGGGCCTGTAAGACAGAGTTGTTCCACCTGGCCTTTGGCTTGGAATCAGTTTGATTCCCTCCCTCTCTTTCTTTTTCCTTTCTCCTCCTATGAAGAGATTGCACCCTAATGTTTTAATGTTGTATCTTAATCTTTTAAATTGTACTTTAATCAACTTGTTTTTATTATTGGTTGTTAGCCGCTCTGAGCCCGGTCTTGGCTGGGCAGGGTATAAATAAAAAAATATTATTATTATTATTATTATTATTATTATCTTCAGTTGGAAGGACCTCTGGCTGTAGGTGAATGGAAAGGCCCTTGTGCCAAACCAGGGATGATTAAGGAATTTGACCTTTGTGAAGTCCAATGTGAAGCACACAGGAACAGCCTTCCTGGATCAGGCAAGGGCCCACCTGGTCCACTGTACTGTTCTCACAGTGGCTAACCAGAGGCCCACGGGAAGCTTGCAAGCAGAACCTGAGCACGACAGCCGCTCCTCCCTCCTGCGGTATCTAGCAAATGATGATCCTCTGCATCTTTTGGACTAAATGTTAGTATTTCATGCAGCCGGTGCTGCAGATGAGATGGTTGTAAATCTCTGTCTAGGAGATTGTTGTAAATCTCTGTCTGCCTGTCTGGGACAAGCCTGGGAAAGGAAGAACATCTTATCTCTTCCGCTGCGGGTACTGTTTCACTGTACTTTTGCGTTTATTTCTGTCTGTTTTGTTCTCTCGGAGCTGGAGAGAACGGACGCCATTACTCCTTTGTCTGTATATAGTGTGTAAATAAATAGTAGATTAGATCTACGCTGTCTCACACTTCTTGCTGTGTAACGCTAGAAGTATAGTGTGCATACATCATTTGATTTATGTCGCTGGAGTGCCCTGGAGAAGAAGGGAGATACCTTTTCCAGTGTTGCGCACATCGGAGGACGCTCAGAGTTCTGGGGGCTTGCAGGTACCCCCAGGGCATTTTTCCAACACTAAAGTGCAGATCAGAAGCTAGTTTGCAGGATTCTTGATTGGCTGCAATGCATTATCAAAATGTATACAGTGGTACCTCAGGTTACATACACTTCAGGTTACATACACTTCAGGTTACAGACTCCGCTAACCCAGAAATATTACCTCGGGTTAAGAACTTTGCTTAGGGATGAGAACAGAAATTGTGTTCTGGCGGCGCGGTGGCAGCGAGAAACCCGATTAGCTAAAGTGGTGCTTCAGGTTAAGAACAGTTTCAGGTTAAGAACGGACCTCTGGAACGAATTAAGTATTTAACCCGAGGTACCACTGTATTTTGAGAGAAAATACATTCAGTAATTCTCTGTACAACTCTTGGGAAAGGATAGGTGCTTTTTTAAGTCTTTAAAAAACAACAGCAATGCCAGATAATTCTGCCCTCAGTGTGGGTGCTTCACATCCCGGAAAACTTACCTTCCACAGGTTTTCCCTGGACCGGAAGCACGTACTCTTTCTGCTTCTGCATAATCTGGTAGGAAAAGTCAAGCAAGCTCTTGCCTCCGATTTCCACCTCGTAGGAGCCGATGGGAGAGACAGTCACGGTCCACATGCCCCGCTCAGGGATGGGGGACACCTTCACAATCTTGTGGCTGGCTGTGTTGATCACTGTGTGAGTGGATGGCGAGACACCTGCCCCAGGATGACACAAAGACAGACAAGGTTGCAGGAGATGGAGAGATGCCTGGCCCTCAGAACTCTCCCCAGCCACCCCCTTCTCTTCAGACAACACCCCTCACTGCCCCTGCTTTGCACCTGCCTTGAGTGTTTGGGCCTGGCTGGAATATGTCCTTGAACTGTGAAGATGTCGCTTGCTGGTCTGGTTGGAAGATAGGGAGGCATGTATGATTGACTAGGCTGCTGTATGAAGGTAACATTTCCACTCATTGCTCCACACACTATTGTTATGTAGGCCTTTGAAGGTTGCTGTCCATAGCTGTCAACTTACAGTTTTGAAAATAAGGGACCAGCAGCCTCGAAAATAAGGGAGCAGCAGCCAAAATAAGGGATTTTCCAAGCACAGGTATGTTCAACTTCTGAGCGCCTCCGAGCCAAAGGCAGAAAGCCCAGCCAGCAGCCAAATGAAGCCTCAAGCGGTGGTTCCCACAGCGCAGCAACCCGGCAAAGGGGATGCAGCAAGGAAAACCACCGTCACCTCTCCGCTGGGAAGCGCTGAGCAAAGGCGAGTCCCCAGGCAACGTGGCTGACTTGATCAGCACAAGACATGCAAGCTCCACCCCCCAGTCGTTCTTAGACTCCTTATTGGGTGAGCAACGCAGCCAAGCAATACAGTTGGAGCCTCCCTCCCTGGTCGGCAGGGAGGGAGGGAGAGGAGCTGCTTCCTATGAAACCCGGGAAATTTAAGGGACATCATCAATAAGGGACAGCAGTGGGACACGGCGCTGGGATAAGGGACTTTCTCGCCAAATAAGGGACGGTTGACAGCTATGTTGCTGTCACGGACTAGTTGGACACAGAGGAATGTTGGGAAGAACCAGTCAGGGAACCCCCAAGGGAAGAAGGCTCAGAGCCCGGGGAGAGGTGGTGGGACCATGATGAGTGGTTCAGAGGGAGAAGATTGGGAAGAGGCGGTGTCGGAAGCTGAGGAGGTAACAGAGATTAGTGAGCTGGGAGAGTCTGTGGCAGAGAGAAGTCCAGAATCAGAGGCAGAAACTAAAGCAGGAGGGGAGGAAGGCAGAGAGGCAGAGATGAGTCTGGCTGGGGAAGAGGCACAGGTGTCTCCTCATCCTGCTGCAACAAACTCCCCTCCCCACTGGTCTCCCAGACCCAGGAGAGGCATGAAAAGAGCGGAGGAGAGATTGGTGACTTGCAGGCGCAGTCTCTGATTGCTTCTTGGGGGGCAAGACCTACCGGAGGTGAGTTGCTATGCTCATTAGGCCTGACACTCCTGTTTTTGCTAATAAAGAGTTAACTCTAACTTGCCTGGTGTGATTTACTGCTGGCTTGCTCATGACAGTGGTTTAGAAGGGCAACCCTCCGGCTGCAAAAGGTTCCCCATCCCTGATGTAGAGGATGTCCTGTGACTTACACAGGAATCAGAATTCTAGCCCCTGCCCCCAGTTATACACCTGCAGGAAAGCTTTCTGCTTCATCCTCTGCATTACAACAAATCGTACCTGAAGGCTGCAGCAGAAAAACGGTGAATCCTGAGGCGCTTAAGCTCTTGACGGAGACAGTGATTTCTGTGAGGGTCTCATCCACAGGGAAAGAGAGCTGAGATCCATCCAAGTGCTTATGGACCACTTTGACAGGGGCAGCATTCAGAGACAGCTCCATGATGCCCAAGACCTGGCCAAGTTCGCCTTTGGTGGTCTTCACATAGAAGCCTCCGGAATATGCAGCTAGTTGTTCATAGATGTTAGCATAACTTCTCCCGGAAGCCTCCTCGGCAGCACCTGTGGAGAGGAAGGATGGAGTTTTGTCTTGAAACCTGGTCTCCTCCCTTTCTCTGTTCATAGCAGTGTGGGAATGTTCAGGGATGCAGGAGAGGATATATTGTTTGATTATAGCTTTTCCAACTTGTGTAAACAAGTTCACAATTTACCAGAGTAACATTCCCCTTTTTAAACTCACAGCGGATGCGTTTGCTCAGGCTCGCTAAAGCCTCTATAATAAATGTTCTGGTATTTTCCTCTTATTCCCTCAAAAAAGATAAGACATGACACAGTCTCCTGTAAAAGTATAAAAAGAGTTTATTCACTCACATTCTGTTCACAATCAGATCCCAGAAGGCAGACTTATCTTAGAAAAGTAACATATACCTGGAAACTATCTCATAAGGAGACAGTCCCTTTGTCGTCTCTTGGCTGGAGGCCAAGAGAGAGAGAGATGGCTGCCCTGCCCTGTGCTTTTGTCGTTACCTGCACAGGTGAGGCCATGCCCACCTCTAGTCACATGCAGAGAAAGTCTGTCCCAGCCCAGAAGGAAACAGGAAGTTTACCTGCTGGCTGGACAAACATTCCTCCCCTTGTGTAAACATGTTCACTCTAGGAATGTTGTACTTGACTGCTCTTGTGTTTCACATCCCACAAGCAGGAAAGGCAAACCACAGCTTTTGGCAGCAGTTGCTTATAATAATTACACAATATAAGATGGGTCTGGGGGACGCAGGTGGCGCTGTGGGTAAAACCTCAGTGCCTAGGACTTGCCGATCGTATGGTCGGTGGTTCGAATCCCCGCGGTGGGGTGAGCTCCCGTCGTTCGGTCCCAGCTCCTGCCCACCTAGCAGTTCGAAAGCACCCTTAAGTGCAAGTAGATAAATATGTACCACTTTATAATGGGAAGGTAAATGGTGTTTCCGTGTGCTGCGCTGGTGCAGGCTCGCCAGAGCAGCTTCGTCACGCTGGCCACGTGACCTGGAAGTGTCTTCGGACAGCACTGGCCCCTGGCCTCTTAAGCGAGATGGGCGCGCAACCCCAGAGTCGGACACGACTGGCCCGTACGGGCAGGGGTACCTTTACCTTTACCTTTTAAGATGGGTCTGGTTCTGAATGATCTCTCAAAGGTCCTGCCCAAATTTTGTGACACCGGTTGTAGAAAGAGGCCGCTAAAGAAAGTCAAACCAACTGGACCTCGACGGATTGTCATGGTTGCTATGTACTTCCCCCGTTGTTGGAGGCAATATGTGTCTGAATGCCAGCTGCTGGGAATTGCAAAAGCTAATAAAGGTCCTGTTGCTTGTGTGCTTCCCATAGGCATCTGGTCAGTGTGAGAGCAGGATGCTACCCTAGATGGGAAATCTGCATGACCCGGCAGCACAGCTCTTGTGTCCTCATGAGTCTGGCAGATTCTCCTTGGCTGCAAGGATGGGCTTTTGCACAACTGAAAAGATGGTCAGGTTCAGGAGATCTCTTGTCACCGGAGCAAATAGTTGGGAATCCTTCTGGAAGGGGGCAGGCTTTCCTTTCCTTTGCCCTCCCCTGTGAGAGGGGATATCACTGAGATGTCTATGTGGGCACAAAAGAGGGCAACAGACAGGGATTCCTGGCACTGAGTCTGGAGAGAGACGTAAGACTTCATTTGTAGCACCCTAGAAACGGGATAAATGCAAGAAAGCAAAGTGGCTGTCCAACGAAGCCTTATAGTTAAAGCTATGGTTTTCCCAGTAGTGATGTATGGAAGTGAGCCCTGGACCATAAAGAAGGCTGATCACCGAAGAATTGATGCTTTTGAATTCTGGTGCTGGAGGAGACTCTTGAGAGTCCCATGGACTGCAAGAAGATCAAACCTCTCCATTCTGAAGGAAATCAGCCCTGAGTGCTCACTGGAAGGACAGATCGTGAAGCTGAGACTCCAATACTTGGGCCACCTCATGAGAAGAGAAGACTCCCTGGAAAAGACCATGATGTTGGGAAAGATGGAGGGCACAAGGAGAAGGGGACGACAGAGGACGAGATGGTTGGAGAGTGTTCTCAAAGCTACCAGCATGAGTTTGACCAAACTGCGGGAGGCAGTGGAAGACAGGAGTGCCTGGCGTGCTCTGGTCCATGGGGTCATGAAGAGTCAGACACGACTAAACGACTAAACAACAAAAGAAATGGGATGCAGGTGGCACTGTGGTCTAAACTACAGAGCCTAGGGCTTGCCGATCAGAAGGTCGGTAGTTTGAATCCCCGTGACGGGGTGAGCTCCCGTTGCTCAGTCCCTGCTCCTGCCAACCTAGCAGTTCGAAAGCACGCAGTGCAGCTAGATAAATAGGTACTGCTCTGGCAGGAAGGTAAATGGCATTTCCATGCGCTGCTCTGGTTCGCCAAAAGCGGCTTAGTCATGCTGGCCACATGACCCAGAAACTGTACACTGGCTGCCTCGGCCTATACAGTGAGATGAGTGCACAATCCCAGAGTCTTCCATGACTGGACCTAATGGTCAGGGGTACATTTACCTTTACTAGAAACCTAATGGGAGAGCAGGATCTGTTGTTATGTGAATGTAGTGAACCTTTGCATTATATGCTCAGCCTGCGTATATGTGTAAAGAAGCAAACAAACCACACAAACAATCCCAATTAGCCTCATTCAAAGAAAACCAACCCAGGGTATGCTGTGGAACTCCTTAAATCTCAGCGTTCAGATTGCAGTGTGCATGAGCATGACACTATATATCAGTCACTTCATGCTATAATCCTCTAGATGGCGACCAATGCAACAGAAAACACGAAAATTTAAAAACACATTCAGGCTCACTTCCAGACAACTTGGGGTGCTCCCACATTCCTTACTGCAAGCAGTCTATTATTATTAATATTTGGCACCAGAGCATCAAATCCACTTAAGTGTGCAAATTCTGAACTAGTTGGCATCCCTCCCACCAAAAAAAAAGCAAAAGGAAAAAAAAGCAGGCATATGGAAGTGGTCCAAGATACAAACAAACCATAATGATAAACCAGGCAACAACAAAGACAGAAACAATTGGCAGCTCTGGCACAATACAGTGGTTCCTTGGTTCTCGAACATAATCTGTTCTAGAAATCCTTTCGACTTCCAAAACATTCGAAAACCAAGGTGTGGCTTCCGATTGGCGCAGGTGCCCCTGAAACATGAGCCGACAACCACACTGGATTTTCGGCTTCTGAAATTTTTTTGCAAACCGGAACACTTACTTCCAGGTTTGTGGTGTTCGGAAGCCAATTTGTTCATCAACTAAGCCGTTTGAGAACCAAGGTTTCGCTGTATTGCCAAAGGACCAAAAAACAAAACAGAACATGCATGCTTTGCATGCGAAAGGCCTGAAATTCAGACCCTGGGATGTCCAGGCAGGGCTCCTCTGGAAGTCCTAGAAAGCTGCTCTCAGCCAGTGAAGACACACCTGAGTCAGGTTCACCAGTGACCTGACTCTGCATAAGGCTGCTTCCACATATTCCTATATAGGAAGCCCTGGCTCACTTGGCGGACATGCTGAAATTTTCGTTCCTCCAGCTCACTCTGGTTGCTCTAGCATGGCTGGGAAAACTGTGGCCCTCCAGATGTTGCTGGTCTGCAGCTCCCATAATTGTCCCTGCTGGGTGAAGCTGCTGGGAGCTGGTCGAGCAAGATCTGCAGGGCCACAGGTTCCCTGCGATAGAAAAAAAGAACAACATCTTCAGCGTGCCCCTGCCTTATCCATGCTTCATATATTACGGAGGCAGCATGGGACTGGATCACACAGATGGTCTTGTATTGAACAAATTTCCCCATAGCCATTACAGACCAGGAATTCCATGCAGGCATGTCAGTGGGAAGATGAAGGAGAGGCAGATCTCTCCAATCCTCTTCCACCTGCCCACTTGGTTTCAGTGCTGGCTACAAAGGAAGAGAAAAACATCCCTCCTGTTCTGCCCTTTCACCAGCCTATCTGGGATGAGCCCCCCCCCTTTAAAGAGCAGTAACTTTGGGTTAAACCACAGAGCCTAGGGCTTGCTGATCAGAATGTCGGTGGTTCGAATCCCCGTGAAGGGGTGAGCTCCCATTGCTCGGTCCCTGCTCCTGCCAACCTAGCAGTTCGAAAGCACGTCAAAGTGCAAGTAGATAAATAGGTACCACTCTGGCGGGAAGGTAAATGGTGTTTCCATGCGCTGCTCTGGTTCGCCAGAAGTGGCTTAGTCATGCTGGCCACATGATCTGGAAGCTGTACGCCGGCTCCCTCGGCCAATAAAGCGAGATAAGCGCTGCAACCCCAGAGTCGGCCACGACTGGACCTAATGGTCAGGGGTCCCTTTACCTAACTTTTGTGGGCTGATCAGAAAGGAGTCGTCCCCACTTCACTAACATGGCTGTTGGGCCACAGGCCACCTCATTTTCTCCCCCATTTTCTGTTCATATTGTGGATATTTCACCCCTCCCATTGTGAGAACCTCATGATGTTTTCAGAAAGCAGGGGGCGGAAACTGCTCATTGCTTCTTCTGCTCCAGCCTGACTCTGTGGGAGTCTGAGTGTTATCTGTGTAGAGATAAGATGGCTGCATAAGAAACTGTAACACTCATGCAGTCTAGAAGCCTCCGTTAGTCTTTAGTTTTTAGTTTATTTTGGTTTGCAGTAGCTGTAATAGAATAAAGAAGTTACGCTTCAGAGCCGTTGTTCGTGTGATTCATATTCTGCTATGCTCTGCTGACTTTGGTGCTCACAGCTCTAAGTTCCGTGTCAAGGTCCCCAAGCCACCCCAAATAACTCACACATCACACGTAATTTTTGTTTAAGGGTTTTGGCATAATTTTGACCACAACTTAATTAAAATGCAAAAAATGTGAGTGGTTGCTTAGGCATTGGTTGCGACTATCTGCCCCCAGTGGGGACAGACTGACATTTCGCAAGCTTGCGAAAGGCAGAAAAGGGGAATACATTTTGGGGATAGCGATAGAGCAGGGAACCTGCCCTCAGCCCTCCCCAAATGCAACCAGGGGCTTTTGCGTGGCCCTAGCCCCTTGACAGGGTTCGGACAAAAGCAATGGTGAGCCCCTATATTCCTTTAACGGAATACCTTTGCAGCAGCAGCATTAGAGGGGCAGGCACAGCCAATCCATGCCCCTCAACCAACCAAACCATAAACCAGTGTCTAACCGTAACCTTACAAGTTGTGACGATTTGCTACACAGTAGGGAAAAAACAAATAGCACCAGCCAATCAGCCACATGGACAAAATTCCTACCGGGCCCCTGCCCCAAGAGCAGACGACCCCATGACAGGCATAGCAAGGTCAAAGCGAACTGTAGGGAGGGAGAGACGGGCAATCCGATGCACGGGCGAAAAGAGGAAGCTCTACGCCTTGTGCAGGGAGTTTTAACATTTCTGGCTGTCAATCACAAAATGGCAACATTAACTTCTTCCCAACAACAAGGGAAGCCCAATCACAACAGTGGCCAATGGCCAATTAGCCCGCCCCACAACTTTGAAGTGCCTTGTTGGCCCCCACCGCAACACGTGCTCTCCATGAAGGAGAACATGCTTTGTGAGTCCGTTGCACTTAGACCTGCTCTCCCGCAGTGGAAGGTCTCTGGAAGTGCCTTCCCAGCTCGCCTGGCCCAGTCGAGGCAGAAGAGGTTGAGCCCAGTCATTGGCACCGGCTCAAAGGCGAAGCTGACACGTATTACTTGCCAGGATTTACATACCTCTGCGTTTCCGGCTGGAACAATAACCCGTGAGAGCAAAGTTCACCACAGACTTAGAGGAATCAATCAGGACGGTGACTTTATCTTTCAGGTATTCATCTTTAGCTCCAGCATCAGTAAAGATGAAGATCTCAGACCTGGAAAAGATGAAAAGGGATCTTATGGAAGAGGGTTGAACAAGCTAACAGTATGCTGTACAGGGAGGCGAGCAATTTGTGGGATAAGCCGCCTCATACAACCAGCATGCTTAAGTCTAATAAATGTATGAAGGGGTTAAGACCATAGTGTAAACTGCCCTGCCAGGCTTCCCTGGGCCATTCTCCTCCTTGGGAGAAACAGTTATCAAGCCTTGGTTCTTCCCATGCCACCATGTGAATACTACCAGTAAGGAGTCTAAGCTGGATGCTTCAAGCTGGACTACTGTAATGCGCTCTACGTGGGGCTACCTTTGAAGGTGACCCGGAAACTACAACTAATCCAGAATGTGGCAGCCAGACTGGTGACTGGGAGTGGCCACTGAGACCACATAACACCAGTCTTGAAAGACCTACACTGGCTCCCAGGACGTTTCTGAGCACAATTCAAAGCGTTGGTGCTGACCTTTAAAGCCCTAAACGGCCTCAGCCCAGTATACCTGAAGGAGCGTCTCCACCCCCATCGTTCAGCCCGGACACTGAGGTCCAGCGCTGAGGGCCTTCTGGCGGTTCCCTCACTGTGAGAAGCCAAGTTACAGGGAACCAGGCAGAGGGCCTTCTCGGTAGTGGCACCCGCCCTGGGGAACGCCCTCCCATCAGATGTCAAAGAGAACAACAACTACCAGACTTTTAGAAGACACCTGAAGGCAGCCCTGTTTAGGGCAGTTTTTAATGTTTAATGTTTATTGTGTTTTTAATATTCTGTTGGGAGCTGCCCAGAGTGTGGGTGAGGTATAAATAATACCATTATTATTATTATTATTATTATTATTATTATTATACCATGTGGCTTAATCAAGCTGTCAGTGTTTCTGTACAAATGATTCAGAAACATTTACCACTTTGGAACCTAAGTTTGGAAAGAAAGAAAGAAATCCAAGGCTAAGGGATTTAATAGAGCACCAGACTTCTGGGTACTCAAGCCAAGGTGGTAGTAGGACTGGAGGAACAAGGGTAAGAAGAAGATTTGTTTCAGGAATAAGGGAAGAAAGGGCAGACCGTGGCAAGCTGTGCTCCAAAGCCAACTTCAGACCGCTTAGTGCCAACTCTGGGCAGTCACCACCGCCATCAGCTCTGAGCTTAGAGATGAAGGACTTAAACTCATCCACGTCATGAGTCTCTTGGACTGGGCCGACACCTGCAGGGATACATATGAGAGGGACTGAGTTGTGAAGACATGAACCGAACGCTGCAGATGCAGACATACCCCAAGCCAGGGGAAACCAATATTACACCCTCCACATTGGACTACAATTCCCACCAGCCCTGACCATTTGCTGTGCTGGCTAGGACTGATGGGAGTTGTAGTCTAACAATAACTGGAGAGCACCAAGTTGCCTATCCCTGCTCTCTAGTATTTTATTTATTCAGTTCACTTTCTATTGTCCCCCTTTATGGGAGCATGGGGTCAATGACATTTTAATAACGAAACAAAATACAGTGGACGCTCGGGTTGCAAACGTGATCCGTGCGGGATGCACGTTCGCAACCCGCGTCTGCGCATGCGCGGGTTGCGATTCGGTGCTTCTGTGCATGCGCAAAGCGCGATTCAGCGCTCCTGCGCATGCACGACCACCGAAACCCGGAAGTAACCCATTCCATTTTTTTAATCAGATTTTTTATTAAGTTTTCCAAAAAATTAACACATACATTTCAACGCATCATAAAACATTTTCTCTTTTTCTTTTTGTCAGCTTCCTACCACCTTTTCCATGGTATTTTTTTTTTTTGAAATGATATTTATTGAGAATTTTTTAGAATTACAAAAAAAAGCAGAAAAAGAAAAAGAAGAAAAAAGAAAAAAATACAAAGAAAAAACAAACCACATCAAACAATACATATTCAAAAATACACAGCAAACACACAAAAACAAATCCATCATTCTCGAATTCTCAACTTTCATTACCTTCTTTCTTTGACCTCCTCCTCCTCTCTTTTTTTGGATCCTAGTTGTTGATTGTCGCAGCAAATCCTTTCCATATTTCATAATATTCTTTCATTACATTACCTTAGTCTTTTTTCATCTTATCTTATAAAGAACCTTAAAGCTTAAAACTTAAATCTTATTTTTACCAACTTCTCATAACCATAATATTCTTACCTAATTATTTAAACATTTTTGCTAAAGCCAAGTAATTTCGTTCCAACATTTTTCTAACATTCATCAATTTTATAAAACAATCCTAGTAATAAAGAAAAGCAATAAAAACAATCCAATCTTCATCCAGCGTCCCTTCCTCCTGGTCACGGGTTTTGTCAGTCCTTTTTATCCCATTAATATAGCGCATTAACCTGGTAACCTTATATCCGAGGCCCTTAAGTCCCTTCCATGTCTCTTCCGCGGCTCTTCTTCATATTCTCCTTTCACTCATGGGAACTCCAGCTTGGCAATGTTTTTGACCCTTTTCAACCAATCCGCCCCTTTTCCATAGTCCAGACTAAACTCCATGTGGTATTTAAAAACATGTTTCAGAATCCCTCCAAAATTAAGAGCCCCCACAGCCCCAAACACCTCACGGCCCATTGCCAGACTTAAAAAGTCCAAACATCCCTGCATAGGGGGGGGTCTATCCAACCCCCCATTTCCACACCAAACCAAACTTTGTCTTTCCAAATCTGGCTTTTTCCAAGTTCATTTGTCAAATCCAAAAGCTCATGTTCCTGCAGGGCCACAGCTCCCTCCATCTCTGGCGCCCAAGATTCAGCAACATCCTCTTCTCTCATCTGTTCTGTCAGGGCACACTCCTGGTTTAATTCCTGGGTGGGCTCCATATAGTTTCCACTGCCTGTTCAAAAATTCTGATCGCATCAGTCATCAAATCCGTATTCTCATTTAATTGTTCCAGTAGGGCATTTGTTTTACAGAGAGCACACAACAGAGCTTCTGAATACATTGTCCTTCAAGGTCAAAGTCTATTCCCACGATTGTAATCTGTAACAGCTGCAAGCTCCTGGAATTGGTTACAGTTTCACAGTCTCCCTCTAGGGGGGAAACTTCTATTAGTTCTTTCTTTTAAAGACAAATCTAGCAACAAAGTTTCCTTTTTCAGATATCTTGTCAATATTTGTTCCTTTAAAGTGCGAAAGGGAACAGTGGAATCACTATGTTTCTCTTCTTTTAGCTAACTGTCAAAAACGTTTGTCTCTGGTCAATGAGCTTCAAAAAGACGTCAGTCCTGACACCCCGCTCCAGGATCAAGACGGTGGAAAGTTACTTTACTTTAAACTCACTTCTGCAGGTTTAAACAGTCCAAAAAAGACCCCCCTTCTTCTCCTGCTTCCGAAGGGGGGTTCCACAATTTTAAATGATGAAAGTTAATCTTTTAGAAGTGATTTTCTAAGCTCTAGTTTACCTTGTCTTTGCTTTAATCTGTCTACAAAGAAATGGAAGGCTGACTTCCTGTTTAGACCTTCCCGTTTCAGTGCCAAATTGAAGTAAATTTTTAAGTCCAATTCCTTTCTGCTCGCAAGTCCTTATTTAAAGTCCAATTGTCCAAAATTTAAGTACTCACGGGTGATTATTTTAGAAGCCAAATTGTCCCAGGAACAAGGCAGCGCACTCCGACAACGGCTATGCGGCTTCGCTCCACGGCAAAAGCAGTTTACTCTCAGCACCGCGCCACGTCCCCTCTTCGCTTCGGAGCCCGTTAGTGGGTTCCTTTGCGGGTTGGGGGGGCGCTAAGGGTGCCCGCCGAGTCCCATGGTCACAGGCTTCATCCGCCTGTGATTTTTGAAGGGGTCCCCGCTTCGCTGTAGCGGAAAAGACCCGTTTCGCGTGGAGCTGGTCCCTCCAGTTCAGAGGGAGTCCGCCATTGCCGATGGCGCCACCCCGGAAGTCCCGGAAGTAACCCATTCCAGTACTTCCGGGTTTCGGCAGTCCACAACCCGAAAAAACGCAACCTGAAGCGGCTGTAACCCGAGGTATGATTGTATATATTAAAAATACCTGTCACAATTATGGTGCAATTCAGGGGCATACCAGTCGTGCTGCGCGCCCTTCTATCTATGAGCAATGATAGAAGCCAAAGCTGCAAGGAAGAAGCTTCTACTTCAGTTGTCCTGAAAAGCCTCAATGCATTCAGGAAGTCTGCACTGGACAGCCTGGGGTTGGAGCTATTATTATTATTATTATTATTAAAAACAGTGCCACAAAACAATTCTGAGAAACAGGAGGGCAACACAGAAAACTTTTGATTACAGGGTAGCTTCACATTTGATCTGTACTGCTTTGTACCACTTTTGATTGCTGTCTTTCGATGTCATGGTTGCTTTTATAACACTTCTAATTGTTCCGTTCGCAAGCTGTCCTGAATTTTTTATTTATTTATAGAAGGGCAGCATATCAATTATTCAAATTTATCATTCCCTGGGCTCCTTCAAGACGACGTTTGGGATATAAATGCAGCCGCCGCCACCACCACCTACGACCTTCCCCTTCTCGTTGCACTCCAACTCCCATCAGCACCCCAGGCACTAAGGGCCAATGGTGAGGGAAGATGGGAGTTATGGTCTCTGATAAAACTTGGAGGGCCACAGTTCCTGTGGGCCATCACACACTGTTTGGGGTCACTGTGAAGAGTGAGCAAAAAGGATGGCAATTCCAGACCAAGTGGACTCATGTGGGAGAAATCCTCACCTGGATCATTGAACGGAACGAGAATGTAGTTAAAGGGTGCGTCTGGGGAGCTGGAATACTTTCGGATGAGCTCAATGCAGGTGGTCTGGGCCTGTTTTATGTCATCTGACATGCTGCCAGTTGTGTCTATTACAAAGGTGAGTGAATAGCCTTCCAGGCTGAAAAACTTCTTAAAGGTATCGCTGCCCACCTTGTCCAGGAGGCCGTACCCTAGTGAAATGCAGAGTGAAAACAGGTTATGTTTAGAGCTGGTTTTCAACATCGTGATATATCACCTGCAAAATATTTGAAATAAGGATGGAGCTATGTAGAGACATTGGCTATTTTTTGTATAGCGTGCACACACAAACACAGTAGGGCAGGGCAAGGTATGGATGCATTGTCAAAAATCAGTTTGAAGTCCACATCATGCTAACGGTTTCATAATATTCAACGTGGCGATATATCGCGAATCACAATGTTTGTGTGTGAACTATGTAAAAAGCAAAACAAAACTACGATGTGGGAAAAACCGTGAGGCCAGTCACCACTTCCCTCATGATTCCTTCTGTCCCTTGTTCCTCTGTACTATAAAAGAACAGTTATAACAATATGTTAAAGGTAAGTAAAAATGTATAGGGATGCGGGTGGCATTGTGGTCTAAGCCACAGAGCCTAGGGCTTGCTGATCGGAAGATCGGTGGCTGGAATCCCAGCGACAGGGTGAGCTCCCGTTGCTCGGCCCCTGCTCCTGCCAACTTAGCAGTTCGAAAGCACATCAAAGTGCAAGTAGATAAATAGGTACCACTCTGGCGGGAAGGTAAATGGCATTTCCGTGTGCTGCTCTGATTTTGCCAGAAGCGGCTTAGTCATGCTGTCCACATGACCCGGAAAAACTGTCTGTGGACAAACGTCGGCTCCCTCGGCCAGTAAAGCAAGATGAATGCCGCAACCCCAGAGTCGTTTGTGACTGGACTTAACTGCCAGGGGTCCTTTACCTTTACCTTTTTAAAAAATGTATTAGTTTAAACCCCTAAGTAGTAGCAGTTGCCAGGACATTACAGTCATGCCTCGGCTTCCGAATGCCTTGGGAGTCGAAAGTTCCGGCTCCTGAACAATCGGAAACTGGAAGTGAGTGTTCTGATTTTCGAATGTTCTTTTGGAAGCCGAACATTCAATGGGGCTTCTGTGGCTTCCGATTGGCTGCAGGAGCTTCCTGCAGCCAATCAGAAGCCGTGCTTTGGAAGTCGAACCGACTTCCGGAATGGATCCTGTTTGACTTTCATGATAGATCTGTACCCTGTTCGCCTCTATGTAAATTACATCCTTATTTCAGACATCATGATGTTTGTTCACCTTTTAATCATTGCTAACCATGGTTTAAGGTGACATGCAAAACGGGCCAATCTACCTTTAAAAAATCCAACCCCGGATAAAATCCCTAAAGCATAAAAACAAGGGCAGCACATAAGGACAGAAACAAAACACAACACCTGAAGAAAACAACCACCAAAAACCACAGGAGCTAAAACCACCAACCAAGCTAATAAAGGTAAAGGGACCACTGACCATTAGGTCCAGTTGTGGCCGACTCTGGGGTTGCGGCGCTCATCTTGCTTTATTGGCCGAGGGAGCCGGCGTACAGCTTCCGGGTCATGTGGCCAGCATGACTAAGCCACTTCTGGCGAACCAGAGCAGCGCACAGAAATGCCGTTTACCTTCCCGCCAGAGCGGTACCTATTTATCTACTTGCACTTTGACGTGCTTTCGTACTGCTAGGTTGGCAGGAGCAGGGACCGAGCAACGGGAGCTCACCCTGTCGTGGGGATTCGAACCGCCGACCTTCTGATCGGCAAGTCCTAGGCTCTGTGGTTTAACCCACAGTGCCACCTGCGTCTCTACCAACCAAGCTACAAGGACTAAAATAACAGCAAGATCATAAGTGGCCTGGAAGATAGAAAAAAGTATGAACTTTGTGCTGAAAAGACAACAATGTGGGCACTGGCGGAGGAAGAGGGGGCGCGGGGGGAGCACACTGCCCCTGGCAGTGCGATCCTGGTGGGGTGCCATCACGGCTGCCCCCCCATCCGCGCTGGGTGCCAGGATGCCCCCCAGGATGCGCGCCAGCAACGCCACCGACTGCTCTCCGCTCCCTAGTGCTGGAACTCTGCCACTAAATGTGGGTGTCCCTATGGTTTTGACTGTGAACCATACCATCTCCTACAAAGAAGTCCCTTGTGGCTTGTATGGCTAGTTCCGCTGCTTGTTGATGCAGCTGATGATGTGGGGAGAGGCGGGGGTCATTTGTCTCCTTGTTGATCCCCCCCGTGGGAGAGAAATATTGCAGCGGATCGTTTCTTCCACCATGTCCACATTTGCCTACAAAGAGAATACAGGAAATAATAATAATAAGCTGGACTGGATTAGAGCAATGTTGCATCTATGTACGTCAGGCATATATATATTAATATTTTTTATAACATTTAATATTATTTTATAATATTTAATATTATTTTATTTTATTATATTAAGTTTATACATATACAGTGGTACCTCGGGTTACATACGCTTCAGGTTACAGACTCCGCTAACCCAGAAATAGTTCTTCAGGTTAATAACTTTGCTTCAGGATAAGAACAGAAATCGTGCTCCAGCGGCGCGGCGGCAGCGGGAGGCCCCATTAGCTAAAGTGGTGCTTCAGGTTAAGAACAGTTTCAGGTTAAGAACGGACCTCCGGAACGAATTAAGTTCTTAACCCGAGGTACCACTGTGTGTATATATATATATAATTATGATACAATAAAAACAAATCCGCAATAAATTTAAAATCCAAACAAATATCAAATGCAAATATAAGACCACTAAAATATGTCTCTGTATGTTGATACTATTAATGGATAAGTTGGAATTTTAATCTACTTTTTATTATCAATTCAGATAGGTAGCCATGTTGGTCTGACGCAGACAAAATAAATAAAAACAATTAAAAATTGTCCAGTAGCACCTTAGAGACCAACTAAGTTTGTTCTGGGTATTGTGCATGCACACTTCTTCAGATATGAAAGCTTATACCCAGAACAAACTTAGTTGGTCTCTAAGGTGCTACTGGACAATTTTTTAAAATTTTATTATCAAGTTTCTGTAAATTTGTGGCTCTTCTTAGAAATGCCCCCCCCATAATAAAATACAACATTAATCACAACTATAACCCCTCTCCCAACCACCATATCACGGGGGCTAAAGTAATCTGGAATTTACCCGTCTGGTTTCCAGTACAGTGGTACCTCGGGTTACATACACTTCATGTTACATACGCTTCAGGTTACAGACTCCGCTAACCCAGAAATAGTACCTCGGGTTAAGAACTTTGCTTCAGGATGAGAACAGAAATCGTGCTCCGGCAGCACAGCGGCAGTGGGAGGCCCCATTAGCTAAAGTGGTGCTTCAGGTTAAGAACAGTTTCAGGTTAAGAACGGACCTCCAGAACAAATTAAGTACCCGAGGTACCACTGTACAGTACTAGAGCTATTGTGCATGTGTTAAAATAAAGCAAAGCAGGGGTAACAAAACAAAATAACTGGTAACAAAACAAAACTGGTAACAAAACAAAATAAACTCCAGCAATGATCTCTGGACTTACCTTTGGGTTTGGACGTGCACTGTCCTGCTTTGTACCCACTTGTGAGCAGGTCATCCACCACAATGTTTCCATCACATGAGAACTGGCCTCTGTTAAGCAATGTGGAAGTTGGTAAATGTAATGCTTTTTGATTACCAGTAATTTATTTGAGAGGAGGGGAAGGTTGCTCAGCACTATGAGCCCAAACCACATTTAATATACTTTCTAAAGATTAATAAAATCACCATCATCATCCAACCAGACCAAGGGTTGTGCACAAGGATTCATTTTTCCAAATACTGTACAGTGGTGCCCCGCAAGACGAATGCCTCGCAAGACGGAAAACCCGCTAGACGAAAGGGTTTTCCGTTTTGGAGGTGCTTCGCAAAACGAATTTCCTATGTGCTTGCTTCGCAAGACGAAAATGTCTTGCGAGTTCCTGCGGGGTTTTTTTCCTTTCCCCCCCCTTTTTCCCAAGCCACTAAACCGCTTATCAGCTGATGGCTAAGCCGCTTATCAGCTGATCTTTTAGCCGCTTAACAGCTGATGCTAAGCCGCTTATCAGCTGATCTTTAAGCCGCTTAACAGCTGATGGTTAAGCCGCTTATCAGCTGATCTTTAAGCCGCTTAACAGCTGATGCTAAGCCGCTTATCAGCTGATCTTTAAGCCGCTTAACAGCTGATGCTAAGCCGCTTATCAGCTGATCTTTAAGCCGGCTAAGCTGCTAATACTGTAGCGCTAAGCCGCTAAACCTCTAATGGGCTTGCTTCGCAAGACGAAAAAACCCGCAAGACGAAGAGACTCGCGGAACGGATTTTTTTCGTCTTGCGAGGCACCACTGTATTTTCTGGCGTATAAGACTATTTTTGGACTTTTTGGACACGGGTGGCGCTGTGGATTAAATCACAGAGCCTAGGACTTGCTGATCAGAAGGTTGGTGGTTTGAATCCCCGCGACGCGTGAGCTCCCGTTGCTCGGTCCCTGCTCCTGTCAACCTAGCAGTTCGAAAGCACATCAAAGTGCAAGCAGATAAATAGGTACCGCTCCAGCGGGAAGGTAAACGGCATTTCCGTGTTCTGCTCTGGTTCTCCAGAAGTGGCTTAGTCATTCTGGCTACATGACCCGGAAGCTGTAAGCCAGCTCCCTCGGCCAGTAAAGCGAGATAAGCACTGCAACCCCAGAGTTGGTCACGACTGGACCTAATGGTCAGGGGTCCCTTTACCCTTTACCTAAGACTACTTTTTAACCCAGGAAAATCTTCTCAAAAGTCGGGGGTCGTCTTATACGCCGGTTACAGCAGCAGCTCCTGCAGCAACTCCCCACCAAAGGACAAAACGACAGCAAATTAAATCAGAGGACACCAAGCTCTCTAGATGAAGCAGAAATATGCTTGAAAATTGGCCCCAGAAGCCCCCCCAATCACCAGCAACAGAATGACCCTAACCGCTTCCGGTAGTAGACCACGTGGTCCAAAACGGCGGCCTCGCGTTGACCCAGCAACTAGACACGTGGCCGCTGCCTCAGTCCAAGCAGCCTCTGCAGTAACAGAAAAGGAAAGGCTCACAACAAAGGCAGGGAACCAACAACAGCATTAAGCGCACCTCTGGCCACTGGGAAGTGGAGCGGATTTCCCAGCCGGACTGGAGCCTTTTTTTAAAAAAAAAATTATTTGGTGTGTGCTGGAAGAGGGGTAGTCTTATACGGCGAGTATATCCCAAACTCTATATTTTAACTACAAAAGTTGGGGGTCGTCTTATACGCCCAGTCGTCTTATATGCCGGAAAATACAGTACTAAATAGTTGAGAGAAGGTATATGCCAGTGTTTTTGGTAGGGATGGGGAACTTGTGATCCTTAGACGTTGTTGGATTAAACTCCCATCATTCTTGACCACCGGCCTTGCTGCCTGGGGCTGGCAGGAGTTGGAGTCTTAATAGCAGATAAAAAATTTCAGGAAGTATTGAAGCCATGGGGGGGTGGGGAACCACAATTTTTCCTGTTTCCCCCAAGAAAAAACACACCACAATTTTCAGGGGAAAAATACAATATTTTTTAAAAAGCCCTCTTGACACTGTTGGCCTAGATCAGGCTTCCTCAACCTCAGCCCTTCAGATGTTTTTGGCCTACAACTCCCATGATCCCTAGCTAGCAGGACCAGTGGTCAGGGATGATGGGAATTGTAGTCTCAAAACATCTGAAGGGACGAGGTTGAGGAAGCCTGGGCAAGATGACCTTTGGTGTCCCTTCCATCTCTACAGTTCTATCATTCTATGACACGGCAAAAGTCATTTTGTAACTTTAGGAGCATGGGACGCATTAAGTATAACTTGGTTTTACCATATGTCTGGAAGATTAAAAAGTAGAGTTTATTTAGATAATAGTTACGAATTGAATTCATCCGCTTTACATTTTTTTTGGCACAAATGGGTAGGGGACGTAGCATCTCTTTGGGTTTGAGGAGCATAAACAGAGGAGTTTCTGCGCTTAGAAACACAGCACAAAAGGAAGTATGGATGAGCCCTCTCTCTCAGTGGGAGACCACAAAAGAAAGGAGGAAAAGAATTAAGGTGCCACAGGGTTACACAGGGAGTAATGCTCCTTTGTTGCCACCAGCTCATGCGCCAGCAATAGAACAATAGGTTCAACCAGTTCTCAGTAAGCCTGAAATAGAGTCCTGTAGTGATTTCATGCTCTTTATTGCAGCTTGTAAAACAGTGATGGAATTTCCCCCCAAACCTCAGGCTTTTATATACATTATTTACACAATGAGTCCCGTCTGATTGGCTGATTCTGCTTCTCTCCTGGAGCCTGATTGGTCTTCTCCTGCAGGCCTATCAGTTGTTGCATTCTACGAACCTACCAGCCTAATAGGCTGATTAACTCCCTCCTGGAGCCTGATTGGTCTTCTCCTGCGAGCCAATCATTCTAGGATCCTACCTGCCTATTGTTCTAGGGTCCAAGCTTAGTACATAGCAAAGCCCATGGAAGGAGGTGAGGGGAGAATATGAGACTTACCCTGGGAGCCTTTTGCAGTTGTCACAGGTCTTCTTAGAAGCAGGAGCAACCGGGAAAACAGGACTGGCTGGGTTTACTGTAGAACACACAGGAAAGGGGGAAAGATGCTGTTTTAGCAGAGACATCACCTTGCCAACAAAGGTCCGTATAGTTAAAGCTATGGTTTTCCCAGTAGTGATGTATGGAAGTGAGAGCTGGACCATAAAGAAGGCTGATCGCCAAAGAACTGATGCTTTTGAATTCTGGTGCTGGAGGAGACTCTTGAGAGTCCCATGGACTGCAAGAAGATCAAACCTCTCCATTCTGAAGGAAATCAGCCCTGAGTGCTCACTGGAAGGACAGATCCTGAAGCTGAGGGTCCAATACTTTGGCCACCTCATGAGAAGAGCAGACTCCCTGGAAAAGACCCTGATGTTGGGAAAGATGGAGGACACAAGGAGAAGGGGACGACAGAGGATGAGATGGTTGGATAGTGTTCTCGAAGCTACCAGCATGAGTTTGACAAACTGTGGGAGGCAGTGGAAGACAGGAGTGCCTGGCGTGCTCTGGTCCATGGGGTCACGAAGAGTCAGACACAACTAAACGACTAAACAACAACAACAACAACAACGAACTTCTCTTAAAGCTGTAATTCAGCAGCTCAGACAGATTTATCACGATTCTGTAAACTGATTTGAGACCACAAGTGGAAAAAGCAGGCTATATGTTTTTAAAATTTGCTCAGTAAAAAATGCAAAAGGTTCTTTGGAACGCTTGACTGATTCCCACTGACTAGTTCGAATGAATTTGTCTAACTCTGTAGGATGGTCAAACAGGGCAGGGTCAAACAACAGCATTAAGGATTGCAAAAAAAGTGAAGAGAGAGAGAGAGAGAGAGAGAGAGAGAGAGAGAGAAATTTTACTATGATTGGAATAATTTAATTTTTGGAAGGTTCAGTATCATCAGCTTCTTTTTTGGAAGGTTCAGTATCATCAGCTTCTTTTGAGCCTTCTAAATTGTCTTATAGGGACGTGGGTGGCGCTGTGGGTTAAACCACAGAGCCTAGGGCTTGCCGATCAGAAGGTTGGCGGTTTGAATCCCCACGACGGGGTGAGCTAGCAGTTTGAAAGCACGCCAGTGCAAGTAGATAAATAGGTACCGCTCCGGCGGGAAGGTAAACGGCGTTTCCGTGCGCTGCTGTGGTTCACCAGAAGCGGCTTAGTCATGCTGGCCACATGACCCGGAAGCTGTACGCCAGCTCCCTCGGCCAGTAAAGCGAGATGAGCGCCGCAACCCCAGTCGGCCACGACTGGACCTAATGGTCAGGGGTCCCTTTTCCTTTACCTTTTAAGTTGTCTTAGATTTAATCTAAGGTTACCAGATTTTTTTTCAATGAATCCGGGGACACTTTTCAACTTCAATGGATTTTGTATGGGGACTGATTTGTAAATCCGGGGACTGTCCCTGGGAAATGGGGACATCTGGTAACCTTAAATTTTAATCAACAGATTTTGTGACGATTTCCGTCTGAAATCAACATCCAGCCCAAGGAGGGAGGTGACACCCACCAGCTGATATCTTTGCATCACCACTGGGACTTACGCAGGTGTTCGTAAGGTTTGGTTTTTCCCAGCTCAACCCAGTTGGTGTTACTGTAGAATTTCTGGAGGATGTGAAGAGCTTTTCCAGCGCTTCGGCGAGCTGATTCCAAAGCTGACGAGCTCACGGGGACTTTCAGGCTGGCCAGCATAGAGTTCTGCAGGTTTCGAAGTTGGCTTATACCTGGCAATCAGAAGAATTTTAAGAGAGATTAAAATAAAAGATCAGAATTTGTTTATGTATGCCACAGCCGCCGCGAGAATCCTACTGGCCCCAAAATGGAAAATACAAGATTTACCAACCATCCAGGAGTGGCAGGTGAAGATGACAGATTTTGTGGAACTTGCCAAATTGACAGGGAGGATCCGGGACCAAGAGGACCACAGATACAATAACAATTGGAGTAAATTTATTGAATATTTAAAGGAGAACAGCAAAAGCTTAAGGACACTAGCAGGACTGGAATAATACCTTCAATGTAAAATAGTAGAGTTATGACAATAATATACGCAATAAGTATGTGACGTATATACCAGCTGCTGAGAGAGAGGGAAGTCAAGACTCGGCAGAGTCAAAAGGATTATACTGTGATAATAAGGATTGTTGGAAAAAGGATTTTATATATATATATATATATATATATATATATATATACACACACACACACATATATACATACATATATATATATATAATATTAAAACAAGAAAGAAAAATGCTTTAAATCAACATTAAATAAAAAGAAATAAAATAGAAGAATTTTAAAGCCCCAATTTCTCCTGTGTCCCCTGAAGTTGTATTCATTCAACTTGTTTTTATTATTGCTTGTTAGCCGCCCTGAGCCCGGCCTTGGCTGGGGAGGGCGGGATATAAATAAAAATTATTATTATTATTAAACCCGAGAAACACCAGATTCCCAATGGGATGCTGTTCCCTCTTCCCTGGAACCTCTTACTCCAGAGATGGTGACATTGTGGCCTTCAAATGCTGCTGAGACTCTAATTTCCCTCAACTCTGAGCGCTGTCTGTTCTTGCAGAGGCCTGATGGGTGGCAGAGGCCAACAATCTTTGGCGGGCCACAGGATACCCCTCCCTGTTTTGATCCAAGATTGGAGGTATGCTTGGCTGTAGGCTTGGTGATTTGTAATTTCAACGGTTCTGGCATCTGGGTGGGTCAAGAGGCTGTAGGTTTGGCGGCAGGGTCTCCGTCGGTCAGTGGGAGCAGAACTACAGTGGTACCTCTAGATACGAATGGGATCCGTTCCGGAGCCCTGTTCACATCTAGAGATAAACGTAACTAGCGATGGTGCGTCTGCGTGCGCGTGCGCCGCTTTTCGCCGCTTCTGCGCATGTGCGTGATGTCCTTTTTGAGCGTCTGCGCATGCGCAAGCGGAAAAACCCGGAAGTAACGCGCTCTCGAACCATATTTAACCCAAGGTATGACTGTAATCACAAAAGGTTCAGTCCCAGGGCTGGACTAAGAACGGACCTCCAGAACAAATTAAGTTCTTAACCCGAGGTACCACTATACTTCACATCTGGTGAAGAAACCTTCTCTGCACCTCACGGGCTTCCATGGCAGGCCTCGTGGCACACGCCTTGCACCCCAGCCCTCAGTATCTGCTGCCCAAAGTGGCCGCCTCCCTCTGGGAACTGTAGCACCATGAGGGGAATATGGATCTCTTAACAACTCCCAGCAGCTGTAGCAAACTACAGTTCCCAGGATTCTTTGTGGGAGGGGGGCAAGCCGTGACTGCGAAGATGGCATAATAGTGCTTTAGCTGTATGTTGTGGATAAGGCCCAACAGTCGGTGGAATCAGAACCAATTCTCCCTGCTGACGGGACCTAACTCAAAGGCTTCAGTTGCCCTCTTTCATCGCCACTGGACACCACCCCGTTTGGCTTGCCTAACATTCATTGCACACTTTCTCTCTGTTTCCCACCTGCCTTTTCACTCCATTCCCTCCTTCTGGCCTGCCGCTGTGTTTGACAACCCCAAACACTTCCTGTCCTCGTCCATACAGCTTCCCTCTTTTTTCTCTGCCTCTTTTCCCGTCTTCTCCCCTAGCCTCTGCAAAGAAACTCTGTTAGTTTAAGCAGTGTTTTAATGGGTGTTGTGCATTACAGTGGTCCCTTGGGTTACAGATGCTTCAGGTTACAGATGCTTCAGGTTACAGACTCCGCTAACCCAGAAATAGTACCTCGGGTTAAGAACTTTGCTTCAGGATGAGAACAGAAATTGCGCAGCAGCGCTGCGGTGGTAGTGGGAGACCCCATTAGTGCTTCAGGTTAAGAACAGTTTCAGGTTAAGAACGGACCTCCAGAACAAATTAAGTTCTTAACCCAAGGTACCACTGTATGTATTATTCGTATGGTACCGTAAGGTGGATTGCAATGCATTTGATGGGGCCCATCTTCATTCTGGTCTGGTGAAGTCAGTTTAACTGTCACTGGGGATCTTAACTGACAGACAAGGAGGGGCTGGAGATAGTACTCTCAGTATGCAAAAAGATGGAATAACTGCTTATTCTGATTGGTGGTTTCCAGATTTACAATCACCTCCTCTTTGTTGTCTACTGCTATTATGCTTAGGTTCAGCTTTAGATATGGCGATTCCTTTTTATGATCAAGTCCTTGCCACAAAGGGACTGGGCAATCTGATCGTCAGCAAACGTAACAAAGCCGAAAGCTCTAAAGGGTTTTGTGATGAAGACACCAACCAATTCTCCATACGGGGAAGAAATGGACAGAGCTCATCTGCAGTCAGGTCTTTGGTGCGAAATGACCTTAATAGATTGGAGAACTGGGCCCAAGCTAACAAAATGAAGTCCAACAGGGACAAATGTAAGGTTCTGCGCTTAGGCAGGAAGAACCAGATGCACAAATTTAAGATGTGGGACACCTGGCTTTTGTAAAGATCTAGGGGTCTTGGTGGGCAACAAGCTTAATATGAGTCAACAGTGCGATTCAGCAGCAAACAAAAGCTAATGCTATTTTAGGCTGCACCAACAGAAGTATAGTGTCCAGATCAAGGGAAGTAATCGTCCCACTCTATTCTGCCTTGGTCAGACCACACCTGGAATATTGTGTCCAATTCTGGGCACCACCATTTAAGAAGGATGTTAAATTGGAACATGTGCAGAGGAGGGCAACTAAGATGGTCAAGGGTCTGGAAACCAAGCCTGATGAGGAGTGGTTGAAGGAGCTGGGAATGTTTAGCCTGGAAAAAAGGAGACTCAACTCAAGGGCTGTCCCATGCAAGAGGGACAACGCTTATTTTCTCCTGCTCTGGAGGGTAGGACTTGACAGTAAGCGCTGTTCAGCAGTGGAACAGTCTCCTTCGGGAGGCGGTGGGCCAGCTTGGGTAGGTGGGCAGGGTCACGCACCTGTCAATCACCTGCCAAAGTCTGGGGGTGGGGAGAGGGGTCTGCTTTGCCAGCGTGTTCCCTTTGCTCGTTGGCAAAGGGTTCAGTCCTGCTCTCTGTGGGGATCTGCTCTCCCAACACATCGCCCCAAACATCGCTCCGTGCACCTTCACCCCACAAAAGCCACACCGCCTCTTACTTTGGACAATCTTTTCGCAGTAGAAGAAGTAGCTATTGTCCTTCTTGTGGTCGGTTTCCACTTGATTGTTTGCATCGACAAGTTCCTGCATGGCTTTGAGTAACCGACTGGGAGAGACGTCAGCTGTGCAAGAAAAAAGGGGAAGGTCCCATTACTTGGGAACCACACAAATCCGCACATGAAAATGCAGCTGCTTTTTGAAGTGGTCCTGACCCCCGAAGCACTTATATGCGCAAGCAGAGGTGGATATGCTCTGCTCCCTGAACTGCATGTGGACCTCAGCCTAATATGATGGGAATACCAAGGAACGGGGGTGGGGGTGGGGAACAAGGCAAAAGAGGTGGCAGAGATAAAGAAAAGGGAATGGCATGGAGAATGAAAAACAGAAGGGCGAAAGGGGCGACACAGAGAGAACAAGAAGGGGAGGAACAGAGGAAACTGGGTGAGGGAAAGGATGAGCTTGGCAGCATGCAGACCAGCCAGATAAGATAATAAAGTGACCCCTGCTTTAAGGTTTGACAGTGGGAAAAAGGATAGGATGAGAAGGATGGGGACATTATAGGCACTCACACAGCCTTCTAGTAATAGTAATAGTAATAGTAATAGTAATAGTAATAGTAATAGTAATAGTAATAATTTCTTAACATATACCTTGCCCATCTGACAGGGTTTCCCCAGTCACTCTGGGAGGCTTTCAACAGAATGTGAAAAAAACACAGTGAAACATTAGATACAGTGGTTACAGACACTTCAGGTTACAGACGCTTCAGGTTACAGACTCCGCTAACCCAGAAATAGTACCTCAGGTTAAGAACTTTGCTTCAGTATGAGAACAGAAATCATGCGGCAGCAGCGCAGCGACAGTGGGAGGCCCCATTAGCTAAAGTGGTACCTCAGGTTAAGAACAGTTTCAGGTTAAGAATGGACCTCCGGAACGAATTAAGTTCTTAATCCGAGGTACCACTGTATTAAAATCTTTCTGATACAGGGCTGCCTTCAGCTGTCTTCAGAAAGTTGTATAATTGTTCATCTCCTTGACATCTGATGGGATAGTAGATCCACATGCCCAAATCTCCCCTAAGATAAATGGGGTTTAGTGACTACTTAGGGGTGGGAAGCTGACAACCAGGATTTTTTTAGATCTCTAGGGTGGGTGGAGGGACGCGGGTGGCACTGTGGGTTAAACCACAGAGCCTAGGACTTGCCGATCAGAAGATTGGTGGTTCGAATCCCCGTGACAGGGTGAGCTCCCGGTGCTCGGTCCCTACTCCTGCCAACCTAGTAGTTCAAAAGCATGTCAAAGTGCAAGTAGATAAATAGGTACCACTCCGGTGGGAAGGTAAACGGTGTTTCCGTGCGCTGCTCTGGTTCGCCAGAAGCGGCTTAGTCATGCTGGCCACATGACCCGGAAGCTGTACGCCGGCTCCCTCGGCCAATAAAGCAAGATGAGCGCTGCAACCCCAGAGTCAGTCATGACTGGACCTAATGGTCAGGGTTCCCTTTACCTTTAGGGTGGGTAGGTTTTTAAGAGGAAAGGCTCAGACTGGCAGCCGTGACTCTCAGATCTGTTACCAGGGGCCAGGAGGTCTACTGCGTTAAAGCAGTTCGCAAGGACTCCTGGGCTCTGTCAGCTGGCATAGATGGGAGCAATGAGACCAAGCATTTGTGGATCCAAGTCTCCTGGTCCTGCTGGGAAGCAAATGAGGTCAGATTCCTAGCAAGGCTGCGCAGGGTCGATCCTCTGCAAAAGCCACAAGGTCCAGTTGCATCGGGCAAGGAGAAGTCTTCACGCCGATGCCTTCTGAGCTTACCTTTGTAGAAGGCCTTGAAGAGCCTAGTAGCATCCAAAGGCTTCATATTTTCCAGCTCTCCTGGGGCCACAGGTGTTTTCCCAGGCAACGGGTTCCTCTCCATGTAACGGGCGACAGCCCGCAGCACCCCTGCTGTCGTGATGTCAGCATCTGTGAAGACTGCCGGATCTATACCTCCCGATTCGTGGTTGGGGAGGAATCCGCTCACGTTGTCCAGGCAGAAGAGCAGGGAGAGCAGCAACATCCTTTGAAGCTGGGTAGAGGGGGAGAGAAGGGAACACATCTTCTGCAGATGTTCTGCAGTGTGCTCCTCAGTTAAATAGCTGAGCCTGCACTGGAACCTCTTATCTATTCAGTCTACTCCCTCCTACTTATTGGCAGACAGATAGGATTTCTGGGGAAAACCTGACTCCCAACTCCCATCTGGGGAAGGGCTCTAGCTCAATGGGTCTGGACCTCTGGGTCAAGCTTCTTATGCAACATATCTTAGGTCCCATCCCCAGCATGTCTAGGTAAGGCTGGAAAACAATTCCAGCTGATGCCCTGGAAAACCCTTGCCAGTCTCTTCTGAGCTAGATGAGTCAATTATGCAGATTCCTGTGTTTATTGATCAACCACCATTCACCACAATCTCCCAGATAGAAAAGGGACAGGTGCCACAATGAGAGTCAATGTGGTGTAGTGGTTAAGAGCGGTGGACTCGTAATCTGGTGAACTGGGTTCGATTCCCCACTCCTCCACATGCAGCTGCTTGGTGACCTTGGGCCAGTCACACTTCTCTCTGAAGTCTCTCAGCCCCACTCACCACACAGAGTGTTTGTTGTAGGGGAGGTAGGGAAAGGAGAATGTTAGCCACTTTAAGACTCCTTCAGGTAGTGATAAAGCAGGATATCAAATCCAAACTCTCCTTTTCTTTCTTTCTTTCTTTCTTTCTTTCTTTCTTTCTTTCTTCCCTATGAATAAATATAACAGGACTATCAAATGTCCTGTAAAATGTGCATCGTTTTAAAATTTATTTTTATGATTTTATTTGCATTGCTTTTCTTCTTACAGGTTAAACAATGGCAAGGAATTCTGGGTGCAATGCTCCTCATACATCGTGGGTGAGGAGGGGCAGAGAGGCTAAGGAATATGCAGATCTGCATACAAATGGCATACAAATGCATTAGTGTATTAATGGACTTTGAAATGTGATAAGCCAGCCCCTCTGCTAAGTGGTGCCCTGGATGTCTAGCCTAAAGTTTTAGAATCATAGAATCATAGAATCATAGAGTTGGAAGAGACCACAAGGACCATCGAGTCCAACCCCCTGCCAAGCAGGAAACACCATCAGAGCACTCCTGACATATGGTTGTCAAGCCTCTGCTTAAAGACCTCCAAAGAAGGAGACTCCACCACACTCCTTGGCAGCAAATTCCACTGTCGAACAGTTCTTACTGTCAGGAAGTTCTTCCTAATGTTTAGGTGGAATCTTCTTTCTTGTAGTTTGGATCCATTGCTCCTTGTCTGCTTCTCTGGAGCAGCAGAAAACAACCTTTCTCCCTCCTCTATGTGACATCCTTTTATATATTTGAACATGGCTATCATATCACCCCTTAACCTCCTCTTCTCCAGGCTAAACATGCCCAGCTCCCTTACTCGTTCCTCATAAGGCATCGTTTCCAGGCCTTTGACCATTTTGGTTGCCCTCCTCTGGACACGTTCCAGTTTGTCAGTGTCCTTCTTGAACTGTGGTGCCCAGAACTGGACACAGTACTCCAGGTGAGGTCTGACCAGAGCAGAAGACAGTGGCACTATTTTTATTTTACTCTGGTGGCACCACCAGGAGGGATGATAGAATTGCAGAACTGGAAGGGATTCCATGGGTCATCTAGTCCAACCCCCTACAATGTAGGAATCTCAGCTAAAGCAACCAGGACAGATGACCATCCAACCTCTGCTTAAAAACCTCCAAGGAAAGAGAATCCACCACCAGACTGTTCCACTGTTGAACACCACTTCCTGGTGTTGAGTCAGAATCTGCTTTTTTTTAACTTGAAGCCATTGGTTCGAGTCCTACCCTCCAGAGCAGGAGAAAACAAGCTTGTTCCCTCCTCCATGGGACAGCCCTTGAGATATTTGAAGAGGGATATCCTATCTCCTCCCAGTCTCCTCTTTTCCAGGCTAAACATACCCAGTTCCCTCAATCAACCATTTCTCATCAGGCTTGGTTTCCAGACCCTTGATCATCTTGGTTGCCCTCTTCTGCACACGTTCCAGCTTGTCAACACCCTTCTTAAATTGTGGTGCTTGGAATTGGACACAATATTCCAGGTGTTGTCTGACCAAGGCAGAATAGAGCGGCACTATTACTTCCCTTGATCTGGGCACTATACTGGGCCTAGAAGAACATTAGCTTTTGTTTGCTGCTGCATCACACTGTTGACTCATGTTAAGCTTGTGGTCCACCAAGACCTCTAGATCTTTTCAAATGTACCGCTAGTAAGCCAGGTGTCCCACATCTTATATTTGTACATCACATCTTATATTTGTACATCTAGTTCTTCCTGCGTAAGTGGAGAGCCTTATATTTATCCCTATTGAACTTCATTTTGTTAGCTTGGGCCCAGTTCTCCAATCTATTAAGGTCATTTTGAATTCTGATTCTGTCTTCTGTGGCATTAGCTAACTCTCCCAGTTTGGTGTCATCTGCAGATTTGATGAGCATCCCCTCAATTCCTTCATTCACGTCATTTATAAAGATGTTGGACAACAATGGGCCCAGGACAGAACCCCACAGCACCCCACTTGTCACTTTCCCCCAGGTTGATGAGGAACCATTTTAGTACTCTTTGGGTTCATTCAGTCAACCAGCTACAAATCCACCTTACAGTTACCTCGTTCAACCCACATTTTACCAGCTTCCTCACAAGAATATCCTGGGGAACTTTATCAAAATCCTTACTGAAATCAAGATACGCTATGTCCACAGCATTCCCCTGATCCACCAAGCTTGTAACTCCCTCAAACAAAGAAATGAGATTCGCCTGTCATGAATTATTTTTGAGAAACCATGTTGGGTCTTGGTAATCACAGCATCCTTTTTTAAGAACTCACAGACCGACTGTTGAATTATCTGTTCTAGGACCTTCCCTGGTATCGATGTCAAGCTCACCGGTTGGTAGTTACCTGGATCTTCCCCCTCCCTTTGAAGATGAGGAGCATCAACACTGCAACAAGGGAATGCTTCCAGTTGTGGCTCCTGCTATTATGACAACATAATAATAATAACAATTTATTATTTGTACCCCTCCCATCTGGCTGGGTTTCCCCAGCCACTCTGGGCTGCTTCCAACAAAGATGAAAAATACATTAAAATGTCACACATTAAAAACTTCCCTAAACAGGGCTGCCTTCAGATGTCTTCTAAATGTCAGGTAGTTGTTTATCTCTTTGACATCTGATGGGAGGGCGTTCCACAGGGCAGGTGCCACTACCGAGAAGGCCCTCTGCCTGGCTCCCTGTAGCTTTACTTCTCGCAGTGAGGGAACCACCAGAAGGCCCTTGGCGCTGGACCTCAGTGTCCAGGCAGAATGATGGGGGTGGAGACACTCCTTCAGGTATACAGGACCGAGGCTGTTTTATGTACAGTTATGTACAGTTAGTTCTAACAGACAAGTAAGACGAAAAAGCAAGGAGTCTGTCTGTGTTTGCTTGTGTTGTATCTCACATATTGGTTATATCCACTCAGCCAGTAGCTGGTTTCTAGCAACCTTTTACAGAACAACTGGGGTCTTCTCTAGGTCTGGCTCCATGTCTTCAAACCTATGTCCACTACTAGGAATTTAGGGTTTTTTTTTACACTGGTGCAGTTGGTTAGAGCGTGGTGCTGATAATGCCAAGGCTGCAGGTTCGATCCCTGTATGGGACAGCTGCATCTTCCTGCAATGCAAGGGGGTTGGAATCGATGATCCTCAGTGTTAAGTTGTGGGTGAACATATCAGATGACACAGCGATTCTTCAAACAGCTCTTGTTTATTCACAGGCCAGAACAGAACTGAACTGAAGGGTTCAGCCAGCCTGCTTATATAGAGCTCCACTACAACGCAACTGTAACCACTTTCTGTAACTATCCAATCATTGAACGTCACTTTCAACCCCCTATTTGCATATGTGGACCTGAGTGAAAACTATCTGCAGTATCCCCCTGCTGGCCCAGGGTGAGAACTTCAGTACATAACACCCAGGGGCCCTTCCAACTCTACAATTCTATGATTCTGTGACTACTCCATTTTATAGAATGCAGCTGGATAATTTCCCTTGCCCTTTTCTGCAAGGACTGGGGAAGATCCTTGCCTGAAACTAGAGAGCCTGAGGGCTTGTCCACATTTACCTTTCCTCTGTGCTTTACAGGCAAAAGACCACCCTTGAAAGCTCCAGAACTTTCCCTCAGAAAACCTGCTTTTTACTACTAAATCAGAGCAAACAGCAATCAGTGGAAATCCCCAAACTGCCGTTAGTTGCTCTTCAGCTTTAAAGAGCAGGTTTTCATGGGAAAAGCTGCAGAGCGAAAAGAAGAGAGGTCAAACATGGAGCGTTAACCTGTGCCTGGAAAGAACAGGGCAAAAGGTATAAGTGCAGATAAACCCTGAGTTGCTGCCACAATGCACTAAAAATTCTGAGCTAGCGAAGAAAACGAATGTCAACTAGTTTGTGGCAATGTTTGCCTGTGCAAAGTTTGAAGGGATGAGACTCCAGCCCCAGGCTTCACTTATGCCTTTGCAGAGAATATTCTTTCAGGTGTATTTCAAGCTCTAAATCTACCCTCTGGGTTCTGCCCCTGGGGACGAACCACACATTAGGCTTAATGCCTCGTTTGCTGCTGTCCCTTTAACAAATTGCAGGCAAGGGGGGAAATCCCAGTTCCTGCGAACTGCAGCTCTGAATACCACCAGTCCCTTGTGCCTGTAGTTCTTTCATTTTGGAAAACAAACATGATTGCATAGCAGTGTGTGCCTTAATCAGAATGTGTGGCTTTGGCCCTGCTTAGTGTGAAACGCCCTTCACCTGCAGATATTTTGGCCAAAAGAAGAAGCCAAATCCATGCAGGTCTTCAGCCAAGTCAGTTCTTCGGAAAAAGATGTTTACAGCAAAGTGAGTTCAAGATTAAGGTCATGTCCACACAGGAACGGGCAACTTTATCAGTTTCAGTTTCTTATTTTTCCAATCATAAGTTCAACTCTCCCCATTTCCACATCAGCATGTAATTATTATTATTTTTTAAGTCATCAGTATTGTTGTTTGGTTTTTCCTAATGTATGCCCTTTTGTATGTACTTTTGCTTAATTTACACACTTTTTTTGTGAAGCACTTTTCCCTGATATAAATCATTTTTTTCTGTTATTTTCATAAATTTATGCATTTTTAAGCACACTTTGCCCTAGTATATGTATTTTGGTAAACATTACATGGCCAGTAGCGTAGGTAGCCGGGGGCAGGGTGGGGAGTTGTTATGAGAAAAAAACTGCTCCTTTTCCCTTATGGGGTACCCAAGAGCCCATATAGAGTCCTTTTGTAGGTTCTCTATCGGTAGGAGAAAATAACAGAGACCAACCAGAGAATATTGAGAAGCAAAGCAGCTAGTAAGCCTGATCTTTATTAAAGCTGTTGCAACAGGGTGCTCCCCCACACGCGGGAGAGAGGAGGAGGACCCAGAGCCATGCGTGCAAGCCCTTATATAGACATTTTAAATGAATCATTAAATTTAAAGAACAGCCCCAGAAACATCATACATACATCACAGAAGGGGTGTGGCCCAAGACCACACCCCAGATACATCATACCTACATCACAGAAAAGGTGGTCTACAACAGAAATCTGAGTGCGTTGTTTATCTCCTGTCTGGCAAGTTATCCGGTTGCATTATCTGGGTTTTGGGCACTCTTTTGTTGTTATAATCTAGGCCACAGACCACAGGCTCACACCCTGTTCATATCTTGAATGTGCCGTTAAGACAGGATTTGTGAGGAAAGACAGGATTTGTGAGGAAAGAGACAATGGGGAGATTTCCCACTTTGACCTTGCAGAGAAATATTTGAGGTCAATTTGTTCAGGACCTTTTCTGTGGGGTTTCAGACATGTGGTTTAGTTATGAACATTTTTTTTTTAAAAAAATACGACCTTAAAGAGTGGTTCGTGTCTGACGGGGGAGGGGTCATTTAGGGCACCATGGGGGTCTACGTTGACTGCTGCACCTTGAGTGCTTTGCTTCTGGGGGGCAGAGGAGCTTGTGTGCAGCACTGCGTCTCCTCGGCTGCAGGGGGCTGCCCTGAAAAAGCTCAACAACCGTTTTCCTAAAAGAACAGTCAATTTTCGTCTGCCGGTGGAGGTTGCTGCATGGCTGGAGAACCACATCGCAAAATCTGGAGAATTTAGAGAAAGGTTTTCCTCCCTCTCATAATGCCCAAAGAAGCTGAATGCTTGGAGATTCGGGCCACACGAAAGGAAGTGCTTCTTCACACGGGGCATCGTTAACCAGGAAACACCGGCCTGTGAGCGCTGCAATTGGAGAACAGCCTTTACCAAAAGTGTCATGGGCTTTGAAGACGCTCAAACTTAGGACGAAAGGGAGAAGCGTGCTAAGAGGAAGACACGCTTGGCAAACCCTCACCGTGATCAACTCCTGCCCGGAAACCTAGGTCCATAGCTGTCAACCATCCCTTATTTGGCGGGAAAGTCCCTTATCCCAGCGCCGTGTCCCGCTGCTGTCCCTTATTGATGATGTCCCTTAAATTTCCCGGGTTTCAAAGGAAGCAGCTCCTCTCCCTCCCTCCCTGCCGACCAGGGAGGAGGGAGGCTCCAACTGCGTTGCTTGGCTGTGTTGCTCACCCAATAAGGAGTCTAAGAACGACTGGGGGGTGGAGCTTGTTGTGTATTGAGTCAAAGGATTTTATATCTGTATTATTATTGTCTGTATTTGCATTAGGTAAATTCCTGTCTTCCTTCGCACCATTGCGACCATGCCCAAGAGGAGCTCTGGTTCTTCACAAAGTGTATTTCAATACCTTTTAATTCATTATATTATTTCAGAAGGTCTGATCTTTGGCATGTCACCAAAGGTGGAAAAAGGTTCCTTCATTTTCTTGCATTTAACATTTATTATCGGCAAATGATCGATTTAAGCTGCTGTATGTTAGGATCACCTCTGATCATTTTCACTGTGTTCTCTCTCAATACAGGCAGGACTGTGACTTGTCCTGATATTGTTCCCAGTCAGCAAACATAGTATCCTTACATCTTGCATAAGTTCCCTGTCCCTATAAATGTAGCTTTCCTCTCCCCAGTCTGCAGTCTTGTTGCTTTAATAAAGAAGTGTTACCAGAGAACTGTCTCCAGCATGTTATATCAGGAGAGCTGAAATCACAAACCCCACGTCACAACAGAGCTTGCATGCCTTGTGCCGATCAAATCGGCCGCGTTGCCTGGGGACTCGCCTTTGCTCAGCGCTTCCCAGCGGAGAGGTGACGGTGGTTTTCCTTGCTGCATCCCCTTTGCTGGGTTGCTGCGCTGTGGGAACCACCGCTTGAGGCTTCGTTTGGCTGCTGGCTGGGCTTTCCGCCTTTGGCTTGGAGGGGCTCAGAAGTTGAACATACCTATGCTTGGAATCGGATGGATACGTCATCGACGGCCCACTCACCCTTGCCGGGGAAAAGGTCTGTCTGGAGAGGGGGGACATGGTGGGGGGAAAAGGAAAGGAGTTGGTTGAGTACAGTGGTGGGCGGCGATCTTGTGGGGCTGTGTGCTTCTGGATTTGTTTTGGAGGCTCTTTCGATTGACTGTTATGGGGGAAAGGAAAGGAGCTGGTTGACTAAAATCCCTTATTTTGGCTGCTGATCCCTTATTTTCGAGGCTGCTGGTCCCTTATTTTCAAATCTGTAAGTTGACAGCTATGCCTAGGTCCCCAGTGTGGAAGGGCGTGTGGATCCAGAATTGGCCTCCACAGTCACTTGTGGACTCACTGTTAAAACCCGTGTTTGCCTGAAAACTAAACTCTGAGAGAACTAAAATTCAACATCTAAGATTTCTGAACCCCCTTTTGATTGCAGGAGAAGAAGGGGTTGTTTTGATCTTTTCAACCCTGCGGAAGTGAGTTTAAAATAAGGTAATTTTCCACCGCCCTGAACCAGGAGCGGGCTGTCAGAACTGACGTTTTGAAGCTTATCCAGCTCGACAGATAGTTAAAAGAAGGGTAACATTTTGATTCTACTGTTGCCTCTTGAATTTGAAAGGGGGAATTTTGGATAAAGTGTTTCTGGAAAAAGAAAGATTGTTACTGTTGTTTTTCCCCCTCTTAAAAAAAAAAAAAAGGGGGTTTTCCATCTAGTGGAACTGAGTGTAATTGCAATGCAGAGAGTTTAAAAGAGAAGGACCATTCTCGTGGGAAAGAATTTTTTCTGACCTTGAAGGACAATGCTTGTACAAAGGCTTGAACAAATGTTCCTGGAAGGTTTTGCAAAATTAAGTGCCCAGCTGGACCAGATGCGTCAGGAGTCGACCTTGATGATGACGGAAGTCACCAGAGCACAGCAGCAAACAAATGAAATTCAGTTAAAGTCTATACAAGAATATGAACCTGCTGTAGCGACGGAGGCTTCAGAGATGGAGGGACCTATGGATGGGCAAGATCAGCCTTTGAACTTGATAAATGAACTTGGGACAAACCTGATTCGGAAAGATGAAATGTGGTCAGATTTGGAAATGGGGGATGGATTGACACCCCTCTATATGGTTATTTGGACTTTCCGAGTCTAGGGATGGGCCATCAGAGGATTGGAGTAGTCGAAGTCTTCAAGTTTTCTGGAAATTGGAAGTGGTATTATCTGCTGTCTGGCTTGGGTAATGGGTTTGGGATGGACTTGCTGCAAAGAGTCAAAAGCATCTTCTTGCTGGAGTATCCACGACTGAAAGGGAAATATCAACAAGAGTGGCGAAAGGGGCAAGAAAGAGACTTGAGGGCCTCGGACACGAGACAACCAGGTTACCGTGTTTATGGAAGACAATCTGACTCGGCTACGAGTGATTGCCAAAGGAGAAGAAGTGAAACTATGGAATTTGCTCCCACACGAGGCAGTGATAGACGCTGCCTTGGCTGGCTTTTAAAGAGAATGTAAGAACATAGGAAGTGTCTTCCGGATCAGGCCAATGACCCACCTGGCCTAGCATCCTGTTCTCGCAAGACCAGCCAGATGTCTTTGGCAAACCTGCAAGAGAATCGGGTTTTTGTTTTTTTTAATATAATATTTATTAATTTTCCAACAATTTAAACACAACACTACAAAAAAAAAAAACATAAAAAAGAAGACAATGCAATACAATACAAAAACACTACAAAACACTAACACATAAAATTAATAAAACAAAAACAAAACCATTTCATTATCTTATCTTTCGTTCACTTGTTTCCATGACCTCCTCACACCTCCCTTTTCGTATTCCACTTCTGTTAATTGTTTCAGCAATTCCTTTCCATCTTCCTCTGTTTTCTATCCTATAATTATCTTAACACATTCTAACCTTATTTTCCCTTTAATACTCTATTAATCTATTTATACTTAATTCCTTATAACATTTCTACTAAAGCCATATAACTTCATTCCAACATTTTTCTAACATTCATTAATTTTACAGTATTTCTGTAAATAATCTTTAAACTTTTTCCAGTCTTCTTCCACCAACTCTTCTCCCTGGTCTCGGATTCTGCCAGTCATTTCCGCCATTTCCATATAGTCCATCAACTTCATCTGCCATTCTACCCGGGTGGGTAAATCTTGTGTTTTCCAATACTTCGCAGTAAGTATTCTTGCTGCTGTTGTTGCATACATTAAAAAAGTTCTATCCTTCTTTGGCACCAATTGGCTGACCATGCCCAGGAGTGACTCATCCAACCTTATTTGGGAACCTTATTTGCCTTGAGTGCTGTGTTCCCTTTTGGGAATCAGATGCCTGTGGCAAAAGTGGGCCAGGGGCAAAAATGGGAAAGTTGCTTTCTACAGTAGTTAGTTACTACATGTGATTTTACCCCTTCCTTTATCTTCCGAGGCAAGCCAGAGGCACTGTCAGGGTCCAAGAGTACTATTTAACCTAGCAAAAGGACTCCTCGCAGGGCCAGAAAAGGCTATAGCTGGGCAAAGGGTGTTTTTTGGGGAAAGGTCTTGAGGGTGGCCCTAATAATAGTAATAATAATAATAATAATAATAAACAATAATAATAAATTATTATTTGTACCCTGCCCATCTGGCTGGGTTTCCCCAGCCACTCTGGGTGGCTTCCAACAAAGATTAAAAATTCATCAAAATGTCACACATTAAAAAACTTCCCTGAACAGGGCTGCCTTCAGATGTCTTCTAGATGTCAGGTAGTTGTTTATCGCTTTGACATCTGATGGGAGGGCGTTCCACAGGGCGGGCGACACTACCGAGAAGGCCCTCTGCCTGGTTCCCTGTAACTTGGCTTCTCGCAGTGAGGGAACCGCCAGAAGGCCCTTGGCGCTGGACCTCAGTGTCCGGGCAGAACGATGGGGGTGGAGACGCTCCTTCAGGTATACTGGGCCGAGGCCGTTTAGGGCTTTAAAGGTCAACACCAACACTTTGAATTGTGCTCAGAAACGTACTCTGAGCTTGAGGTTCCACACACCTGCTCTCCAAGGCTGAGCTCTTCAAAGAATGGTTCTGTAATTTTGCAGAAGAAGGTGGATGTGGGATGATGCTGATTGGCTAGTGCTTCTGACATCAGCATGATATATATATGTGCACACAGGAATACCAGCCCTCAGTCCAAGAGGCAAGCACATAGTGGGAAATTAAAGTTTATGCAATTAAAGTGCTCTGTTGCCCCAGCGCAACAAACCCACTTTTAAAAGAGAGATAGACTTTCTGTAGTTTGGAAAGTGAAGGGGTGGAGGGGAAGCCTTGAAAAGTGTGGGAGGGAGGAATGATTAACAAGAAACAGTGTAAACACCCCGCAAGAAAACCGGGGTTCTTATTGTTGTATAACCTCTGTAAACAACTCAAGATGAAGGCCGCCAGATGCAATCTAAGTTCCCTGTAAGCTTTGTGCAAGCAAATCAGGAGGAACGCTTAATAAACAGGTCGTTTGGAGGGACCGATACAGTGGTACCTCGGCTTAAGAACTTAATTCGTTCTGGAGGTCCGTTCTTAACCTGAAACTGTTCTTAACCTGAGGTACCAGTTTAGCTAATGGGGCCTCCCACTGCCGCTGCTCTGCCACTGCACGATTTCTGTTCTCATCCTGAGGTAAAGTTCTGAACCTGAGGTACTATTTCTGGGTTAGCGGAGTCTGTAACCTGAAGCGTCTGTAACCTGAGGTACCACTGTATATGCTATGGGCCCAAAATTCTGGCTCATCAAACTGATGGATGCTTTGTTAGTATAGACTGCAGACATGCCCATCATTCTTAACAGCGAGTGTAAACACAGGCACAAGTGCTTTCTGAAGTTTGTTTTATTTGGCTGTGGGTGTAATGGAGGCTGCCAATGTGGCTGGATCACCACTTGGCAGTTTAACATCTGGATAGTATCTCCTTCCCGATTCAAATGGCACCACGAAACCAGAAATGTGACTCTCCAAAGCTTATTGCCTTTTGTGATCGTCATATAATGCAGTTCAGCTGTTAGGAGAGAGAAAGAGAAAAGAAAAGGTTCTGCATAAAAAGCACCAGGTATCTGTCAATGTCCTCCCTCTCTCGAATCCCCAGACCCAGGGAGGACTTTAGGGGTGCCCCTTTGCTTCTTCCGTAGTTCAAGGCAGATGTTCAGCAGGTCCAGCTTGAACTCTGACCTAGAGAAGCAGCAATGGGAGAAGCTGCTTCTGTTGAATTTCTGCCAGACAGCTGGGCACAGAGCTTCTGTCGAGAGAAAAAGATAGCAACTCTCCTGTTCCTCTGCTAACTCCTTACGCGTTTGGAGTTATTCCCTCACTAACTCCTTTTAATGATTTTTTAAAAAAATATTGTTATATTTATATAAAGGGATTTGAACCCTAGTTTCCCATGTCCTAGTTTAGCACAATCGCCAGTATGCAAATAAAGGATTGAGAACTGTCGCTCTCTGATTGGTTAGCTAGTTGGGAGTTGTTACTGTTACAAGTTAAAGGTAAAGGGACCCCTGACCATTAGGTCCAGTCATGACTGACTCTGGGGTTGCGGCGCTCATCTCGCATTATTGGCCTAGGGAGCCGGCGTACAGCTTCTGGGTCATGTGGCCAGCATGACTAAGCCGCTTCTGGCGAACCAGAGCAGCGCACGGAAACGCCGTTTACCTTCCCGCCGGAGCGGTACCTATTGATCTACTTGCACTTTGATGTGCTTTCGAACTGCTAGGTTGGCAGGAGCAGGGACCGAGCAACAGGAGCTCACCCCGTCGTGGGGATTCGAACCGCTGACCTTCTGATCGGCAAGTCCTAGGCTCTGTAGTTTAACCCACAGCGCCAACTGCGTCCCTACTGTTACAAGTTACTTAGTATTATATAAAGCAGCCAGCTAGGCTGCACTGAGTCTATCTACAGGAGCAATTCTAACTGCTGTAATAAAGAGCTGTGAATCTAACAGAGCTGTGTCCTTCGTCCATCTTTCCCACTATTTAACAATGCGCATGTTTGTGTGCGGTTTTTACACTATATAGAGTTCCCCCTAATAAAATGTATTTTTGAATGTTTTGCATGTATCCTTTCCCCATACACTTTCCCCTAATACAGTGGTACCTCTGGTTAAGAACTTAATTCGTTCTGGAGGTCCATTCCTAACCTGAAACTGTTCTTAACCTGAGGTACCACTTTAGCTAATGGGGCCTCCCGCTGCCGCCGTGCTGTCAGCGCGCGATTTCTGTTCTCATCCTGAGGTAAAGTTCTTAACCTGAGGTACTATTTCCGGGTTAGCGGAGTCTGTAACCTGAAGCATTTGTAACCTGAGGTACCACTGTAATACATGCATTTCTGCCAACATTTTTTGTTTGGAGAACTGCGTCACAAAATTCAACGCTGTGTTTCAGTTTTGTGTGCATTGTTTCAGAAAGTGTGAATTTAAAGGAAAGCCTTTAAATGCAAACTGAGCTGGGTTTGTCCCCTATCCCTACAGTTACAGGAAGGGAACATTGCCCCAAACATTGGAGAGCTACTGCTACTGCGTGTTATACCTGTTGTAGGTTTATGAGGCGGAGGCAGGACGGGGCCGTCTGTAGTCTACAGTAAAAGTGTTTGTGTTCCCGTTTTCATCGCTGATCAGGAATTCTGCATAAGGAGAACAGCAGTTCGACCTACAAAAGAAGACCCAAGGCCGATAAACCAAAGATGAGAGGAAGGGAAGCTCTGATGGGCATGTGATTCAGAGGTCATGGTCTCATGATATGCAAAAAACCCCACCCTATATACAACAATGGGGAAATATTGTTAACATTAGTTAAAAAGAAAGCAAGCATTATTGGCAGGGACATCCCGAAGGCCTTTAGGGAGGTATTCTTATATGCAACGGCTGCAGCTCGGACTTGGGTGGCAAAGGGGCGGAAGGAACAAGAAGCCCCGACAATAACGGATTGGCAAAACAAGCTACAAGAATTTGCTGAAATGGCGCAGTTAACAAATACCCTGAGAGGCAATTCAAAACAAAAAATTATGGAAAAGTGGGATAGATATAAAACATATGTTCAAAAATACAGTAAAGGTTCGCTATCTATGCTAGCATTTGATTGACGTTGGAGCGAGACTGAGTTGAGATATAAGACTAAGAGCACATATTGATATAGGAATGTATTAGATAAAATGTAAAGAAATATACAATAATAAGAGTACATTCATTTGTAAAAAAGGAATATACAACGGGATAGACAGGAAGTCTAGTGTGTTGGTATGTATATGATTTTGGGGGGGAATTGTTTTTGTTTTTTCTCTTTGTTCTTTTTTGTGTTTCATTTTCTTTCTAGGTATATAAAATTTGTATATAATTTTTGTATACATATTGGAAATTATAGTAAGTCATGTAATATAATATGACAACGTTTACCAATGTAATATAAGAATGTTAACAAATAAACAAAATGCAAATTTAAAAAAAAAGCAAGCAGAGGTAAACAGGAATCAGCCTCTGCTGTGGAGCTCCATGATCAGTCGTCATTTTCTGCACCATGCCATCAGATTTCTAGAAACTGGATATACATACTGATAGTGACACATGACTTCCTTGCTGCCATCAGTCCCCCGTGGGCTGCAGGATAGACCAGAAGGATTTGCACTGATTTGGACGGTGACAGCGCTGTGATTATCCATTGCAGAGAACCTCATTTTCCAAATGTGCCGAGAGCAGGTAGGCTTGTGCTGGAATTTGCTGACACAAGGCATGTAAAGGTCTAGAAGCGCGTAGTTTGGTGGGATCTCATCAGTTTTCTGTTTGGATGGAGCACAGGTTGGTTAGGAAGAACCAAGAGTAGCCATCGGTAAAGACCACTTTCTGCTAGGACTCGGGTAGCCAACACGGTGCTCTCCAGACATTTTGGACTACAATACACACAACTCCTGACTATTGGCCACGCTGATTGAGGCTGATGAGAATTATAGTCTGGAGGGCACCATGTTGGCAACCCTTGAATGGCAGATGGATCAATCAGTCTATAGCTTGTCTATGTCAGTTTCTCTATGATTCTATGATTCATAAGTCCCATTTTCACATTAATGTGTGTGTGTTTTCAAAAACCAATCTGCATGCAAATTTGTATTTAAACATTATTTAAATACATGAATATATATATGTTTATATATGCATGTGTGTGTGTGTATGTTTAAATACAAATTTGCATGCAGATTTTTATTAAAAACACACACACACACGGATTAAAGAGGGCTGATCGCAAAAGAATTGATGCTTTTGAATTACGGTGCTGGAGGAGACTCTTGAGAGTCCCATGGACTGCAAGAAGATCAAACCTATCCATTCTGAAGGAAATCAGCCCTGAGTGCTCACTGGAAGGACAGATCCTGAAGCTGAGGCTCTAATACTTTGGCCACCTCATGAGAAGAGAAGACTCCCTGGAAAAGACCCTGATGTTGGGAAAGATGGAGGGCACAAGGAGAAGGGGACGACAGAGGACGAGGTGGTTGGAGAGTTTTCTCGAAGCTACCAGCGTGAGTTTGACCAAACTGCAGGAGGCAGTGGAAGACAGGAGTGCCTGGCGTGCTCTGGTCCATGGGGTCACGAAGGGTCGGACACGACTAAACGACTAGACAACAACATTTCTCAAACTGGGAGGCATTTAGGAATGTAAGAGAATTCTCACAATAATAGAAACGGGAGCGGAAACTGCAGGTGTTCACTTATTTGTCCCATATCTGGAGCAAAAATCAATACAGCAAATAAGATTGGTATTCACTGTTGTTGTTGCTTTCAGCCCATAAAAAATATATAATTGATTATATGTCTCCCCCCCCCCAATTTGGATTGTGTTTCCTTTGCATTATAAACGAATGGGGGTGGACGACAACATAACTTACGTAACCTGCAAAATTAATTATGCAAATTACGTAAGCTACATAATTTCACCGCAACAAACTGAGAGACAAATGACATAATTTGGGGCAGTGGAAGATGAATTGCAGTGGGGGGACAGGACAGCAGGGCAGAACAGAAAATCATCCATTTTTACATTCTTAGGCAGCAGGCAATTCTTCACTGACTATCACATATTAGTGAATAATCAACGTGGAGTGAGAACTCACCGTATCATTTTCAGAAATGACAGTGATGGGCAGTCTCAGGTAGTTTTGAGTTGCTGAGCTTTTAGCTGTGAACGTTGCGGTGCTGAAAGAACATTAGGTAATGATGAACAGAGTGCATTTTTTTGGGGGGTAAGGAGTGGCGCTGTGGGTTAAACCACAGAGCCTAGGACTTGCCGATCAGAAGGTCGGCGGTTCGAATCCCCTCGATGGGGTGAGCTCCTGTTGCTTGGTCCCTCCTCCTGCCAACCTAGCAGTTCGACAGCACGTCAAAGTGCAAGTAGATAAATAGGTACCACTCCGGCGGGAAGGTAAACAGCATTTCCGTGCGCTGCTCTGGTTCGCCAGAAGCGGCTTAGTCATGCTGGCCCCATGACCTGGAAGCTGTAAGCCGGCTCCCTCAGCCAATAAAGCGAGATGAACGCTGCAACCCCAGAGTCGGTCATGACTGGATCTAATGGTCAGGGGTCCCTTTACCTTTACCTTAAGGAGTGTAGATGAGAAGGGGTAGTTCAGCATAGCTATCAACAACCTGGCAACCTCCAGGTATTTTGGACTATAACTCTCCATGCTGGCTGTGGCGAATGGAGGCTGCAGCCATAAACATCTGGAGGGCCTTTCCTTGCCAAGGGAATCCATAAGTCTTGGCACCAGCTCCCACCCCCCCTTAGCCAGGTAAGAGCCATTGCTCATCAGCAGAGCATTCACTCTGCATGGGCGAAACCTGTGGTCCCATCCCTGGCATCTCCTGGCAGGGCTGGGAATATTTCCTGCCTGAAACCCAGGAGAGCCACCGTGGGTCAGGGCAGCCAGTATTGACCTGGACTGGCCATTGGCCTGACGCTGTATGAGGCAGCTTCCTATGGCCCTAAAGTGCATCGAGGGAAAAGCTGTGTCTCAGCGATAGAGCAGTTGCTTTGCATTCAGAAGGTCCCAGGCTCAATCATCTTCAGGTTGGGCTGGAAAAGAAACCTTGGAGATCTGCTGCCAGCCAGTGTAGCAATACTGAACTGGATGGACTGATGGTCTGATTTGGGATACAGCTGTCGGACTTGCGTTCGACTGAGCGACTCTTCCGGTTGAGTCCTCCGATGTGATTAATGACCTGAGCCTTTGATGAGGATCTAAGCACGTTCCCCCATTACACAGAGTATCCAGCACGCAGGGAAGGACGAGAAATATGAGCTACATCGCTATGCTTTATTTCTAGCTACGCAGACAGAAAAGAAATATACATGCTCTCTCTGTGAAAGCAGAGAGCAACTGGAAAACAAAGGAACAGGAAACCAGTAACATCCCATCCATCTCCTGTCTTCCGTGAGACTTCCAACAGCCTGGAATCTCTGGTATGCAAAACAGAGTCTTGTGACTCCAAGCACTGCACAGTGGCACAAACATAAACCAACAACAGCAACCTGTAACCTGTTTGTGCCCATCTGTCAGGGAATATCTGAAGGGGACGAGATTGAAGAGGAACGGTGGCAGGGCCGGATTTAGGTTTGATGAGGCCCTAAGCTACTGAAGGTAATGGGGCCCTTTATATGTCCAGCTGTCCTTTGTCAACAACAAAGTGTCACTGTTTTTTGTGTTGAATATATTGCTATATGGTAATTTATGGACCTAACAGGTATCTAAAGCCATTTGCTCATGTTGCCATGCAACTGGTCCATGCAGAATGTAGGCACCATATATACAGAAATGAGCAAACCAGTGATATTTTAGGGAGCAGGCCAGCAGGCGGGGCCCATTCCTTACGTCATAGGAGCCTACACAACACAAAACAGTGTTGCTGTATGTAGGTTTTGTTTTTGTTTTTTATCTTATATTTTGTAAATGTACATCCAGTTTTTTTCTTTAATTTTTTGGGGGGCCCCCCAAGAGAGTGGGGCCCTAAGCTATAGCTTGTTTAGCTTATACGTAAATCCGGCACTGAATGGTGGCGATCCACCCCCTTCTCCTGAAGCTTCCAGAGAAGAGAAAGGCAGTACAGTGGAACCTTGGTTCTTGAACTTAATCCGTTCCAGGAGTCTGACTCCTGAAACCATTCAAAAACCAAGGCGTGGCTTCCTGCACTCAAGCGGAAGCCGCACCGGATGTTCAACTTCCAAAAAACGTTCGCAAACCAGAACACTTACTTCCGGGTTTGTGGCATTCGGGAGCTGATTTGTTTGACAACTAAGCTGTTCAAGAACCAAGGTAACACCATATTAAATTACAGCAGTGGTTTGAGGAAGGTCATAGCTCAGAAGAAGGTCATAGCTCACAGGCAAACAGTTAGGAGGTGGGAGGTGTTGGGAGAAGCGGGGGGGGGGGGGGAGAGACAGAGACAGAGCAGCCAGCTGACACATCATCACTGGAGAGTGTTTCTGACCCCCCCTTCTCCCAGATCATGGCGTTCATTGAGAGTGCAAGAGCAAAGGAGTCACAGTCAATTAGCCCCTGTCAGCTCCTGTAAGGGGAAGTGCTGTTGCTAGGAAGGAAGCGGGGAGGAATTCAGTTGGAGCAACGCCATTATTGGGAGTCAGGCTGCATTCTTTTGTCTCTCGCTGTGATCACTGAATAAACTCATTTGTAAGGACTCTTCCTTGTTTTTCTCTGCTTCTTGCTGCTACTGGGGAGGGATAGAATTCCCTGAAGACTGACACCATCAAAGTTGGTCCATCTTGAGTAGGAGTCAGCAAACTTTTTCAGCAGGGGGCCGGTCCACTGTCCCTCAGACCTTGTAGGGGGCCGGACTATATATATATATATTGGGGGGGGGAATGAACAAATTCCTATGCCCCACAAATAACCCAGAGATGCATTTTAAATAAAAGGACACATTCTACTCATGTAAAAACACGCTGGTTCCTGGGACGTCTGTGCGCTGGATTTAGAAGGCGATTGGGCCGGATCTGGCCCTGGGCCTTAGTTTGCCTACCCATAGTCTTGAGACTACTGCTTCCTGCCCATAGACCTCCCAAATGTTGGCTCCTTGTCCATGGTCCCACTTCAACCTGCCTCTCCTGTTCCAGACCGTTACAGCAACGCTGTCCTACCTGGAAGTAAAGCTGCTGTTCTTCAAAGGCGCCGTGAAGGTTGCCCTGAGGACGACGCTCTCTCCCGAATTTAGGAAACTTTCCGTCGGTGTAAAGCTCTCCAGGAAACCAAAGTCGTCCCAGACTTTAAAGGAGAAGGCGGCAGCTGTCCCTTCATTCACCACCATGACAGAAACCTCCAGACTTTCGCCAGGTGCCATTGTGCCTGGATAGATAGGAGAACATGGGCAGGTACTGGCAGCTGGGCCTCGGCCCAGTATACTAGAAGGAGTGTCTCCAACCCCATCGTTCAGCCTGGGAGGACGCATTGGTTGTCAAACCATTCTGTAGCTATGTGGGGGGGGAATAGGGGGCACCTAGCAACTCTCAGCACCCGGAAGGAGAGTCTCTACCCCCATCGTTCTGCCCGGACACTGAGGTCCAGCTCCGAGAGCCTTCTGGCGGTTCCCTCCCTGCGAGAAGTGAGGTCGTAGGGAACCAGGCAGAGGGCCTTCTTGGTAGTGGCGCCCACCCTGTGGAATGCCCTCCCTTCAGATGTCAAGGAAATAAACAACCACCAGATTTTTAGAAGACATCTGAAGGCAGCCCTGTTTAGGGAAGTTTTTAATGTTTGAAGTTTTATCGTGTTTTTCATATTCTGTGGGGGCTGCCCAGAGTGGCTGGGTGGATTTCTGCCTGGACGCTGAGGTCCAGCTCTGAGGGCCTTCTGGCGGTTCCCTCCCTGCGAGAAGTGAGGTCACAGGGAACCAGGCAGAGGGCCTTCTCGGTAGTGGCGCCCACCCTGTGGAATGCCCTTCCATCAGAAGCCAAGGAAATAAACAACTATCTGACTTTTAGAAGACATCTGAAGACAGCCCAGGGAAGTTCAGGGAAGTTTTTAATGTGTGACATTTTAATCTTTGTTGGAAGATTCTTAATCTTTGTTGGAAGCCGCCCAGAGTGGCTGGGGAAACCCAGCCCGATGAGCGGGGTACAAATAATAAATTATTATTCTTATTATTCTTATTATTATCACCACCACCACCACCATCTCACCGTTGGAGGTGGCTGCTACTGGTCATGAGAGCTAATGCTTTGCCTCCATTGTTGGAGGCAGTCTGCCTTTGAATACCATACTCACTGTTTTGGTCCGGCACGGGTAGAATCTGCACGGACTCCGTGCTGATGGGGTAGCTGCTGACTCGCGAAAAGGGCAGATTCTCTGGAGACAGGCCTTCCACACTCAGCAGCGTGGTCTGGAAGGTAGAGGAGAGAGAATTATTGTTAAAGATATTTTAAAGCAGGGCAGGAGAACCTGTGGCCCTCCAGAAGTCATTGGACTACAGCTCCCATCATACCCGACCATTTCTTTTCCTAGTAGTATCATATATATTGGACGCAGGTGGTGCTGTGGTCTAAACCACAGAGCCTCTTGGGCTCAGAAGATCGGCGGTTCGAATCCCCGCAACGGGGTGAGCTCCCGTTGTTCTGTCCCAGCTCCTGCCAACCTAGCAGTTCGAAAGCACGTCAAAGTGCAAGTAGATAAATAGGTACCACTCTGGCGGGAAGGTAAACGGCGTTTCTGTGCGCTGCTCTGGTTCGCCAGAAGTGGCTTAGTCATGCTGGCCACATGACCCGGAAAAATTGTCTGCGGACAAACACCGGCTCCCTCAGCCAGTAAAGCGAGATGAGCGTCACAACCCCAGAGTCGTTCATGACTGGACATAACGGTCAGGGGTCCCTTTACCTTTTTATCATATATATGTATGTGTGTGTGTGTATAGGACCCCTGAATGGTTAAGTCCAATCAAAGGCGACTATGAGGTTGAGGCGCTCATCTTGCTTTCAGGCTAAGGGAGCCGGCCTTAGTCTACAGACAGCTTTCTGGGTCATGTGACTAGCATCACTAAACCGCTACTGAGACACTGTGATGGAAACTAGAGCGCACGGAAATGCCGTTTACCTTCCTGCCGCAGAGGTACCTATTTATCTACTTGCACTGGCGTGCTTTCGAACTGCTAGGTTGGCAGGAGCTGGGACAGAGCAACAGGAGTTCACCCCGTCGCGGGAATTTGAACCTCCAACCTTCTGATCGGCAAGCCCAAGAGGCTCAGTGGTTTAGACCACAGCGCCACCCGTGTCCTGACATTTGTCTCCGGGTTAGTCCAGGAAGGTCTTGGTAGTAACATAGTAGGAGTACTGGAAAGCTGCATTTGGTTCTGCACCTGAGGTCCTGCCCTTGCCCAATGGTAGAGCCGGCCCTGCAACTGGCACCAGTCTTTAGCAAATGACATGAGGAAAGGCTACTTACCGGAGTGTGCAAGAAAACAGGGGCAATAGCCAGGACATTGCCAAGGGCATCAGAGGTCTGGTTCAAAGTGATGGAGTCTAGGGGGTTCCCCAATCCAGAAATAGGGATCAGGCGCTGGACCCAGGCACCTTTAGCCCCACCCACCAGCCTCAGCGAGACAGTATAGTTGGAGCCTGGAACAAAGATGCAGGAACTCAGAAGAACATCCTTGGGAATCCGCACCTATCACTTCAGTATCTCCACTGAGCTCATCCAGACCAAGGGTCACTGGGAGATATTTGGACTATATGGAACTTGCCAAACTGACTGGGAGACTCCGAGACCAGACAGAAGAGACGGTGGAAGAAGATTGGAAGAAGTTTAAAGAATATTTGAAAAAACATGTTAATATTTAAATCTTAGAATAGCTTTGGAAGTGGACATAGGCTGTAGAAGAGAATAGGATTATTTGTCAGTGATAAAACGTGAAGATTTTTATGGTAAAACTAAGTGATAAAAAATGGTTAAAAATTGTGATATATGAAACTGCTAAAGATGAGGTAAAATGAAAATCAGATAGGGGGGACTTGGGGAAGCTCACCTAACAATGTTTAGAAAAAATAAGGATAAGCCAAGAATTTGTTTGCATTGTTAGTTTTTCTGTTTGTATTGTTTATTTTTGTTATAAAATGAATTTTTTTTTTCAGGGGGGGAAAGTATCACTGGGAGATAGCACCTCCCATGGGTGCTCCAGCAAGAACATCATGGCAAAAGGAGACACCAACCTGCCCCCCATCCCCATCCCTTTAAGCCTGCAAACAGGGAACCTGCATAACTGGGGGAGAGGGGATGAGCGGGTTAAACTACAGCTCAGTGTAATGCAGATGAACACCCAAAAATGAGTGCATGGGACATGGCAAACATGCTGCGAATGACAGGTGTGGAAGTGTCCTTAACAGGCATGCCAGCTGCCCCCCCCGAAGTTCTTAAGGACGGGGCTGGGCCCCCCCTCAATATCGAGCAGTAACGTTGTGCATACTTAGGGTTGCCATATTATTTCAACTTTGGGCCAATGTTGTTGAGCTTGTTTTGCAAAATCTCCCCCACCCATCCCAAAAAATGAAGTTTTTGAGGAAAATCGGGGGGGATAAACACTTTAGACATGGGTTGCCATTGGAGTTGCCACATTATTGCCATATTCCAAAAGGTGAAAATCCAGACACAAAAGTTGTTGAGCTTTCGTTGGCCAAAGTTGTTGAGTTCTTGAGCTATTTTTAATGAAAACCGCCAGAATCTACACTATTGATCTGAGCTGCCATACGTCCGGATTTCCCTGGACGTTTCAGCAATTTCCACCCGGACGCTGTTTACGAGGGCTGAATCCTGGACGTACGGCAGCCCTACGCATGCTACATTGGCATATGGCGTGACGTCGGCCCCCCTCAAGAGCGGAGGAAGCCAGAGCCTCTGGCCCTTACTATCTGTACAACTCTTTAGGTGCTTTGTAAGCCTTAAACAGGGATGCGGGTGGCGCTGTGGGTTAAATCACAGAGCCTAGGACTTGCCGATCAGAAGGTCGGCGGTTCGAATCCCCGCGACGGGGTGAGCTCCCGTTGCTCGGTCCCTGCTCCTGCCAACCTAGCAGTTCGAGAGAACGTAAAAGTGCAAGTAGATAAATAGGTACTGCTCTGGCAGGAAGGTAAATGGAGTTTCCATGCGCTGCTCTGGTTCGCCAGAAGCGGCTTAGTCATGCTGGCCACATGACCCGGAAGCTATACGCCGGCTCCCTTGGCCAATAAAGGGTAAAGCGTCAGGGGTCCCTTTACCCTTTTTAAGCCTTAAACAACAACATCAGATACTCCTGCCCTCAGTATGGCTGCTTCAAATCCCCCCAAACTTACCTTTCACAGGTTTTCCCTGGACCGGAAGCACATACTCTTTCTGTTTCTGCATGATCTGGTAGGATATGTCTAGCAAGCTCTTGCCTCCGATTTCCACCTCGTAGGAGCCGCTGGGAGAGACAGTCACAGTCCACATGCCCCGCTCAGGGATGGGGGACACCTTCACAATCTTGTGGCTGGCTGTGTTGATCACTGTGTGAGTGGATGGCGAGACACCTGCCACAGGATGACACAAAGACAGACAAGGTTGCAGGAGGGGCAGAGCAGGGGTGGGGAATGTCAGGCCCGGTGGACAAATGCAGTCCTCCTTGTTTGTCCCTCTCCACGGTCAATAACCTCTCTTCTGGCCACACTCTTTACTGCCCCTGCTTCACACCCTCAATAAATGCAAGTTCTCCAAGCCCTGTTGAAGACTATGTACCGTATTTTTCGCTCTATAAGATGCACCAGACCACAAGAAAAAAAATATTCTGAATCTCAGAAGCCAGAACAGCAAGAGGGATCGCTGTGCAGTGAAAGTAGCAATCCCTCTTGTTGTTCTGGCTTCTGGGATAGCTGTGCAGCCTGCATTCGCTCCATAAGACGCACACACATTTCCCCTTACTTTTTAGGAGGGAAAAAGTGAGTCTTATAGAGCAAAAAATACGGTATATTTGACTGGGAAGTATGCACATTCTCCATGAGGGCTGGTGAATGTGCACCACAGCTGGTTGTTATGCTCAACATACCTTCCCCTTAACATACATTTGTTGTATTATGCTTTGGGGGGGTCCCCCCATGAAATTGAGAAAATATTAATTAGTTAATAATAAAATAATAAAAAATTAATTGATTAATAAAAAGAAAACCCTGCAGCAAACAAACGTGAGTTCTTTAAAAAATAAATACAGTGTTATGTTCTCCTCCTCTCTCTCCTTTCTTTTTTTTTTTTAACAAAATGATAATAATTTTTTTTTCCAGGTTTCCCTTAAATCCAAAGAGCCAGTTTGATTTAAAGATCCCAGTATGATTCAGGTGGCTAGAGTGGCTAGAGCAGGCATCCCCAAACTCGGCCCTCCAGCTGTTTTGGGACTACAACTCCCATCATCCCTAACTAACAGGACCAGTGGTCAGGGATGGTGGGAATTGTAGTCCCAAAACACCTGGCGGGAAGAGTTTGGGGATGCCTGGGCTAGAGTGTCAGACTTGCACTGGAGGCACGCAGGTTCAAATTCCCTATTGTGCACCTAGGTATTCCCTTTCTTGATGTCCAGGGCAAGCGTCACAGGTTGTTGCTGGGGGCTGGAGCAGCTGCTGTCTGGTGGGACCACCGCCAGCCCCCAGAGTGGCTGGGGTAAATCCAGTGTATATAATAAAATTGTATAATAAAATAAATAAATAAAATAAAATAAAATAAAATCCGGTGTAAATAATAAAATTATTATTATGGAATAAGACGTCCCTATTTTCATCAGAGATATGTTGGAGGATATGCCTTCCTTGAGTACCCACCCCTCTTGCCTAAATGTTCTTGAACTCGGATCATGCCCCTCATTTCCCTGGGTGGTTGATAGAGATGTAGGCCTGTGAATGTGTGTAGAAGCTCTCTTAACTGCACAACGGTAACATTTACTGCCAATGCTCTCCTCTTGCTTTGCCTGTCGCTGACGTGGGGTCCCTGGACGGTAGCCCAAAAGCCCAAAACACAGCCCTCAGGCCAAAAAGTGTTCACCATTATTTGTGTAGAGGATGAGATGGCAAACCACACAAGACTCTCCACAATTTTCATTCCCCCCACCATACTTTTGCAGGAAAGCTCTCTGCTTCATTCTCTGAACAAGCTGTACCTGAAGGTTGCCTCACAGTAATGGTGAAATCCAAAGAGTGCAAGCTCTTGACGGAGACTGTGATTTCTGTGAGGGTCTCATCCACAGGGAAGGAGCACTGAGACCCATCCAATTGCTTATGGGCCACCGTAACCGGGGCAGCATTCAGAGACAGCTCCATGATGCCCAAGACCTGGTCGAGTTCGCCTTTGGTGGTCATCACATAGAAGCCTCCGGAATAAGCAGCTAGTTCTTCATAGATGTTAGCATAACTTCTCCCAGAAGCCTCTTCGGCAGCACCTGTGGAGAGAAAGGATGGGTTTTTGTCTCAAAACCTGGCCTCCTCCTCTTCTGTGTTCACAGGAGGAAAGGAAAACCACAGTGGGTGTTTTGGCAGCAGTTGCTTATAAGGTTCGCCTGTCTAACGCCAGTGTACTGGAAGAAGCAAAGATCACCAGTGTAGAAGCAATGATTCTTCAACATCAACTTCGCTGGACTGGTCATGTTGTGCAGATGCTTGATGATCATGTTCCAAAGCAACTACTCTATTCCGAACTTAAAAATGGAAAGTGTAATGCTGGTGGTCAACAAAAGAGGTTTAAAGATTCTCTTGAGGCAAATCTTAAAAATTGTCTAAAAAAACACTGGCCTGTGAGCGCTCCAATTGGAGAACAGTCTTTACCAAAGGTGTCATGGGCTTCGAAGACACTCAAACTCAGGACGAGAAATGCGCTAAGAGGAAGGCACGTTTGGCAAACCCTCACTGTGATCAACTCCCACCTGGAAACCAATGTGGATCCAGAATTGGCCTCCACAGTCACTTATGGACTCATTGTTAAAACTGTGTTTATGGAAGACCATCATACTTGGCTACGAATGATCACCAGAGAAGAATTATATTGGCATAAGTCGGGAGGTGGGCCTGCTGATTTCTCAAGGATCCCACCCTTCTATTTGTGGAACACTCTCCCACCAATGAAAATGCCCTCTTTCTCATTGCTTGCCAAGAGCTATACATACTTCTGCGTTTCCGGCTAGAGCAATACCCTGTGAGAATATAATCCACTTCAGACCCGGATGAATCAAGTAGGACCTGGACTTCATCTTTCAGGTGCTCATCTTTGGCTCCAGCATCAGTAAAGGTGTAGATCTTGGACCTTTGTGCAAGGAAGAGAACAAATCAGGAAGCTAACTAGAGTTTTCCATTTTGACCGAACCGATGGTTAATGCCTTCTGAAGAAGTCAGGATATCAAACCCTAGTTCAAAGTAGGTGTAATACCAGGGCGTGTTCCAAAGCGAATAGAGAGAGCGGTTTTTCTACCCGTCGGAGGGGTCCCACCCTGATACCAGAACAAGAGACCATCAAACAAAGCTGAACGTTGGGGCATGAAGGACTTCTTCATGCTGTGCATAGCTAAACCATGGAATTCTCTACAACAAAGAGGTAGTGTTCAAAGGAGATTAGAGAAATTCCTGAGGCTATTGGAGGCTGATAGCAGTGATTCAGGATCAGAGGAAGGGCTAATGCGCCCATGTCTTGTGTCTGGACTTCCCATAGTCCAGCAGTGAGATGCTGGACTAGATCGGCCTCTGGTCTGATCCAGTAGACCTCTTCTTATGTTCTAGAGGTTAATGGGAAATTAACTGGTTCATTTTCTGGTTCACATAAAGTGGTTGTGCGCATGTTCATGAGGCTCCTTCCTACCGCAGCTTATTTAACGGAGGTATGATCGTTGGAACATGGCCACTCAATACATACTTGGGCACCATTGTTGTTGGGGGCAGGTGGGGGAGGACTGGAGTTTTGATGGCTTAACTGGTGGTGGTGGGGATTTGAAAGAATAGAGGTGACCACAAGGAGATGACCTGGGAAGAAGTTCCAGGTCGCAAGGGAGAATGAGTGGAGTGACTTCTAGGTACTCAAGCAAAGGTACTAGGAATGGAGGAATGAAGGTAACGGGAATATTTATGTTAGGAATAAGGCGGGAAAGGCCAGGTCTATTACCTTGGCAAGCTGTGTTCCAAAGCCAACTTCAGGCCACTCAAAGACATTTCTGGGCAGTCACCGCCACCCGTAGGTCTGAGGTTAGAGATCAAGGTCTTAAGCTCATCCGCATCCTGAGTCACTTGGACTGGGCCAACATCTGCAGGGATAGATATGAGAGGGACTGAGTATCTGCAGTGGAGAGCTGGCAGGCAGAGACATACCTTAAGCTGGGTCACGTAGGGTATGTCATTTTTTGGGGTGAAACTTACTTTCGGCAAATTTCTTCAGCGAGGGGTCTTAAAATACGGGTTTTTTTGGGGGGGGTGTGTGTGAGAAGAATTCAAACCTGATATTATTTTTGTGATTAGTCAATGTTTAGCTTGGTCAATGTACCGTATTTTTCGCTCTATAGGACGCACTTTTCCCCCTCCAAAAATTAAGGGGAAATGTGTGTGCGTCCTTTGGAGCGAATGCAAGCTCCTTGGCTTCAGCGATAGCAACGCGAAGCCTCCGAAGCGCAAAGGGAGCACTCCCTCTGCGCTCCGGAGGCTTCACGTTGCTTTCGCTGAAGCCTGGAGAGCGAGAGGGATCGGTGCGCACCGACCCCTCTCGCTCTCCAGGCTTCAGGGATAGCTGCCTGAAGCCTCCGGAGTGCAGCGCGAGGTCCCGCTGTGCTTTGGAGGCTTTGGGTTCTTTTTGCTGAAGCCAGGAGAGCAAGACTTTCCTGGCTTCAGCAGAAAGGGAGAGCTGCGCAGCGCCCCTTCAGCAAAGTGGGAGGATAAATGGAAGGGGCTCCGTTTCTCCTGCTGCTTCGCTGAAGGGGCGCTGAGCAGAGAGGGGGAGATTTTTTTTTTCTTGTTCTCCCCCTCTAAAACAAGGTGCGTCCTATAGAGCGAAAAATATGGTACGTCTAGTGAAGAAGGACATAAAATGCTTTGGGGAAACCACAGAATTCTAATGTTGCCTTCTGAAAATGTCAGGTAATGCTACATAACAACAGCAACAAACAACAAACAATATAAATACATAATATATAACTGCAAGTACTTGGCAGTCATTTTTAACTATTCCTATGCAATTTTACACTTATTTTACATACCAAGCGGAACAGAATTATGGGAATGACCATTTTGTGTGCAACCAAGGCATGCGTGACCATTTATGGTCCTGGAATGGGGCAGGGAGGGGGCAGAATGGGGTGGGGTGGGCTTACGCTGCACCGACATGCATGATGACCCAGAACGTAACCCCCACACAAATGGGGGAGTTGCCTGTATATTAATTTAACCAAAATATCATTTGAAGTCACTTAACAAAAGAACAGGTGAGCAACAATGTTATTTGGATTCTCCGAAAAAAAGCAGAGCAAAGGAAGGCAGGCAATTTCAGACTAAGCAGACTTAGCGTGGGAAGAACCAGTTCTGCCTTTTTGCCCTCTCACCTGGATCGTTGAAAGGCACAAGAATGTAGTTAAAGGGTTTATCCGGGGAGTTGGAAAATTCCTGGAGGAGGTTGATGCAGGTGGTTATGACATGGTGGATATCCTCCGACATGCTGCCAGTTGTGTCTATTACAAAGGTGAGCGAATAGCCTTCCAAGTTGAAAAACCTCTTAAAGGTATCACTGCCCACCTGGTCCAGCAGGCCGTACCCTGAAAAACAACAGCAATGGAGTAAAAACAGGTTATGCTTATCCACTTTTCCTTAGGACCTCCCTATTTTCATTGGACAATACCTTGTCTCAGACTGGCATGGTGGATGGTGACATGGTCTTTATGGGCAAAAGAACAAAAGCGATAGGTCCAGGGTGAGGAATCGGTCCATGGGCCTATTTGTTTATCTATTTCCCACCCTTCACTGTAAGGTCTCAGGGCAAGTCACAACAGTTCAAAACGCTACGCGAAGAAACAGTTTAAAACAATTACAGGAACAAGGTGGTGTCTAATGATCCATGTCTATATCATGTGTCACAAGCGTGCCTTCAGAGCACAACAAACACCATACGATGAAGGTGTGTGATGCACCTCTGTGGGGAGGGAGTCCCATAATTTAATGACAGCCACAGCCAAAACAAATCACAAGAGCTAAAACCACCACAAGGGTTGCAACTATATCAAGGTCATAAAAGGCCTGGAAGAAGAAAAAGGTATTATTTATCCCTGTGCTGAAAGGTCAATGAACCATACCATCTCCTACAAAGAAGTCCCTTGTGGCTTGTATGGCCAGTTCAGCTGCTTGTTGATGCAACTGATAGTGCGGGGAGAGCCGGGGGTCAGTTGTCTCCTTGTTGATCCCCCCCGTGGTAGGGAACATTTCGGCCGGGTCATTTCTTCCTCCATGTCCACATTTGCCTACAGAAAGAATATAGGAAAGAGAATGAAGGAGACATAAGTGAGAGCCAGTGTGGTGTAGTGGTTAAGAGCGGTGGACTGGTAATCTGGTGAACCGGGTTCGCTTCCCCGCTCCTCCACATGCAGCTGCTGGGTGACCTTGGGCCAGTCACACTTCTCTGAAGTCTCTCAGCCCCACTCACCTCACAGAGTGTTTGTTGTGGGGGAGGAAGGGAAAGGAGAATGTTAGCTGCTTTGAGACTCCTTCGGGTAGTGATAAAGCAGGATATCAAATCCAAACTCTTCTTCTTCATAAGAGCCAGTGCAGCGTAATAGTTAGAGTGTTGAACTGGGACCTGGGAGAGCAGGGTTCGAATCCTTACTCAGTCATGAAGCTCACTGGGTGACCTTGGACCAGCCACTGTCTCTCAGCCTAGTCTACCTCACAGGGTTGCTGTGAGAATGAAATGGGGAGGAGGAGAACCATGTACACTATCTTGAGATCCTTCGAAAATAAAGGTGATATATAAATGTAAAGGAGGAGGAGGAGGAGGAGGAGAAGAATTGCTAGGCTGCATCATTTAAGTTAACAGATTGAGGTCGAATCCTGACAAGACAGAAGTACTGTTTTGGGGGGACAGGAGGCGGGTGGGTGTGGAGGACTCCCTGGTCCTGAATGGGGTAACTGTGCCCCTGAAGGACCAGGTGCGCAGCCTGGGAGTCATTCTGGACTCACAGCTGTCCATGGAGGCGCAGGTCAGTTCTGTGTCCCGGGCAGCTGTTTACCAGCTCCACCTGGTACGCAGGCTGAGACCCTACCTGCCCGCAGACTGTTTTGCCAGAGTGGTGCATGCTCTGGTTATCTATCGCTTAGACTACTGCAATGCGCTCTCTGTGGGGCTACCTTTGAAGGTGACCCGGAAACTACAACTAATCCAGAATGCGGCAGCTAGACTGGTGACTGGGAGCTGCCGCCGAGACCATATAACACCGGTCTTGAAAGACCTACACTGGCTCCCAGTACGTTTCCGAGCACAATTCAAAGTGTTGATGCTGACCTTTAAAGCCCTAAATGGCCTCGGTCCAGTATACCTGAAGGAACGTCTCTACCTCCATCATTCTGCCCGGAAACTGAGGTCCAGTGCTGAGGGCCTTCTGGCGGTTCCCTCGCTGCGAGAAGCCAAGTTACAGGGAACCAGGCAGAGGGCCTTCTTGGTAGTAGCGCCTGCCCTGTGGAACGCCCTCCCACCAGATGTCAAAGAGAAAAACAGCTACCAGACTTTTAGAAGACATCTGAAGGCAGCCCTGTTTAGGGAAGCTTTTAATGTTTAATAGGTTATTGTATTTTAGTGTCTTGTTGGAAGCCGCCCAGAGTGGCTGGGGAAACCCAGCCAGATGGGCGGGGTATAAATAATAAATTACTATTACTATTGTTACTATTATTATTATTATTTAGGGATACACAGTTGTGAGGGTCATCAGCTTCAGTTATGGGAATGAGGTGGACATTTTAGTCTTCACATCAGTGGTGGGGAATCGGTGGCTCTCCAGAAGTTGTTGCTGGACACAAGCCTTGACCACTGGCCATGCTGACTGGGCAGCAAACAAACTCCTTTAGCCAGGGAGTCACCACCGAGAAGTCCTTATCTCTTAGTCAGCATGTAGGAGGTAGGTGCAGACATGCAATGAACTCAGAAGTTGCCTTTCTCGTGTCCACCTATCCTCCATGCATTTTTCAATGGCATGAAAAGAAAATGAAAATGCTCAACAACTGACAGGAAATCCCAGCGACAATCGCTGGTCTTACCTTTTGGTTTACGCCTGCATGATGCTGACAACTTGTACCCGCTTGTGAGCAGGTCGTTCACTAGGATGTTTCCATCGCACACAAACTGGTTGCTGTTAAACAGAGAACGTGGAAGTTGGTAAATGCGCTGCTTAGAAATAAATTTACCATTTGAAGGCTGCTCCCCACTTACACAACTTATGCGCGAGGGGCAATCTGAGGTGCTACGGAGCAACACAAATCAGTGGCACTCCTCTGTTGTTTTCTGCCTGCATGGCCACAATAGAACAAGCATCCGTTTCTCCCTCTCAACCATCACCCAAGCGTGCCCATGGTTTCTTACCTTGCATCTTTGCTGCAGTCGCGACAGGTTTCCTTAGAAGCAGGAGCAACGGGGAAAGCAGGACTGGCTGGGTTTACTGTAGGGCAAACATAATGGGAGAAAAAAAATCCTATTTTAGTCTGTGTACATACCATACGGGGACGCAGTGGGTTAAACCACAGAGCCTAGGGCTTGCCGATCAGAAGGTCGGCGGTTCGAATCCCCGCGACGGGGTGAGCTCCTGTTGCTCGGTCCCAGCTCCTGCCCACCTAGCAGTTCAAAAGCACGTCAAAGTGCAAGCAGATAAATACCGGTAGGTACCACTCCAGCGGGGAGGTAAACAGCGTTTCTGTGCACTGCTCTGGTTCGCCAGAAGCGGCTTAGTCATGCTGGCCACATGACCCAGAAGCTGTACGCTGGTTCCCTCGGCCAGTAAAGCGAGATGAGCGCCGCAACCCCAGAGTCGGCCACGACTGGACCTAATGGTCAGGGGTCCCTTTACCTTTACATACCATACAGTCAAAGCACATGTGTGTCTCCCCCCAAAAAAGAATATTGGGAACTGTAGTTTGCCAAGGGCGCTGGGAGTTGTAGCTCTGTGGTGAGTAAACTGCAGTTCTCAGGATTCTTTGGAGAGGGGGAATGTGCTTTAAATATATGGCGGGTACACAGCTTTAGACTCAGTTGAATTCCATGTAAACCTGACAATCGGCAGCTTGGGCAGGTTTATGATAATTCTATATGGTGATCTGAGAGCATGAGTGGAAAGAAGGGATGTCCGTTTTAAAAACCAGGTAGATAAAAAAAGAAATGCAAAAGGTGCTTTGGATCAGTCTTGCAGATCCCCACTGACTCTCTTGAATGTATTTGCCTAGTTTTGCATATGATCAAGCTCACTCATCCGGTCAGGGACAAATAAAGTCATAAAAGAACGCAAAAAATGAGGAATTCTACCATAATTGCAATAAATTCTTTATTTTTAAACAAATGATCTATATAATAAAAAATACGAAATTGGAGATATTTATATTAGGATGCAATGAAACCTTTCAAATGACTTGATATTGGATTTCTTATACTGATTATGTATAGCATTGTTTGGGGACCTGGAAGGCAAATGGATGAACCATGGCATGCTTCTATATTTCTTTGACGTAATACAGTCGTACCTTGGTTGTCGAACGCCTTGGTATGCGTACGTTTCGGCTCCCGAACGATCGAAACCCGGAAGTGAGTGTTCCGGTTTTTGAACGCTTTGTTGGAAGCCAAATGTCTGACTTGGCTTCTGCAGCTTCCGATTGGCTGCAGGAACTTCCTGCAGCCAATCAGAAGCTGCGCTTTGGTTTCCAAACGTTTTGGAAGTCAAACGGTCTTCTGGAATGGCTTCCAAGGTACTGATGTACTTCTTATGTTTAACTTTGAAAACAAGAGAGAGTTTTGCAGATCCATTTTGACTTACAGAGGTGATCGTAAGTTCCACCTTTCCCCAGCTCAGGCCAGTTGGTGTTACTGTAGAATTGTTGAAGGATGTGCAGAGCTTGTCCAGCACTTTGTCGAGCCGATTCCAAATCCGATGAACTCACGGGTTCCTTTAAGCTACTTAGCATGGAGTCCCTCAGGTTTCGCATCTGCGTTATACCTGGGAATAGATAACACAGGAGAACCTTTTATATCCCTGTTCCTCCTCTGAATTCTTAACTTCTAAACTGGAGAAATGTCAAGTCTCAAGCCTAACTGGAAGCCATGCACTCTTCCCTGGAATGAATTTCTCTAGGGATTCTCCAGGTATGGTTAGATTCCAGCTCCCATGGCGCTGTGGTCTAAACCACTGAGCCTCTTGGTCTTGCTGATGAGAAGGTTGGCGGTTTGAATCCCCGTGACAGGGTGAGCTCCCGTTGCTCTGTCCCAGCTCCTGCCAACCTAGCAGTTCGAAAGCACACCAGTGCAAGTAGATAAATAGGTACCGCTCCGGCGGGAAGGTAAACGGCGTTTCCATGCGCTCTGGCTTCCATCACGGTGCCCCGTTGCACCAGAAGCGCTTTAGTCATGCTGGCCACATGACCCAGAAAGCTGTCTGCGGACAAACACTGGCTCTCTTGGCCTGAAGGTGAGATGAGCGCCACAACCCCATAGTTGCATTTGACTGGATTTAAGTGTCCAGGGGTCCTTTACCTTTTTACCTTTTTGTTTTTATGTGTTACAAGCCTCCCAGAGTGGTTGGGGGAACCCAGCCAGATGGGCAGGGTATAAATGATAAAATTCTTGTTGTTGCTGTTACTGGAGATGATAATATCCAGAACATCTGGAGGGCCAGAAGCTTCCTAACCTGAGTTAGGCAAACCAAATCTTCTGTAAGTAGTGGCCTGGTAAATCTGAAGAAGCATCTCCACCTCCATCACTCAACCCGGACACTGAGTGGGCCTTCGCGGTAGTGGCCCCCTCCCTTTGGAACGTCCTCCCGTCAGATGTCAAGGAGATAAAGAACTACACAACTTTTAGATGACATCTGAAGGCAGCCCTGTACAGTGGTACCTCGGGTTAAGAACTTAATTCGTTCTGGAGGTCCGTTCTTAACCTGAAACTGTTCTTAACCTGAGGTACCACCTTAGCTAATGGGGCCTCCCACTGCTGCTGCTGCTGCGGTGCCGGAGCACGATTTCTGTTCTCATCCTGAGGTAAAGTTCTTAACCTGAGGTACTATTTCTGGGTTAGCGGAGTCTGTAACCTGAAGCGTCTGTAACGTGAAGCATCTGTAACCCGAGGCACCACTGTATAGGGAAGTTTTTAATGCTTGATGTTTTACTATTTTTTTTCTATATGTTGTAAGCCACCCAGAGTGGCTGGTGAAATCCAGCAGATGGGCAGGGAATAATAATAACAATAATAATAATAATAAAAAAAAAAATAAAAAAAAAATATATATATACAGATAAACTAAGCATGAGCTCTAAAAATATGGACTGTTGTAGATAGCATGGCTAATTAAGTACCTTTCACCTGTGCTAGCAAGTAGTTCAGTGTTTCTCTTAAATCAAGAACAGTTCCCCACATCACCCCAAACACAGCTCCACCCCCCTCTCCCCCAAGGCACAGCTCCCCCTTACTTGGGGCAATCTTTTCACAGTGGAAGAAGTAGTTACTGTTTTCAGCGTAGTTGACCTCCACTTGATTATTTGCAGAGATGAGTTCCTGTATGGCTTTGACTAATCGATTGGGAGAGACGTCAGCTGTGCGAGAAAAAAAGGGGACAGGTGTCACAAAAGCTTACCATATTTACCAGTATGTATGCTACTACTGCAGGGACGCGGGTGGCGCTGTGGGTTAAACCGCAGAGCCTAGGACTTGCCGATCAGAAGGTTGGCGGTTCGAATCCCCACTACGGGGTGAGCTCCTGTTGCTCGGTCCCTGCTCCTGCCAACCCAGCAGTTTGAAAGCACGTCAAAGTGCAAGTAGATAAATAGGCACCGCTCCGGCGGGAAGGTAAACGGCGTTTCCGTGTGCTGCTCTGGTTCGCCAGAAGCTGCTTAGTCATGGTGGCCACATGACCCGGAAGCTGTACACTGGCTCCCACGGCCAATAAAGCGAGATGAGCGCCACAACCCCAGAGCTGGCCACTACTGGACCTAATGGTCAGGGGTCCCTTTACCCTTTTTATGCTATAACTGCAGTCCGTGTTTTGTTAGCCCCAAAATGGAAAACGAGCGAGGTCCGAATTGGAGAAGAATGGCAACTTAAGTTGACAGAATAAGCACAACTCTCAGACTTAACATATAGAATAAGAGAACAAGAAGGACATACGTTCAAAGAATATTGGAAAACGTTTATTGAATATATGGGAAATAGTTGTGTACACAGCGGAAAATGCTGGCAGTATGAAGATAAATTCAACAGTGTCAACAAGTTTTGACGGATGCAATAACGGAATACTGAATGGTGTAGTTTTTGTAAAACATGCAGGGATTTATGATATGCAAAACGAACCATGGGAAGAGAAGAAGAGAAGCCACTGATATCTTAAGGATTTAAAACGAGTATGTGAAATTGTAAAATGGAAAATTTAATAAACAATTATATATAAAGAAAAAGAAAACAGGGACAGATTGCATGACTGGTTTTCGAACCCTGAAATCCATACAAAAAAATGGAAGTGCTTTTTTAAAACAGCCCCAGCACCGACTTATGCAAAAGTTGGGGTGGGCAAGCTGTGTCCCCTCCAGGCGCTCATGAACCTCAGCCTAATTTCATGTGGGTGGTGAGGAGCTGGCGGGGTGGGGAACAAGTGAAAAGAGGCAAGAAGAAAAAGAAGAGTTTGGATTTGATATCCCACTTTATCACTACCCGAAGGAGTCTCAAAGCGGCTAACATTCTCCTTTCCCTTCCTCCCCCACAACAAACACTCTGTGAGGTGAGTGGGGCTGAGAGACTTCAGAGAAGTGTGACTGGCCCAAGGTCACCCAGCAGCTGCATGTGGAGGAGCGGGGAAGCGAACCCGGTTCACCAGATTACGAGACTACCGCTCTTAACCACTACACCACACTGGCTCTCAAGACTTGCTCTTCTCGGAAGCAAGACGAGTTACCGACGATTGAAGAATGGAGGATGACGTTAATGGACTATGCAGAATTAGATAAACTAACAGGAAGGATTCGAAACCGACGAGACCAGAAATTCATGGAAGACTGGAGTAAATTTATGGACTATTTGAAAAGTAATTGTGAAGAACAGGCGACGTTCGTAGGGTTGCAAGAAGTTTTGTGAGGAGTATTATTAGACGTGTTGTAAAAATGGAGAAGGATGATTTGTTAAGAGATGTAAAGGCAATATAAAGTTAAGAAATGCCTAAGAAGTGGTTAAAACGGTGGATCATCAGAGGTGCTGATGGAAGCCCAAAAAGATTGTAGAAGTGATAAGTTTTGTGGTACGTTTTATAATTTATATGTTAAAATTAATAAAAAATATTATAAAAAAAGAAAAGAAGCAGTGGAGATATAGAAAAGGAATAGGCTGCGCAGAAGCAATCCTCTGCAAGGGCCGTGACATCTAGTCTTCACACTCCCGTTTTCCAAGCCTACCTTTGGAAAAGGCCCTGAACAGTTCAGTCGCTGTCAGCGATTTCATGTTTTCCAGCTCTCCCGGGGCCATGGGAGATCTTCCGGGCAGTGGGTTCGTCTCCATGTAATGGGCAACAGCCCGCAAGACCCCTTCTTCTGTGATGTCGGCATCTGTGAAGACTGTCGAATCGATGCCCCCTGATTCGTGGTTGGGGAGGAATCCGCTCACGGTGCCCAGGCAGAGGAGCAGAGTGAGGCCCACGGGAAGCAACATGCTTTGCATCAAGGGCAGGAAAGAGATCCTGTGCCTTCCTCTGCTCTGCCAGTTAAATAGCTTGAGCCTGAAGAGGGGGAATCCCCCACCTGTTCAGTCCATTTCCTCCTACGCGTACAGCAGCCAGGCAAAGGTTTCCAGGAAAAACCTCTCTCCCAAACCATTACTGCTTGGCTACAAAGCCCCACAACCTCCCAGTTGAAACGGGGATACTTTACAAATAGCGATGGGTGAATCTGATGGTTTTGGTATCTCTCAGTTTTTCCTTTTCCCCCAGTCTTGAGCTCAGATCTCTGCCTTTCCACATCACTTAGCAAATACGTGTTGTTGTTTAGAAAAAGTCCTAATAATAATACAGTCATATCTCAGGTTACAGAGGCTTCAGCTTACGTTTTTTTCGGGTGACAGACCCGCTGAAACCCGGAAGTACCAGAAGCATAGCTGTCAACGTTTCCCTTTTTAAAAGGGAAATTCCCTTATTCTGAATAGGATTCCTTGCAAGAAAAGGGAAAAGTTGACAGCTATGACTGGAACGGGTTACTTCCGCGTTTCGGCGGTCACACATGCTCAGAAGCACTAAATTGCGCTTTGCGCATGCGCAGACCACCACTGCGGGTTGCGAACGCTGCAGGCTGCAAACGTGCATCCTGCACGGATCATGTTCGCAACCCGAGCGTCCACTGCAACAACAACAACAACAACAACAACAACAACAAATTTATTATTTATACCACGCCAATCTGGCTGGGTTTCCCCAGCAGCTCTGGAAGGCTCCCAACAGAATATTAAAAACACGATAAAACATCAAACATAAAAAACTTCCCTAAACAGGGCTGCTTTCAGATGTCTTCTAAAAGTCAGATAGTTGTTTATTTCCTTGACATCTGGTGGGAGGGCGTTCCACAGGGCAGGTGCCACTACCGAGAAGGCCCTCTGCCTGATTCCCTATAACTTCACTTTTTGCACTGAGGGAACCGCCAGAAGGCCCTCGGAGCTGGACCTCAGTGTCCGGGCTGAACAATGGGGATGGAGACGCTCCTTCAGGTATACTGGACCGAGGCCGTTTAGGGCTTTAAAGGTCAGCACCAACACTTTGAATTGTGCTCGGAAACGTACTGGGAGCCAATGTAGGTCCTTTCAGGAAATTCATGAAAATTCACCTGCACATTAGGGAAGCCTGGCCAGATGGGCAGGGTATAAGTAATAAACTATTATTATAAATTATTATTATTCTCTGTACTTCCCATTGTCCCACTGCTTTCCCCTGCAGGAAATCGCTCTTTAGCACTCAAAAAGCAGTTTGGGTTTTCTTCAGATGGACGTTGGCTTCACATTTGCACTCAGGGGCAGGTTTCCCCTTTGAAAGGGATGGGTCAAGTGGAAAACTGCTTAGGACCCGGTTTTCTAGGCCGGGTTCAAGGGGCAAACAGAAGTGTGAACGGGCATAAGTGCACATTTTGAAGGAGGTGGAGGCATGAAGAGGGTGGAGCAATGGCAGTTGAGGCAGCAGAGTCTCCGATTGCTTGGGAAGGACCTGGGAGATGAGGAGGAGGCTTAGGCAGCTGTAGGAAGGTGGCAGGGGGACCTTTAGTCTCCACAACTGCCTCCCAGGGGCAAGAACTACTGAAAAGAGTTACTGTACTCACTAGATCTGCCACTCCTGAGCAGACCTTGCTTCTTCTAAGAAAGACTTATTTATTGCTGACCCGCTCCTGCCCCTTACATAATGCCCCCAAGGAGAAAACGCATCATCATGGTGTAAGAATTTTAAGGTCTCGTACATAGAATAAATATTCCTAAATGCACACATATCAACCATGTGTCTGAAATAGTATGGGAGAGCAATCCTGAAGCCATTTTGACTCTCCCAATGACTCCAAATATTCCTCTATAGTTTGTTGTTGTTGTTTAGTCGTTTAGTCGTGCCCGACTCTTCGTGACCCCATGGACCAGAGCACGCCAGGCACTCCTGTCTATAGTAAGGGAGGCATTTTTGAATAAGATATTTCTAAGCAATTCTTTACCTTTACATTAGCAATTATTTACCTTTACATTGATTGATTTACAATTACATTGATCAGTTTTATGCTTTATTTGCTTCTCATATAAAGAAGGCTAATAGTGAGTATAGACATATCAACACCCAAGGGCAACACTGTGAGAATAAAGGAGCCCTGTTTGATAGTTCAGCCTTCTGGTTCTTTGCCTACAAAGATTTACTGGTTCTCCCAGTTGGCCTGTGAAGCATTCCCAGGTATGGGTTGTAAGGAACCAGAGGACCTTGCCAACTTTGTCTCAAATCCATTATCCTGCAAAATACTTCCTTTTCACTGAAGAGTTGCATTAATTGGCGTTTTTGGCCAAAGTACCTTTTTGCGTACGTAGCAGCCAAGCTACGCATTATGATTAATGCACGTTGGTGTGCAATTTGTGAGGAAAGGTTGAGCCAGTCTCACTGCTTTTGGCAGCTGGCATCAGGCCCAATCCAGACCTTTGCACAGGTGAACGTTGGTGCAAACATATTACAACACCCCTTTTAAAATCTAGCTCAGTATTGTTTACACACTGATTGGCATGGCATCCTATAAAATGATATAGGAGAGCTATTATACTTTTTTAAAAAAACCACAGAGCCTAGGACTTGCCAATCAGAAGGTCGGCGGTTCGAACCCCCCGCGACGGGGTGAGCTCCCGTTGCTCGGTCCCTCCTCTTGCCAACCTAGCAGTGCGAAAGCACATAAAAGTGCAAGTAGATAAATAGGTACCGCTCCGGCGGGAAGGTAAACGGCGTTTCCGTGCGCTGCTCTGGTTTGCCAGAAGCGGCTTAATCATGCTGGCCACATGACCTGGAAGCTGTACACCGGCTCCCTCGGCCAATAAAGCGAGATGAGTACCGCAACCCCAGAGTCGGCCACGACTGGACCTAATGGTCAGGGGTCCCTTTACCTTTACCTTACCTAATGACCTTAGCTGTGGACATGCATTTAAAATCAAGCTGCTGTGAGTGGAACGGAGCAAAATTGGGGTGGTTTGTGTCTTGCGGCAAATGATTACTAGAAGGATGCAGTCAAAGAACTGGATGGTTTGTTAAAAACAATATGTGGAATTCAGTCCATACCTGTCCCAATCTTGCTTTTTGGTCCTGATTGTTTCCTTAAGATGGTGGTGGGCAGAGTGACTATTTTTGGGCCAAAGAGCTAGATCTTTATCTCCCCCACCCCTGGCTTTACAGGGGGCAGGGCCTTCGGCCTGTGGCATCCAGGGAACGTTTCCTTTTGAAGCCTTGATTGTGGAGACTTAAAAGTCAACTGCAGGGCTTTGAAACAGCCCTTTGCAAACATCCTCATGCAGGAAAGTTTGTAGAGGGCTTTCAGTCATCCACCCCCCTCCGTGATTCTATTTCAAATGAGGTTTGGAGAATCACGGAAGGGGGACTTGGGCTTTCCTACTGTCCATCAGCTGATGGGGCGAGGGCACACCTTCAAACAGCCTCCTGCAGAGGTTTAAAAGAGATGTTCAAGGGGACAGCTGAAGGTTTTCTCTCCATCATTCCTCACTGTCTGCTTCTGCCACTGCAAGATGGGAGGAGGGAAACCTCTGCATTTTGAAATGCAGGCTTGTTTTCTCCTCTGCATGGTAGCTGTGGCAGCAGCAATGGTGAGCTTTGGTCAAGCCGTTCTCTGAAGCAGTGCCACCTCCTCGTAAACAGCACTCCACCAATGTTTAAAGAGGGGTAGAGCGATTTGGTGAGGGATGCAGGTGGTGCTGTGGTCTAAACCACAGAGCCTAGGGCTTGCCAATCCGAAGGTCAGCGGTTTGAATCCCCGCGACAGTGTGAGATCCCATTGCTCCTGCCAACCTAGCAGTTCGAAAGCATGTCAAAGTGCAAGTAGATAAATAGGTACCACTTCGCTGGGAAGGTAAACGGCATTTCTGTGCGCTGCTCTGGTTTCGCCAGAAGCGGCTTAGTCACGCTGGCCACATGACCCGGAAGCTGTTCGCCGGCTCCCTCAGCCAATAAAGTGAGATGAGCGCTGCAACCCCAGAGTCGTTCGCGACCGGACTTAACTGTCAGGGGTCCTTTACCTTTTACCTCAGAGAGATTTGGCAAACTGCTTTAAGACTGTTTACTCCATTTGAGCAAACCAGAGTGGAGGTGCTGCCGTAAAGCCTCTGCAACAGTCTCTTTGAAGTAGCTCAGCAGATTTAATTCTGCTGCCTTGGCTGTGGGGGGCCGGTCCTCTGCTGGGAACAGGAACCTGCAGCCAGTTCAGGATTAAACCCTGTCCTCCTGCCCATCAGCTGACATCACCAATGATGTCAGACGAAGGATGGGTGGTTGCAGCTTGAGGAAAATGGACTCGGGGCCCTGAGGTCCCTCACCCCTTTCTTAGGACATTCTTGGGCTGTCATGACGGATAGTGCCACACCTGGAAGAATCCCCTTGTTGGGGTTGAGATGGTAACAACCCTACCAGCGGCCCATCAGAGCAAAGTTTTTGGGCAGACATCCAGGGCCCCACTTAGCAGAAGGGCTCCCAAACACTGCAGGATTGGCTTGTCACATTCTGAAGCACACTGATGCAAGTTACCATTACAGTGGTACCTCGGGTTAAGAACTTAATTCGTTCTGGAGGTCCGTTCTTAACCTGAAACTGTTCTTAACCTGAGGTACCACTTTAGCTCATGGGGCCTCCCGCTGCCGCTGTGCGATTTCTGTTCTCATCCTGAGGTAAAGTTCTTAACCTGAGGTACTATTTCTGGGTTGACGGAGTCTGTAACCTGAAGCGTCTGTAAGCTGAAGCGTCTGTAACCTGAGGTATCACTGTACTACACTTGTAGGCAGAGATGTGTCTTCCTTTGTCCTCTGTTTTTTTATTGTTATAAGAAAAACTGCTCCCTTTTCCTTATGTGGTATTCTGGAGCCGGAGCCCTTAAGTGGGTTCCCTATCAGTAGGAGAAAATAATAGAGTCCAGCCAGAGTATATTGAGAAGCAAAGTGGCTAGTAAGCCTGATCTTTATTAAAGGAACTCACCCCACTCACCACACGCAGGAGGGAGGAGAACCCCGAACAATGGTGCGCAAGCCCTTATATGGACTTCTGAAATTGCCCACCTTGTAGCCCAATACTACCCCCAAAAAATCATACATACATCACAGAAGGATGCAGTCTCCAGAAGAAATCCTGCCTGCCAGGACACCTGATAATGGTCACTGATTGCATTACATGGGCAACCTGGCCATTCTTTTGCGATGGTTAATACTTTAGTTCCTGAGTCCAGGTCACAGGCTCAC